CCCCCCCCAAGTCTTCAACCACCGTTCTACATATCTAAACTTCCGCCTCATTACTAACCGTGGAAAATTCCCTCTTAACAGTGATACCTTTCATCATGTATTCGTCGCGTCCTCGCCCTTGTGCGAAGATCGAGTTATCCTGCGAGATGGCGTTGCGAAGAGAGGTGAATTCTTCTCCCTGAGATGACTGGTTCTTACGGGATATATTCGAGTAATCGCTCGGAAACTGGCGGTCCTTTGTGCCACCAACGGTAACCATTGAAGAAGGCCAAACCTTCTGGAACAGAGGTCTAAGGGTGGGCAAACAAGCGCTCAAAACCGCGATATCGACCTCGATGTTGGACCACGTGAAAGCATTCACCAAACCCCCTACTACAAGTTACTATCTCGGCCGATACGGACTATCAGATTACTTACATGTAGGATCCTTCAAGTCTTCGTTGAAAAGTAGCACAAGTCGAAGAATACTTGCGACAATAACGCTGTAATCGTGAGCAAGTAAGTTGTGTCTGAATTGGGAAAATACTTACAAGCCACCGAGTAGAAACATGCCTGAGACCACAACCTTCTTCTGCTTCGAAAACTGTAGCTGCCATACACTCTTCACAGGAATCAAAAGAATGCAGGTGTCGGTGAATATGTTAGGGATTGCATTTCCTATGAAAAACTTGGTTGAATCAATACATTTAGCATGAAGAGTCAAATCCCAAAATCCTTGGACGGGAATACAACTGAATATGACTCCGAAGATACATGCCGTAGCCCATGCGAGGACCATTGCCCCAGTGATATAGACGGCAATTGCAATTTCTTTGGATGGGAATAAGGATTTGTATAGCAATAGAATTGAGATCTTTGTCAGTGTAATGGGTAAAACGTAGAAGATCTCTGCGGCGAAAAAGATCTAGTTTATGAATAGTCAGCCTATTTTTCGTCATTGAAAAGTCCTGTCCATTTACCTTCAAGAACGTTTCTAACTGCGCGGGCGTCACCGTTTCCACATGTCTTCCAAATCCAACCTGAATGCCTATGAAATTATTTCGTTAGCGCAAAGGTTTTAGAGTAGGTAGGATATTCCTACTGGCAAAGACAAGACCGCATTCCCCCAAGGCTGCCAAAAATCCCGCAATGATAAAATAATCGGAGGCGCTCAACGCGAGCTTCATCACTCTTCGACAGTAGAGTCGGGCAATGAGGCCAATAGCCGCAAGCCCTATGCAAGTCCCCACCGCCGCATGAATATACTGGCTTCTATCATCTCTCAAATCCACGCCTGGTGGTGCTTCTGAAGACATTTTTGCTCGACCAATTCGACAGTCGGTGTGCTAAAGTACGAAAAAGTGGGTTTTGTGTCTAATTATTATGCAAGTCGCCCCAAGATGAAGATAAGGAACCCTTCCAAGAGACTAAGTCTCCGCTCTTCCTGTGAAATTCTCCAAAGATAGACTGTTTCCGAAGAGCCATCTATTGTTTTGGTCGGCTTCTACGCCGTCTGCTTCAGAGAGTGCCAAGTCACGCAACTGATTGCAACCCACCAATGCGGACAGATGGCACCGCGGTTTAGGGGAAGGGGGCTTCATCCTCGACCCTCATCGACCATGAAAGTTGCATTAGGTATCTATTTGGAAAAAGCCGAATGACTGCAGAGACTTGCAGCTGACAAGGTTTCCAATCCAGCAAGTCATCTTTTTTGGAGGTGGGGAAGGCTGGACCCTATTTAACGATGGCAGTTACACAGCAGCCTACACCTCGTAAATATCCTTTTTCGAAGTAAAGACTTTGATTGGACCGTTACTCGTAAAATCCACCATCGCTACGGATGCTCTTCTTAGCGAGTCAAATGAAACAATTAAGGAATATGCTTAAAACACCTTTTAAGTTGGTTCTGTCGAGGATCGGAATCGGATGTCCTTACTGTTGGGGTGTCCTTCGATTCAAAGATCCCTGAACTTAGCCGGGGTGTTTTACAGTCGTATGGGGGAATTAAGCCTACGACGCCACCTAAGTTTAGTCAACAATTGTAATTGTGTAACTTTCCTTCAATGCCACAAACATAATGCTTTTCAACGGTCGATGATCACCCTCGCTTAGCACCGCTGCGCGGGAACGAGGCCCTGACTGCATAATCCCTTGCTCGCCCCCGGAAAACACCCTGACGCTAAGTCGGGGCGGGACGAAGCACCAGAAGCTTGGTCGAAGCACAGACTCGCAGGCGTCTTCCGCTCTGTGGGGAGCAGATATCCAACCAATAGCAGGATACCCCTCGATTTACAGGGACTCAACCCCCGTCTCCCTGACTGCATTGCAATATTGGCATATATGGAGGAACCGTCTGCGGCTCGGCGGGAGATCCTCCACACTCGTCACCGGATTTTCCCGTTCGCGATGTGTTTGTTGGCCGCCGGGATGTGTTGGTTGTCTTCCAACGGCACAGCCATCGGGCAGAGATGGCTCACCTCGAGTCCTTGATTCGTTGGCTCGTTTGCGTCGTGTGGGGGGGTAAGACCGTAAGTGAGGTTCAAGCCGCTCGATTTGGTAGTTGGTGGGCTAGAATCGCAGCGCGACTCGGTCTCTACCCATCGTCGCACGAAAAAGCGGTTGTCTGATGCGATTCCTTCTAGGAAGACTCACCGAATACGACGGTAATCTGACGAGCAGTTTCACCTCCCTGTAGCTGCTGACTTCGGGTAAGAGAAATAATTAGGTTTTTAGCACATATTATTATTGATTAGACAAGCGTTAAATTTCTTACTAAGGTAAACTTAAAAATAGGCAATATTGTCGGATTCCCCGCAGATGTGTTCCACTGGTTTTATGTTCATTGACATGTGTTAATATGGAGGTGATATAGGCCAGATCGTACGAGGTGAGAGGAGCGACTTCAAACTATCTATAGGAATGTGCAGAACCGTACAATGTCACTTTGGCGCTTTTAGCTATGTAATACTTGTGCTTGTACGAGATATCTCATGACTATTCTTAGTAGATCATAGTGCCATGACCAAAGTCTACAACAAACCGGCAGTAGAAGCAGTTGAAAGTATGATATTCTTTTCTATAGGCTCTATTTTTGTCTACTCTGTGCTGTTTACCAATGTAGGTGATTTTTATAGTACATAACATTAATACACAACATCAAGAATTAAGGATATCATCAGCAATTTTCTCTGCAAGGGCATCTATTGAAGCGTCGCGCGCATGTTAGCATCACTTAACAAGGGAGGTATTGAGCGGAGGGGGGGGGATCCTGTTCGTTACTTACAAACGGTGGCCATTGGATGTCCGGGAGGAAGGAAAGGAAAGGCTGAGGCGTCGACAACTCTTAAGTTTTTCACACCAATAACCTTTGCCTTGGAGTCGACCACCGCATTTGGATCGCTGCTACGTCCCATTGCACAAGTGGCTGCGGGATGGAAGACAGTGCTGGATGCTTTCCTCATGTGTGCGATAATTTCATCATCGGTCTGGACATGCTCCCCGGGGAAGTATTCAGATCCAATCAAGACGGGCTGCATTGAGGTGGTATTGAATAGCTGCCTTACCCGTTTGAATCCTGCTAGCAAAACTTCTCGGTCTGCGGGGTCGGAAAGCCATCTAGGATCGATGAGTGGAGCATCATTCATGTCGTCGGACACTATGTCGATTGTCCCTCTGGAAAAGGGAGCTACCAAAGCAGTGGAAACTGTTGCATAGTTATATCCATCAGCCGGGCTATCGCGAATGAAATTTTCCTGGAAACCCAAGAACCCCGACATGCTAAGGTATTCGATTTCCGGCCAGTCAGCAGGAACTTGGGCAAGCTTGGCTTGAGTTGAGTTAGAGAAGGAAGCTCGCAAATTGGCTGGCGTCTTTTCAAATGCTGGTACCAAGCTCTATTAGCATAGCAGTTGAATTTTAGAACAACAATGCTCACCTAGCCAATCTCCACCCGCATTGGTCAGAATACCTGACTGATCCTCCCTGTACCTTCGCTCAGCATCCAGAAGAAAGTCTGGCTCTCCTAGAGATGAAGCGGTTATGATGTTCATGCGGTAAGTAATTCCCATTAGAACGTGATCCTAGTAGGCACCTTGTGAGCGGGAAGATGAGTAGTGGAACAAAAAGTACTCACCCACATGTTCTGGCCAACCCCGGGTCTGGCTGCCACGACAGGAATGTTGTGCTTCTTCAAATTAGCTTCTGGGCCGACACCAGAGACCATAAGGAGCTGCGGCGACTGAAAAGCACCCGCAGACACGATGACCTCCCTTTTCGCAGACAAGGTGTACAAACGTCCTCCGGTATCTACTTGAACACCAACCGCAGTTTTCTTGTCGTCGAAGAAGATCCTTTTGGCTAGGGATGATATGTACACGCTCAGATTTTCACTATCTAGAGCCGATGCCAAAAAAGATGTTTCGGAGGAATCTCGAAGCTGCGTCTTTGCGTTTATCGTCCCTAGTATATAGGAGGATCCTAGAAGATTCCCGCTCGTGAATCCCAGTATAGAACTGATTCCAATTTCTCGGAACCCCTTTTCAACCCAGGAAGCTCCCGCCTGCGCGTAATTTGAGAAAGTGACAGACAAAGGACCGCCAGTCGCTAGGGGTTTCAAGTCAACTGCCGGAGTCGCATTTGCCGCTCTCTTGTGTGGGTCCGGCGGTGTATAGTGAATACTCTTCTCGAAAAATGGCAACCACTGATCGAACGAATAACTTTGATCGCCAACATCATCTGCCCATTTCTGATATGTCTGTTTCGTCGCGCGGTGGTAGGCCATATAATTTCTGGCGGTGCAGCCTCCAAGCGTCTTGCCTCTGGCGAAGTGAGCCGTAGCGTTCAACAATTCCTACAACGCTAATCAGCAACATACACTGTGATGTAGCAAGGCATCGAGTTAAGCTGGTGGATTGTTGAACTTACATTCTGAGGTGTTGTCAAGAACCCCCAATCGATTAATGGGTTGAAATCATTGTGATCTTTGCCAGTGAAGTAAGCATCAAAGGCTGGAACTTGACTGATATTACCATTGTCGATTTCATAGAAGCTTCCTGCCTCAATAACTGCCACTGTATTTTTCTTTGAAAGTCGAGCCGCTAAAGTCAATCCCGCATTCCCACCTCCTATAATCACGTAATCATAAGAGGCATCCCCAGGAACTCCAAACGAGGAACCTGAAAGATGTCTGGCTTTGACTGTATTTTGTGGTGGAGGAGCACTTAGGGCTGCTAATGGTGCCAATAAAACAACAAGAATTCTTAGGGCGAAACTCATAATGGAAATCGTTTAGGAATGAAAACGAGGGGAGTATTCGCCCGAGAACTTGCTTGACCCCGTCAATGGTGTCTGTACTTTGGATATCTATTTGAGAAAAAAGCGTCTAGAGAAAAGAAAATCAGTAAGCTTAACTTCTAAAATTGGAAATACTACAACAACGGGCTGCTCCGTCTCGAGGATCGTGGTCAAAAGCTGTGGCATGGATGGAAAGGAAATACCACGGTCCTAACCAATATTCAACCACTTTATGTCCCTTGTTGTGGGATCGTACATGAAAGATCTCGCTCCTCGCCTCTACGGCGTCTTTCTAGGCTTTTGAATGGATAATAGAGATGCAAGTCGCTTTTCACACCACGAAATAAAGCGAGGCTGGGGCTTTCTTCTTGTCGATCCAATCTCTTTGGCTTGGAAAAAGCCCTTCATAAGCCCTCAAGTATGTGTGGTTAATTAACAGTTTGTTGCCTAGTTAGGACACATTACGGAAGCACCAAAAAAGTTCGACAGCAGGGCACCCCCGATACTAGTCAGCAATTTCCATTCCGAGTACCCATACCCGTGCGGCCATACCTATCAATACATCGCTTCTCGTAACAGTGCCTTTAGCAAATGTTCTAATGAAAGTGACTAAACGGTTATTCTATCTAAGCAACTCCGGGATCTGAATGTTAGGAAGGGGCGGGGAGTTCGGTCAAGGATTGTGATGTAAGCCAAGTTCCAACAGTGATCTGGAAGGTTTTTCATTGGTGCCATCGTATATTCCAAATACCCAGCAACGCCATATTCATGTTTGTGTAAAATGGTTCGGTTTTCTTTCACAGGGGCGTTTCCGACTTGTGGAGTGTGCCTAGGCAAGGCATCCGGAGAAACTCCAATTCGTGGGGAATCCGTCCTGCGTGTAGCTAGAAGCCGCTCGCTTCTCGACCGGAATTTCCCTTCACTTACGGCTCAGGAACGGTGAGCGATGGAAGGGCGTACCGAGTAACCAACTGTTGGATCAAAAAGATCAGTGATTGGGGGACTGGATTAGAGTAAAGGATAGGGGGGGGGGGGGGGGACCCCGGCTATATACAGGTCTAACACCAACTTACCATCCAACTCCCTAGCCAGCCCGCCAACGCAGAGATCTGAGCATCCAACTCGAATTTAACAGCAGATCCCACTGCAAGCCAGAAGCACATCGGTTTTTTTTTGCTCGAGAAGAAGATCTGACATCCCCCAAAACAACTATGCCAAGCACCTTCCTCATCACTGGCTGCTCCCGAGGCCTTGGCCTGGCTCTGGCAACGGAGCTTTCGAAGAAAGGACATACCGTCTTTGCGACCGCTCGTGACGACCCCGCCCCCCCTTTGAATGAGCTAATCGAGAACTCCCAAGGCCTAGTCAAATATGTGAAGCTCGATGTGGAGAGTCGATCTAGTGTGGAAGAAGCCGAAGCAAAGGTGGCAACCTTGCTGGGTGACAAAGGCCTTGATGTGCTCATTAATAATGCCGGAGTTATTAATTGGATGTCAGAGGGCATTGACAAAATGTTATTAGTCTCTTCTCATAATCTTACTCTCCAGTGGCACAGTGACGTGGCTTCTGCTGACATTCTTAAAGGACCGACCTCGACTCCATGCTTCATACCAATGTCACGAGTGCTCATGTTGTCACGAGTACCTTTCTTCCGCTCTTGAAGAAAGGCACAGAGAAGAAGGTTGCCAATATGTGAGAAATTATTGAAAGTACAACTATTAGGGATACGAAAATCTAATGCTCACAGTTCTACCACAGTTGGCTCCATCACTACAGCATCTAAGTACAGCATGATGGCCGTCCCAGCATACAAAGTATCGAAAGCAGCTTTGAATATGCTGACCGTTCAATATGCGCTGAACTATGCTGAGGAAGGATTCACTTTTCTTGCAATCAGTCCAGGAGTAAGTAACTCTCATTCTCTGAAGAATTTCCGAGAAGATGGTGCACGGAGAATTCGAGCTAATCTTGCGGCACGCAGTGGCTTCGAACTGATCTCGGAGGATCGGCTGCAGATCTCGACGTGGAGACCGGCGCAAAGGCCACGCTCGAGGCAATTCAGAGTCACGGAAAGGAGTTCAACGGCAAGTTTGTAAATATTCGCGTGGCGGGATGGGAGCACAGCGAAGGCCTGAATCAATACGACGGGGAGATTTGCCCTTGGTAAGGGGCTTACTAGCATCGAAACTACCAATTGGGCAGATGGCGGATTCAAAGCTCGTGTAAATTACACCGCTGCTGCTTTAGTCACTATTGCAACTAGAACGAATTGACACAACATTACACATTACTTACGATTTAAGCGGTTGAAAGAATTCTGAAAACGTCCAATATTGGAGAAAAGGTTTCAAACCCAAATGAATGTTGACAATTGATTTCAAAGTCAATGAGCTGTGTTTAATCTGTATGCCGTCGAGAAGTCATGCCGATGAGTTTGCCTCGCCGGCCAGGAAGTTTAAAGAATAGTCGACGAGGGCATCAAACCACTCACATGGCATAACAAGCCTTGGGGCATTAAATAGCAGACACCCCCGCAAGTTCTCAGAGCTTGCTTAATATTGTGTCGGCTGGGTTTGATCTGACATGCAGAATATTGGAGATGCCGCTGCATAGATGGAATGGGATCTTCCGGCTCGTGTACGAGAAGGAACGGCCATATGCAAGTGTGTTACTATTACCTTCCTAACAACAAGTATGAATCGGAGAATCCGCATATACTTAAAGTCATATATTATTCGGTTAAGGCTCCTGTAAATGTTGGATTACACAAAAAACTTGTTAGGATCTGGGCCAGTTAGGTTCCACTGAACCCTCGTGATCCCACCGATGCCCGTCAGGAATACGGTTTTCAAATCCTTCCCAGTGAAAGCTACATTTTCGACAGGGTGGTCTGTCTGAATCCTGGCAATCAGAGATCCATCCCCGTCCAAAATATCTGCCCCGTTTGAAAGACCTGAGCCCACAACCAAGTAGCCATTTGCGGCCACTTTCAACCCATCGGGGCTACCTTCCAAGGATTGAAAGATACTACGTTTTCCGGTTAAGTAGGCTCCTTTTGGTGTGTAATTGACATCGAACGCGTAGATGTTGCGAGCAAGAGTTGAGGTAAAGTAAATTCGTATTGGGTAGTCATACGCGCCTTTACTAGCAACTGGGCCAACTGTTTCTAGTCCTGTATCTGAGATGTAAACTGTTTTGCCATCGCGGGAGAACACTATGCCGTTAGGGTGTTCCAATGAGGTATCAACTACATTAATCTCGCCTGTGGAAGGTCGAAACCGGTAGGTGGCGAGTTGGAGCTGATTTGAGTTGTCGGCAAGTCCGAGACCAAATGCATAATCTATCAAGATTCTTAACTTTGCGGCTTCAAGAGAAATGTCGAAAAGATTGCTTACCGCTATCAGTAAACCAAATGTCACCGTTTGGATCGACTGTCAAGTCATTCAGTCCCCCGAAAAAGAATCCGTAGAAGTTGTTTATTAACCATTCTGCCTTGAGCGTCTTTGGGTCCACGCGGACAACCCCTGGACGTTGCTTCAAGCCATTGGGTAAAGAGACGTTGTTGCCTTGAATAGCCCAGTAGATCATGTTGTCGTGAAGGATGCCACCAGTGGGCTGATAGACTGGAGGATCCGTCACGAAAGACGCGACCGTTGGTGGGTCATAATTGAGGTCAATGACAAGATTGGACAGGTTTCCGGGAGGGCCATCTTGAGTAACAAAAAGTTTGTTCAGATCGGGAACATAGATCGGTGCTTCGTGAATCACGTTCAAAACATCAATGTATTTTTTCTGAATTGTAGGTGCTGCGCCAAGTACTTCAAGTCCACGTTTCTCGTCGAAGATCACGAAATCTGCATCCACCACGAGGTTCCACGATGGATCGTCCGGAACTAGAGTACCAGTGTAACCAACGGTTGGAAGCTGATCCCGTGAGAAGGATGGTGGAAGAAGGGTGCCATAACGATACACGCAGGCGATTTTGGCGGTTGATGGACCACAGGTCTTCGCTACAGGATGAAACTTAGAGTTGGAGTTATTCTGCAAAGTATTCGCACTGGCACACGCCACGCTGGCAAAAATCCCAAGCAGAAGAGCCACAGTCGTTGATGTTGCCATTTTCAGGATATCGGGAATGCTCCGAGGATGATGTGAACTTCCGAAAATTTCAAAGTCGGCGGTGCAAGAAGCGCTTCAAATATACTGATGCAAATCCAGTAAACAAGCTCATTAGATTCCCAAGAACTCTCTCCGCTATGACTTCCTTCTAATAAATACTGCAAGTTACAAAATTGCTTTGGAAAAGCGGCCAAGAACCTCAACAGAACCTGTACAAGAGCGGCCAAACCTGATTGCATGACGGTACCTACATTCTGAGCAGGGTTCTGAATTGCCGGCTAAATATGCAGAGGTATTCTATGATTTGAGTTTCATGCAATGCAACCACTTATCCATCCCGCTGTGCTAGACGTGCTGAAAGAAGAAAAGCAACGCCCAAGAACACCGTTGTGCCGCCGAAGGCTTGCGCACCTCGGTAGCTGCCATCTTCGATATCAATGAGCCGACCCGCGATTGGAGCACTTGTCAAGCAAGCGATGCTGCCAACGGTGAATACCATCCCTGTCCTTACTCCCATCTTGGTGATGTCCTTTGTTAACCCTGCGAGAGTAGAGGGGAAAAGTGTCTGAACTGCATTCGCGCAGAATCCATACACCACGAGAAAGGCCGTGAATCCGTCAAGTTTCTCCACTGCCATCCAACTAAACAGCAAGATCCCAGCCGCCGCCACAAAAAAGAGCAAGGTGTTGAACGTTCCAAAGTATCGGTCTGCGAGAAGAGCCGGGATGAGGCGTCCGGGAATGCCGACGCCATTTAGAACCATAAGGAAGGTGTATGAGGTAGTGGAGGAAACATGGATCACGTTCCGGCCGAATGTTGCTGTCTAGACTCTGGTTAGATTCTTTCTGAGAGTGATTGCAGAGAAGACTTAAAAGTCTTACATAAAAATAGGCAATGTATATACCCCAGATGGTGAAAAATATTCCAGTAGCAAAAAGTACGTAGGGGACTTCTTTGAAAGCCGCCCATTCCGCAAGCGGTCTTGAAGCCTTAACTGTAACTCGGGGACGAGCGAGAACGAGGACAAGAGCCGTGTTGAAGAGGATTACGAAGCCCATGATCCTGACAATCCAACCGAAACTAAGGTGACCTTCAAGTTGACGCAGGACCTGATGACAATTAGCAAAGGTAATTGGGATATCCGAGGGGCGTCTCACAACTGGAAATATTACCCCACCAACAGGTGCACCACAAGCGGCCAGGCCTAAAGCCAGGGTTCGCCTTTTGAGAAAGTATACTGAAACCAAAGCAACGAGAGGCGTAAATAATAGACCATTGCCCAGCCCTTGAATAATGCCTTGTGCCAAGATAAGTTGCCAATATGCGGTTGCTACCGAGGTGGCAAAGGTGCCGATAAGTTGAAGCGCGGAACCAGCAATAATCAAAGACCGGAAGTAACCTGCATCCATTGCTCGACCTGAAAAAGTGCCAACGAAGAAGAGGAGAAACATTTGGAGCGAGCCGACCCAAGCGATATCTGAGGAAGATCTTTCCAGAGATTGTACCCAATGCGATTGAAAGAGCCCGAACGATGATATATACCCAAATCCATTTATAACCAAAAGATGGCCAACTAGAACCTGGAGCCAAGCGGTGAGTCCTCGATCAAATATGACTTGTTCTTCAGGTGAAGTCGAACCACCGGACTCAACCTCAACTTCGTCACTAGTTGAATTTGACTCCTCTAGTTGTCCCATTTTCGGCGCCGAGTTGTGTTGTGTCTTTTCGTATTTTCACAATTTAAAGGATACGCAGACCGTGACGAGGAGAAAAGCAGACAGCAGAATTACCACAGAAGTAGAAATATATTTGCGATAGTGTGATTCCAGTAACCGCGCTGTCTTCAACCCCGCTGTCGCACTGCAGTCTGCAACTACGCATGACCCTATCAGCCAGACCCTCTGTCGGATTGTTTTCTCTCTGAATCCTGGCCTGCCTCGCAGCTTCCATCTCTGCATGACTGTTTTATCAACCACACCCCAGGCAGGTCTTACACTTGAACCCTGAGCACCCTCCTGTAAGTCAAAGATGAACATGGGCACTGTAAGCACCTACGACTGGTGATTGCTACCTGCTCGCGGAAGGGTTAGCCAACATTCGGCAAAATTCCACGAACGGGAGGGGGCCTTCGGCCCTTCAAATCGAGGCAGGCTTCATCTGATACCCTCGCTAGCAATCATAAGCAACAACAATACCAGCCTTGCTTTCTACAGTTGCTCTGGATATGAGGACCAAAGAAATGCCTTTTTCAACACTTCGGAGGGTATTGAGTGAATTCCCCGCTTACCAGTGGTTGTGGGGACTGCTTTATTTGGAGAATTCAAAGGCAGCAGAGGCCAAGACTGTACCTCATTCTCAGAATCTTGCCATTACCAACCATATTTTGGATATCTTGGAAAGCTATGGCAAGAATTGCAAAACCGCGGACGGCCGTGAGCAACCAAATTGGCTTGGGACCGAGAAATTTTTCGATATGGTATCCAAGCAGGTCGCTGCAAACCAAGTAGTGAAGATGATCCTTCCAGCTTTTCCATGGAAAAGTGTGAGTAGAAGTTGACTCGGAACTCCTGAAACTCAAATTTTGATATTTTGCGTCCCAGATCAATACGGTTGACAAAGTCATTGGGCGGTTGCCTGATCTCGGAGAAGTGTTGGCATTGGCGAGACTGAATACAATGTGCAAGGAGATTCGCAAAGTCTATTTACCTGGCGCTGAAGTAACTATCGCCACAGATGGTCTCGTATTTGACGGTATCCCTCCAACCTCTGACCACTGTAGATGTCTGTTCATCTGCTGATTTTATCCAGATCTTGTTGGGATTTCGGACGAGGACACATGGGCATATAGCGAGGGACTAATGAGCATTCTTTCGAGCAAGGGATTCTCCGGAATCAAAATGCTAAGAGTCATGGATATTTTAGACTTGGTGAAGGAGGAGAAGATGACTAAAGAGCTCTATCTGAGCTTGGTTGAGACGTGCCGATTGAAGCTATTTCAAGGCTACGCTCAAATGGAAGAGGAGGTACGTGACATGATAAAGACAGACCCGGATACACTAATGACGTATTGCGGATTCATTCGATTTTTGGAGACGGACTTGAGGTGAGTCTTTGAAAGAAGTGCGCATTGACAATGTGCTAATAGAGTCCTTAGATATAGCCCGGTTGCGAAAAACACATTGAGCGGCCAACAATACCGCAAGTGCGTGAAAAGGGTTGCGCTTGGAATGATGATTCGAGCAGAAGTAAGTTGCCTCAATTCTCCTTTTCGGAACGTCCGAATTAATTTTGTCCTTGACCGGGGAATGACTCGCTTACATCGCATTACTCGAGTAGTCTTTCACAAAGCTTATTCAAGATCGGTGCCCTGGGTTTGTGCGCCTTTCAATCCACCCATCAAGCGGCGCAGTCAAGCTATCCATACCTCTCATAATTCAAAAGAGTAACGAATTCCCGAGAACACCATGGCATTGCGCAATCGCTGTGGGGATTGACGGCTCATACCAAACAATCCACGCCAAAAATGCACGCCAAACTCATAACCTAATAGAAGTGGACGGACTCCCACACTACTATCGCGAAAAATCAGGTCTGTGGGATTGGGAGGATGACAACGCGGTGTTTGAGCCACAGTATCCGAACGGCATGCTTGTTCGGCCTTTGCGACAAACCAAGGGAGACAGTCAATTCCTACAGGTTCATCATATCTTGAAACTCCGCAAGCTAGCATCCATTTATCAAGGACCGATCAAAGTCATAGGCTTCGCCAATTCCATGCAGGTCTTTCCCCAGAGAGATTCAGAACAGCAAGTTGTGCAGGTACAAGCGAGTCTGTGATTTCAATTCTTAGGTAGCAATGCTCCCACTATCGCTCGCGAAGCAACTGCGTCACTGACACAGAATATGCTAGATCATCCATGGGATTTGTGTTGAGATACGGCTAAGCGCGAGGAATGAGTAGAATAACGCAGCATTTAATAGTCAGAATATAAAGTAAATCCTCATTGCGAGATGACATTTTATATGAGCCGTGCTCTTCTCGGGTTGGTAGGAAAATTGTGTATCTAGCCTGCATACTCCTATGAAGGCTCCTCACTTTCTAAAGCCTTGTAGTGTCAAGAGCAACGACCTTTCCACCTTCCCTGAAAGTTCCTGGAACCGGACCCGCAAGTCCTCCATTAGTCACCACATACAATACGGCCCCGTCCGAAGCCGTTCTCCCAAAACTGGCTGCAGTACAACCTTCCAGAATTGTGTCGTTAAAACTGCCAGCAATAACCGCAAAACTCCCGTCTCTTTTCACTCGGTCCACTGTCTCTTGTGCATTGGTAGCAACATACGCCACGCCCTTCTTGTCAAGAGCAAAATCATCTCCAGTGCCTATATTAGCGACGAGAGAGGCTGGGCCGCTGGCAAAGCCAATATTAGGCCCTGAAGTATGGATTGGGACTTGAGCGTAGAATCCACCATTGAGGAATAAGTTGGTGAAGTAGAGGGTGCTCCCAAAGGTATGAACGCCATTCACACCAATTGGTAGGGGAAGGCCATCAGGCGGTCCCTGTGTAAGTGGGTCGTTAACAGCAATCTTATATGCTCCTGTGAGGAGGTCGACGCGCCAAATTACTCCTACTGACGAATCTGCAACAAGTGCTGTGGAACATCCTGGCACAACCAGTGTCATCCCGTTGAGAAGCCCGCCCTCTGGCAAATCTGTGATTTTAGTCTTTTTGCCAACACAATTACGTGTATAGCAGCGAGACAAATCCACTTTCCAGATTGAATATGTACCCGGGTTGGTATGAGGAGGTACGGTTGTGAAATTCCCTGCAACTACGGCAAAGACATCGGGTTGGAACTCGGCAATACCGAGGAGAGAGGTAACGTTAGGGATAGTCGCTACCGTTATGTAACCAGTCGGACTCAGAGGGTTGAGTTGGTAGAGGGAGTTGCTACTGGTAGCTGTTATGAGGAGGTTTCCGTTTCCACGCGTTGCCACATTTTCCAAAGCCGTAAGATTGGGGAATTGGAAGATTGTGTGGATTGGGGGTGTGGTCCGCGTGGAGGGAAGGGCGTGGATGAGAGGTGCTGCCGAGATGGACATGAGGAGACTTCTGAAGAACTTCATTGTTGTAGATTTTTGACTCTGCGGGGAGGTCGGAGATCAGAGGTCAAAGACAGAAGAGTAATGATGGTGGTGTAAAAAATGACCTTTTCATCGGCGAAATGAAGGGGTCATATATTACTTTGTCATATGTTTTATCTCCTTCTGTCTTCGGCGCGGACTTAGAGTACAGGGGAGTCGCCCGGCGAAATATTGTCAATACAAGCTTTATTACTTTTCTTCTCTACTCACGCTCCTTCGGTTGTAAGTCTCGCCGCAATCTCGCAGACTCGCAGCAAGTTGGCCGCACATCCACGTCCACCAAGGGTTCTCTTCAGTGAGAATACTACATAGGTACTCATGCGGGAGTTTCTCCACGTGCAGTGTTGTTCTCAACTACCAATCATTTCCCTTCTTCCCTTTTTACGACACCCAATATATCGGTGGCTGCATATTGACTTTCCTGCACCACGTTCACCCACCCCAGTACCACGTCCCTAACCTGCAGGACCCTTCAAGCCTGTCGTCGACGTCGTACCCCAATTTGGTTCCTTTCACCACACGCTGACTACTTCTACTCCCCCGCTCCACCTGGGACTCTGCAGGCGATATCTACGCACCACAAGGAACCGAAGACCGTGGCACAGTCCAGCGCGAAGGGCGCTCTTCATGCTCAATCGAAGTCGATCCGTTTTCGCTACAATTGAACGAATGTAGATAAGCTAGTAGTGCCATAAGCCAGTCAATATATTGAGTGGGATGAGTCTTCAGCCAAATTCACCATTTTCATCACAAGTTGAACACAACTCAGCTGAGATTTTATCTTGATTCTATTATTAAACAGAAAATCCACATTTCATGGTTACCTTATTCGCAAACCATTGGGATATTCAAATACCGCGCAAGCCGAGGCACGGTTGCGTTGTCGGGTCACCCTTCCACGCTGTCAAAGCCCTAATCTAGTACAAAAACAAAGTAGTATAGCCTTACTATAATATAGTCCACTTTACAAGCCTTTAGATAACTTCATTTAGTTATCTTAATCGCTAGTTCAGCTATATAGGTTCGCTGAGTAAATAGGACAACTTTACAGCTTGAGCGCTTAATAATTCGACTATCGAGTATCTGGCCGTTAGATCTAGCTATAGATATACGTGTGCAACGAGTATTTGTATTAATAGGCGAAAGTGGAGGTATATCAGAGTCGAATAAGTAGTCGGATAAGTGGTCGAATAAATAGACAGAGATACGCGAAGTAGGTGGAATAGCAGCTTATGTAGGGCAAAATTAGGTAGGTGGATTCTGATGCCTGGAATAGAGTTTCATTTGGCCGGAGGCTTACGCTAAGGACTAGTCTTAGATGCCAAGTCAAGCAATTTCTCGAGTTTATACAGTATATAAAATTGACAGAATATTCAAAATTTAAATAAGTAAGGTGCCTGGCTTAGAGCACTATGACTTTTTGGTTGGCCTGGGTTGATAGACCCTAGTAGCCTTAAACATCTCTAGTGCGCTGGAACATTTACGGGATTGATTGGCCATGTCAGTTTGTTCAAATCGCTTTTGTAGAATTGTACTATTTACATTATTTTAATTAACTTCCTTATAATCTATACAAAGCAAGTGTATTCCCCTATCAATACTTTGAAAATCTCGATACGTCAATTTCCACATGCTTCTGCTTCTCCTTCTTCATCTTCCTAAGGCTCTTTATCCGAAGTGGCGCTGGGACGTTAGCTTCCTCGCTCACTGCCGATAGCTGCCGCGGTCTCCCAGGTGGCTGAGGAGTTGCTCTAGGCTGCTCAAATGCTGGTCTAAGAGGTGATCCCGATGGTCTGAGTGTACCTGTTTTGATGGCGATGCTATCCGCAATCAACCACTTTCGCGACCACTCATTGGCGTGGAAGTCTGCTTCATCTTCACCCATGAGTTCTGGGCTCGAGATGTGTATATTAGCAGGCCTGTATCCATCTGGATGGGCTTTGGAGAAGTTGGTAGGGCGAAAGAAATCCGGGGACTGAATTTGTTGCGATTTGACATTAATCTTCTTGTTAAGTGATTCGCCATCACCAATTGTCGTGTCCTCGGTGCTGGTCTCCTGTGTATCTGACATGCTTAAATTGAATTGTCGAAGCTCCTCCGTGATACCGGCTCTAGTAGGGGAAGAGGGAACAGCAGGAGCGATCGGATCGGCTGGGGGCAACCGAGGATCAGGCACCAACCTATACCGCTCGTAAGGGTTCGACTCGTCATATACAAAGATAGGGTTTGAGATGGTGTCCTTCCGAACATGTGATACATATCCGGGTGGTACCGTTCTGTTTCCGTAAGTCGACAAGTTCGATCTGTTTCCGAAAGTCGAGAAACTCTTCCTGCCCCTAAGGCGTTTGCGAGGGGACGGTGGGAGCTTGGGGGGCTGGGCGGGCTGGGGGGATTCTGTCCACGTGCTAGATCGAACCGTGGGTGTCTTCGGTCTTGCCTTTTCGATGGAATTCAAGCTCTTTTGCTTTGAAAGCTTGCTTGGCGGCTCAATCTTCATCTCTTCATGAGGGTTTCGCAAGGAAGTATTTGAGGTATCTAATTTTGCTGGCCCGAAGGATGATTTTCGCCGTAGGAACATGGAGCTAAGACTCGCCTTTGACTTTAACTTTGGATGAGATGGTGGTTCGTAAGGGCGATTTAAAAAGTCAAGGCTATCAGCCACGGCTGTTTTCTTCGAACTTGTGGCGGCAGAGGTGTTGGTGTCTGATTTGATGCTAGGGGAGACCTTCGACTGCAAGTTACGAAGAGGTTCGATTGGGAGGCCACCCGTTCTAGGGGGTTGCGTGTCTGATTCTTGCAGGATGTCGGTGTTTAGCTTGTTTCGGGGGTCCACAAGAGGACTGCTGACGGTGGGCGGGTGGCGTGTATAATGTAGTGAATCCGGGGATAGTGTAAGCGGAGATACTTTGGACTTTGATATAGCGCGGAATCGGCTGCTAAACGTGCTCTTGCCGGGTGTCTTTGGTTCGGTCTTCAGACTGAGCTTTGGTGTTCGCTTTCGAAGAATCGAATATTCGGAACCTTGAAGAGGTGGCGGGATCAGTGAGGAGTGCGACCCGGGTGCTGATTGCTCGAATACAGCATCCGCCTTAGGTAAATCGTTCATCGTTTTGTGGCCGGAATCGCCAGGAATCGTGTCTCCATCCTTTAAGCCCATATCTGCGGACTTCGGGTTCGAGATGGGCGACATGTGGTTATCAACGCTTGTAGTCGCGCTGCTGGCAGTCCCTGGGCGCTCGCTAAAAGGTGAGGGCGCGTCGCTGCTAGATTTCGAGTTGCGGAGTGAATTTCTCTTGAAGAACTCCATGCCACTGATTTCCTTCGCTTGTGTGATCATCTTCTCCGCTAACTCTATATAGGCTACCAAGTTATTTCTTGTTTCCGGCCAGCTGTGCTTGGTATCGGGACTCAGCAGTTTGTCGATAAAGTCTTTGACAATGGCTGAGCCCTGTGCTTCTACGGCGAGAATATGGCCGTAGAAGGTGCTTCGGTATTTATTTAACGTCTTGATATCTACGCGATCATTCGGCATGTCCTTTAGGCTAGGTGGGAAAAGAGTGTTTAGCATCGCTAAGACATTCGGCTTGTAAAACGGCTCATATTGCAGCTCATGAACCATAGTCTGCGATATGGTCAGCACAGTATCATAATAGAGGATGGGGTCTCATACCCATATTCGAAGATCGACGAAGATCGCTGCATAATACTTCTCAATTTCCAGTTCCTGGAGTTGGACACTCGATACCCAGGCGTAAGCCTCAGGCTCCTCTTGCAAGACCGATCTCCAGCTATCCTCCTTGATATTAAGGCGCTCGGCTACCTCTCTTAAAGCAGTTCGTCTCGAGAGTTCGAGATCTCTAAGGTAGTCCAGACACGTCAGGGCTTGACCGAAGTCCACTTCTTTATACTCCTTCAAAAACACCTTCTGTAGGCAGATATCCCGGACGAAGTGGGGTGGGAATCCATGCGTCTGTCGCCGGTCCGCCGATGGATGATCTTCAGAGCTGATGTCAAACAGGAGGTCATGATTGAAATTCATAAATCTGTCAACTTCACAAATATCTGTAGCGCCATCGTCTACCTGTTCTGAATCTGAGTTTTGGATCCGTTTGTTTTCAGACTCAGTTTGCTCAGAGGACTGATCGATCTGGGGCAGTGATGAAAGGAATTCGATGATGAGTTTTCCTTTGGGTTCATACTGCCACCATTGCTGTGCCTGCTTGAGTGTGGGGAGTTGTTGACCTTTGCAGAAGCGTTAGCAAATATGTCAATTCTCTAGTCTTAATCAAAGTCAATCGCATACCAGCATTGAACGAAAACATGATTCGCAGAGGTAGTTCATTCGATAATTCTCGTTCAAGAATGTGATGGAGAATCCATGGGAGAGAGGTGGAGTGTTTATCGGTTAAGGAGTTGTGTGGTGACAGAGATCGTGAGCGCGATCTGGAAGGTGACGCGCCCTCCCCCTCCCCCGTGGAAGATATATTGTTGTTGGACATTTCGACCCAGCCAAAAGTCCTTACCGCGATTAGAAGACAGCAATGAACACGTCCAGTGCCACAATACCCAACCCGATTACTCAGAGCTAGGAATTATTTCCCGATTATTAATTATCGTTTCCCTTCCGCAAGATATCGTGCCAGTTGAAGCTAGGCAGTTCCCAGGAGCCACAATCCATAGGATATTCCCGCGCTGTTGATTTGGGATAGTTGGAGCGATGGAATCTCTCCACTTTGCTGTCCTATCAAACGCCGCTGAGCTGATGGATCTGCGGCCGAACGATGGCTATCAAGCGCTGAGTCTCTTTGTTATAAGTTTCTCGGCTCCAGAGAATCGATCGTGAGTCTAACAGCAGAAGGCATACAGTTCACTGACACGAAGAAGCCACAAGGCAGATCTGCAAACAGTGTCGGTTGTATGATCGGCTTTCCAAGGCATTGGTCGACGGAAACTGGAAACAAGCTCGACACCAAGAAAGAATGCAAACAGAAAGAGGGTGAGGTGGAAAAGAATGGCAAAGACAGCGAGCCTTCAAAGACAAACGCAAAAGTCGATAGTGAGAAAGGTCAACAGCCCGGCAGCGGGCACCTCCATGGTATTATCATTGCCTCGCAAGGTGCTCAAGTTGCGAACACATGGCAGCAGGCAGCCCGCCTCAGTCATCCCCAGAAGCCCAGGTCGGGCAGCCTGTTCCAACATGGGGTTTCTCGTAGGGCAATTCTCGGCAACTTGTGCCCATTGCATTAACATTATGCATTATGATCGTTGTCTTGCACGGATGGCCCCGGGTCTACTTCTGTGGACAACTTGGCACGACTTCTTCTGCCAAAAATATCTGACGTCGAGAAGGAATCCTTGAGGGTGATCATGCAGAAGTCCCACGGCTGCTGGCCATGGGTCACAGATTGGGCTGTGGAGAGACCCTTCCATCCATCCAAGGGACCATTTCCTGTTACACTAATGAATGGACGAACTACATCAAGACCGGATGCAAGAAACATCGGATACAGATGGAAGTGCATTTTCATGATATATTTTGGGCATGTTGGTGCAAGCGGTGCATGACCTCCACGGGGTGATGATGCACCAACGCAACGGAAACATGTTTTGAACGTCCCTCTTTTCAGTCTGAGCGCCGCCGCTCAGTTGGTTATGCCGACGCCGCACCAGGCGTATTTGTACTGCAAAGGGCGGCCATTGGTCAGGCTTTGAAAAAGAATATAGTAGAGAAACATCCGAGGCTATTCGAATCAATCCGAGTCACCAGATGTTTCGGGCGTTGACATCTGCGTTGGGAGGGTGAGTGGACGCCGATGGTGTCGACAGGTTGAACTTTTGCCATGCTTCCCGCAGGTAATAATGCAGTTCTCCATACTGGATAAGTGCTCTTTGTCGCGGTGCAACGCTTCCGGACTGGATTGGAGATATGATAGAATCGTGATTGATTCCGTCGTCTGATACGGGCGTTTGCTAGCGGATAAATTGGGTTGCGAAGTGCTCGTACCGTGGTGCGGAGCCGGGACACGACTAGCCGCCCTCGCAATCTCACCTGCGACCGATACGCGGCGGCGGCTCTTGTCTACAACACGACAGAACATCCGGGTTGGATCGCATTGCTTCAGTTAGGTGAGGGCCTTCCTAGAGGTATATCTCCGCGGTCAAGTGGCAAGCAGCAGGTGCAAGCAGCATGGTGCTGACGATAGTGGAGTTGAAGCAGCACCTTCAATTTTGAAGCTCGGCGCCGAGGCATCAGGCCAGGCTTTGGCGAGGGAGAACACGATTGCGCCTAGTCCTTACAACCAGCAGCGTCCGGTTTTCCAGAACATAAGAGAAGATATGCCAATTGCGTGGTCGGCATTGACGGAAGGGTTTGGGCCATACGTGCAGTACGAGAAGTGCCGGTATGCTAGTGAGGGAGAAGGAGGAGAGCCGATAGGGGTGAAGAGACGAAGACGAGGAATCCAAAAGGGGATGTATAGCAAAAACGCAAGCCCTTAGGACAAGGGTGGGCTGTGGCTTTAAAAGGCGGTTTATTGACTTCATACATGGCTGCGGATATCCAAAAGCCATATATGCGGTGGCTTCCCCACAAGATCATCCGATGATCTCTTACAGCCATAAGATGAGCACGGAGCATGGAGATCTGATCATAAAGGGCCATCCTAAGTTAAGTTTCTTTATATGCTCGGGCTATTGCGTACTTTGTAACTAGGCCTAGGTTGGGGTCTTTTGTATGTGAAGGGCCAATGCGATTCGATTCGCTAACCCACAAAAGCCAAGAAGGAGCTGCTGATAACAGCGCTCGTAATCGTAATGAAATGAATGTCGGGCAACAAAACCCCCGGAGAACCTCCTTTCTCTCGCTCGACTGCGAACACTTGCGCTCTGTATCGCTGTGTCCAATGCCAACGCCCAAGAATGCCAATGCCAGTGCCAATGCCAGTACCAGTACGACGCTCGCAACCCATCTGAGGGCGGAGGCTCTAATAGCAGTATGACCAGGCTGGTAGCCCATTCGAGGCGGATATGTCCACCGTTGTCCTCGCCCCTGACCTCCTGGGTTTTCGCCAGGCCGCCGACGCGCTACTCGTACGGAACGAACAGATATCCAGTTCCCGTCGCGCCCGCCCAAATCCAACGAAGATGTCTGGCTTCCAACACAGACTTCGGCCCTACTCGTAAGTCTTTCCATCTCTATATGATATGATAGTGCAGTCCGATAAGGTTACATGTTATTTTCCCCAGTCTGCATGCAACTCACGACGTGCATCTGCATCTGCCGGCCGGGCACACTTGTTGATTTTTGCCATCGTGGCCGGGACGTGATGTCGCGTCTCAGACCATGCACCCCAGATTCTGCAGCCCCGCGGCCGCTCGATACGGAGCAGAAATGAAGGGGCCTCTCCATCTCCATGGCTATGTGGTGATGGCGTCGAACATCATAGCCGCCATAGGCAAGGCTCTCTCGTCTCAAGTGAGCGAGAGGCAGATCTATTAATGATGACAATCTACCTCATTCGGACAGGTCACGTGGTGTTTCCATATACTGTTTCAACAGGATGGTCGTTAGATGCCTGAAGTGTAGAGTATTGAGAATAGAATTAGCTGCTAATGGCGTCCAAGGTAATGGAGACTCTTCAGTCAACGCGGCCAGTGGCTCGAACCCACATTATGGCTCATCATCGCAAAATGACCCCCAGTCGCTCTGGACAAAGATGCTCGAAGCCGCAGCAACCGCGTTTGCATCCATTCTCGTCCTTGGTACAGGATTCGCGACAGGCGGGTACATGTACCACAGATTCTACAAGTGGCTCGTACTTCACAAGATGGAGCGCGCCTTTCAACCTGGTGATCCCGTTCTCGAGCTGGCGGCGATAGGCAAGGAAGTCCCGAACTCAATCGCCCCTTGCAAGGAGCAAGAGGGTGACGAGCACTGGATCCTCCGGGATGAACAAGCCAAAATCGACGCCATTGTGGACGGTACTGACCGTGGCCACTACCATCTGCTTATTGGCGAGAAGGGCACCGGAAAGTCGAGTATGTTGCTCGATGCGATGAAGAAAGTAGAGGGTGAAGGCATCAGCATGTTCGAAGCGCATGCAGATCTCGAGATTTTTAGGATACGCTTGGGAAGAGCGCTGAATTTCGAGTTCCATGAGGACTATATCGGGTCCTATTTTTCAGAGAGAGGCCCCAGAGATAGTACTGCGTTACTGGATATTGAGCGTGCTTTCAACAAACTAGAGAAGATTGCTCTACTAAGGCGGAAAACAGTTGGAAAGCCACTGGTCTTAATCGTCAACGCATTCCATCTCCTAAGGGATGACGAAGATGGACGAGATCTGATAGAACTCATCCAGCAACGCGCAGAGCAGTGGGCCGCCAGCAACCTCGTCACGGTCGTTTTCAATAGCGACGACTACTGGGTCTACGAGCGCTTAAAAGTGCTAGCTACACGCATGGAGGTCACAGCCATAGCTGATCTCCCGAAATCCCAAGCAATGTCCGCACTCGCCAAGTACAGACAGAAATATTTCCAAGAAGCTCCCCCTTCGGAAACCCTAGCTGAGGTCTACAGCCGCGTAGGCGGCCGCCTTACCTTCCTCAACCGCGTGGCCAAGTCGAAGGATATGCTTCGGACTTGTGATGATATCATCGATACTGAGCGCAGGTGGTTCTTAAATCAATGCTGGATTCTAGGCGCGGAGATGGATGACGATGTAATGGACCAGCAAAAATACGCCGTAAGCCAAATTCTTCCGCCCTTCCTCTTGTTAAGAACCATGCTCCTCTATTCCATATAACGAAACTAACCACTTCCCCGTTCCAGTCCGCAGCCATGGTTCTAGCCCATGCCCTCGTCAACGCCGAAAAGAACCTCCCGCCTCGTCCCCCAGACGATGATGGTTCCCACAACATCCCCAAAATCCCCCTCCATATCGCCCGTCAAATAATGACACGTGCAGACTTCATCCAACAATACGACCACATCAACCTCTTTGCCATCACATCCACTGCCCACGTCCGCGCTGACTCTGTACCCATGCAGCGCGCCTTCCGCAGGATCTGCGCCGAGCCAGGGTTCGAGGAACATCTAGAAGCTACATTGCAGCGGATTAATGATATCGAAAGTTTGGGGAGAACGAGGGAGATCGTTGCCAAGGATCTGGTGTTGGGGGGCAAGTATAATTTTATAACGAAGGATGGTGCGAGCTGGGGGGAGAAGGTTACAGAAGTTAGCCTTGAGGAGAAAGCAGAAGAGGCTGAGGAGAAAAAAGTAGACGAGGGAGATGGAAATGAGGAGAGCTGATTTCAACATGTACTATAATGTACTATAGTGTTCTAAAACAATGGTATATAAACTTCTACAACGCATAATAACGCTTGGGTGGATGGTCTGTGATCTACAATCTACTTGATTTTGTCAAGCACGGGCTCCAAGGGTATCGTTGTTTAAGAATCGACAGATCCAAAGAATTGGTCCGCCCCATGACTTTCTGTCATTTCATCATCCAACGCTGGTATGACTGGGCACACCCCATGCGATCTAAGACTCAGACGCAGGCAAGTACCTAGTGTGTTCGACATGTAGCCTCAAGGGCGAGGATGGTACATTAACATGTCGTACGCCGACGACCTCAAATCGTTTAGCATAGCGCAGAAGCTCCTGGTAAGAGTCCCCATGGTCGTCACCACCGCGCTTGAAAAGCCTACTGGCATCTCCTACCGCATTAGCGAGAACAGCTCTAACAACGCCATTGAAGCGGCATCTGTCACTAGCGTAGATAATGTAATAAAATAAGTAGGTAGCTGTCCTCGAGACCGCCAGAGCCCTGCGCTCAAACACCCACTCAGTTCCCAAATTGTGGTTCCTTGATCAGCCTCACTAGTCTAGTTCACATTAGCCGTCATTATTGTCCTCATTTTGAAACATTTTATAAACCGGTCCAACAAGTGTCCGGAAGCCGGGGTTCCTGTGCACTGAAGAAATATCTCAATTTATATCATCTCAAAATAGGTGATAACAAGTTCTGAATCCTTTTATCTTTAGAGGTATTTCAAAATCTTCGTAGTTCGATGATTAAATTTGTTGTGAGTTTACCTCTGCGACTTTTGGTGCTATATTATCCTTGGGTTTAGGTGGATGCGAGAAAGGGGCTTAAGCGAGACTAGCTGACGTGAAAATGGGCACAAGCAGGATGATTTGTCCATGAACCACTTTGCTCATATCTACTAGTAGCTACCAATTTTTTTGCTTATTTGCTGGATTAAATAAGAGGAATGTGGAAAATCTCCCTCTTCCTTTGCGTCTTTTTCTAGGACATAAAGTACATTGAACGCGAAAATTTTGGGAATCCATTTTTCCCTCCTCGCTTTCTGGGTTAGCTGCAATAATTATATATCTCACACATATCTAAGATGGCATGCACCTAATTAAAATACCCGGGGCGCTACTTATACGCCACTTAATTTCCAACCGCTTGTATATTCAGAGGACCAGGTACTTCTTCGCATGGTCTTAATATCTCTGCAACTAATTTTAGATTGCGAGTACGAGATAGTTGTTCATCTAGAAGACCGCACTTTGTAATAATTTGAAACCAGCTTTTACCTACTCAATCCTACGTGTGTTTGGTTCTACTTGGCTACTACATTTATTGTACTAAACAATGGCTATGTTCTTTGTTAATGATTGATTCAGGATAAAATATCTAACCGCCGCCGTTCTTTGTCTACTTCTCTGGAAACAAGGATTTATTTCTAGTCAGGTTACTGTTCAATACCTCACAAAGAATTACTGTCGGGTTATTTGCCTTAGGTGTATTCTAAAAGAGGGTTTAATTTAATATTTGATAGGCATCATCCACAGTTGCTATATCCCTGCTCTTTGTCAACTTCGGAGAGTAAACCAAAAGCTGATGAATATTGTTTTCTCCTAGGACTGTTTGTTTATTCATAAACAAGTCCATCCTCTACGCTATTTAAATGGTCGACAGCTTTCAAGTTTTAATTGCACCCACAGGTCACCATCACTTCCAATTACTACAGTACAGCTGTCCTTCATACCGAATCTGCACTTCATATCAAATCTACCCTTCATACCGAAACATACGATCCGTCGAATAATTTCAAGATGGGTTACAAAGCCACTCTCGACAAGACAACCGATGAAATCATTGTTTGGGATGGGGATGAAATTATCCAAAAAGAGCCCCTTACCTCCGAGCTCTTCCAAAATTTGACCGATGACAATGTGTGCCATTCTGAGCTACATGTCTATAGATACCTTAAATTGATGGACAGGGAAGAAGACGACGAAATTGACGGACACTCTCCAAATGAAATTTCATTTGACGTAGTTATGGACGAGTATAAGATAGTGTCATTGGAGGATATGGAGAAGAGCTTTAGAGAGAACCAGCAAAGGTGGCTGAAGAGCGATGAGCACGACAAGCTGGTTAAATGCCTCAAGAAGGTGAAGGCTCAGGTGCCGATCACCAACGTAATGGGTTTGGCAACAGGCAGCCTACATCCAAGCGGGGTAAACGAGGAACGCATGGGTAAGGCACCCGCATTCCAAATTGCTGCCCTGTTGACGATTAGTGAGGTGCTAGGTGGTGGGAACCCTCTCCCGGTAACAGTCCAGGACCCTGGTTACTCCCGCTTTGACACAGAATTTCTGACTACTCGTCTTAACTTCAAAGTTGTCGATGACCCGGAAATATTCCCACTTATTAATAGTGAGAGCATTGTCCTCAACATCGGCTCCTGGTACATGATTCCATACTGGATATCCCAGGGCGAGTGGCCTATGTCTATGATTACCGATTTACCAGAACGGGGTTCGGACTCCCTTTTTCCACCCGCGTGTAAGTGGAAATATAGCCCCATGGCAAAGGAGTATGTCTCTCTTGATATTGGTGGACCTGCCCATGTCTATAGGATAGACCCAGATGACGAGGATATGATGTGGCTTTCTCCCCCCCAAGGAGACGATGAAGCGGCTTGGTGTGATGATACACACTTGTGGGTTAAATCTCCCGATAGCACTGGGATGGCGGTAGCTGAGTAGTGGGAGATAGAGCTAATGGGGTAACTTATTTCCTTTCCATTTACTACCTGCTTCGTTTATTTGCTAGCTTTATTTCAATTTAGGTTCCTTATGTCGACATCAGAGGTAGGCGAGCCCCTCAGCACTAAGGACCACTGTCACTGCAATCTATAATTTAACCATATGATAACATATTAATAACTGTGAAATGAGTGTTTTCTAAGTAGGTTAGCGGGTATAAGTTAATATCTGTAGTCGTGGGAAAGAAGGGAATCTAGTGAGAGCTTAAAGTCGCATCTGATGAAACTATGACTGAGCTGTGTAAGGACTTGGAAAGTAACTTTAAATAAGAAAGGGCATAGAGGGCAATACCCCAAACCACTTCATTGATTACGCCAATTATGTGTCTAGAATTAATATCGTGTGGCTGTGGATATGATTCTGAGATTCTCTCATATATAGGACTTTGTAGGGAGATGAGAGAGTCATGTGAGAGATGAGTACGGCTTGTTATTACTACGAGTTATAGACTCTGAAGACCAAAACCAAAGCCTCTGAGTTACAGCTGTGGGACGTTTTCGAGCATAGATTTCAGGATTACAACACCGTAATACACTGCCTAAGGTATAGGCAGTGTAGATACCTCCACGGCTATATCCAAGGGCTCCGATCTCGATCATCTCACCAAGATAGCACGCGTATATATGATAGGAACTATGTCTTAGACTATGCAGGTTGGCGATATGTTTGTGGGAGTATTGCAGTTTGAAGGAGCCCTGTTATTGCTAAACAGTCAACTCTTGTACTCAACCCCCCTCTTAGTCTAAAAAGTGGATTGCTAGCGTCAGGGTTCAGGATCGTGTCGGAGATGATCCCGTCACCTCCCGTCCCAGCTACAGCCATTCGACTAAATAAACCCCCCCTGCAAACTCTGAAGTAACTACTGCCACTTAGTTTGCTGTTCAGATACCGCCGTTCTAACGGATAGTCGATTTATTTAGGACTAATATAGGCCAAGTGGAAACACCAACACTACGTAGAGATTGATAGCCCTATAAGCGATTGAACAGGATGGGAAAGGCGAAGCTATGAGAATTGATGGAATCTTACTATTATCGAGCACATGTAAACCATTTCGAATATCGATATTGTCTTCAGACTTTGCCAATGGTAGACAACTCGACAGCACAGCACCGTACAATACTGTTAACGATAGTGACGAGAGACTTTTCAAAGTAATAATCCATATCTTGATACTTACTAGGAACCATATCCTAAAGTTGAGAGATTCGAGAAACAGCTTATCAATAAGGAAACGGGGTGTTGGGTCGGAGGGATTGACTGAGCTGTCGTATTATACGTAATGCTTACGGCATTAAGTGATCTTGCCTTCATTATTACCGATGGCTCTATTGGAGAAGCAATAGAAACCTCAGCATACGAAGTTGCTACTGTAATATTTGCTGAGGTGCCACATCATATTGATACTATTTTATCGGATTCAGCATATTTTCTGGCTCCTAGTGAGATGTTGCAATGAACGGGTCTATAGAACATTGGCCTAGAAAGTTGGCAATTAATTAGCGAGTAGTATATTCATATTTTCATGAATAACGAGACACTAGTACGAAAGCTCAATAATAGAAGTTGTATGTTCTTCGTGGGTCGATATAGACATGTGCGGCTATAAAGGTTGGTCTGAACCTCTAGGCATCCACAAATTTAGCTCGGTAGCTATAAGAGGAAATGAATTTCGTGAAAAGACATTAGTTCTATGCTATTAAGTTGTTGATCGTGGAGCTACTTGATTAGCCCACTGCGCTATATGGATGTCTCCATACATGAGAAATATTACACGCCAGAAAACCATGACAAAAGGCTTTAGAAGTATGCCTAGAAACCAAAATCGAGACGCCACAACAACGGGTATATAAAACATTTGAATAGTGAAAGATTGGCATCATGATTCAGCCTCCTCCTTGACCTCAAACTTGCTATCTTCTCGAAGCCATGTTCTGAAATCCCTGAGGCCCAATTCCTCCGTCAACGCCTTGTCCATATCATACTCATATGCACCATCCCGAAGATACTTCATCGTCACACCTAGATCACTAATTGCCCACTGTAGGCCATTGACCACAAACTTGAAGGTCGTCGGAAGGTCCTTCCCAGTCTCCTCTTTGAAGATCGTATTCATCTCCGCAAAGGTGAGCAAATCTCCTGTTAGTGTCAAAGCCCTTCCTGCATACACCTCTGGCCTAGCAAAAGCCAGTGCCGCAGCTCTTCCGATATCCTTCGTCGCGATCAAAGATACTTTTGTGGATCCCATCTGCTTCAGCATCGTCGCAAGCGCTTTGCCTATGAAATTTGGAGAGAGGTTGTCCATGAAGGACGTTGGTCGTAAAATGGTCCACAGCATTTGTCCTCCCCCCGCACTCTTCAAGTGCTGCTCAATGGCTTTCTTGGTTCCAAAATGCGGCACTGGTGTAGAATCACTCTCTGATATAACGGGCCCACCGCGATCGGCAGACGTAAATATGAAGTGATTAACGCCCGATTTCATAGCGGCATCAATGAATGGCATCGCTTGTTCATTTTCAGTGGCAGTTGGGACGGTGACCAAGAAGACGCCATATGGATCCGGGACTTGAGAAAAAACGGCGTCAGGCTTGGTGGTGTCTCCTTGGATAACGGTGGTGCCCTGGGCGGCAAGACGAATGGCAGATGGAGAGGATGCATTGCGTGTTAAGGCAAATATTTTGAATTCCTGAGGGTTGCTTGCGAGGAGGGCTGAGATGAGAGCGCCGCCCTGTTGGCCAGTTGCACCTGTGACAAGGATGTTCTTACGAGCCATGACTGTGACCATGTTCAAACTCTTTAAGTTATTAAGAATGTGATGTGGCGAAATTTCATAACGAAACAAATGCTGCGAGCGTGGTTGTTAAATAGGTTCTCGGAGACTTCAATCGGAGACATTTACACGAGGCTGTGAAAATGGAGACCAATACAAGGCTGCTCAATCTCGGAAATATATTTCGTCCCCGTCGCTGATTGGCAAGGTCGAAGAGCTTGTGCGTTGCTGGGGAAATCTGTAGTTCCATTCCTAACGTCAATAGTTTTAGTCTTAAGTAGTTGGTTGGAAGGGTCTCAGAACCCGCGCTTTTTCCATCTTCTCTCGGCCATGATTGGCAAAGCCTGAAAACAAAATCTGAGATTTTCATCATTGATAAACATGACGAATATTGCCTAACTTTAACACTTTAAAACTCTAAATATATAGTACGGCGCCAAACCTCAAAGTAGGAGACTTTTCGAGAGACTTTGGCACATGCTCTGTGGTCTAATACTCTTTCAAAGCTACCTACCTCATAAACGGGATTCAATTCTTCTAGTAAGTTGAATGCCAAACGTAAACAGGGTTCTAAAAATTGGCGGGGTTCAGCATGATCTGCTGGCATGTAGATCAACATGCCTAGGTAGATATGAGAATCAGTGGAAGGGCATCGGCTCATTGGTGCGATGGATTGGTACACAGGCCGAAATTTGGTATACACTCAAAAAAGAAAGTCTAGAAGTGACTGACATCCGGTACTACCTGATGTTCTTAGAACCTCACCAGATGCGGAAGCCAGAGAAAGGCACTTTTGAAGGGGATTTGAGGGCTAGGTTGATGTTGTCGAAGAGCGAGTAGCATTCCGTACAATCGGCTAGAGACTTTTAGAGGCTAACTAGCAGTCACCGAGTCTTACAGTTGTCTCCAGCTTCCCTGAACAAAATAGTTCCATGTTGATGAAGCGCTCGGTGCCATTTCGGGCCCACCCGTAAATCTGTGGCATTTGATCCTCCAGGTGAGGTTTCATTGTCCAGAGACACTGCGCGTCTGCAATAGTGGGGTAGGTCTCGGACTTAACAAAGGCGCCTAGTACTGGAAAGGCCACTGTTGGAGGACTTGGGTATTCGAAGTCTGGAGCTGCCAGCTTACTTTCATACTTTGGTAGTAGAAGGTAGCGGAATGTTTCTTCAGCGGCACTGGTATCTCCTGTCTCATAGACGATGTCTTAATGTCCTGGGCAGTAGGGACCTTGGCCCTCTCGATTTCAGATTCTTTGGGCTCAGAGAACTCTCCGGTGGACTCCTCATACATCCCCTCGAGCACATATATGCTCCATGATGCATTGGCGGTGGTCGAGGTATGCCTGGTTTCAGTTAGTAATTGAATCTGAGAAAATTAATAGAATTTGAGTAAAGAGTAAGATATAGTTACTCGTATGGAGTACGGAGGTGCGGGAGGCCTTGATAGATATATTTTATCTTCGAAGCTGGATTCGATAACAGCATGCCTTCAACCGGGTATCAAACGCCGTACCAAAAAACCACGGACCTAAACAACGCCAAACGATTACCTCAACAACCCCCCTAAATCTCTCTCCATCCCAGTGACCCTCTCCTCCAACTCCCTCTTCTTCTTCTCCAGCTCTCTAATCTCCTCCTCCTCTCTCCTCAAATCCTCATCTGTAACCTCAACTACCTCCGCTTCTTCTACCCCGCCCCCTTCTTCGTCCTCGTTTTCGTCATCTTGCCAGCTGCCACCGCGATTGATCCCATCCAACTCCTTATTCAACCTCTGAACTTTCGTCTCATAGAAGTCTACACTGTCCCTTAATCTCCCATACCTGGCTCGTATATTCCGCACCCGTTCTGGAACCCCGCGAACTTCGTACACGGCGTTTAATTTATCGACGCCGCGGAGTAACACCTCGATGTCGAATTCGCCCCTCCCTTCTGTTTCCCGTACCTCGGAGTGTAGTTCTGGACCTAGCACTGCGGCCACGGCTGTGTTTCGCCTAGGTACCCGGGAGGATGCGCCTGCAGCAGTGGTTACCTCCCCTCCAGACGCGACACTGAACACTGTCTGCCTCCGGGATTTGGAGTCTGGGACAGGGAAGGGCGCTGTGGACGAAGGAGGAGGTGGCGGAGGGGGAACGGAGAAGAGGGCTCGTTCATGCGGTTCCGTGTCGCGAATGAGTGAGGTTATGTCGGGGCTGGAAAGGAGAGCATTGGTGAAGATTTTGGGCGGGGGGAAGCTGTTTTGTTTGGCGGGGTTAGTTTAGCTGGGGATGAGGATGGAATTAGATAAAACGAACGGTAATGTGGCGATGGATTCCGAGGAGAGGGATATTTGTTCGAGATGACGTGAGAGGAGCGGCATGATGATACGGTTATTCTTTCTACGGAGGATTGGTTGGGGTGTTCGAGTCGGAGCTGCGGTTGTGTATCCTCCTCCTTATGTGTTGGAGATATTTGTACGTAGTACGAGCTCTGTACTTCGCAACTCAGGGACGAGCAACGCGTCCGCGTCAACACTAAGAATACATAGCTCCCTCCCATTGGCGTAGCAGGACGGGTACAGGCACAGTGGGTATTGAGTACAATACCACCAACTGCACTCACTGCTGTCACTACACTGGACGGGTCTCACACATAGCCAGCCCTATGGCTCCAAGAATAACCCACCCAAGCCCAGCGTTCTGGTGGTTGCCATTGTCCATAATATCCATGTCCTAAGCCGCAAATGAAGCTGTTCCTGCGTCTGAATTTCCCGCTGCCTTCCCTACGAAGTATAACCGTCTTCGGCTTTGCCTGTAGTCGAGTATTGTAGCTATGTGACTCGTTTCACACCTAATCTCTAAAGCTAATAGCTAATAACTAACCAATACCTAAATAATACCTACGAAATACCTAGGACGTACCTGATACCTAATACCTCGTTCGTGCTGTACTTCCCACACTCGGCACTTAACCATCACATCGCTCCGATATCTTACCACCGCTGGGCCCAAACAAAAATAGCCAGCAACTCTTCCAGCTTTTCTTTTGGCTCTTCCTCGTGCCCCCGGGACAGGCCCTTCGTCATTGACCAACACTGACTGACAAGGTGACAACGCATCGCATCCTTCGTAATATGAGCATGTCGCTGTCCAGGGGGTTGTTCTCCAACCCAGACGTCAGAGCCCAGTCGTGGGCCGAGGGCAGAGCCCACAGAGTGCAGAACGGCGGGAATTCTTTCTTCTGATCCTAAGAATAAATAAAAATAAACAAACGGGCTCTCGAGGGCAGAGACTCGGAGCTGCTGGGTCCCTCCGTAATTTCGGCGCCGAAAGAAAATCTTTTCGCTGGTCCACCACGACGAGCATTGCTGCCCGACACAGGCTGAAGCTGAAGCCGGGCCCCATCCCATCTCATCTCACCTCACAACCCATCACATCATCATATCACATCCACATCCACAACCATCACATCAATCAGGAGCAGCAGCAGCACCCGCACAGCACCTCCGTCGTCTATTCCTCACCCTGCCAGGAAAACCCCCCCGAGGTCTAAGCCGTCTAGGATCTAGGTTCGGGGATCCAGGAGTCTCATTCATCTCAGGGGCCGAGGACTGTCTCGTTGCGCACGCGTTCAAATCTTGCTGCGGCGTCCTGCGCTCAGTGCGTTGCCATTGCATTGATTGCTGCGTTTTCGGCGTGGATACTTACTGGATCACTGGAAACATGAACCTGACAGTCTCCGTCCAATATCTGGTGAAGTATAAGTTCTCGGCTTGCCGCACATCTCCTTGCCCACGTCCACTTTCATTCCAGAGAGATTAATTCCTCCCGACTCACGCCTACGAGTACCTCACACTCACGCTCACACACTCCCACAACCTCACTTACTCCCACAACCACTCCACTCTATCTTATACTCTACCATCCACTTGTCTCGTCCCCCGAAACAAGTGCTTCCTCTTGTCCGCCCCCTTTTCTCTTAAGCCAAAGCACAACCCGTTCTCATCCGTTTTGTGACCACCACTCCGCGGGCCCCGCAATTGGTTGTTCGGTCCTGCGAGTCTGCCTCTACCCTGCCTGACAACACAACAAATTATTTTTATTATCCTCAACGCCCATCCTTGCGTCACCCAGTTGACTCCAGGCCTCGCAATTCGAGCTCTGGCTATCTGACACCCCCCCTTTCCAGGACGAGACCGCACAGGCGAGAGATCCAGGTTCCCAGGCCCTTGCTATCCCAAGTCCCCGTTCACTGCTTATCATGAACCTCAATCCTTCCTGTCTTCTTTCTCCTCGCTGGAGATACTTACCTCGGGCTTTGACGCCTTGACGAAACCAATACCACCTCAAATCCGAGATTGTGCCGGAGCACATCTCTCAACCACACGAATAACAAATGCAATCCACTGCCATGTGGTCTACTACGCCAAACATGAGCTTTGCCCAGCAGGCCGGGCCCTCGTCTCCGCCACAAACACCCACCACCTCGACTTATGCGTTCCCAAAGAACCGCCGCCACGGCCTGCAGTTCATACAACAACTACCCAAGCAGAATGGGAACGGGAATATTATGCCCAATGGCCAGGGGCCAACATTCTCCTACGTTCCTTCGATCCGCCCTGCAGAGCTCTCACCGCGCTCTTCGAGTCCCGACTCCGAGGCACATTCCTCATCGAGTGACAGCCCACCGCGGTCCCTGATTTCCTCCCTCGATGAGCCTATACCGCCAACCCCACCACGCCGTCCCAGTCGGGTAGTAGCAGAAGGGAATTTTACCGTCGAGGAGTTCCGAGAATCGGACTACGATGACTTCGATAGCGACGAAGAGTCAGTCATCCGACCTCACCAATACGAGGATGCCGAATCGGACCGCGCCCCTTCCGTCAAATCAATTTCCCACAACGACCTGGACCAAAGGTTCTACGCTGGTTTCCAAAATCTACACTGCGAGAATGAAGATATTCTGGGCCCGGAACTAGAGCGCGAGGCCTGGCTTAAGAAGCTAAAAGCGGAAAGGCGACGCAAGAGACGTAGCTCAGGGAGTGTACAGAAGCGGACATGGAGTTATAGCATTGGAAGTGATACGGACGACGAGGATATACAGCCTGTTACGTTCGAAGGGGCTAATAGCGCTAGGCGGCTAAGGAGGAAAGTTGCAGGTGACGAGCGGTCGAGCCTGATTTTCGATGATCCCCCGCCGAGGATTGATGAGTTGGAAGAACCCGAATCTTGTGAGGAGATTGTGGAGGTTCATGAAAGCGAGGACGAAGGCCAAGGCCAAGGCGTTGATAGGGAATTGCCTTATTATGTGCAGGATATGGATGTCGATTCTGACGAGGACGTCGATTCCGACGTCGACGTCGACGTCGACTCTGACGTGGATGTTGACTCCGACGAAGATGACGATGATGATGACGACGACGAGTGAGATGCCATTCCTCTGGATCAACAGGATACGATGATGTGATGACGATGGTTGAAATGATTCATGATTATAGATAGACGTTGTTGCACTTGGCTGGCTGGACTGGTATATAGGGCACAGGATTATGGCATTATTAGCATAGCATTTGGGATTTAGGATTTTAGCATAACAAAAAATAGAAAGCGTGTTGTTTCCCCCTCGTTAACTGCAATATTTAATTGAATGGTGAGTGCTCTAAATAAAGGTAAAAAGTATTCCCCTCGATGATAAGTAAGGGGGATTGACCGTCTAAGATCACGTTCCCTTGAATCCCTTCTGTCACCACTCTCGGAAGCGGCCCTCTTCTTTGTTGAAATGGTAGTCCATAACCATGTTGCTCTCCCAAGGATAAATATGTCTACTATTTGTTCCGCAACGTTGTCAGGAGGAGCATTTAGCATCTCAATTGGTCTTAATCAAGAACCCCTATCAACTTTAGTGAAACTTATTTGCACTAATATCACTCACCTCCTGTCTCTCACTGGTCGTTTTATCTTCGTCACTATAAGCTCTGGCGATATCTTAGTTCCCGAAGCCGCTAGGGTTTCAAGGCATTGGGATTAAGGACAATGCTATGAAGTATGAAGTACTAAGATTGTTAATGTCAATAGGGTCTTCAAGTACCAACCAGAAGTAAACAGTAGCCTCTCTCCGATGGCAAGATAACGAACGTAGCATGGTATCAGAAACTAGCACGCTGGTTATGCCTTGCTACAAGGTCAAAACCGATATATAACTGGGTAGCTACACGCATTAGGATCATTGTGGTCTTCTTCTACCCAGGTAGTCTTCCTAGGGCTGAATTCTTGACCTTTGACTAGCGGCCGCCGCACGGGACATCTGCCCCCGGAGCCCAGCCCTCCGATCCGAACATCGCCAGACATCATATCTCAATCCTAAAGGTAGCAACGTTTGTGAAGAAGCTGCATCCGGTGTGCAACAGCGCAATCGTCCCTGCGTTGCCATCTATCCTTCGGCAGCAGGATCTCCGATAGAAGCCGTATCACCCCTACCACTACCAGCACAATGAATAATCCGGGCCAGGGCAGCCAGCCTGCGCAGGGCCAAGGGCAACCCGCAGCAGCTCAGCAACAGCAACAGAACCAGCAGAGACGGCCGCAGCCACCTTTATATAAGCCCGAGCAGATGCGCAGTCTCCCGGATTCGTTTTCAGCCAACGAGAAAGAAAAATGGGAGCAAGGCCTGAGGTCACTATGGAACCAGGTGGAGAAGAACAGTGCGGAGACACCACAGCACCAGGAAGCCAAACGGAAGATCTTCGAATTCTCGAAGACCTTGACAAACAAATTGCAAGCTATTCGAATGCAGCAGCAGCAAAATGCTCAGCAGGGTGGTGCAGCACGACCTCAGAGTCAACCGCAGCCGGCACAAGGAGGGGAGGGGAGTTCACAAAACCCGAGTGCCGAACAACAGCAGCAAAGACAAAAGCCTCAAGTTTCTGCGAAAGTTATGGAGCATGTTTCCAAGTTTCCCTACGTCCTGCCTCCCCAATTGACACACGGCACCCCCGAAGCTGCTAAATGGGTGGCGGATGCCAAACAGAGATATCTCAAGGGACTCGTCGCTATGGAAGGTGCTACCGGTCGACTTGCGGCTCTCGACGCCATGCTACAGAAAAGAAACGATGACGGGAGGCCACTGAACCCGGACGAGGAGAAAGAATTCCAACAGAAGAAAGAGCAATTTCAGAAAACACACGCTGAGGCAAAGAACTTTGTGGATAGTTTCCGGCAGCAGCAGAGAGCTGCCCAGCAACAACAGCAGCAGAACGCTGCTAATGCCAATCAGCAAGCAAATCCGGCCCAGCCACAAGCTGGTGGAAGTGCCCCCAATGCGGCTGCGAGTGTTCCCAGCGCTGCTGCTCCTGCACGTCCACAGGTAACTCCTCAACAGCCAAATCCTGCGTTGCAGAATACTCAAACTGTCAACGCTGCGATTGAAGCTGCCAGGAACCAGCAATTGGGTGGTGCTCGGCCTTCTCTGCCTCAAAATAGCTCCATATCCCAAGCACCCCAGATGCCATCTCAAAATGCCCCATCCATGCCCCAACAAGGTCCTCCAACCTCGAATATAAAGATGGAGTCAGCGCCTGCAACCTCTGGGATCTCTGGGATGCCACCCCAAATCAACACCGGCGCTGCAGTTACTCAACTACAGCAGGGCCAATCTCGACCGATGCAGAACTCTCCACAGTCCGCTGTTCCCCATTCTGCTGGTGGTGCTCCTCAGAGTGCTACCTCCCAAGCACCTCAAGTTCCTCGAGCATTAACGCACTCGGCGGCGTTAACACAAGCCGCAAGGAGCTATTCCAGTGGTAATACTGGCCAGCCATCCGCACCGCATGTAATGGGCCATTCACACCCGTCAGCTCCCCGCGAGGCCCAAAACGTCATCACAAATAAAATGCCTATCCCTAAACACCTACCTGAGCGCGCAACCGCACCTCCACAACCTGTTCCTATTAATCAACCAAGACCAACTTACACCGGAGGACCAAGCAACGCAGGAACCGGAGTCGTATCACAGCCAGTTTTACCAAAGACACCAGGATACAACATGGCAGGTGAAGGTGATCGCGTTTTGAGCCGCAAGAAGCTCGATGAGCTTGTCAAGCAAGTTACTGGTGGCGGACAGGGCGATGGCCAAAGCTTGACTCCTGAAGTTGAAGAGGTATGTGCTATCGCTATCTATTTCCAATGACTACCATCTCTGTACCCTCTTCTTGACATCAGAGCTAACCTTCCCCAGTCTATGCTCACGGTGGCCGACACCTTCGTTGACCAGGTCCTCCACGCCGCCTGCAAGATAGCCAAAGAGCGGGGCTCCAAGGTCCTTGAGATCCGCGACATCCAGCTCACCCTTGAACGCGGTTACAATATCCGTATTCCTGGCTACTCCAGTGACGAGATCCGCACTGTCCGCAAGATCCAGCCTTCTCCTGCTTGGATTGCGAAGATGAGTGCCGTTCAGGCTGCCAAAGTCACTGGTGGCAAGAATGCAGAGTAATGTACGTATGTTCTGTCCACTACTTCCGTGTTCGCGATCTGACTGAGTTGCGTGAGTAATAGCGATCACTTTACCATGGATCTCATTAAGGGCAATAATGATCATATCTCATATCTCATGGCTCTGGCGTTTATGGTACGGGGTTTGCAGAGCATGGCGTTGGGAAATACGATGGCGTAGGAGGGGAATAGGGACGGACTTTGTAATGGGATTCATATGGTGGCTCTCTTACCTAGGAACTCATTGCCTCTAAAATTGATGTTTTGCCCGTATACACATACAATCATTGCGCTCTACATCCCCTGAGACATCATGAGGTCGGCTTTTTACTATGCACACGTGATATATATATGTCTTTTTTCGATCGTTATGGTCACCTGGCCAGCCTCCAGGGCTCTCCTCTAAAGACTCACTTCTACTCACGATTGCTCTCGTTGTAGCCCAAGAACTACTACTGAAGAGAAATGCAGAACTTCTCGTTCACCAGGTTATACGTCGTGGATTGTTAGTTATTATTAGAGGTCCACCAGTTGTGGCTTGCATAAGCCAACCGCCTCCCTCCTTACTAAGCAGTCCTCCAGGCACCTTCAGTCGCGCGTACCGATGTGCACGACATGGGCGCCTGGATTACCGTAGTAGCATTTCCGTCCCGGTCCAGGTCAAGCTTCAACTGCAATCACCCACGACAGCTTGTACAAGACCATCATCCATCACCTTCAACCACTCCAACAACACCCTGCAAAGGTCCTAATACAGGATACTTCCCCGAAGACCAGACTTCCCAGAAAGTAGTCTTCAAGTCTGATACCCTACATCACTCGAATCACACCACCTTGACGCGATCTCCGACAGCCTCACTAGTACGTCACCAAGGTCGCCGCGACGGACGCTGCGCAGACGATATGCCCAGCAAGACACCTCACACCAACGGCAATGATCCAGTCGAGAACGGAATCAATGGGACTAAAGACGTCGAGATGAAAGATGATGCGCCCGCTCCCTTAAAGGGCGGCAAGGGCAAGAAGGTTAAGGAGGGTGACGAGGAGATGACAGTTGTTGTGCCGCCATCAAAGGGCTCCAAACTGTCTTCTTTCACAAAAAAGGACAACGATGGCGATGTTGCCATGGGGGAAGAGGAGACGAGTGGAGAGGATGGCGCTGTTAAGGTTGACCCAGTGGCGAAAGCTGTATCAGGTATGTCGATAGTGGCATCGTTCCTTTGTGCTCTCCGATAATCCTTCGGCTGACAATTCATCTCCGCATAGATATCAAGAACACCTTTCCATTACTGGAACGCGCAGTTACGCTGTTTGATGCTAGGTTTTCGCTCCGAGCTCTCCGTTCAATCTCCTCCATCCGCAAACGCCTAACCCCGGATATCCTTTCCCAAGTCATCACAGAGACATACCCATCAACAAGTCCTGGGGCAAAATCTCTGCTCGTGGCTCTCGAGCGCGAAAATGCTACCTTTACCAAGCCTAGCTCGAATGAGATGGACGTGGATGTTGAGCCGAAAACATCCAAGAACGGGAAGAAGGAGCCCAAAGAGATCATTCCCGAAATCGACATTTTCCTCGGGATCCTCATCCAGATCTACTACCTCGACAACCATATGAACCAAAAGGGAGCAGTATTCTCACAACATCTCGCTGAGCGGATACACCTATTGAACCGCCGAACCTTGGACTCTCTTTCTGCACGCGTGTACTTTTACTACTCTCTCTTCTGCGAACAGATCGCTCCTCTGCCACCGTCTCTGTCATCACCCGTTGTATCTCTACGGCCAGCCCTACTTGGTGCCCTTCGAACGGCCGTTCTTCGAAAAGATATCGATACACAGTCTACAGTCATCGTCCTCCTGCTACGAAATTACATCTCAACATCCAGCATCTCTCAGGCCGATCTTCTTGTATCACACACGAAATTCCCTGAAAATGCGTCGAATAACCAGGTTGCTCGATACTTGTACTACTTAGGTCGCATCCGAGCTATCCAATTGCGGTATACTGAGGCGCACGAGCATTTCACAGCTGCTACAAGAAAAGCCCCTTCAAGCCCGAGCGCAGCAGGCTTCTCTCAAAACGCGACGAAGTTCCTCATGGTCGTTGAGCTGTTGATGGGCGATATTCCGGAGCGTGCGATTTTCCGTGCACCGAGCATGGAGCACGCCTTGCAGCCATATTTCCAACTCGTGCAAGCTGTGCGTGTCGGACTATTAGGAGAGTTTGAAAATGCCATCAAGCAGCACAGCGATACATTCAGACGTGATGGCACCTATACTTTAATTCTCCGCCTCAGACAGAACGTTATCAAGACCGGAATTCGAATGATGTCATTGTCATATTCAAGAATATCTCTCCGAGATATCTGTATACGCTTGAAGCTAGACAGCGAAGAGTCTGCAGAGTATATCGTGGCAAAAGCTATCCGAGATGGTGTCATTGAAGCATCTCTGGATCGTGAGAGAGGCTTCATGAAGAGCAAGGAGGTCGGCGATGTGTATGCCACCAGGGAGCCCGGAGAGGCTTTCCATGACCGTATCCGTGCTTGTCTTGCCCTCCATGATGAGAGTGTTAAGGTACGTTACACTTTGCGCTTCTATCTTTCCACTTGGCATACTAATACCATCCTAGGCTATGCGCTTCCCAATGAACCAACACCGACTAGAACTCAAAAATGCCCAAGAGGCCCGAGAACGCGAGCGTGAGATGGCAAAGGAGATCCAAGACGGTGATTTGGACGAAGATGACCTGGGTGGTGATTTTGAGGGCATGTAACCTGACCGAGGTGTTGACTCGGAGAGCTTCCCTGGATTATACATGGGGAACTTTATCATGCAGACGACAGGGTAGAGCGAGTAGAGGTCAAGTGGAGGCGGGGAAGGCGGGGAGATGGTTTGGTGGCACTTCACAATACTTGTCTTGCTACTATTACCTACACAATAATGGACCTCTTAGGATGATAGACATCGCATAGGTGTTCTCTTGTTCTGGGGTGGTTCCTGCTACAGTATATTAGTTTCTGCGACTCTCCCATCGATAGTTTGGCTTCTGCTCGTGTTTGGGGCGAGCAGGTGTTTCGTGCACCTAATTTGATGCATGATATGTAGCCTAGCTAGTAGTAATTTGAGAGATGGTGTTTCTTTGCTGTACTATTCCTTAGTGTCTTCATGCCTCGAATATTTATCTTGACCCCTTTACATAGGTACCTACCTAGATAAGTGTACCTTTATCATGGTACAAAGCATTTTCACCCTATGGCACCAACGCGTGAACCCAATCCCAATCGACCCCAACCCATTTCCCTCCACGAAACCTAATATCTTCGACCCCGTCTCTGCTCCCAATGGACCTACCATACTACATATCCACTTGTCCCCTAAAAATACGAAATCCATATCCTCAAATCCCAGAGATACAGCCCCTCGAAATGCCAGCTTCAACGCGTGCTCGTCGCGATAACGGCGCACCCCACCCCGTACCCGCATCTCCACAATCCCCTCCGCCACGACTGACGAGGGCGACAAAGCGCCCTTTTTCCTTCATTCTCGATGTGCACTCGCCGAAGCAACAGATAGCGGAGGGCGAATTGAAGTCGAACTTACGGGTGAATGGTAAAGGAATACAACAGACGGAAAAGCTAGAGAAAGTTGGGGACGACGGTGCTAGGAAAACACGATCCGCGAAACCTACGGAACCTCCACGGGCTTCTACCAGAAGGAAGGGAGAGGGAGAGGTGATATTAGGTGACGAGGTGGATGAGAAGTCTGGGGAGGACAGCACCAGAGCAATGAGGGCCCCTCTACGGCAGAGGAGGACATCGTCTGCCGCTGCGAATGGAGCAGTGGTGGTAAACGGCCATACAACACCAAGCCCGCCCTCCAAAGATCTCGAGCTCGGAGAGCCCGAACCAAAAAAACAACAAGTAGACAAAAATCTCTCGCGCAACATCGATAACGTAACATTTGGAGATGTATCGTTCAAAGCATGGTATCCAAGTTGGTACCCCAAAGAAATCATTGGAGAGAAAGGACTAGATCCTCTCCGGGCGGTTGGTGATGGAAGAAAAGCAGCAGAGAGTATTGTGGTTAAGGATCTATATATCTGCAATCGATGCTTTGCGTATACCAAGGAGGTGCTGGAGTGGGTTAGGCATTGTAGATGTTGTACAAAGGAGGTTCCTGGCAGGAAAATTTATACCCATGGCCACGAGGGGGTTTGGAGTGTGTGGGAGGTCGATGGAGGGGTTGATACTGTAAGTTGTGATTTCTTCTTCCTGTCTCCGTTTCCAAATCTACATGAGGAGGAAAGAAACCAAACGTCATGCTAATTATATACTCGTACCACAGTTATTCTGCCAAAACCTTTCACTCTTCGCAAAACTCTTCCTAGACAACAAGTCCGTCTTCTTCGATGTCTCGGGCTTCAACTACTTCCTCCTGGTTCACAACTCCACCCGCCAAGTTATCGGTTTCTTCTCCAAAGAAAAGATGTCCTGGGATAATAACAACCTTGCCTGCATCCTAATATTTCCCCCCTGGCAACGAAAGGGCCTCGGCGCACTCCTCATGGGCGTATCGTACGAAATCTCCCGTCGGGAAGAGATCATGGGCGGGCCAGAGAAGCCTATAAGTGATCTAGGCAAGAAGGGGTATAAGAGGTACTGGGGCGCGGAAATTGCAAGGTGGCTGTTAGTTGTGAAAGAGACAGACCGAAAGAAGGGGAAGGGGATGGTAGATGTGGAGAGGATCAGTAGGGAGACTTGGATCAGCCCCGACGATGCGCTGGGGGTTATGAGGGATATGGGAGTTTTGGAGCGGGCCGGGAAGGGGAGGGGGGAGGTGGAAAGGGTCAGAGTTGACAAGCAAATGGTTAGGGAGTGGGTGCAGAGGGAGGGCGTGGATCTGGCGAGGGTGGTTGATCCTGAGGGCTTTGTTGAAGGGTATGGGTATAAGAAGGGGCAGGCGGATGAGGAGATGGGTGATTGATGGCTTCAAACCGAGGAGAGTTGGACATTATACACTGGTTAATGAAATCGTGTGACAGGGAAGGGTCGGATACAACTTCCTTGGTGAAAGGAATGTGCCAGAGGCATGAGCGGCCATCCCAAGAATATGGGCCGCGATGGGGAACCAGGCTTTAAATCTCGGAATACCATCAAGGGGGGACATTACTGAAAAACAATCAGTAGCGGAGCATGCCGAGAGTAAAGAATGCTTGGAGCATTTATACTCCTACAGGCTATAGTTTTCAGGGGGTTGGCGAGTGAGCGAGACATGAAGCGAGGTGTGTAACTATCACGCCAGTTAGTGTTCCCCTATACTTAGATCTGCTCATATGAATTCAATGATCTCAGATGAGGCCCAGTGACGTCAATGCCAGCCGAGGCGTGAAGTATAAAGGCAAGGAAAAAGAATTGAGAATATCCGGTTTGCCCTTTACAGGTATTGTAATACATCAAGTCGTTTGGTCAGAGCAATAGCTTTCAAGGTCGGTCGTCAATTGGACTCACCAGGACAATTGAGCTCATAATATCGGTACCTGAGCCTAGGAAACAACATACCTAAGAGAGTCAGGTCAGTAGCCTTTCGTGCGTGTTTATTTTACTTTGGTGGCTATGGACCTTTAGGGATCTGGTGATTATAACAATTGGATCTTTTGAAATATAGTTTTCTTATTTTTGGGTATCTCTTGTAACTGCTGAATCGAAGACAACGGCACACTTTCTTCATGGCCATCTCGCGATCCCTATTTTTTTCTTTCGTTCCTTATCCGCATCATCTCGGGTTTCCCTTTTGCTCCCAGTATCCTCCCTTATGCTGCTCACGGAAACAAAATAGCAAGTTGGCTTACTTCGGGTCCTCCCTTCTCCACAGACTACCCCCAATCCCCATCATGGTTCGCACACGCTCGTCCACAAACTCGGCCCCTGCCGCGAAGGCAGGCAGCAAGCATACCACAAAAAGCCCATCCCCTCCAGCTCCGAAGCGTGGTCGACCTACCAAGAATCAGCAGGAAACAAGTAATGAGGATATCAATCGCGAGCCGGTAGCTGCTAATGGGGATGACGTCAAGATAAAAGTTAGCAGCGAGCCAAACAAAGATGCCGAGAACAAGACCAACGGGGATCAGAATGAGATTAAGAAAGATCAGGAGGAGGATTCAGCGAAAGAGCAGGGCAAGAGTGAGGGTGAGAATGCCAAGAAAGACGACCAAACGCCCGAGAAACCCATTGTCAATGGGTCCGAAGTTCCGGAGGACACCAAACCTGTTGAGCAAGAGAAAGAGGCCAAGCCCCAAGATATCAAACATGATAAACCAGCTACTTCCGAGGCTGGAGAACGTCCACCTGACGTCCCCTCTTCCATCCTCGAAAAAGGCATCATCTACTTCTTCTTCCGACCGCGTGTAAGTGTCGAGGAACCAGAGAGTATTGATGACGTAGCACGCTTGCATGTTGTGTTACGCCCCCTTCCACTTGGTGCCCATATGGGAGACCTGCAGGACGATGGAAAGGCTAGAATATTTATGCTCCCTAAGAAGGTATTGCCCACCAGCAGCCGTGATAGATATTTGGCATTTGTGGAGAAGGGGGGTGCCACTGTGAAGGATGTGAGAGAGGGGTTTGCGGGAGAAGAGCATGACACGAAGACCCGTGGGTAAGTAGCCGGTTATCCGTCTGCTTTTTAATTTTCAAATTGGTAGGACAAGACTGATGGATGTTATGGACGATAGCCCGAGAGTTACTCCCGCGGCAACGCCGTTTGCTGAAGGTATCTACGCCATTACATCCACCCCACGGAGATCCCATCTCGCCTACCAAATCACCGTTCCGCAACCCCTCGGCGACGTGCAAGAAACCTTTGGTCTAAGGGAGAAAGGGAGCTTTATTGCCCAAGTCAAGAACCCCCAAGCGCCTGGTCCCGCCAATGCGAGCATCAGGAATCCAGCCCAGTATCCCGAGGAGATGCAGAAGAAGTTCAGGGACCTGAGATTCATGCCACTTGAACCAAAGCACTTGGATTATGTGCATACTCAGCTGCTGCTAATTGGAGAGGGAATTGGGCAGTTTGGGAGGTCTGTTGAGGAACAGGGGTTGGATAAAGAGGACCCGGCTAAGAAGCAGCCGGAGGAGGAAATGGAGATTTGGGAAGATGAGGCAAGCTTTCCTTCAATAGGCAATAAATAACCGAAAGAGTTGAGAGCGACGAATGCTAATACTATAGGTCAAAATTTAGGATCAAGAACGTGTTGAAAGCTTGAAGACAGATGACCCGGTTTTTGCGGATCTTGGTCTTAGTGCGAAGGAGTACCCTCATTTGCAGACAACGTGGTAATGGCGCATATTCCGGACGACTGTTATTATGATTTTCGAAATTAGAGGATCGCGAGTTCAATATTTAATAGTATAGATATTCACTGAATCAAACTGATTGAGAAAATGAATGTGTTGTATGTCTTTCTCGAACGCACGGCCCGAAATCGTCTGGAAAGCCTTCCGGTATATTCTCGACCTTTGATTGTCTAGTGTCCAATGTTTCTTTCACGCTGGTGCTCATCAAACAGGACCATGAGACTCGTTAAAGGCCACAAAACCTGATACTCTTTTTGAAGTCGTCCCCCGACGTACTCTCCATCAAACTGCCAAACGAGACCAGATACTCGTTGACAGCAACAAAGTCAAAAAGCTGCACGCTTATAAAGTCCTCAAAACAGCTTCAAATAGAGGCAAGGCGCAGTACGCTGTTTTGGGCCGCGATAGGGGGTCTCGAAGAAGGGCAGGAGTCCTGAGGGTTCCATATTACTAGTATTGCATCGCGATACTGTATGGAGTGGAGCACAAGACCCTCATCTAAGAGAAACTGAAGACTTAATCAGAACTCCTCGTGCCTGAAGTTAGGTCCTTATTCCAAACTCTTACGTCTTGGAACTATGAGCGGGGAGTTCTGTTTCTTCGGCTCCTGGTTCCCTCACATGCTAGGTAATGCTTGCCCGAGGTCCTACCATGGTGACTTGACACACTGAGCTTAAGATCCTCAGATTTAATAACTTTCATTAAAACTCTCTAGAAACCCGTCTAAGCACTACATAGTTTTAGCCTTATTCTACCACTTCCCACTATTCGCAATCATCGTAACTTATAAAGTGACGAACGCCTGCAGAGCGCCGGCCACGATTCCTAAGGAAGCCCACTCTATTGGCGCATAGCAGTATATGACAGGTGCTGAGAATGAACAGGCTCCTGATATACTCATAGCGCCCCATGTCCAGTACCAGACGTAGCCTGAGAGCATCCTCTCTTTCCACATTGGAATGCCCATGATTAGAAGTCCTAGAAATGTCATGCTCGAAGCTTGCACTTGAAACCAAAAGTCTGCATCCTGTATCGTCTCAGGTTTGTGCGAGGAGTGTTGATAGGCGAGAGCAAAAGTAGGGAGAGCAAGTAACACTATCTCCAAAAAGGTAGGCCACATAAGGGTAGACGTACACTACTAACAAGATGTATTCAGTAAAATTCTTTGGACACCATATACTAAAGGAAAGAAATGACTAAAGGAGGCGAGAAGGTAGTACACACATCTAAATCAAGAACCTGGCTTGAAGTTATGAGTTGCATCTCAGTGAGCTGAGCAGCGGCTTCTATCCTTACCGCCATATTAGTTTCGGTCCGTTTTCCTTAAAGATTATATATTACCATGTAGGCACAGGGATCTGTATGCCAGTCAACAGACTAAAGCTATCAAATATCTCGATGATAACGTTCCACCTATCATTTAGGGCGTCTTTGTACGCTTGTTCGAGCATCTTGTACTGAGCTACCTCTACGAGAGCTTTGCTTAGCTGACTTAGATCCTTAGCTATTAACTTCAGCAAGTTTTCATTCCTGGCGACTTCTTTCACTGGCAACGATCGCCAATGCGCGATAAACTTAGATCTCTTGAGCTTCCAGGACTTCAAAAACTCTAGGCTACGTAGATAGCTCTCAGTGAAATGAGTTAGTCCTTCGATACCATTTGTAATTTGTGCAATGGCGGCTTCGACTGCAGCAAGCTCTACCGCGCAATTCATACCTGGGCTAGGAGTCCGGGTAGCCTTTGCATCTTCAAGAACTGTCTTGCTGTAGATAAGAGAGTATCGATCAATTTTAGCTAAAGCGAATGCGAGATTTTTGAGTGTAGGGTGCTGTAGGTACGGCACATTACGAGTACTAATTCTCTGGGCCGGAAATGAAAGTTCTATTCACCAAGAAAATTAAAGTCATTTGTGAATTTGTAATTACTAGCATGGTTTTTAGTCTTACGAGGTAAACCAGAATATTCAATCTTCTTCTTACGACGATGTCTGTTTGACCTTGTTACATGGACGCTCTCACCAAGCGCTCCTGCGACGCTGATAACCGAAGGGGTTGTTGACGCAGTTGCGTGAGTAAACTTGGGCCCAGAAAGTGTATTAGGCACTGTAAAAGTTGCATTGCTAGTAGGCGTCTCCGCTGTATGGTGAGGCATGGTCTCGAGACTTGCGACCCGAGTCTTCCTGTGAGAATGTCAGCCCTGTCTGTAGCAAAATGATTCGTGAGGTGAGGTAATGTACTGTGATGCTAATGATGAATCTATTTCGGTGATTTACGGTGTGAAGAGTTTATTTTCGGCGACGGGAGGTTTAGTAAAACGGAGGAGCTCTCGGAAAGTGGTACCTACCTAAGGTAGGTATGTCTCGAGACCATGAGACTGCTCTGTCGAAAGTCAGCTGACGAGTTTAGGCAGTCATAGATAAGGTACCTAGTTACTATTTCTTCACCGTTATTTCCAGGCCCTATCAGCTTCAATTCCTCCTCCGTTTCCTCCACTAAGGAGAGACCCCTCTGCTCCGCAAGCTCTTGATTAGCTTCTTCCTCTGCCTCTTTATTTGCGCCTATATAATTGCAAGCTTGTGAATTATTAAAGGCCTATCGAAGATTACACTCAATTCAATTGCAGTCCTCATCATTCATCCTCTGATAATAGAAGGCAGGATGATCTAAAGTGTAGAGAAGAACTTCCCAGCTGCCTGTGAACACGATTTCCGAACCACAACGTAAGCTTATGATCGTATTGTCTCATGGGCCGATGAGACGGTTAACCATCAACTTCATCTTATCGGTCGATGAGATGGCATTGTACCATATTACCAATTGATGAGACGACCGATGGTTGAGTCAGAACAGATCGGGGTAATACGCTCAAATCTCGAAGATCGAAGATTACCGATCCATCATTTTTACCGCGCTTGGTGTCTTGACGCAGAAGCTGCCGGTAAAACCAATAAAGTTGGCACGCAGGCGACGGTATATACCCATCCTCCTAACCTAGTTGCTTGCTATGGTCGCGAAGCTTCGTGAATTCCTCGAGCGGTGTATGGGTGGTGATTCCTATATCAAAATGGGGAGCGCTGGGACGGGATCTTCTGCTCGAGGATGCGGATATCATGGCCGAGGAGTTTGAGGACGATGTCATGCATCAAGTCTGTGTTGGAACCCCGATCTGTCACGATAATTAGAATTAGAGTGAACAGTTGGATTGGAGAGATAGCAACTAGCTGTGCATTGGGACGTGCAATGAGTATACTAATCTTTGAAGTATCATTGCCGTAATACTGTTCTGAAGACTCGGTCAAAACAAATGTTCCACCCAAAAATGTATAATTTCTGCCAAATTAGGACAATAAAAGTCCTCCCCAAATAGCGAAATCATCTTCGAGTTTTCATTTTTGTCTATCCCAACAATGTACGAGTCACTCCCTTGCCATATCCCGAACCTAGGTAACTCTCCATTTATTTCATTCCATTGGCCTTGCCGTTTTGGTTCTCCGACGCCCTTCAAATTTTTAGTCACGCTCTCTACAAGCTCCGGGGGACCAATGAAGGCTTGCTTGACTTCCAAGAACGTTTCTTTCCAACCCTTGTTTCTTATTTGACTCAATTTGACTGGTATAGAATTGAAGAGGCCCTGCAGTGGTCTCATACAACAGGACATCCAAGCGCCTACTTTAGCACCCATAGATGCTGGCGATCCATATGTGCTAACGACTCTTGGCGAAGTCCGGATTGGCGACATGGGGAGCTCTTGTTGAAATTCCCCGTTATCGAGAAGTGAGCTCTGCGAGAATAGCGCCATATGATCTGCAATTGTCTCCAAGTCGCGTGGCATATACCGTGATTGATCTGGAATAGTCCAGAGCAGGAACAGAATCAAGAGGCACATGTATACGAGCATAGGATAGAAATATCTTGTCCACACCGCAATCCAACTATTCTGAACATAAAACATGTTTGCAGCCCAGGCAGGAGTAAGGGTTGCAAAGAGAGCGAATAATGAGATGAAAGCAAGTTTGAAATGTCCGTTCTTCAACGCTCGGATAGTGACGATTAGGGGTAGGTCGTTGTTGTAGTTGATCCGGAAGCAGTTGATAATCAGTTTTGGCTTGGCTTCTTTCCTCTTGAGGTCAACGTAGGGTTGAACTAGGCGGTAGAAGGTGTCGATGCTCTGGACTAGCAAGAGAAATAGATCGGCAGCGAATGATGGAAAGAAACTCCACAAGAACTGAGCAGGAGAAACGTCAACAAAAGGCGTTACTGTCGTTGACACGTAGGGAGGGAAGCCAAAATGGATGATGTCGTCGCGTGTTACAAGTGTGGTCATGATAGCGAGTGCTGCGGTTAAAAGAGAAGTCCAAGTACAAACCCAAAAACTTGCCAAGAACCACGGAATATATCGAAACTCGGGATATTTCGTTGGACTTCTCGGCTTGAACGAACTGTGACTAGGAATGTTCTCCGAGATCTTTCTTCGCCGTATTCCGTAGACTGCACTCTTTGGGCCCTTAGGCCAGTATCCTATTCGATACTCGTTTTGCGCCAGATGTTGCCTAACTATCCATCGACGATCCTCATCTTCCAAACCTTGGAAGTCTTCCTGAATGTCTCCTTTGTTGAAAATGGACAGATAGAGAGACAGGTATCCGGGATCGGCCAGAAGTCCAGTTTCTTTCAATTGAAGCCATACCAAAATAGCCAGAGTGGTAACAATAAAGGCACTGTGGCATATGATGACGATAATGATCACACCACGATTCGGAGCATACCCAAGGAAATTGCCATTCGTGTCGTATTGCTGACTCAACACATTGCTTCCGAACTGGACAACAGCGAATGTGAAGATAAAAGCGACAATATCCACAAACTGGAAGAAGTAATCCCCATTCCGGATTGCACGAAATCTAACAACCGGCCATTCATAGGGCCAATAATCGGAGTCAATAGTATTGTGCACGTTTCGTCCAGCTGGGTATCGCATATTTCGATAGGGCATGATTTTACCAACGTTCAGAACTTGCTGGGTGATGAGGAACTTGGCGGCTGTTGCAATGTAACCCGAGAAAAGTCCATCGAGAATGAAATCGGGACCCTGCCAAAGAGGCTCGGCGTAAGCAATTGCAAGCCAGATGATCCAGCCAATATTCATCAGAGCTGCACAGAGAAGAACCCATGCTCGAAGGAAGAAAGGCTTGTGGTTCAGGGATGGGAGTCCACGCTCCATGTAGTCGTTGATTGGGTCTATACTTTCCAGACCAACTTGAGCATTGCCTGCCGCCATACTTTCATCCCGCTCCCTTAATTCTATCCCATCTTGGGGCTCGTGCGACATCGCGAAAGAGTGGTTTTTTAGCTTTCTGGTTCTTTCGTTAATATTCATGCTCAACATGAATCTAGGATATACTTGCATGCTTTGCACCAGGAGAATGAAAATGCTTCTTCTGGGCACTTGACAGGAGTTGGTATGTGCATAGGAAGAAGTAGGAGGAGACCCTAGCTTAATAAGAAACATTGCTGCGTGGCTTCGGGCTATTGGGAAGCCTCATTTCAGCCGCACTTCTGAATATGGCCGGTCTCATTTGCTTCGATTCAGATCAAAATATTGAGTTCAGTGCTTTTGGGACCATGATCGCTGTGTTGCCGATATTGTTTCTTCTTTGGTTACTTTGGTGCTAATAGTCGGAGTTGACCTCGCGCCTTAGTCCAATTATTACAGGAGCTCCCCAAATACATGGACCTGCCGAGGGTGCGACTTGTTGGTTGCTTTCCGCTGGTTCGATGAACTCTGCATCAACCAGGAGGATGGCCGAGAAACGAGCCATCAGGTGCGCTGTTAGGGAAGATATACTCGGATTGCAGGATGGTGTCTGTGTACCTTGGATCCCCGCCAGCAATGCATGGGCAGAAGGAGGCCGCGGAAGGGACACTATGCAGAAGTTCGACCTGGAAGAGCTAAGCATTGATAGGCACATCCGGCTCTACCTCGACGACATAAGGAATCCTCGCGATACGTCCGGGATCGATTATTTTCATCGCGTTCTTTGCTTCTTAGCTCTTGCGTCGGAAATCGTGGACTACATGCGCTTGGCACCTTTCTGCTGGAGCGAAGACGAAGGTAGATCATAATTGGTCACCGGAAGGGAGAGCAGGAACGTGACTGAGCAGCCTAAGTAGAGAGTGAGGCGAGGGTGAGTAGTGCCTGAGCAGAGCGGTGATGAGAACTAACCACGTTGGAAACGAAATGGAAGAAGTGTCGTCTGAGATGACCTAAGTAACACGATTTTCTCAGAACCTGCCAAGTTAGAATGTATAGATTTTGTTGTGGAAAATGAGGCCTTGAAAGAGGTAGAAAGAGTAATTGGTAATTTGAATATATGTAGGGATATGCCAAGGTTCGTCAGCAATTTTAGGCGCTGCTCACTGATTTACTGTAATAGTTTCCGAGATTCCTATATCCCACTGTTTAGCTAACTAGGTCGAATAATCTTTGACGTATATCAGCCCCACATATGAATATATAATTATTAACTAACTTGAAATGGCACCTGTTTATAGTTAGCTTTAATTATTTAGACATAGAAGTTCCGTTTGGTAATTCAATATTATAATATTAGGAGCACAATAAACTGAGGCTGTTAAGGCATAAGGTCAACCCATCATCGCTCATCGGCTTTGCCCAGGTGCCTGAAGGGTAAATCATTGCCCCCCCCCCCAAGTGTCAACATGGCAATACAGGGATCATTATTGCTAATGGAGCCGTTAAGACACCTATTAATAAATTGCGTGATATCGGACCAAGGGCGAAGTTAACAGCTTGGTAACAAGGTCGTTGGTAGTATCTCTAGAGCTGACTTCATCAACCTTGCAGTTATTGAAATTCTTTGGATCTTATGATTACATTTTCGTCCGACAATTAGAAATTAAAATACCGGTTAAATTTTATATTACACATTTGATGAATAAAATGCCGAGACTCCTTACCGGACTAAGATGGAGAGAGTGGTCCCAGAAAATTGGGGTTGGGTCGAGGAGGCCGCGTATTCAATTAAGACATTCGAAGATGGCAATGTTCCCCCCTCAATGCTGTGTATTATGAGCCAAGAATTGAAGGGATGAATCTGACGCGTAACCCTAGACCTGAGTTACATCATTTATATCACAGTAGAAATATTTAGCTGAGGAGCTTAGCGCTTTCGGGAACAAATCGGTCATTATACGGAATTTAAGCTTACGTTGCCCACACCTACTTATGTCAAGTATATGGTAATGTTGCGTCTCGTGCCTGGATATGTCTGTCGCTAACGTAGACGTCATCGGCTGAAGTAATATCAAATCAATCATCGCGGAGGTTGGCACACCTTGGCTCGTAGTGGTCAATCATATGTGCTTTACAAGATCTATGGTCGAGCCAATAGGCTGTTTTGTTCGCACAGATTTATATGGGGATCTAACTTTGTCGGACATGGAAGCCCTATATAATAAGTACGAGGTGCTTCCTCGAGCTCATTATCTGCTGTGCCATCAAACTCATGATCTTTCCAAGTCATTGCTACCACTCATACAAAAGAATTGCGCGCAATGAAGACACTTCAGGTTACCTCCGTCCTAGCCTTCGCGGCTCAGACCGCTGCCCACGGCTACATCTATAGTGTCAATGCAGACAATACTGTGTAAGAAGCATGCATGGAACTCTTTAGAATCTTAACCCTCCTTCCTGCCCTCTTTCACATCCTAACTTCCATTTCTAGCTACCCAGGGTGGGATGTCGAGATCGATTCCACCTACACGCCTGCTCTGGCTCGCATTGCTTTCGGCGGTGGTAGTGTCAACCCCATCACTAACACCACCACCAATGACCTTGCCTGCAACATCAACCACATGCCAGCTCCCGGTGCCATCGCCGAAGTCCGTGCCGGTTCTAATATTTCGTTTCACTGGTCAAGGTGGCTCTACAGTCATAAAGGCCCAATTACAGCGTGGATGGCCCCGTACGAAGGAAGCGTTGATGCTATCGACGTTAATAAACTTGCCTTCTTCAAAATCAAAGAAGAGACTGTCGGCGCGGACGGCATTTGGGCCAATGTTCGGATGATGAATTTTACCAATGATACTTATACAGCCACTATTCCTGCCGATATAAAACCTGGAACCTATATCATTCGAAATGAGGTTTGTTAAATACGCCAGACCTGGTCTAATTGTTTGTCTAACCTTTTATTCATTAGATTGTCGCGCTTCACTTCGCTTTATCTGTTCCGGCCAACCTCGCAGGGTTCAACTCAGTTGGCCCTCAGTTCTACCCAACCTGCTTCAATCTCCGCGTAACAGGTTCCGGCACCGCCACGCCCCTAGGCGTAAATTTTCCGGGTGCATATAGTGCGACAGACCCTGGACTCAAATTTGACGTCTATTCCAACGACACCAACTACCCCTCGCTTGGCCCTGCTGTCTATAAAAGCAAGACCAGCGTGGCCTTGGAACCAAAGAGTCTCACTGTTGTCAGTCCTACCGGCAATGACGCAGCCGATGCGGATTACTACGCGAAGCAGGTCACGGAACTTGAGGGCAGGGCTAGCACTTCGGCGTACTTCGACTCCATTGGAGGTTGAGGAGCTCAGAAGCTTAGCTGCTTAGCCTTCTCCAATCTTGCACAAGACGGATTTGGCTCCTAACAGATAGTGAGACTGGTTTTAGGCATGTCTAATCTGAAGCTTTGTTACTCGTCCTCCTAGTATCTTAGCTTTTGATTATATATTTCAATTTCTGACTTGAGGATTGACTTCGCAAGCTTGTGAACTCCTTGTCCGCTATATTGCGTCCCTGGTTTGTGAAAAGATCTGCCAAAGAGATATACTACCTTAACTCTTCGTATGTTATATTCTACAAGAAATGTTGTTTCAATCAAGCTTTGAATTGATTTCATCTGAGAGATACGCGTTGAAAGTCATATTTCAGTAAAACGTCTTCATAGACCTGTCACCTGTAATTTTAAACATGGGATCAAACATTTGGTCGTCAGCTGCATGAAGAGGGAAAGACGAATCCGTGGTTCTGAGCCCATACGAGACTCAAGGGCTTCTTACTGTCTCTACTTCGCACAGCGCAATATTGCATGTGTATTCCCCGCGCCTTAGCTTGCCTGTGCGGACGTTGGAAGACCTCTCATTCTGTGCTGTTCCGGCCGTCCCCGAATACTGATCAACCCCGTTATCGTCAAACAGCTTAATTTATTCGCTAGTCAGTTGTACGAAAAGGGGTGCAAGAAGTCACCGACACCCCCATGATTTCTGCCATTACCAATACATCTAATTTAGGTATAAATTATATGCAGCCGTAATAATATACCAATGAGTTTGTGCTCCGTTTCAAGCCTCTCTGGGCAAGTGTATATAAACTTATTAAAGTCCTCCATAGTAATTTCGTTCTCCCAAATATTCAGTACCGCTTCTTGAAGGTCTTTAAGCTCCCTCTGCCAGAGCCATCGTTTTAAGATCCTCTACATAATTTTAATAGGATTTAGCTTAAGAGAAAATAGAGCCTGGTTAATCGAGTATTAAAGCACTCTACTCGTGTTTTATTACAAAGCCATCCGTTCTTCCGAATGTCCTTCTTCCCGGATACTTTACTCCTGCGTAAATATACAAGAAAATATTATATTTAAACTACAGCTACGTTATAACTCTTAAGAGTTCTTCCTTTTGTCCTTTTAACAAATACTAAAGATAAGTGAGCGACGGGTTTTTAAAATAGCTTTGCTACCTTTAGAGATTCTAAAGAGCTTAATATTAAAATAAACAAAGTTAATATACCTAGGTAGCTTATTAGCACGCAGTAGGATTAGTGAAAAATATACAGCTTTTGAGCAACAAGCTCTCTTGCTGCCTTTTACACCTACTTAAGTAGTAATTGGTCTTTTAGGGTTTAGTCAACTTTAAAGTTCGACTAGTCTGTATACGTAAGCATTCGGCTTATTTACCTCTGCGATCTTACTTTTGTGCAATATACTATTACTGTTTACTCCTGTTGAATGAGTTTTGCAAGATGGAATTTATTAGAGTTCTAAAGAAGAGAATGGGAAATAAGATACAGCAGACATGCACAGTTGGATTGGTAGGTTGGTGGATCTATCTCAGTATCATAATTGTTTTAGGTATTTAAAATATTCGTTGTAGTCCTCGTCGCCTTCCTTTTCCTGAACGTGGGGCCAGTTTGGTTAATTTGCTGGGCAAGAAGTACCCAATTTTGGTCAGAAATAATTGCCGATATTTCTAGCTTTCCATGCTTCTACTGTAGTAGGGATCAAGGGACCACCAATTATTTACTTTGTTTTTGCATTTTTACCTGTACTAGAATTAGCACGTGGATAAGTGGAGCCACCTGGGTATATAAGCCCCTGGCACTCACTCTCTCTTTTACACACAATCAGCCAGGAATCAATCAGTCAATACACACGATTCACCAGAATGCAGCTGGACCAGGGAGAAGCTGGCCAGCTAAGATAATTACGAATATAAACTCAATTTGCTATACTTACATTAATGACTGGATCTTGTGACTATTAGTCGTCCTGAAAATGCCACTGCCTGAGTGCGCTCTGAATACTCACTTCCTCAAAAGAACATTAAACCGTGGTTTAGACTTCTTTAGCCAGATGACCAAACTACGATAATCCGACACCGCGCCCACCAGCCAATTGATCCCCATACCTTGACTGCAATCTTTTGGTTGTTTTATCCACGATTCCTCCTGATAATCCTAAGGGTCCTCTCTGCACCTCAACACTACAGCCATCATAACCTAATTGCCATAATTAAGCTATATAGTTCTGTAGACCGGTTAAAGGAGTAATCTACTAAAATTACGTGGATGAGGCGGGGTACCTTCCCTGCGATGTAGCGGTGCCCCACACTATATATGTAGGTGGTAGATCTCCTGAGCCTGCTAAGGATATCTCGTTTAAACGTGTCGTACACAGCTGTATATGCAACTCGGAAACATAGCTCTCAATGGAATCGGTTGGCCGAAACCCCTGATTTCCCTGATTGCCATTTAAAAGGTCTTATCACTTCTCACGGCAGTTTTATTCTTCTGTGAAAGTGGAGGCTAAAGGTATATAATGGCTCCAACTCAGGACATTTATGATGGGGTTGGAGAGAAAACTCGACTCTCGATATAATCGCCTCTTATAAATTCTCATTAGGACAAACGTTCAAACGGAAGAGGTATCAATATGCTCGCCTCGATTCTCATGGCCTGCGCGTCGCTCGCAGCGACCGCCTCGGCCGAGTGTAGTCGAGCAATGCTGAAGGATGCCACCGATCAGTACGTGGCTGCGCAAAGCAATGGTCACAGAAGCGAGATTACTGCACTAGCCAGCAACCTCACCTATACCGAAAACGAGAAGCCAGTAGATATCACAAAAGGTGTCCTGGTCCAGCCTCTGAAGCTTGACCATAACCGCAGCATTCATGATACCACAGAATGCGCCACATTTACTGAACTGATTGTCGCCACCTCTGATCATCAGTACGTTATTGGCACGCGGATGCTTTTCACCGACAGCAAGATTACCACCATTGAGTCAATCGTAACTGACAAAGGCGACTGGGCGTTCAATGCGACTGGGTACCTCTACTGGGACTCTATGGAGAATTGGGATCCTATTCCGGAAGCAAAACGCGACACCCGAGCAGTCATTAAAGCCGCAGGTGACGCTTACTTCGATAGATTCGACAATGCAAGCGTCGTTGTTCCTTTCGGTACCCCCTGTGCCAGACTGGAGGGTGGGGCCTACACAGGAAGGGCAAATTCGACCGAGAACACATGTAATCTGGGTTTACCTTCGACCATCAAAGTTACAAACCCGCGTTATGTTGTTGATGAGGAGATGGGAGTGGTTGATATATTCTTGGGATTTCCTGGGCTCGACCGTTCCCAGGGACAAGACCCAATGCCTGATAGCCATGTGTTTAGGGTGGAAGGAGGGAAGATCCGGTATATTCATACAGTCTCATCTTGTGTGAATGCGGGTTGTGGATTAAATGGAACGGGTCCACCTTCAAGTCTATGAGAGCCTTTTTGATTGGTGGTGCAATAGGAAACGACTCTGATAGGAGCATCTAAGGGGTTTGCGTACTGGAGATTTACTTGATAGGGAATGGTTTCAATACGAGACCGCCAATAAATTGTGATCGGTTAATGTGATGGAACGATTTAAGTTCATATTACCTTTAAAGTTAACTTGACGTTATAATTTCTCTGTGCCAATGATATGATATGGACCCAAGTATCGCTTCTTGTTTGAGCTACTCCTTGATAATTAATGTATGATTCCACCATTCTGTTAAGGACGATTGGTTTAAGTAAACCGGACAATTGGCTCTTGGACAACTTCTCTTGTCCGATCTAAGCACGATAATCGATGATGGGCAGAGGAAAATGATTCCGTGTAGAAAGGGTTACTACCTCGCAACGGCGCATACTAGGTATTCAACTTATGCTTATTCTTGATTAACCTGTCCCGTTCTCTCCGCTCAAGCATTCCATGAAACCATTGTGTGGGTGGCTTGTGGTGGCTTGACCTGGAATCACTCTGGGATGTCGGTTTGATAATGGCTATCAATCCGAAGCTGATATTTGACTTCACAATATCCTACCATGACAACACTATATGGAAAGAATTATAAACAAACCTGATAGCCTCAAAGCTGTTCTAATTGCCATAATTAGCATCGCCGTCATTAGATTAGATAAAATGATTTGCTTGCCACAGAAGATGGCCGTTGCTATAATAATTCGCTGAGGGGCTTTTAGTATAAATAAGATGGGTTAGAAAGGCAGCAGGAGAGCCCCAGCAACGAAAAGGAAACCACAACAGTATGGAGGGCAAACCTATCTACCTAGGTACAAATTTACTGCCAGGATTCTCCGCCTTGATGAATCACAACAACCCCCTGGCCCTATAGCTTAGACATCAGCTTCCTCTCTGCCATATCGCATCGCCTCTGTATTCCTTCGCAGTCACTTTCCAATAATTTCGCAACTTCAACTCCAACAGCTTCTTAACTCCATAGCTAAGGTGCTACCTTCAAAAAGCAACTCGCCAACCTCAACTCCAGTCAAGATAAACAGCGCGCAAGTCGGCCATAGACGCGCGATAGGATTCGCCCATCAACGCCATCATGGGACCTTCATCACACGTCCTAAGCAATCTTGATCTCGGTGATCTAAGTAGCATTAGGCGCGTTATGGCAGCTTTATCCTACAACCTTACACATATTGTCCTAAATCCAGGAAGACCGGAAGTGAAATGCCTTCGAGGTCATGAGGCCGAAACAGTTGCAACCATCTTGTTCACTATTCAATTCTATCCCGATCACACTCTCCTTTTGCATGCAACTCTTCTCTTCATCGACGTGATCGAAGGAAGTGACGAAGATGTCCGGCGGGCAGTTGAGCAATACGTGGGAGTTACCTCCGAGAGGGCCGTGACTATGCCATGGATGGATGAAGATAATTACTTTATTGCAGAATGGCAATTTTTCAAGGCGAGGGGCTGTGAGCGGATGTCGAGAGAACAGCTAGTGAAAGCAGCACCAGCGGCATTCTACCGCAACCAAGTGATCTCCACACTACGTGCACAGCAGCTCGAAGTTATAGCAGCCCAAACAAACCGGCGAGTGATTGATATCCCCGCCAAAGAAGCTATAGCACCTCTCCCTCAAGGCCCTTTCCCCGACGGAATCCAAACATTCAATTCTGGAGCATGCGATAACTGCGTACGGAAGAATCGCTTTTGCAATAGGATCGAGCCTTTCTGCTGGGAGTGCCGCAGTACATGGACTACCTGTGGCTACTCATCCGCTAGCGCTGGGCCACGAGTTCTTCCACCTCGTGTGGAGCCAAACTCTGGAAACGAAGTCAAGAATATACTAAGCAGTTCTGATGGTGATGACCATGATAACAAGGTTAAAATCGATGATGCCGACGAAGACGAGACTGAAGTTGAAACGGCTGACGATGATTCATCTTATGAAGCCTCTGGAGAGTATTCGCCTGGAGATGACGATGTTGGTATATACGAGGACGATTCTGAAGAACCACCTACCATTGCTGGGAGGCTGAAGCGTAGCCGGGTTGAAAAGCGATTGAGCCTTCGATCAGCAACAGTTACTAGCAACTTTCAGATGCCCACAACTGAACATTCGTCGGGTTCGGAGCTTAGCGATGCACCCTCAGATGAAGAGAATCCTTTTTCAGATCTGGAGTCTGAGGCCGAGCAAGATGACCAGGAAATGATAGGAACAGAGGGGAGCAGTACTGGGGTGCAGGTACTAAATTCAAACCCTATCCCCTTATTTCAAAACTTGCTGATAGTCCAAAGCAGCAACTGCGATCTCAGCAAAGAATGAGACCTGAGATGGAAGGGAATTCCCGAGATGGGGAGATGCGGGATTCCGCAGCCAGTGGAGTTAAAGTAACTATACTAGCCCATTACCCAGCCATCCCCTTAATTCTCCTTTGAAGATAACTGACTCTAAGAACACAGGATGGGAACTTACCAGCAATCACTGCTCTCTATACTTCTTTCACCGACCGCGCCATTGATGACGGAACGCTTGACCGCACCCCGCCTCTCATAAACGAACCATCTCCCGCAAAACGAATCATCACCTTCCAAACTGAAACCTCTCACCGCGATACCTCAGTTACCACAACTATAGCAACCTATCACTATCTCGGCTTCACTGATTGGAACAATTTGAGCAGCGTCAAAAAGCTCCGTGCATGGCGCAGTGAGATCATTACACGCTTTTTCGGCCGACGCCGTCGAGATTACGAGAGATGGACAGAAATCGAGCGAGATGCGTTGTTCACGGTACTGCGAATCCATGTGAACGAACATGGCGAGAACGGGCCACGTATCGATTGGGCCGATATTGCTAAGCAACTAAATGTCATTTGCGAAGGAAAGAGACAGAAGGCGAAGGAGATAACTGCAGAGGTAGTCTATCAGTTTACAGATAATAGGGGGGTGGTAAGACAGGCGAGGATTTTGAGCGTGCCACTTGGAAAGCCGAGGATGGCACCGGCTAGGGATGGAGAAGGGGTTCGACTTGCGATGATGCAGTTCACTCATCCTCTGGCGGCCGAAATTGTGAGAGAATTGAATATGGGGGATGAGGAAGATTGATCACAAATGAGAATTATGAAGGGGCACTAGCAGCGTTGAAAGCTTCGTTTAAGTGATTGCAGTGGATTGGGGAACGGTATTTTAGCGGAGGCAATGGTATTCTTTATGCTAAGTGAGAATTGCCAGGAGCAGGCAGACTCCAAAGAATTCTCTAGGCCGACTGCCTGATGTCTGTATAGAATATTACACTGTATCTGAATAGAAATTCTGAATTGTAGAAGATAGAAAAACACTACTTTATAAATCAATACACTATTGCGCAACCAGAACATTGGTATCTAAGCTCTTTAATAAACATCAATTTGTGCAAAATTACGCACAGTTATCTGGAGAACATTGCATATCAAGTACTGTTGTCAAAATATGTAGTTTTAGATGCGATATTTCAAAAGAAAACCTGGAAAGAAATACCGGTAACTATACAGGTACAATCAAAAGAGTGAACCTTAACAAAGGAAATCAATAACCTGCGTGATTGAAGTTGATCAATAAAAGTATTTCAATTGTTTTACGCAGTCAAGCACAAATAAACTCCCGCAGGGCCAGAATGAGGCCCTATCGTCAACGGTCCATAAAAGGTAGGATAGTGGCGCCTTCTTCACCTCCTGCAATGTCCTGGACACCTTAACCACTCTGTGGTATCTGAATCACCGGATCTGGGAGATGTGAACAGCATCCTTAAAGGGGGTCGGTCAATAGAGCCTCCACTGATCAAACATACCTTTTGGGCCGGCCGATTCCATGCACCGTTCCTTCCACCGCCTTCTCACAGCAGTCACAGTATCCTACAAGCAGTGATCTATAAACACCCCCCAACAGGGAAGAAACTCTCGCGCGGTTTTGCAATCCTCGCCGCGTATATCCACAAAATAATACCGCGACCATGACACGATATAATAACATCTCAATCCAACGTGGCCTAGACCTTGACGACATCGAAGGAATCAAACGCGTGATGTTAGCTTTGGAGCGCATTGTCCTAGACGAACCCTTCAAAAGTTTGAGCAAAGAGCGAGCAGCCGAACTTCGCTTGAGCTCAGCACAACAAGCATGGGTCAACCGCATTCTCAAGGTATGCGAGAGAACCTTCCGCGAGTATATCTTGCTTCCCCGAGCCATGAGACGATTTGTAAAGGCTAAAGATGGCGATGAAGCAGCCGTTATACAGGCAATTGCTGAGTTGGAGAGTTTGACCGAAGAAGACGTTCTAGTCAATCCGGAATGTCACATTGATGCTTATGAGGTGGCCTGGTGTAAATTCCTCGCTTTCCCATGCGAAATGGTAAATAAACAGTCTATCTTTCCTTGCTAAAGCTATTCTAACATGGATTGTCAATGCAGGTTCAAGGAGAGCTAGATGCATGTATCAAATTTCAAAAGGCTTTGCGGGAGGACGAGGTCCCGACAGGCCAATCCAAACGAGCTTGTCACTTCTGTAACAATCGACACAGCAAGTGCGATAGGAACATGCCAACGTGCGGAGCTTGCAGAGAGAGAGGGCTGATGTGCGTAAAGCGAGGTTAACCAGATGTAAAATTAGGAGCATGCGGAGAGCAATAACAGGATAGTTGCGGGACAAGAGAACGTGGGGGATAGCAGATAGGGCGCATATTTACATAAGCAACTGACGGAACAACACCGGAAACTGAGGAGACTTTGAACGGAATAGACCTCGATGCGAAGCCATAGCATAAGGCTTTGCAGAACATGCGGACAATCGGGGCGTTACGTGCGGAGAGGCGCCTCCGAGTGTGGAGCTTGCAGGACTAGAGAGAAACGGCCCTATCTCGAAATAAGAATAATGTTGTAACTTTATCAGGGGTGTTGATATAGGAGAGTAGTACAGATGTTTCCTTAATCTGAGGGAAAGGGGGATTCGGGAGATACTTAGCCCTTCGCCTATCGGTCACGTTCCCTTCTAACGATATCTAAATAATCTTCAGATCTCCCTAAACCACGCGATCTATAACCCCCCCCCCCCTTTCCTTTACTCTTGTTTTGACTCGATATCCACAACCCAATGCAAACAACCCACCAAGGATCGAAAACAATAGTAAGTGAACATCAATCTTATGAACTATGGCGGCGAATGCCAATGAATGCTAACCGTCCACAGTGCCACCGACCGTTTCCCCAGGGTTGACCACTAAGGGGGAGGTATGGCAATCCAAGGTTCAGGAAGTAGAGGAATCCAGGTGGATGAGAGTGGAGGCGGAGGAGCCCACTGGTGTCCAGCCTCCCTATAAGTTCCTTGCCAACCTGGATATCGAGGATGCCAGTTCAATTCGGCGCATCATGGAGTATCTGCACTTCAAGTTCGCAGGTCACCGTTCTGAACAGTTCCGTGCCGGTACCGACCTTGACGAAACCGAGTGGCGGGAGTCGCAAAGAATATGGTGGGAGTGTGACAACAATGCCTTGCTCAAGACCATAGTTCAGTGGTTCGCAGGACATTACCAAGCCACTGATCGCAGAGTTGGGTTTGCTGCTCGACGCTTCCAATCGTATGCCACTCACACTGCTCGAAACCCGCAGAAGTACAAAGAGGAGTATGAGGCAGAGAAAATCCAATGGGAGGCCAAGCAGGAAACGAGTGTGGAGTTGACGAACGACCTGGACAGCCCACCATTACACCAACAGGGATCCCGAAGCAACAAGCGCCCCGGAGAAAGCTACGAAGAACTCTTCACCAACGACGACATAACCACGGCAAATGTTCCTGTAGATATGGCTCCCAGTTCCAGTCCGGTTCCTGGAGACTCCAACCTAGCCATCCGTACGAAGAATCCCAAGCCAACAAGCGGATACAAGCGAACATACCAAGAAATGGAAACTGAGGCCGAAACCGAGGCCGAAGCCGAGGCCGAGACCGAGATCGACGAGGTATCATCAGACTCTTACACCCCACCCGCCAAGCACGTAAGGAGACCTCGGTCCTATTCCCAGGTGATAAGGCAGATCTAACATATCGCAGAATGTCTTCCTCCAGACCTTGCTTCCCAAGGAAGGTAGAACAACTAGATCGGGTCGTCCTGTAAGTGCGCGTTCCCAATCAAATAAATACAGTAGCTAACAAAACCAAATCAGTACAATCCCTACACAGGCGACGTGGTTGATGCTCCACCATCTACACCAAACTCGACCCTGCTCAACCCGAGTTACACACAGCTGAAACGAGGTCATAAGAAACAGAAGCGTGGACGAACACACTAAGAAGCCATAACCTCAGTGGCCTATGATGGACTTTTAACCCGGACTTAGCTAGTCTGTATCATGGTGCTCTGGAGATGGCTGTCTTGTGCGGACACGTTTGGGCGTTTGTGCACGGTTAAGATTGGGATTGATGAGCCAGTAGTAAGCATCAACGGTACTCATAGGTAGAATTCAAATCGATCTCCCCTCATTCCAAATGGTCAAAACAATCAATGAAAACGTGACAACTAGTGCTACACAGCTGCCGACTCATCCATAGTACTACTATGCCCCCGTACAAAGACATCACCACAGCGCAAACTTAAGGGAACTATCTGCCGGTCGCTCACTGCGCTCACTGCCTTGTGGACAGATAGTTATCAGAGTCGCATCGCAATACGACAGCTGGAGCAAACTATTGCATGCCAAATCATTCGACGCGGTTGATGCGACTTCGCAAAGGGTTGTAGTTTGAGAAAGGAAGCGGGACAGCAGGACAAGACGTTGTTTCAATCTTCAAGGTCCGTGCGCAATCCATAACCGACCACGTGACTATTTTTGACACTTACAAGTTAAGATTATAACGGACAAGGAATAAGCCAAAGTAGCAGTTATAAGTAAATAAAGTTAAGTTTCAAGTAACCTAAGGTAATATACGATTTAATTAATCATAGACTATTCTCAGTAAAAGCGAAATTGGTGCTAAGAAATAGGTCTAGAATTGAAAATTATTAGGGTGAATACCATGGGAAAGTATTCGATGTTGGCATGTCCGACAAACGGAATTCTATACGATTTGGAGTATAACAGCAGTAAAAGAGCAATACAAAATAATACATATCACGTGATTATATTTAGACGTAAGTTAACACCTAGCAATCGACAGATGAGGAAAGTTCTTAAATATATGCCCTTTTAGTTATAAGAATTTTAAGAAGCATTTTAAAGTTAATAAACAAAGGAAAGGGGGGCTTAGTGCGATTCTCGCTTAATGGAAAAGGGGGGCTGCACATTTCCTGGTTGGGAAATGATTCGCCTCACTTCTTATCTTATTTTGTGTAAATAGCACAGGGAGCTTGTTAATAAAAGTAGCCAACTTGCAGGATAATTGCATAAGGGGGTACATGTTTGTTGAAATTTAATTTGCGGAGAATTAACATTGAGACAAAATTAGAGAGCAGTTCTTGCTATGTAAAAGACACAAAATGTTACACATATAGCAAAGGATTTATGAACATTTCAGATACTACGTTACTAGAAATAGACTATTAAACTAGAATAATACCCTACATGTCATACTTCCATTATAACACATGATCTCCTGAAGTAAAATGCATGGCACTTGAACTCCCCCAAAGCCTGCCCAACTCCCTAGATATAAATATCAAGATCTTTTCTCTAACACTAGCTCACCTATGGGCTTGCCTTCCTTCCCAACGAAACCCCCGTTCACACCATTCCTCTCAAAGACCTTCAGGCCTCTCACCCACGTCTCCTTCACCACGCCCGTCATCTTCCTCCCTTGGTAGGGGCTAACTTTATTCCTAAATAGCATTTGTTCCCTCCCCACCACAAATTCGCCCTCATCATCAAACACGCAGACGTCTGCATCCATACCAGGTCTCAAGGCACCCTTCTTATGGCTCAATCCTACTTGCGAGGCGGTGTTAATAGCGCACAGACGTACCACGTCGAGGATGCTGAGCTGAGAGGAGCGCGACTTGGCTTCAGTCCATAGGATTGGAAGCCCCAAGCCCACGGATGATATACCACCCCAGGATGCGAAGAAATCGCCTCGTTCCTTTTCTTCGGATTCTTCCTTTGTCATCACCTCGCCGTTCACACCCTTTACAGATCCGTGAGGGCCGGAGGAGCCGCATCCATGGCTTAAGCTCTCAGGGAGCAGTTTGAGTTCAGGTGTACATGGGCTATGGTCCGAGACCACTGTTTGGATGACTGAATTTGGAGATGAGATCTCAGACCAGAGGCCATCGCGGTTGACCGAGTTCCGGATCGGAGGGCAACATTTGTGCCTCGTGTCACCGTCGGCTACTTCCTCGGATGCGAGTGCCAGGTAGTGGAAGCATGTTTCTGCTGTGATTTTAACACCCCGGTCACGTGCCTGTCGTAGTAGAGGAATCGCCTCAATAGCTGATAAGTGAACGACATGTAATTGGAGTTCAGGCGCGAGGTGTGCTAGGGATAGAATCTGCTCGATCGCATAAGTTTCGAAGGCAGGTGGGCGTGACAGGAGGAATGTGTCATATGATGTGAGGGCGCCGGCCGGCGTGACTGGTGGGAGGGATATCTGAACATCGTCCCCAACGGACGCCGCTATCGGAGGAATCATCTCTGCATGGAACATTAATGTTGTTCTTGTCGATGCCAGAGCCTTCATCGCGAGTGCTACATCAGATGAAGATACGGCAGGGAACTCGTCAACCTACTCATTGTAAACGTTAGTAAACGTTTCTTTAGCGGATAATTGAAGCACATACGCCGCTCTCTATCAAGAAACCCTTGAATCCGCGTACACCTGCCTCGACTAGCGGTAGCAATTCGGCAGCATTTCCCGGAACTATGCCACCGTAAAAGCCAGTGTCCACCCAGCATTGCCCTTCAGCTGCTTTGATCTTCTCCTTCAGACCATTCACGGTTGTGGTGGGTGGAATAGCATTTAATGGCATATCAATAACGGTTGTTACACCGCCTGAAGCCGCAGCGCGGGTTCCAGTATAGAAGCCTTCCCATTCTGTCCGTCCAGGTTCGTTCAAGTGCACGTGAGCGTCGACCAGGCCAGGTAAAAGCAAATTTGGCGTATGGTCTATATATGTAGTATATTGGGGAAAGCTTGTCGGTGGTACTATTGAAGGGACAATGGATATGATCTTTCCAGTTTGCGGAGATAGCGTGAGGGTTGCCGGTGAAACAATTAAGTTGCCGTCCTCATCGAAGATGACAGCTCGAGACGAGACCAGCACGACAACAGGGGTACCTGACTCGGATGTTGGAGTATGAAGGGGCTTTGGGTAAGGAAAGTTGTTGGAAAGGTTGTTGACTATCATTGTGGCAACTGTTATGAGCTATTCAAGGAGTTTAGGTGTCGACGAAGATTGAAAGATTCAACGAGCGGAATGAACGGATCTCCAGGACTAAGCGCATATACTGGGTGCAAAATCTTCTCATCGGAGCACTTGGGGAGCGATAGGGGATTTTGCCAAGGACAAAGCTAATAAGGCCTCAAGAGGAGTTCGGCTTCGTTCTCTTTGTGGTGTTTGAGTGGAAAGGAGAGTTCGGCGCAAAAAGAAACGTTGGCAAAACAAAAGAAACGAGAAAACGGGCATGGCGGGGTGCGTCCCGCTTGTATCTGAATCCTCCACAAGCCCAATGGCGGAACAGCCCGCCAGATAGCGGCTTATCGCTATCAAACCGCTAACAGGGGCCTAGACCTACTAAGTCCTCATAGATGCCCATCTAAGGTTTTGAAGCCTCACAATTCAGGCCTAGCCCATATCCGCTCTGTAGTGCAGACCACCGGCTTGCAGACCAGCGCTCCAAGTCCCTTGTGACCCTTTGGGGCGCCGGCAATGAAGCGGCAGTGGCGTTCTCATCGGACAATAGAGCTTCCGTGGGATCCAAGGCGTACGTCGTGCTGCTGTTGAAGACACAGCGATGGCAGCTGTCATGCGGCATGTTCGGGAAGTATTGGAAGTGGCAATTCGACGGGGCAGGACATGTTTTCACGCTACCATCGGGGCTAGAACAACAATCCGTAAATTCAGTACTAGCACCACAATACCGGCACATAAGGTACCTAGGTAGGTAGGGTAGACGTGCCAGAGCTAAAGGCCAAGGTGCCGCGGAGGAGTGAAGTGTTAGAGCTAGCGACGGCCCTGGTGGTATGGATAAGCAATTCAGGGCCCAGTAGCGCGGATGAGTGAAGCACAGGCTATGGAGGGTGAGATTGCAGCACCGGGGTTGGTGGATCAGTTTCAGATTGGATCAGATTTCTTGGGGCAAGCTCGCACGGGCTTCGTGACATGTTACTCTACAGTAGAGTTTGCCTTGGTCTCACATTTGGCGCAATCGACTTTACGGCGGCCTGGTGTGCAGAAGGTTGTCCAGAACCCCAATGTCTCTTCGCAGCATCAAGGTCGGCCTGCTTCCCGACGGCCTCAACAACACGATGTGAAAAGGGAGGCTGCGGGGATGTCGGATATCGAGCAGATTAGCTTGGTATCAAAATGAGCGGATGAGAAGTTTAAAGTCTGTATGTACCATGGCATTTGATTAGAAGAACGCATCTCGCCTTTACCATTACTTCTCGCTACTGCATCTTCATAGACACCATGCAATAAACAAAGATGATACAAAAAGACCCATCCCATAATACTCCGGACACAATAAAGGTTTTCTTTTGGTCTGTTCACTTTCGAATATGGTGCGGTACATCCAATCCACGAGTCCCCACTACTCTGGGTCACACCCAACGAAGTATCAATTTGGAGTGGAGTAGAATTGGCCCCGGATAGACTCTTGCACAGATAAGTGTTGTTCGACCTGTACCGCAGATGTTCCTCTGTCGTGCACATCAGCCACCAGCCAATGTTCATATGGTGGAAGTTCCGATCTGAAAGAAGATGTGTGATGCTCTGCGTAGACAAGATCTGGGGCGTGATATATATCTCTGTGGTATACATTCGACGAGTATTGACGAAGTTGAAGTTCTTCTTGAGGCCCAATCCAACTCCCTATGAAGCGTAGGTTGTTGACTTCTTCGTAGGGCATTTGCAAAGGATCAAACGCTTTGTCGTGCTGCTTGTCCTCTGTAAGACACGCTGAGTTTTGTCCTGATACGTGGGGTGGGGAATGGTTAGATAGTAGTGAGAGCTGTGTGGCGTGTGTGGTATCGGTGGCAGGTTGGACCTTCTTTGCAGAGCGGGCCGTGGACTGCGGTGGTTGTTGAGCTGAGATTGGAGAGGGAGTGTTCGAGTCCTTCTTGATAAGTGAAGAACTTAACTTTGTTTCAGCACAAAATAATGTTATTGCGAGAGGATGACACTCACCTCGTGGCAGCGTGTGTTGCAGACATCTGAAGAGTAAGCGTTGGAACTCCTTTGCTTACTACAAAAGCTGATCCTCGGAACACAAAAGTATATTGGAAATATAGGAAGGCCAAGTTTGGAAATGGATAAGTTATGAAAGGACTGAAGAAAGGCTTGAAATCCCAATGTCAACCGTAGGGACAATATATATATCTGGATGCGCGCGACCGAGGAACTCGCTTTTATGTATAGTGAAAGAATTGGAAAAGCAGTAAGACCAAAGTTAACTCTGAGTTGCCGGTCCAAAGAGAAATTTGAACAGCTCAGCAAGTCAAGGGATCATCTTACCGGTCACACTAGCATGCTAACATAGCTATGTAGACTCGGTTGCCTTTCCGAATGCTCCAACGCCTGAGATACCTCAATCTCTCGAGCTTCTCCTTGGTCAGAAAGCTTTTGTCTCCTTCAAATAAGGGATTCAGTGCTCGTCACAAGCAGGAAAGCACACAAGAGAGCGACGCCTATTTGACCAGCTTTTCATACAGTCTGGACACCGGTGCCCATTATATTGACGAGTTCGTTTACCTTCAAGCTAGTCCAAGTATATTATACCTCTTTGGGTGTAGTCCTGGTCGAGGTGCCGTCTAGGATGAGAGAGCGGAGCAGTGAGGGACGTGATCTATTGGATAGATGACTTTTGTCTTCAAGTTCTCTGCAACAAAATGGGGAATACTTTAGGATATGTGGCATTCTCTATGTACATGTGTTGCGGGTTGAAAAGTTGGGCACTTGCGCTTCTGGGTGGAGTCGGCAATGTCCTGGATTGGTCAGAATACTTTTGTTCCTGCCCATGTATGCACTTCTGGATCTGCCTCAACTCGGCAAGCTCCCGCCTTCGTGAGACAAGACTGTCATCGGTATTTGCGTATTGGCCTACATCCGAGTATCTATGGTTGGTTGGATGACTTTTGTCAAGCCTGGCTTCAACGGACTTGTGTTCACCGCCTCCGACATTGAGAACGCCCGATTTGTATTGAGTAAGCATTAGTGCAAGGCTGTGCCTATTTCAGGACAAGCTCGAGTCTCGTTCCCATCGTTCTATAAATGTTGATTCTCTCCTAAAGCAGTCCTCACACCTTCTCTTGCTCAGTTTGAGCTAAACATTGGGAAAAATCGATAGAGAATATGGCGGACGTCCCACCATCGCACTTAACCGCACCTTACGCCCAGAGATGGGAGCTTCTGAAGGGGGTCATGCATCGATTATACATCGTCGAGAACAAAACAGCGAAAGATATCGTCGAGATAATAAAAAGAGACTACAAATTCTATGCATCGTTAGTACCTTTCCACGCCTTTTATCCCTAAGTACCCAAAGGAATTCAAGAAGCATCGCTCTAACCTGTTGTTTTCAGGGAAAACCAATATAAAAGTCAATTTAAAAAATGGAATATGGTAAAGGCCCTTCCCACGAAGAAGAAAGTCAAGATTCTACGGGACTTGGAGACTCGGGCGCGAAAGGGAAAATGCTCAGTGGTGTTATACCATGGACGAGAAATTGAAGACAAGAACATCGAAGGTACATGAAAGAATCAAGGAGACAACAACTTGCCCTTGGGCAAGGCGTAGGCCACAGGGCTATCGGGATCGAGAACTTGTCAGGGCATGCTCTACAATGCGGGAATCGCCTGTAAGTGGAAATCTTTGGGCTCGTGCTCCCATAAATTGTAACTTTTTGTCAACAGGTTTATGAACTGGAGTATTCCTGCTGCTGTGGTGCGATTCTTGAAATCGAAGGCCACAGAACATGTCTCGCCTTGTAAGTGCTGTTTCTTTGCATGGTATCCTCCAATGCTCTGCGACTTCTGTAGCTTTCGAGATTTAGAAAATACCTTTACATCTACTTAACCATGATACTGATTCTTTGGTTTACCAGACGCTGAAGGAACCCCAATGAGTGGCGTTGAAGTCTGTACCCCAAAGACAGCGCCATCGCCGAAACAGGCTCCATCGCCTCTTACCAATTCGAATTCAAATAATGGTCATTCCAGCATGATGTTACTTGGTCAGGATAGTCTAAAACTCAGCAGGGTGCACACTTTCATTGGAAAAGAACATATGGCTCTCGTGAATAGGATGAGTGTACAAGAACAAACGTGCGTTGGGCCTTTGCGGTCGTCTGTTTATTTTGCTAATGGTGGGAAGTGTTACCACTGACTGGTTACACCTCTGGCTATTTGCGTTCCGAACCGCGAGGACTTGGGGTCGCGGGCCACGCGTGTGGGATTCCAGCAATCTCAATTTCGAACGATTCGTTCAAGGATCTTCCCAGAACTCGGTTGATACCCCTGGCGGCCCGATGGTGGGTTCTCCTTATTCTCAGTCGTCTCACCAAAGCCCCAGACAAAGGGTCAGCCAAGGTGCCAACATCTCCAACCCGGATTCCAAGTGCAGATGGAGTATCCATGTTTGTGAAATAGAATACGACATACAGAATTCCCCTATAGCATCAAATGATGAAGTTATTGACCTGGGCGACGAGGGAGGCTGGAAACCTTGGCCTCGGCAACAAATTATCTCTGGTTTTGCTGATTTGCTGAAGAAGAATATCGAAAGTAACGACTTCAGTAATGGTGAGATCACGGATCTTCCAATCAACACCAACCAGATAATTAAAGCGATGAAGAGATCGCCGGGACAACTATTGGTAGAAGCCTTTGGTTTTAGCATCATGGCACGTAACGTCGTTCTCGTGAATGACATGATACGGCAATTTCGAAAGTTCACTTGGATGACTTTTACCCTTTACATCTTGCTGCAAGCTATTTAAATGGGGCAAAATCATGTTGTGAAATCTTCGATGTCATTGTCGGGGAATGCCTACTGGGGAAGCCTCTATTCGCAAGCTCTACGTGAATCACCTGAATCACACTGTTCTTGATAATTTGATGATTGCAATTCTGAAGGCACATACTTCCTGTACTCCAGGAATGGTCGACGAGGCATTCAAGAAAGAAACTCGATTCTCGGGAGAAGAAGTAGATATTTGTGGCCGATTCGACGCCGACTCAGATTGCATCCGGCAACTACAAGCCTCTGGTAGCCCCACGATATCGCAAACCTGGAAACACATGTTCTGCCATACATCTGCCCAAGTCATCACACACTGCATTGGAACTCTCTTTAAACCCCATTGGGCCCCTGATATCAATACACCTAGCGGGATTTTTCTTAAGAGGTGCGGCAATGAAACCTGCGGACTCAAAATGCAACTTAAGCCTCTTCATACTTTGGTCGTCACGGCAGTGTATCTAGCGGAGTTGGGGATTGACGGAGAAAATCGGTTTGGTATGATTGCATGCTTACTCTGTCTATTTGGTAGAGGTACAAACCCTTTGCTCACAGCGGAAATCTCGTTAAAGGCACTCCTGAACGATGACTATAGTCAGGAGTGTAGCCACTCGCAGCTTGATCCATTGGAGCTGGCCCAAAGAGTTCCAGAGAGCATGATATGCAAATGGGGCCAAGCTCGCAGGACTGGATGGGTGGTTTCTGCCATGTGCTTCGACTTTCTCAGCAAGAGTGGAAGCCCCGAGAAGCGCGGGCGAATCCTGAGGCTGTGTTAAGGAGGACCGCGGACGGCTTTCGCAGCATTTACACCGACATTATTGAAGGCATTGAGGAGGACAATATTGGCGAAGAAAATCATGAGGGTGGATGACGAAGAGGCTGAGAATCATGAGGATGATGAGGAAGAGTCTGAAGAGCGCTATTACGAGGAAGAGCATGGGTACAATCTACCCGCTATGTGCCCCGAACACTTGGAATCGTCTTACCAGCGCAACTACTTCCGCAAGAACAAGTACTTGGCGACTTTGTGTGCGGCGGTGCAAACAGAATTGGTCACATATCGTCGAATCGAGGAAGGAGACCCCTGGATCTCTGAGAACTTCAACCTATTGTCGGTGCTTAAAAGCTTAGAGACAGAGACTGAGCTGCAGATTGGGCTAGTATCCAACAAAATGATGAACGTTTTCTGTAGATGTGGGATTTTTTACCGCTCTGATGATGTTGTATGTTTACGTGTCGAGGAAGCTTCTGCATATTACTTCTCAAATCTGGAAGATTGGGACAGGACAAGCTTTTTGTCATCTTATTTCGACCGTTGGGACGAGTACTGATGAGAAGTTTAGAGGTTAGCTCTCTTATACGTCGGGAAGGAGATAGAACTTATCAGGAGCGGATCACGGGACGTTAGGCGTCGGCTACACCCGAGGTATTCCGACCTTTAAAGGGGGGGGTTGCTCTTGTATTTTAGGAGTTAGAGATTAATCTTATAACAATGCGAGTGTCTACTACTGAATCGTGATTCCCTAACTATAATGCCGCGGTGGGTGCAGCCCTCCACCTATTTATTTAGTTAGGCAGCAGAGTCAAGCGGTGAAAAACCAAGGGGCTACACTTATTTTCGAAGGTAAATTATACTTATTTAAAGAAAAACTATAATTAAAGATAGAATTGAAAAGTAGGAAGTTAGGATATAAAGAAAGTAACTACTTTTATTTTATTTCTATTATTAAATTCAGATATTCTCACGTTCTTTCTGGGGCACATATCACGGATTCCTGACAACCTATATCATTTTGTGGAAGCATCTTGAGAAACATATCAAAATATCACTAAAATTTCGCTGTAGGCAACAATACTGTTCCTTTGGAAGAAATTCCAAGGCCCTTAAATGGATTACCCTTGAAAATTCTGAAGCCAAACCGGGCGACAGCACATATCATAGGCTACGGCGAATAAGTAGCCTCTTGTCTGACCCAATTCCGAGATGTGATACTAAGAACTTGTAGTATACCAAGGGTGCTTAAGCATCTATTCTGCGCTCCAACGCTCCTTGACATCATATGTCAAGATGTTGCTAAGCAGATCATACAGCGCCTCCAGCTCCGGATGTTGAAATATATCACACCTTTCCGTTTCCTCCAAGTGGTCGGCTAGCTTAATTTTTCCCGGCTCGATGCTGCCATCATCAGATTCTGTTTTATGGTAGAGTCGGCTGAGTCCTCTCAATTGTGGCCGAATAGATGAGCGTGTCCATTCACTAAGACGGGAATAAAAGGTGCACCAACGACAGGACTGTATCCATGCCATCAGATTGCCCCCAAAAAAATTCTGCCTTATTTCTCCCTGTATTCTGCCCATTATCTGTGCTCCCTGCGAACTTAGGGCGGCGTCTTCCTTAAGCTGTGCGGCTTCTTGACGCGCACGATTAAGAATTTGTGCCTTCAACGACATCTCCTCATCGCGAACCACTGAATCCATAAAGCTTAACATACATCAGTGAGTCGTCCATAGGTCCTAACAATTCCACCCTTTGATGTAAGGTCTCGTCATCATATCCTAATCCGTCGAACAGATCTTCCCCCATACGTATCTCGAATATGCAACAAGCAAGCGTCCAAGTGTCGGATGGCTTACCAGCCATGTTATGAACAAGCAACTCCGGAGAGCAGTAGTGGGCAGGCGTTCCTAGTGCTGGGGGTAGATTGTTAAGGCGGAAGGACTGTCCGAAATCAATGACCTTGATATTCCCCGTGCGCCATGAGAACACTTTACCAAGATCTGCAGGCTGAACGATATATCTTGGTGCTGATGGTGATGAAGGACAGTCTCCTGTGGCCGTGCATATGTTCCCATATTCAGGGTGGCCAAACATTTCAAACATTTCGATAGCGGAGAGGGAATCGACGTTTGATATTTCGAGAACGATGATGTCGATGTAGAGGTCGCCGTGCGCTATTGAGACAGCGCTGGAGTGGAGAAGATATAGAACGCTTGTAAGTTGGTGGGCGATACGTTGTATTTCTACAACTTCAAGACTAATGTCGTCTTTCCTGAGCTGCCTCATGTTGGGGCCCACAGCGTCAGATACGAGACACAAGTGAGTGCTATTCGGACTAGAAATATAGAACTTCTCCTGAGGAATACTGATGAATTTCTTGGCTGGGTGGTCGCCTCCATGTCGTGTGACAGGCTCTAGGATATCTCATTCCGTGGAGTTGCCATCTTCGGATGCTTTTGCTATAAGGACCTTGATGGCGAGGTTGGTTTGCTTCTTGGAATCTCGAGCTAACCAGACAGTTGAGCATGCTCCATGGCCAAGCTTATGAATAACCTCGAAGCGATCATCGCACCATCTATCCCCAATATGAACGAGATGGTAGCCCCCTGGTCGGTATCCCTCTATATTCTCGACACCAATGATGCTTGCTGGGCAGAATAAGGCCTTGAACTTCTCTACTCTAGGCTCTGGCCCCTCGTCTCGCTCAGCATCATCCACCAGCTCATAGATTTCCTCGTCAGTAAAGCTAGGCTTTTCCAAGCTATCAGCCAGTTTTGCTTGGGAAGATTCCAATTTCTCTCCCTCCATTTCTTGTCCTTCTAAGCGTAGCGGCTCGGGTTCAAGTGACATGCTGTTGTCTTGATTGACGTTGAAGTTGAAATGAGGTTGAGCTGTGCGAGGAATAAAACCCCAGGTTTCAAGAAGAGGGGAAAAGAATGGATTGTCGTCTAGAAAGAGTGACGGATGATTCACACCCTACTTAATAAGTGGGAACACGTGCCTGTCTCTGAGATATTGGTATTGGCTGTGGGGGATACCAACACTTGGAGGGATTGAACTCCAAAATGTAAGTTACTAAAGCAATGCAGGAAAGTCTGTAACTTGTGTGTTTTTGTTTGGCGAATCTTTGACCTATCAAAATTATACTGTCAACATCTCATTTGCTACTTTTCCGCCCGTACACACTGCGAAATACGGTATATATCCGCCCATGCTCTCTTAGTGCCCGCGGCAAAGCATCAGCATAGCTAAATAATGACAATAGAGGGAGTTGTCACAAGGAAGCCAGAAATGGCGGCAGGTCCGGCGAAATTGTACCGGATGATTTCCATGTGATTGGTCTATTTGAAGGGTGGAGGCTTAAGAGAATGCTCACATCTACTGTGGGTTTCCACCAAACGTGGCACATAATCCTGAGAATATAACGATCTATCGTAGGCATGATAGACCCTATCTACTCTGGTGAGAGTTCCGGGAACCAAAGCTAAAGCCGGAACCGAAGGGTCAAAACCCTTGGGACCAACTCTGGCGGAAGTTCTGATATTTTGAGGACGTGGTACGTCTAGGCCTCCAAACAATATGATGCCAGCTAACCATCGTTGTCTACCTAGCACCAGCGAAATCACACCCAGATATTTTCCACAGTTTGTCCATGACTACATTATGTCTCGGCGGTAGGAAGCCTCTTGTTAAAGCATTTCCGAGCTACTTCTCAATAGTTCGACAACCGTCAACCGCCAGAGTCTTCCCTTCTCTTCGAACCATTTTCGCTTACCCTCCTTCTTGATTCTTGTTCAGTTTTGCAGACCAACATTAATAGGATCGTCCCCTGCCCGGCTACACTTTGAATACGAATTTCTCTACTTTCCTAGATAGATAAATGTTAGACAGCGGGGCAGCGGGGCAGACAGCCTTACCATAGGGTGTTTTGACAGATTGTTGTTTTCTCAGCAATGGTCGTTTGACTAGCATAGAACGGCGTTTGCGCTTTCAAGATCCCCTTTTTACGACAATTCAAAATTCCTTTGTTAAGGGAAGGAGAACCTCGAACGAGCCCTTATTGGCCATGGTACCTTTCCCGGCACTTAGCTGGCATCACAGTTTTAATTCACTGACCGTTCTCATTCCACATATTCGTGTCAAAGTCAAATGATTTTTCAGGGCACTAAATGGAAGTACTCTGTAACCCGCCAATTTCACTCTCCTGTTTCCGTGGCAACAAAGTGAGAATGCCACCACGTTAGACAAATAGTAGGTCTGAGATGTAAGGTCACACGAGTAACAATAATACGAACTTGCTTGTAGCCATCTACAAAGGCAAGCTTACCTTTGACCCCACCTGCTTTGGGTCCCTTCTACTTTAACTTACCCATTTTCCCATTCTTTTCTTCCCCCAACTCTCAGAAGTAACAAACAAAATTCAATCCAGAGTCCAGGACATAATGTTGCGGTTGGGTGTTGCTAAGTAAAAAGCAACAGTAGACAGGCTCCAAAATCTAATCATTAAGAAGACCATAACTCCGGTCGGTGCAAGAAAATCTTCAGGACTAGATTGGATCGTACTGGCATGAAACCCTTCGTGTTTGGGTGTTTGGCGTGGTCTAAAATTCACCTTCCGAACGACTCTCCTCGCCATCGCTTATCCGAATATAAAAAAAAGCAGCTCACCTAAGAAAAATAAAAAAACGCGATCAAAGAACAAAATAGCAAAAGAAATATCCAATGCTAGATTAAATACCAAGGAACTCCAGTTTTTTAGACTTTAGTTATCTCTAACAGGTCATCCAGGGTCATCCCAGGACTTAATTGTTATAGCAGAGGAACAAGCCCAGCCCGCCAACACGCCTATTGGTCACCTGTCACTTTATGGGGTTTTTGCTTATTTTGTTATATATTGATGCCTCCTAGGTTGGGCGGTGAATACTCGGTAGAGAGCATCTGTCACATTTTCCTCGCTAGCGACATGACGTCCGTTTAAGTATGGCAGGTACCTACCTACCTTAGGCAGTGGTTTAGTTCTCTTGAAACGCGTGGCACAATGGCGGCATAAAAGGGTTAGAGGAAGGTAAAACTTGAGTGATAACTGTTTTTAGACTTGTTTGAGTGCTAGCTAGTCTAATATTGACCATTTTCTTTAGCAAAAAACAGATTGAATGTCCATAAGTAAGCAATTGCCTAATCCCTCCCTCAAACTCCATAGTATCCAGCCTTGCCTCGCCAATGCACCTCAAACCAAAGCAAAGAAAGCAATCATAAATACCCGCTAAGTACATTATCCCCCGCCTCTAGGCTTAGACTTCGCCTTCGCCTTCTCCTTTTTCTCCTCCTTCAGCCTCTTCTTCTTCTCCTCATTCTTCTCATCGTTCTTCCGTTTTAAATTCTTGATCTCGGCCTCCGTCTTCGGAATTGGCTTAAAGAATCCTTCCAATCTTGCCTGCTGGCTAGTCTTAAGATTCTTCTGCAATCTTGCGGCACCAGCTCGGACTCTGTCTTCTGAGAATCCTTTGTCGGTGACGAGGAATTGGATGAGACCGTCAATGTCAGGGGCTTCCCACTTGAATTCGCACTCAGGGGCGTCGGCTGGTCTGACATCGGGGTTGAGGAAGAGCTCGCGGGCGTCGGCGAAGGGCCAGTCTTCTGGGATGGTATACTTTGATTTTGGGTCGTTCTGGACTGCTTCTACAAAGTTCTCGAGGGTTTTATATTCGCGGATTAACTTTAGAGCTGTATGAGGACCGACTTTAGGAATGGGGTCGAGATAGTCGCAGCCTAAGAGGATGCAAAGGTCGACAAACTATACGGTATCAGTATTCTGCGAGCAGCTATCCTAGACCAGGGGCAGTGACCTGCTTCCGATCCATATCCAGACCAGCCAAAACCTTTTCCAGAAAGATCTCTTGAATTGGTTCCTTTCTCTGTTCGCTGAATGTAAGATGTCTTAACAATACGGGAGAGTCGAAGCACAGCGTGTCCATATCCTCACTCGCCGCAGCGTATACCTTGCCGGCTCTGGCGAGAACAGCGCATTGGGCCTCTGCTTCTGTGGGGGCGATCAAGTAGGGAATACCCATAAGCTTCAGCAGGCGTTGACATTCCGCATTGTGTTCCCTTGTAACTCGAACCGTCCGGCGTGAGAACTTCTCGATGTCTTCCGCGGTACCAGTCTCCTTTGCCTCCTCCAATCCTTCAGTTGCGGTGGCCTTTCGTTGAAACCGTTTCGCCAGCTCGCCAGATTTAAGCTTAGGAGGAGCGCCATCAAATACGTAAAGCGGCTTGATACCATTGTCGACAATTCGCAGGGTGCGGTAGAACATACCCATTAAATGTGAAGTTGTCTCACCATCTTCGTTTGTGAGCATCTCTCCTCCTGAGCGAACGGCGATCAGGAAGCTGTAAATGCTCATAGAGCTAAAACGGAGTCAGCATATTAACGTCAGTTTAGGGGAGTGGTGGTCCCATACGCATCCTGGAAGTAAAAGTCAGTCAATTGATTATCCATAGATCATGACGCTGTCACTTACAATCGCAACCTTCCTGCCGAATTGATTTTTTATCTCGCCCTCTTTGTAGGCATCTGGACATTCATCCTTGATGACCTGGTACAGCTGCTTGATTCCCATCTTGTCAAATGAGGCTGAGCACCGGTAACTGTTCGTTGCGGGCGTTTCTATGGGAAGATGTGCGACTTGATAGCTTCAATACTTTTGACGATGTGAGGTGACGCGATGTCACGAACGAAGCGCGATTTCGCGTTGAGTGGTTACGAGTACGAACTCGGCACCATGTCGGGTAAATGTCGGCTTGCTTCAGAGGCCTTGCCATCAGTACATCGAATCGAGGCAAGACTTCTTCAAACGATTGCCAACTTAGCCATTAGCTAAAGTACTGATTCGTCTACTTTACTCTTTCTAGCAAAGAATATGTCACTGCGGATCCAAACTTCCTGAGCCATTCCTCACCGCGCCTAGGCATATAAACGAGAATGCAACACGCCTACCGAGGCTATGTCTCATACGAGTAAGGGACGCGCTCGGAACTCGCAGGGCAATAAAATGGGGAATTAGAGCGGGGTTAAGGAGCTATCATTACCAGTGAGCGTACGGGAATAAGTGGTCGAGTGTCGGTATACAATAGCCCACCTTCGACCAGCAAAATATTTACATTTCGGATCATGCCAAATTTATAGTCAGAGACATTCTAATATTCGCGGCCTCAAGATGTACAGGCCATTGATCCGAAATACCGCAAGCCACTGTGCTGTTGCTGCTCGCCCAATAGCATGTAAGGGGTATGCTTCGTCTGCTACCCCTCCACCATTCAATTGGGAGGACCCTTTGAATGCAAAGAGTCTTTTGACAGAGGAGGAGATTGCCATTTCAGAAACAACAGAGGCATATTGTCAGGAGCGATTGCTGCCAAGGGTCCTCCGTAAGTCCAACCTGCCACACAAGGCATTGGGTGTGCTGTCTGACGTGGTGGAATAATAGAGGCCTATCGAGACGAGCATTATGACAAAACAATCCTGGAGGAAATGGGCGAGCTCGGCTTGCTTGGTGCCACGATCAAAGGATACGGCTGCGCGGGGGTCTCGAACGTCGCCTCCGGGCTCATCACCAAGGCAGTCGAGCGAGTCGACAGTGGTTATCGATCTGGAATGTCGGTTCAATCTTCGCTGGTGATGGGAGCCATTGACATGTTTGGCACAAAAGAACACAAAGACAAATTCTTACCTAGCATGGCAAAGGGCAAGCTACTGGGCGCTTTCGGTCTTACTGAGCCAAATCATGGCAGTGATCCCGGGGCTATGGAAGCAGTTGCGAAGCCACACCCAACTAAGAAGGGGTACCTCTCTTTGTCAGGATCCAAGACCTGGATTACGAACTCTCCTATCGCAGATGTTCTGCTGGTATGGGCGAAATATCACGAAACTGGAAAAATTAGAGGTTTCTTGGTTGAGCGATCCCAATGCCCGCCTGGGACGTTGGAGACTCCTGCCATCAAAAACAAGAATGGGCTTCGAGCTTCGCTAACGGGCATGATCCACCTAGACGAATGTCCTATACCAGAAGCAAATATGTTTCCCGATGTTGAGGGCCTGCGAGGCCCGTTTTCCTGCTTGAACAACGCCAGGTATGGGATTGCGTTTGGTATAACCGGTGCTTTAGAGGACGCCATTGCTCGAGCAAGAACATATGCCTTGGAGAGGAAGCAGTTCAAGGGCAATCCCCTCGCAAAATATCAGCTCGTCCAGAAGAAGCTAGCGGACGCAACCACTGATGCTGCATTTGGAACTCTGGCAGCCATCCAAGTTGGGCGGCTGAAGGATATGGGCGAGGAGGCACCAGAAATGATCAGTATGATCAAACGGCAGAATTGTGATCGTGCCTTATGGAATGCACGGGTGCTGCAAGAAATCTTTGGTGGAAATGCTGCAAGCGATGAATACGCGATTGGAAGACATGTGGCGAATATGTACGTGACCCAGACATATGAGGGACAGAGTGACATTCACAGTAAGTATAAGTCCCAGCCCTCCTTGTTACGAACGAAGAAGTATTTGCCGAAGGCTGACTCACGATACTTAAGGCTTGATTCTGGGCAGAGCCATCACTGGTGTCCAAGCATTCTGTTAGTTCTGTAAGAAAACGGGTACTTATCGGGGGGGCTTAAGTACCTCTAGGTACATAGATACTTAACAATAAGAAATGATCGTATAGACAAACACACAGATATATATGCGTGTATGTGTATCTACCTACCTTACTATACGAGTATAGGTATACGAGTATAGGTAACTAATGTGCTGAGGCCATATATTTTATTTTCTTGCACAAGTACCAAGTACCAAGCAACATGTTATTATCCCGTTGGGCAGCATCCAGGTTGGGGGGAAAGGGGTACAAGGTACCTAAGGTATCTACGTAGCCGTAGTGCGATAGACCAACGTCATGGAGTGAAGCCCGACAGATAAGGTGAATGGCCCAATGCAAAAGAGAAAACAGCCGCCGCTATTACGGAATAATGGGAGAAGCGTATCGAAGCGCAAAGACAGGCATAGAGGGACTCAGCAGAGGCGTTGCTTTGATAAGACATGTCAGGCTGCGGGCAGAGCTGAGATGCCGCTCAGTCATCTTTTCTTTCTTGCATTCTTTCTTTCTTCTTCCTGGTTGGGTTCCTCGCTAAATTCTCTGCACCGAGCGGCGCCTACTGATTACTACTGTGGTTTTGGCGCCGATTCGCCGCTCCATCATGGCAATAAGTCGACCCGCCGATTCACGACTGCCACTCTCCACCACTCCTGCACTCCTCCACCCTTAACCTCAACCTTGAAATATTCCGTCGCCCGCCCACGAAGATCTCTATCTTCAACCCCAACTCCAGGTACGTCGCATGCCCAACTCTCCCCCGTTGCGCTCCGTGTGCGGCTCTCTCGGATGCTAGTGGCTAACAGCGACCCAGCACAGAATAGAACTTCATTCCTGTTTGCTGCGCCTCTAGATCTCTTGAGACCCGACACTCGTCTTCGCAGCCCCTCAATACCCCCCTCCTCCCGCCAAACAAAACACACAACACACATCCTTCGCAATGGCGTTGAAGAGAATCAACAAGGAGCTCACAGACCTAGGCCGGTATGTTATCCTTACTCCCGTTCACCGCCACACCTCTCCTCCAGAATCAGAAAACGCCCGTAGTGGGGTGGCTGAGCGGGGGTCTCATGCGACACCATCAATACCTTCACCCTCACTTTAACCTTTACCTTGGAGATGAAATATGTGGAAGGGTGTATGACTGACATCTTTTAGTGATCCTCCCTCGTCATGCTCAGCAGGTCCTATCGGAGATGATTTGGTACGTGCTCAAGATGCCCTCATCCAGAACCTTGGGGTCTCCCACATGCGCGAGACCACTACACGCCACCCGACCGCGCTCTGCTAGAGACATACATACTGACTTGTTACCGTCAATAGTTCCACTGGCAAGCTACCATCATGGGTCCTGTAAGTTTACTCTTCATGCCTCCACCCTCGCCTCGATATCATGTTTGGGTTCCCAGCGTCAGATTACTGCGCAAGGAAATCTTGACGATAGTATCGCCATGTACGAAAATTCACCATACTGACTTGAGTTGCAGTCGGATTCACCATATTCAGGAGGAGTCTTCTTCTTAGCCATCCACTTCCCTACCGACTACCCATTTAAGCCACCCAAGGTCAACTTCACCACCCGCATCTACCACCCAAACATCAACTCCAACGGCTCGATCTGTTTAGATATTCTCCGTGATCAATGGTCCCCGGCTCTGACGATCTCGAAAGGTATGTATCAAGCCAGCCATGCGCTTATTGGCATATACTGACATAGTAATTGATAGTCCTCCTCTCCATCTGCTCCATGCTTACCGACCCCAACCCTGATGACCCTCTCGTCCCCGAAATCGCACACGTCTACAAGACAGACCGGTCCCGATACGAGGCAACCGCGCGGGAATGGACTCGTAAATACTCATAAATATGCATCTAGCCTACCAGACCTCGACTGAACTTTTTCTTCTCTCCCCGCGAATTACGGGTTTAGCTGGCGTCAACAATGAATAATTGGTCCCCTGGGTTTTTGTGTCACAAATGGCAGCTGGTGTGGATGGGCGATTTGATCGCTTGTTGGTGGATGACCACGCCAGAGTAGTGGTGGTGGTGGTGGTGGTGGTGGTGAAATAGCGGCAGAAATGATTCGTGACTTGATAGCATCGCTGGGAGGGCAATATATGTTTATTTGCACTCGGGAAGGTTTTTGCGCTTTTGATTGTACCCCGCGTTGGTATTCCGCTCAACTCTTGGAATGCCAAAATCCGTTATCGCAGCGACAACATTCTCTGCCCACTACTTCTTAGTACTATATTTTGGTGGTTTCGTCATTGTGGGAATTGTGCACATATGGCATCTCATGACGGTCGTGATAGAACCACATAGCTTACGGAGTATGCTCTATATTGTGACTTTCAGATATTCGTACCTACCTAGGGATGCTTTCTTTCCTGCCCAATATTGCCACATTCAGCTTTACTTGCTCTTTCTCAATTTTCTCGCTTCTAATTTCCAAAGCGGCCATCTAGGTGTAAACAGAACCCCATTTCTCTTCTCGCCCCTCTTCCCATTGAAATCTTCCTTATCGTAGTAAGTATAATATAAATGAGAAACATTGGATTTCGTGCCCGGAATCACTTGGGCCGCCCAGGCTTCTAGGGATGGTCCTTATTCTTAGTATATACCCTCTCACCTCCAGGATCTTTTCTTCCCCAAGTTCTCGGGTTGCACGACATTCAGCAATACCGCATATCATACAAACCTCATGGCGGGCGTTGGATTCTGCCGATTCGCTCACTGTATGTCTATCGATGTCTTCCCTCCGGGTATCTTGTAGGTGGCGATCGGGAAGAGCATGCAGATGCGAAGGAAGTGGCTCTGATGCCTCGACATGAAGTCCTCCGCGGGGCGCTTGGGTGTTTTGCGGAAGCGCCCGCCCCTCCTTGTCCTTAACATTTCTATTTTCTATATTTATCCTTGTGGGATGTGGGGGACGGGACGGGTTGGACAAGGTCAATTAGTACAATACAGTACATATGTACTTTCGTAGTGCAGCTTCAAGTTTGCGTGATTTCGTACATAGTTTCATTTCTATATTTGGTGGAACACAAGAGACTAGTGTTGACTACTAAATATCCACCAAGATATCTACTCACCTACCTTGATCCTTCTAGCATTGCTACTCATCGGAAATTGGATGAGATACCAAAGGTATAGACAGTACGTGTTGCCGCGCGAATGCCGTTTGATCAGTCCCTGGGTAGGTGCAAAATGGGCTGATTATCGGGACATATGCTGGGAGGCATTAGGACTCGCAGGAATTAGGCGTGGATCTGAGTTTGAGGCACGTTTAAGGGGCCGGTAAGCGGGAAGATTGTTTTGTTTTGTTTTGTTCTGTTCTGTTTTGTCTGAGGGAGTGGGAGGTTGGTGGGTGGACGCCATGTGGATTTGACTGTTTGACCTGGAGCGAGGGGAATTGACATTGGGTGAGGTGGGTAAGGGTTGTGGTGCAAGTCTCAGTTCGAAGTAGGAGGACTTTGCGAAGATTGGGATGTAAGGGAAAAGTACTATGGTTATACAGAGGAGGCTGTTGATGGGAGTCTAGAGTACTTCTCTGTAAGTAATTGTCCTGATTTTGGGATGGCTTGCTCTCTCTTTAGACAGAGGCCAAGATGGTATATTTTCGTCTCTTCCTGATCCCAACTCGGTGGTTCTAGAAGTGCTCTATGGCTGGACTTGCTCAAGTCCGGAACTTGGGCGGCCTCGAACGAATAGCAACGAAAGACATAGGACACGAGATATGGATCCGAGGAGATCTCCTACTAGGCCCGGGGGTGTTGCAGAGGGCGCCGCCACTTGGCGAGTAGAAGAGGAAGCTTTAACCTGGGTGTTCGTTTTGCTTTAATGTCTCTGAGGGTGCTGGAACATGTAGAACTACTACTACGAAGTACTGGAGTAACTATACTCCGTACACAGGTACTTCTCCGCGCGGCAAAAACGGCAGCTTTGCGTGCGCATCTGAGGCTCTGACGCTGTAGACGGGCTTCGTACTCGCTGGAGACCATCGTCCGCAAGGTTACAAGAGGCGTTGCAGTCTGTCGCACGATCCCCGTCCGAAACAGCATTGCGACAGCACTGACGGATTGGCGCGCAATGGCTCCTTGGACGCAGCGCCACAGCCAATCGCAAGCGGCCGTTCGCGCCTTGATGAAGGGTCTATATCCGATCTCTCCAAACGACCCTCTCGCCCCTTTTCCCCCATAGGCTCCAAAGCGTCCAATTCATGGCCGCTGGTCCTTATTTCGACCCCCAACGGGCCCAAGACCGGGGCTTGGTGCTCTCCCAAGCAGCCAGGGCCGTGTTGCGCAGGGAGCGAGGTATACGAATGCTCGAGGGATCGGGCAGGCTACTCAGATCCTCAGACGTTCACGATGCCAGAGCTTGGGTCCCATCAGGCCATTCACCCTTCTCGTATGTCCCACGCATGAACGTGACGAGGCCCTTCTCCTCCTCTTTTGTATTGTTCACACAGACAATCCCGACTCTCTCATTCGTTTCTTGCTCTGCTCTGCTGTGGTGTGCTTTTCTCATTGCCGGGTGCTGCTTTCCTTCTTCACGCCCTCCATAACATAGATAATATCTAACTCTGCGCTTGGTATTGCGCAACAGTACGGGCAGTCACCGCAGGGCAGGTACTTTGTAAAGGTACGTCTAGACATGCTCTTTCATCTATCTACCTTGACTTGGTTTCCTCCCCTCAAACCCGCCACCCGCCGATCCGCCTGCAAACCGGGCTTCTGATAGATATTGTCGCTGACCTCGTCTGTCCTGCTCCCCTCACAGGCCCCTCGTCCTCCACGCTCCTTCAAACATCCACGCTCTCTACGACCAGATCTATTTTCACTTACGAGCTTCTGTCATCTCAGCAGGCTCTGGATGATAACGCTCTAGTTCTAATTTAAAGTATCTATTTATCTAAATCAATAATCGGAAGGGAGCAGAGTTCACGACGGAGGGCTCTTCGAGAAAAGAGGCTCATCCGGCCGTTGGAGTCGACCTGAGCTCGCACGAATAGAACGATGTCTTCAAATACGGGTTTTTCGAGGAGTAGCACCGGCTCGATCAAGGTGTCAGAGCGATCGCGATGGCCACCATTAACACGGGTGTTAATGTCGGGAGAGATGAGCGCTGAACGGCCGAGGGAATTAAATTTGCGAGAGAAGTTTGATAGATGGATGGTGAATGAAGGATATCGGCGATTGTGGGTAACGCTCTGGGAATCTTCGAGAGTCGTTTGGCTAACCTATGGCTAGTTTCGTCTTCATCTTCGCCGGCATCCATATGATGATCTTCGCTTTCGGATTCATGAATTACCAGATCAAAGACAATCTCACCATAGCCCGAAGCACATTCGGTCTTACATATGCGACAGCAAGAGCGGCAGCCTTGACCCTGCATTTTGATGTGGCTATGATTCTATTCCCGGTCTGCAGGACGCTCATCTCCTTGGCTCGTCAGACTCCTCTGAACGGCATTGTCCAATTCGACAAGAATATTACCTTCCACATCACCACTGCTTGGTCAATTGTCTTCTTCTCCTGGGTCCACACCATCGCGCATTGGAACAACTTCGCTCAGATCTCAGCAAAGAACAACCTTGGCTTTGGAGGTTTCCTTCTTGCAAACTTCGTGTCCGGCCCTGGATGGACTGGGTACATAATGCTGACTGCACTCATGTGCATGGTTGCTACATCCGTCGAGAAGATGCGTCGTGCCAACTTCGAGCGCTTCTGGTACACGCATCATATGTTCGTTGTCTTCTTTGTCTTCTGGTCGATTCACGGTGCTTTCTGCATGATCCAACCTGATTTCGCGCCTTATTGTGTCAGTGTGGGATCGACGGCCATTGGTGTATTCTGGCAATACTGGATGTACGGCGGATATATTTACCTGATGGAAAGAATTGCAAGAGAGATCCGTGGCAAGCACAAGACCTACATCTCCAAGGTTGTCCAACATCCTAGCAACGTCTGCGAAATCCAGATCAAGAAAGAAAACACCAAGACTAGGGCAGGGCAGTATATCTTCTTTTGCTGCCCTGAGGTCTCCGTCTGGCAGTATCACCCTTTCACGCTGACCTCTGCTCCCGAGGAAGACTATATCTCTATTCACGTGAGAATGGTCGGGGATTTCACGAAAGCCGTAGGCCGAACTCTAGGCTGCGATATCGACAAGCCACGAGGTGGAGGTGAAGGCAAGAAGGAAGCATCCCAAGTCGTGGGTGTCAACTCAAACGCTCCCGGAGTAGAAACCGTCGACCCAGCCATCCGGCGAATTCTCCCCCGTGTCTACATCGACGGCCCCTTCGGCTCCGCCTCAGAAGACGTCTTCAAATATGAGATTGCCATGCTTTGCGGTGCAGGAATTGGTGTCACTCCTTTCGCCTCAATTCTCAAATCAATATGGTACCGAATGAACTACCCCCAGAAGAAAACTCGTCTCCGCAAAGTCTACTTCTTCTGGGTCTGTCGAGATTTTGGTTCCTTCGAATGGTTCCGCTCACTGTTGCTGGCTATTGAAGCCCAAGACATGGATAACCATATTGAAATCCATACGTATTTGACGGCGAAGATTAAGGTTGATGATGCGACCAATATCATGATCAACGATGCGAATGCAGACCGTGATGCTATTACTGGGCTGCGGGCACCAACGAATTTTGGAAGACCGAACTGGGATATGATTTTCAAGAGCATTAGGAAGATTCATGCGCCTGCGGAGGCCGGAGTGTTCTTTTGTGGGCCGAAGGGCTTGGGTAGCCAGCTGCATGTGAAGTGTAATATGTATAGTGAGCCTGGTATGTCTTCCCCCAACTCCCTCTCTATTTCTTCTACCATCTTCCACCACATATCGCGCAACATGCTAACGAGTATTACAGGTTTCTCGTTCGCGTGGGGTAAAGAAAATTTCTAAACAGGCTCAACATATATGCTATAGCCGAACTATTCACACATATTGGCGTTGCTATGGCATTAAATTTTGGCGGCATACGGATAGATACACACTCAAGGAAGAAATGAAAAAGATGTTGTTGAAATCAGAGGTGTCTTTCTACCTCGCGCAGCGCGCACACATATCATGGATGAAATGTTTGCTGGCCGCCTGCTTTTTACTTCTGTCTATTTATATGTATAGATACTTACCCAGGTACCTTCCAAATTACAATTCTTACATGGCGTTCACCATATATTGTCTCCTTATATAGGGCCCTTAGATTTCCAACTTATTATATTCCAGCAGTTCTTTTTTGTTAAACTAATACAGGTATGGCGGGGATTGGACGATGTTATTCGAGGGACAGCGCCTTAAATTCCTCCTTAATAGAAGGCACTGACATCGGTAGATCGTTTGCACACCTCGCCCATACTCTGTATTTACTCGAGGTTAGAAATACCAAGTTCTTTCCCTAGAGGGCAAAATTTCACCACTTGGTCTTTGCTCGCAATCTGCCGGCCTTCCGAATAGACGGATGGGAACGTTATATTCCGCTGAGCAAACCGCTCCTCAGGTAACACCCGTTTCTGAGCTAGGTATCAAACAAGACTCATATGCCACATCCTTCAATGGCTCCCCTCACAGGCCATCGACCGTCTCCGGCGATAGCAATCGTAATCACACTGCCTAGATTTCAAACTTATCTAAAATTCGGTCACGCCTTCTCAAGTTTAACACCCCAATTCCCCTTGCATTATCAAAAGCGCTGTTCTCAATTCAGAGTCTGTTCCAACTCCGGAACTCTTGCCGAGAACGCATGTCCGGAGTGATCGCTCAGGCATTTTAAAACCACAGAAGGTGAACATGTAAATTTGAACTGAAAAGGACCACACGGATATAACTTCGGGCTCCGTAGCATGGAAACAGTAAGTGTAGTAGGTTCTGATGCTTCCATTAGCGCCTGTCTTTTCGGAGAGGTAATGAGGACTGGATTTCAACAGGCAATACCAAGTTAACAAAAAGGGGATTCGAGCGTACGTGTGATCTGGGCTGGACGAAGACAGTCGAATCCCAGCTTTTAGATAACTTAGTGCTGCTAGGAGGATGTGAAATTTCAAGAACTGGGAGGGCAAAAAGTCAGTATCGTCAGGCTGGGGAAGCGGTGCAGAGAATGGAGGCTCCGCAATGGTAAGAGAATCCAGACTTCCGAATTCAACATCCTCCAGCCACGAAAAAAAAAAGCCATGAGAGGTAAAGCACCCGACTATTGAAATGAGGGCAATATTTCCCCGCCCAAAAACCACCTCCCAGAAGCCACATTGGTACTCGGCGGCAAAACAATTTGACCCAAATCACCCCCACTGCAATTTATATCTCGTGAGCTGCAAGCCACCTGAAGGCAAAGCAAAATATTCGCGTCACCATAGCATTTCAGCTCCTCAATAGTTCGTAGTTCGAAATCCCGGTACGGCTTTTCGACTGCCGGTAGGTCCCGTTTCGCTGCACGGTCGTGAGAACCCTCCGCAAACGCTTGAGTTGATAACGAGAAAATGAGCCGCAACGCCCGTTTCAATGTTCCACGTCATCCGGGTTATTCAGACCAATCGCACTGCAGGGAAACTGCAACTGCCCCAGTAAATCTCCACGGGACTTCAGTGGCTTGATATCTGTGGCCCAGATTTTGCAAATGGCGGTATAGATGGGCTTGACTTTGATTTTATTGTTCCGACTTGGTGAGGAAAGGAAGCTATGGACACATTGTTACTGTAGTTGGATTTCTGGAATTAGATGGAGGATAGTTTCGTGCCCATACTCCCTTTCCCGCACGCATCGAAATAATCGCCACAGTATATAGTATCAGATGGGATTTTCGATATAGATGCATCTCGTCCCCTTCGAGATCGATGTACAATCGAGGCGTAGACGGCAAAATGCAACATTGTGGCTCACTCAGTGCCCCTGAAAGCCGCAATACGACCTCCTCTGGAGCAAATCTGACCTGCTGCACAGAATACCCCGCAGGCGAGCCGGCGGTAGGCCAGGATATGGCTGCATGCATTATTGCCTTCTGCCCTGCAATTGTGGTTGGTGCTCATAGGCAATATCTCGACTTTTGCTGTCTGGACCTTCAAAAGCGCCATCCTCACGTTTGTGCCTGCACCCCACGGCCTGAACAAGCTCCCAAATTCCATGGCTGGTTGCAAGAATCCTAAAGCCGCTATTCGGCATGAAAGAGACTATTGGCTTGTAAGCCAAACTTGAGTGCACTTTACTCGGTGTGCGAATTATTGGGGAAGTCGTTAGTACCTGAACGTTGTTGCACTACAGCTGTATAGATCCTTGAGGGTGCATATTAAAGCTCAATTCAGGGTGCATTCCCGTTTTATTTTCGGAGCCTTTTTTTGCAGCAAGAGCTAAAAATCAAAAGCCTCACGTTCAGCTGCCAATCTTCCAATATTTTCCCAAGGAACCCGACAACCTGCATCGGACCTTGCATGTCCGAATGCACCACAAGCGCGGACGTCTGCCGGAAAGAGGGGAATTGAGGCTCTCGATTGAGCGCCATGTTCAAATTTTGGAATTGGAGAGAAGCGTTTCTGCACAGTAGTCCCAATTGAGGGGTCTATGCTTCGTACATGTACCGATAATCAAGATGCGGGACTTCTTCGTGGCTTCAGAAGATGTAACCATATTCACTAATCCGGACAACCTAGTACGATAGTCGGGCAAGGTCAATCGATCTCGGAGCGCTCCCTGGAGTATATATATTGAGGTGCCCGTCTCTGAAAAGAACTAAATCTAGTCAGACATACATCTCAGATTCCCAGTACATCTCTTAAACAGCCACTCAAAACAGCACCATGAGCCCCAAAATGTCGATGTCTTCTACATTGGTCCTCGGACTATTAGCATCTGCCACATCTGCCCTCGTTGCTAGGGATTCCACGCTGTCTGCCCGTCAAGGTATGTTAAAACCCGGGAACAGATACTCTGCAATGAACTAACAGATCTATCAGGACCAGCCTATTCTTACCTGGGATGCTACACGGAAGGCACCGGGGTACGGGCCTTGGGTGCGTACAACAGTGTCAACTACACCACGATGACGGTCGAAATATGCGCCGGTCTTTGCTTGCCGACATACACGCTGTTCGGATTGGAATATGGCGGAGAGTGCTGGTGTGCCAACGTCTTTGGCACAGGTGCAGTCGCCGCACCTGAGACCGAGTGCAGCATGCCCTGCGGTGGAAGTGCAACTGAGATTTGCGGAGCAGGCAACAGACTCAGCGTCTACTCAACAACACCTGCTGCGCCAGCTGCTCCAGTCCATGTGCCGGCCGCGGGTGGCTACACCAGAACTGGCTGCTACACAGAGGGGAACGGCACCAGAGCCTTGTCGGGCGCTGAGGAGGTTAACTATGCTACCATGACCGTGGAGATATGTGCCGCATTCTGCGCGACGGGTTCGTTCCAGGTCATGGGCGTTGAATATGGAGGCGAATGCTATTGCGGAAGTCTGACCCAATTCAGCGCAAGCGGGTCTGTCGTAGCACCAGATAGTGAATGTTCAATGCTCTGCGCTGGAAATTCGACCGAATACTGTGGTGCTGGGAACCGCTTGGACTTGTACCAGACCACTGCACCTTAGCCAGTCTAATGGTAAGTGTTGCAGATGGGTGGAACGAAAGATAGCAGAACGGAGGAAGAATTGGAAGCTTGGAGAAGGACAAATAAAGGTTTCAAAATTCGTTTCTTGGCCACGCCTAATCAAGCCAGTCTGGAGGCTTTTAACTGAGGTAGGAGTAGTATCAATAGAATAGAATTTCAACCCCAACCTTTGCATGGTGTACTCGGTGTTGTGCGAACAAACAGCGTTCCACCACGCAGTAAGCAAACGGTGGTACTACCAGCCCAGCTTGAGCTACAGGTGCCACTGCTATATCTGTGCTCTGCTCGTGTTTTAGCCCACCAAAGATGGACAATGCGAATCGGTGACGATGGTGATATGAAAATAATGCAAAGCAGACGCATTATTAAACGGCTTCGCGGGTGCGTCCATCGGAGGTTAAAAGGACCAGAAGAGACTCAGGGGAGAAACCCCTTTCCCAGCCACGGACCCAAGAAGGTTAGCCTCCCACGGGACTTCGGGCTTAAATTGCAGCTGGAATCCCCGAGGCTCTGGGTCGGAAGGGGTCAGTAACTTGGTACGAAACAGTATATGGTGGATAATATATGGCCTGTGTAGGCAGAGATCCAAAGTATATAACTTGCTTTGAAATCTACGGAGTGGCAACTGTTGTCCCGAAACGGCGCAAGGAGCCTATCTGTTGCGGCTGTGATCGAGAAATTTAAGATTATTTGTGGACTTGCTGACGACAACAAAATTGAACACATGAATGCAAGCACCATAGGTGCTTCGGACAGGTCCCAAGTCCAATAACTCCGGGCATAGCCACGACGCTAATCATGATATTTATATGCTTGTAGCTCGTAGCTCGTACCTCGTACCGTATTTAGTACTGCGTGTACACAGGTACCTAGCTACGAAAGTGCATACTACGACATGCTGTTGGGTCCGTACTTGGTACTTCGTGCTCATTTTCAATCCTCACTTCGTCCGTCGCCCCCACCGAAAACACTGGGATCCGGACCAGAGTCAGCACCCTAATGCCTGCTCCTATGAATAGATATGCGGCTACAATCTAGAGCAGCAGCAGATGTCCCTTTTCCAGCTGCAATAATAATACTCGGAGTGCCAGCTCATCCGGGGAACTGCAATTGCCAAGCAATCGTGCCAGGTTCCCAGGTCCTATCTCGTTCCGGCGTCAGGAGCACTATCGAACAACCACAACCACGATCACAACCACAACTACAATCGCTGCCACAATCACAACCACGACCACGATAAGGCGCAGAATCGGTGAACGGGAGCCCTCGAGCTTTCGATGCCACATGCGGTCGAGATGCCGTCGTCCGTGTCCGAGGATCAGGATCTGGCCCTGTCCTCGACTCGCCCACCGGTCGATCCACCGCCCAACTCGAGCCTGACATACGAGAAGGTCAATGGAAACTCCCACCCCAAATCCCCCACACATACATCTGCGAATGGCAGTGTAGGCGAAGGCGTAGACGGATATTTTGATGGTGGGAGCAGCAGCAACAGGCCGTATATGAATGGCGATACCCTCCGTGAAGGCAGTTTGAACGTCATTCCAAATGGACGAGCTAGCGCAAGCAGCTGGGACCATAGGTCATCGCGCAATGGTAGCACGCTGTCGGTGAATGGAGGCCTCAATGGCATGGCAGATAACGGGCGGAGGAGCCCAGTTTCGCAGAATGGCCTGCGGCGGACGTCGAATGGAGATCGGAGCTCAGTCGCGTCGATAAACGGCAATGGAAATGGGAACGTTTACAACACTCCAAGGGAAGCGGCACCCAGAAGCTCTACAAACCACGACCGCGATTCGCACAAGCAAGTCTCGATACCGGGCCCCATCTCAACGAATCCTCAGAGTACCGGCCCTTTGACATATACTTCTGCCCTATTGCCAACCACACCACTACCTGTTGAAACCCCTCCGCGTGCAGAAACAAACTCTCCGCAGCGTTTTCCATCCCCCCCGTCCTATCCTGCTCCGCCAATCCCAACATCGTCCCCAGGTCCCGCCCAACATGCCGGTTTAAATCAATTGAAGCATCGACACACGCTACAAGTCCCCAAGGCTGTTCCTGGTCGGAACTCAAAGGACGGAGACGACACTGCACATACCAGCGGAAGATTCTCACCGACGACAGTGACATCGAGCGTAAGACGTGGCTCCTTGAGCCTCAACCGGAGAAATACCCACTCGATCCACTCAAACATGCCTCATGACGAGATAGCTCCAGATGAGGATGCAATACGGTGGGCGGAGGCAGTAAGGCAAAAGAGAGCGAGTAAAAGGAAACGGAAGGATGAAGAAGACGATGATAGAGTGGTAATTGGGACCAAAGTGGACCAAAATCATCAAAATTGGGTGATGGCATACAACATGTTGACAGGCATTCGATTTACTGTTTCACGGACAAATGCCAAGTTCGACCGGGAATTGACAGAAGCAGATTTCCAGGCGAAGCATAAGTTCTCATTTGATGTGTAAGTACTCCCAAGGAAATGCACCAAAATGGGATCTAACGAAAGCAGGACCGGTAATGAATTAACACCATCCGCTAAGTACGACTTCAAGTTTAAGGATTACGCCCCATGGGTATTTCGCCATTTACGAGCAAAGTTCAAACTTGACCCGGCGGATTATCTCATGTCTTTGACCAGCAAATACATTCTCTCGGAACTCGGAACCCCTGGGAAAAGCGGCAGCTTCTTCTACTTCTCCCGGGATTACAAATACATTATCAAAACGATCCACCACGCCGAGCACAAATTCCTAAGGAAGATCTTGAAGGAATACTATCAACATGTCGAGCAAAACCCAAACACGCTATTATCCCAATTCTATGGGCTCCATCGTGTCAAGGTACCGTACGGACCAAAGATACATTTTGTGGTTATGAATAATTTGTTCCCTCCACATCGAGACATACATCAGACTTTCGATTTGAAAGGTTCAACAGTAGGGCGAAACTTCAAAGAGGAAGAGCTTGAAAAGAATCCCCGTGCGACTCTCAAAGATCTCAATTGGCTCCGTCGAGACATGCATCTGGAATTTGGCCCAGAAAAGAGACGAATATTTTTTGAGCAAATGGAACGGGATGTGCGCCTTCTACAAAGACTCAAAATAATGGATTATAGCATGTTGGTGGGTATCCATGACCTCCGGAAAGGAAACCAAGAAAATTTGCGTGATAAGACGTTACAAGTCTTTCAGCCGGGAGGGGGCAGCCCTGGGGATGATATGGGACCGGATGGTAGAGGGATGTTGATGAGAACACCGAGCAAACTTGAGAGTGCCCGGAAAGCCAGGGAACTGCGGCAGACTCTCAAGCAAGAGAAGCCAGTTCCAATGGCCCACACCGGCTCACGCATGCCCGATACTTTGGAAGAGAATACCCCGAAGCGTGATTTTATCTTCTACAGTGATGATGGGGGTTTCCGGGCTACGCATGAGGATGATAGTCCCGGCGACGAGATTTTCTTCCTGTCCATCATTGATTGCCTGACTCACTATGGTCTAGCGAAGAAGCTAGAACATCTATGGAGTACGTCTTACTGTTTGTTACCTTATTGTGGTATATTCTTACTAACGCAAGTGTAGAGGGTCTAAGTAACGATAAAAAATTGATCTCGCCCATATCCCCCGAGCCGTACGGAGACAGATTCATAGATTTTATTGAATCTATCACTAAAAGCCCCGAAGAAGCCACCCGCGAAGCACAATCTGCGTCAAGACCGTCAATCCTGCATAGCAACTCAAATCCGATTTCAAACCGTGACCCGAACACCTCTCTTGATTCAGGCAGAAGATCTGGAAGTCAGCCCATGAATAGGAATGAGATTGAAGTCTCAAATTCGGAGAAACGGAATGACGAGGCCGAGCGCCCAGACCCCCGGATTATCAGTGCTATTCGAAGTCCAAGTGCAGAACGGACTGGAGGTCTGCAAGGGCAGACGCTCCCCGTTGTAGAAGAGCTAGGTGAGGCTAGCAGCACCGGCGGCCGCAGCGGACAGAGCCGCGAACGGGAGGCAAATGGCGATATAAGACCCCCGACACCGGCAAAAGACAACTCCGACCACCGGCCTTTGACACCACCGAAGGATCACGACCCGAATAATACGGTCCACGGTGCGAGAGGGCCAGTCAGCAGGAATAGCTTGGATAAGAAGCTGCCCCCTTTACCACTCGTGCATAGCCCTAAACAACTGCCTGAGGAAGGCATCGTTGCGAGGCAATAAAACTTGAATTCTACGCTCTGTTCGAAGAACAATAGGGCAATTCGGCGTGGGGGAAGTGTAAAAAGTATGGGAAGTAGAAGTCGACGGGACGCGAGGCATTCATGATACCATTCCATTCTCACTCATCTAGCGATTCTCCGAAGCATTTTTTCTCTTTCGTGCCTGTCTATTATCACCACAACGACACACATCGCCCCTGACGGGCCTGCATTTCATTCGTTTGTGTTTTCCGCCCTGAGACGAATTTCCTTCTGTTGAAGCGCCAGCCAAAACTTTGGGTTTAGGACTTGTCAAGAGTCTTGTAGTTAGGTAGACTTTGTTTAGTTCTTCGAGAAGGAAAGTAGGGGTGAATGTAAGCTTAGACTTGGGTTGGGATCCGGAAACCTGGTTCCATTGAAATGAAAAATATAATGAATTAGACAAACCCCCTCTGGACGGGCCCTAATATGCATTGAAAGTGAGGGTACGAGGCGACACTGAATTTCTGTGATATAGCCACTGAGATTCTGCAAGGAAAGGGGGCAGGACTCGCTTAGCAATCAGGTGGAAAACATAGCTGGGGGTATTGAGTTCATGTCTCCGGCACCAAACACTTCTCCATCACTATTCTAAGTCAGAGAACCGATCTTTTGCAATTATGCTTCGCGTTTGAAATCACAAATCTATAAGTTCTCGAATAACGATAGAAAGAGGGCATTACCAGCACGCACTCGCACAAGCGCCGCGACAACAAAATAGGAGGGCATCGCTCGCGTCGTCGCGCAGAAGGTATACGATGGAGAAAAATATGGATGCGGCGCCAGCTACCGAATCTTGTTGTTTGATAGACAAAGAGAAGCAAGAGCATGAACTGGTGATCTCTGAGACTCGTGCGGATCGACTTGTAGCTTTGCAAGGCATGGCCAGCTTGAAGCCGACTTCGACACTCAAGGGAGAAGGCACAAATGTATTAGGGGTCAAAGAAGTAGGAGGAGATACTACGATAGGGAACGATGGTGCCAAGTCCGTCGAAACGGACCAAGGTGATATAGCGAAGAAACTTGTCAATAGTCAACGACCTATCATGTCAGCTTTGCAACATGTTCCAGCATCGGAGGATATTAGGGGAAAGGGATCCAATACAAAGGGAGGAGAGGACAAGAGTGAATGCCTGGGGGAAGCTGGTATCAAGGCTGAGAAGTCGGATGAAAGTGAGGTAACAAATGAAGCTACGAGTAGCCAGCAACCCATCGCCCCAAGCTTGGGAACTGTCTCGGTTTCAGAGAAGCTAAAACGAAAGGCTCTTGATTCAAAGGAACCACAGAGCAACGATACAGACTCACAGCAAGATTGGGTTAAAAGGACGAAGTTGGATGAGGTTGATATCAAGAATGATGCCGCCAATAACCAGCAACCTATTATGACTAGCCCGGGGACTACTTCACTATCCAAGGGATTGAACGCAAAGCCATTGAGTACTGAAGATGCAGTTTCAAAAAAAGCGGACATGCTCAACCTAACAGACAGTATCCAAAACCTCGTTATTGAAGAAGACAAAAGCACCATTGTGGGAGTTGGCGTTGGTCTCGGAAGATTCAAACGGGGGGCCATAAAGAACAAGTACGGACAGTTCAACTCCTCCCGCCTCAGCAGTATCCGCAAAGCCCGTATTCCATCTTGGACCGCCCCTGCAGCAACGCCGGAAGCTAAGATTGATGAGAGTATCTTGCAGATTCTGAGCTTTATGAAGAGCGCTTCAGAGCAGCAGGATGATAGTCCTGGGGCTGATCAGGATGGGCAGTTCAAGGCCTTCTTAGGCGCGAATAAGGAGATTGTTAGGTGGTGGCGGGTTCTTGAAGGTGGCAAGTTTAGGGGCCGTCCTAAAACTACGATGGCTGAGAATGTTGATTGCATTCACGCTATTCTAGTGGCTTGGAGCGATGATACTGATACGTGTGGCTCTTGGGTCAGCCAGGCTATGGAGCTGACAGAGTTATGTCTTGCTTTTGCCCGGGGGTGGGAGGCTTTGACCGGTAAGAAGCTCGGGGTGCCTGAATGGTTTGACATGAATAATGATACAAACAAAACTCCTGAAGGAGGCACTGTTGCGGAAATTGATGAGAATATGGAATATATCCATCCTAAGTCAATCGACATGAACAAGGACAATGGCTTGGCTAAGACCGGTTGTCATGTTCAAGTTGGCTCGACAATATGTAAGTCGGGTGCTATTGTTCACCTTTCACTTGCTATTGTAAAACCAGAACAATAGGAAGCTAACTTTATATCTTCCCGCAGCAACCCCACAAGAAACCACATCACCCCAAAAACGCCAACTCAGTCAAACGACATCTACCCAACAGAAAACATCTTCCGAACCCATTGACAGCTCTACAACCCACTTCAGGGCCTACGCACCATCCGCAACAAGAGAAGAAATCTCACATCTCCACCGACGCCTCTCCAAGATTGAAGATCTCCTCATCAACCAACACACCACAGAACAAACCATCATCCGAGTCCTCGAGATGCAGCAACTCATGATTCAAGACATCACCGACGCCATCTTTGGCGATATCACCAAGCCGAACCCCCTCGACTCAGAGGAGCGAAACATGGCCAAACGCACCGGCCTCTTGATGATGAACAAGTCTCTCGCCGATAACAAAGTAACGAAGATCTCAGCTTTGGAGGAAGAGAACAACAAACTGAAAATTGAGATCGAGAAACTGAAGGCTGCGCGCCAGGCGGAGGACTCCAATGCTGAGCAGGAGGTTCAGAAGTTGAAGCAGGTCGTAGGCGTTCTTTGCGCTCATCTGCCTATGGAGTCGGAGTCCAAGGATGAGAAGACTTGGACTGACGAGGCCTGGGATGGCGCGATGGAGATGTATTGGCCACAGGGAGATCCTACTCAGACGGGTGGTAGTGGCTTAGGCGCGGAAGACATGCCCATGATCTATCAGGCTGGAAGAGGACAGGCAGGCGGTTCTGGGATTGGTAGCTGTGCTATTATGTGAAGGAGGTTGGTACAGGATGCTGGGTTAGCTGGACATCGAGATGAGTGCAACAATCGTTTGGCTTGGGGGCAGTTGGGTGAATGGAATGAGAGACATGAAATGAGCAGAATGGCAGCTTTGCTCTTCCTACCTACTTATTTGCTTGATCTTTAAAGTTTAGTAGGCATTCAGTTAGTGCAACAGCATCATTGCAATGGAAAAATTAATCTCCACAATAATTTTACTTGTCAATAATTTTTTTTCTCATACATTCCCCCACCGATTCGCCTTTTCCAATTGTAATACACGTACACTGCCTACCTAGGTATGTAAGGACGCATCTCATATCCGAGCCTTGAGATGTGGTTTAGGAAGCACACAACCAAATATATTGAGAGTAGCCCTTCTTCTTAACATTGCATAAGGCCATTAGAGGGCATACCGTCTACAGGCCAAGGGGGCATGATATAGTTCTAGGTATGCGAAGTCATTTTATGCGACCTAAATGATGGTGAATACTCGTAGACCAATTTCCCAAAGGCCGCTGACCATCATGCAAATTTCATGCCCATTTCCTTATCTTATAGTTGCGAAATAGCTCGGGTCCCAGCTGTGAAGGTGCTGCGAATGGGTATTTGGGGAATGTCTCAGTTTTGGTAACTAGCCTATTCCATATCGGTGGAGCCCAACCCCTTTCTATGATGAGCTCCCTTGGTGGTGCTGATAATAAGGTCAGGTATATGTTGGCCCAAGGGAAATTTAGCTACACATTATGATGCTGGCATGGAATTATCTCCAAAATTTTGCTAATCACATTAATATAAATGTGACGAATCAATAACGGGGACCTATCGATAATTAATAGGACAGCATGCGAAATATGACACCTAAATTTGAGGTGCTCGATCTAACGTGGTGCTAGTAAAGGATTTGTGGTCCTATATACCGAACTAACGCTCGATTATACTAGAGATAATGCAAAACTGAGGCCGCACAATGCTGTACTGCATGCACATCCTATATACCGCAAAGTAAAAACGTGAAATAACCAAAGTCAACCCTCATCCAAATGCAAATGCAAAACTCCAGCGTGCTAACAGATCATTTTCCGCCTCCCATATTTACAACCCTACCCCCCCCTTTTTTTTTACTGTTTATATTATCATTCCACTCTCAGTTCCAGAAACACCTCCACCCTTTTCGGCTCGAGCCCCTTTGCTCCTCCCCTTCAAAGTCCCCCACTTCATCCTCGCAAGTTTCAGCAACGCATAAGCTAAAACCCTATAAATGACTGTACAAACCCCTAGCGCCAAAATATTCATCCCCGGATCCGTATCCAACTTATATAACTGCAAGGCTTGCATCCCATCCCCTATGATGCATCCCCCACCAGACACACGCTGATGATCATCGCACGTAAATGTGATATCGCGAAGAGAGTAGGGAGCGAGGTTACGCATTGCGTAGCGTAGGGGGGACAGGTAGTTCATTGCGGACAGGAAGGCAGGAAGCCCGATCGAGAGAACGCCCGCCATGATTTGCGCGACAGAGAGGAAAACCGATGTGGCGTTTACGGCGAAGCCAGTGTGAGCGAAGAGGGTATTGAACTGTATGGGGCTGTTTAGTTGGGCGTTAAACAATGGGAGTAGGAAGGTTGACGAGGTGGATGTGACTAATTGAGAAAAAGGGAGGAGGCTGACCATGATACCTAAACTTTCGCCACAGGATACGATGCAGAAGCAATTAAAGAAGCACGCAAAAAACATCTGCGGCGTCCGCGGAAGACCAGCAGCTAAATCCGCTAGTATCGCGAAGAGAAAAGAGGTCACGATTTCAAACGGGACTTCGAGCGTTAAATACTGTGCGAAAAATGCCTCGACGCCATATGTACCATCGTCGTTTTCTCGGTAAAACACCTCCTTTTCATTCGGATATATAGCCACGTTCTGGAGCATACCCACAAAGTAGAATGCGCAGAACTCCTGAATAAATCCAAACCGCGTTTGCACCGAGAAATAGTCGAATTTTAAGGGGGCGAAGAAGAGCACTAGAATGATGGCTAGACCCGTGACTTGCATGGTGCGTGCAGCCAGCAGTGGAGGCTGTCTGCGGAAATTGACGAAAGCGCGATGGACGAGAATAGGATATGCGGAAATAAATGACGACGGTTTCCGGACCATGGCACCAAGCTCGGCAGGAGTGGATATAGTTGTTGGGTTGAGGTTGGTATTGAAGCCCCCGGTTGACCAGCTGGAAATTAGACTTTCGACTCTTTGCCGAGTCGCTTCCTCCCGAGACGAGCGTTGAAGGTCGACTGTGACAAGATCAAGAGCAAAATCAGCAGGGTTGGTGGTCGTAGGACAGGGGAACCCAAGGCTACCAAAGTGAGGAAGCATGTTGGCAGAATTTCCAGCATAGACTAAGGAGCCACCTCGTGACAGAAGGAGCACGTTTCCGAATTGGTTGAATAAGTCTGAACGAGCCTGGTGAATTGTGAGTATCACAGTGCGGCCTTCATTGGCAAGTCCCTGGAGGACTTCTATGATTGAAGTTGCCGTGAAAGCATCTAACCCGGATGTTGGCTCATCCAAAAGAAGCACTCGCGGATCGGTCAGGATCTGGACTGCAATGGAGACTCGGCGTTTCTCTCCCCCTGAAATCCCCTTGATCTGATCTGATCCGATTAAATTATCAGCACAGTCCTTGAGACCAAGTTTCAAAAGCACTTCTTCAGCACGGTGGTTCTTCTGCGCCTTTGTCATGAACGAAGGGAGTCTGAGTCCAGCTGAAAATCGAAGTGTCTCACGAACAGTGAGAGATGGGAGCAGCGCGTCATCATCCTGGCAGACATAGGAACACACGGAGCGTATGACAGATTCTAATGGCACGGCGCCGTTGAATGTCATATCGCCAGACTGGCGATAACGCGTGGCAATGCCGCTATGGAGACGTAGAGCCATCGAATTGAGCAAAGATGTCTTTCCACTCCCTGATGGGCCCATAATAACATTCAACACTCCAGCTCGAAATTGAGCTGTGACCGGCTGTAAAATCGTTTTCGTCGGGAGCTTTCGGCCGAATACCGTCCGCTTCTCAAGACGAAGTGCGAATTGGGAAAGCCCAATATCCACTGTCCTAGCCTCTGCTGTGGGCCTCACGGCCATCTTCTCTTTCCCAGCAGATAAATCCGTATCGCTATTGCGGGCTTTGGCAATAGTGATCTCGACTCTCTTGTATCTAAGGACCACCCCAGCAATCAAATAAAAGGCGGCAACAAATCCAACAAGAATAACGATCGGTTTCATTATCCAATCGTGAGGAAATGCCAATGAGTCCATAATGAACGCGCCAGTATACTGCACACAGCCAGGGTCAGACTCGCCACCAGGGAGCGGACAGTCATAAAACTGCCCAACAAACTCATTCGCGGCTAGTGCCCCGAAGGCATAATATACGTACGCGACCCACTTGAGCCACCTAACATAAACAGGCATCGAATTTATCTGAACAAAGAAGCCACATGCCATGGTTTGGATCGTATACATCATATTCCCAATCAAGGATGCGGTACCAAAATTGCGGGAGAAGGATACACAAGTCATCGCAAAGGTCACGGCGATGAATTGACAAAGAAGCACCACAGCAAAAAAGGTTAAGAACGATCCCGCGTCAGCTCTGAATCCTGCCATCCAGTAAAATATGACGGAGTAGAGCAGAGGAACAGGCAAGTCCTCAGCGAAGAATCTTGCAATGCGCCTACTCAGCAAGAAGGGAACAACGCTCACAACACGCTCGTTATGTTCACGGTCAAAGAGTTGGATATCAACTGTAAGTCGGTACGTCTCAAACATTAGGATCAGATAACCTTGGAGGGCAGCGGCGTTATATAGGGCCCCTTCGCGACTGCGAATACCAGATTGATCTTTGCCTAATGAGAGGAAAACCCACCCGGTGATGATCCCCATTGCGACCGCCTCCCCAAGAGAACCTGTCATACCCAGTGGATCTCGCCAAGTAGTCAGAAGAGTTCGGGAGGTCAGAACCCTTGTCTGGCGGATGAACGGCGAGTGGAAGCTTGACTTCGAGCATTTTACCGGACTTGATGGAGTCTGGTCGGTAGTTGCTACTCGCTTTTCATCCGAAGAGTTGAATATTTTGACACTTTCAGCAGCCCATCCCATCTGCAGCCGTTCGACCCTTGTTGATGAGGCAGCCTCAAGCTCAGGCGACCGGTTATCAACGGCTGCGATGTCGATCAGGAAATCTGCGGGATTGACAAACGGTGGTAACTCCAGACCAATCTTGTTGAACCAAGGAATGCAGTTGACTGTACGCCCTGAGAAGACAGGAGCTCCTCTGGTAAGAATTACCAATCCATCGAACATACTCCAGATTTCAGATCTGGGCTGGTGGATAGTGGTAATAATGGTCCTTCCTCGGCTTGCCAGACTTTTCAGCGTTCTTATAAGTTGAAATGCGCTGGTCGCATCCAGTCCAGTTGTCGGTTCGTCCAAGAACAAAACACTTGGGTTACTTAAAAGCTGGACTCCGATACTTGTCCGCCTCTTTTCACCTCCGGAGCAGCCCTTATGGTGGTGATTGCCAATTCTGGTGTCCGCACATTCCTTCAACCCGAGCTCCAGTATAACTTCTTCGACGACTTTGCGGCGGTCCTCGTCAGTTGTAGGAGGAGGGAGTCGCAAATCGGCAGAATATCGCAGCGTCTCCCGGACCGTGAGGGTTGGCAACAAAACATCCTGCTGCATCACATATGCACTGCGTATATTCTTCACGCCTTCCATGCCATTAAATGTAGCGGAGCCCTGGAAAGAAAGCCGGCCGCTGGTCACACGCTCCGCCAATGTGTTCAACAGCGTTGTTTTCCCTGAGCCACTCCCTCCGATGATTGCTGTCAATGTACCGCTTTCCATTGAAGCAGACACTCCACGAAGGATTGACTTCTTCTCCGATACATGGCTTCCGTCCTGGTTTGGCTTTCGCCGGCCAAATGGGAGGTTCGCAAGAGGAGATGCGAAAGACGTGACATCCAATTCGACAGCTAGGTTCCGAATTTGTACATCCACGGGATCGACTCCCGAAAGAGAAATGTGATTGCTCTGCGTAGCGGAGAGGGAGTGTGCGTTCAGGCTATCGCGGGGTAACGGATGCCCATCATTGTCGCGATCTTTCGAGATTGAGATCGTAGCTTGGGAGGCTCTCGACGGTGTTGCGCTTCCCGACCCCCCTTCTGGGTCTCGTAACTCCCGTCGCCCTGTGTCGATAGCATTCTCCATGGCGATTAACCTTATCGCGCAGCCTCGGGTGGCGTTGCAACTTGGGCTGCTGCGGAACCGCAGAACAGCACCGCACCGCTCGAGGCAGCAAATGGAGGCAGACGAGGGGAGATATCAACAATTCCTGCTTCCTGCGTCCTGCGTTCTTCTCCTGGCTCCTCGTCTCTGCTCCGCCATGTGCCCCTTCACCAGCTTCGCTTTATGGGCGTGGTGGAAATTGTCCGATCTCGCTGGAGGACGGATGACGGAGCGGTAAGCAGATCGTGAGAAGAGGCAGGACTATCGAATTGACAAGAGGCCGTGGCATGGCATGACATGGCACGGCATAGCATGAAACCAGATGCTGAGGATTTCAAAGAGAATTTTGCGACGGACGGTTGAATTGGAAGCTTGGGTGCACTGCACTTGGAACCAAGCAACTGAACCAAGGCTAACCAACAAAACTTACTGTACAGCACATCCTCGTATATGGGATATGGCATATCACCAGACCGTTGGTGGAGGGCCCCCTTGGCCTCTGGACGTAGCCTCCCCGGAAGTACGTACGAAGTCGTACTGGACTGCGTGGATGCATATGAGCTCGAACCGAGCTGCTTGATCGGGAACGACCCATCGCTGTGGGATCAGGAGTTTGGTCAAAGACGATGCAACCGAACCATCGAAACGGTACTGGTACGTACCACTCGAGGCCCTCGAAGCGACCTTCTGTACCCGAGCTTTGGGCACAGCTATGATTAGCATGCGCAAGCGAACATTTCGACATCTGCTCGGCACAACGAAATATCGGGACAACGAAACCACCAAACCGCTCAAATCCCACTATCGCTATGATCCACACATGTCCTCAGGAATGGCGGTACTGACCTAGAGGCTCTCTAAATTTTGGAGGCCCGGTTTGTATAGTCGTTGCCTTTCTTAGCCCGCTCCAGGACGCAATCGAATTCGTAGAAAATGGGGACAGTGTCCGCATCAAGTGCTGCACAATTATATTTGTACCTGGCGTGTGCTTTGCTTTCTATTTAGTAACTGGGCCCTTTGCATTATGGCCGCTGGAGGAGTTCAAGGATCGACCATGTCCCCCTGAGAAGGCTCTTTGCATCAAGACCGCCCGTAGGGCTCACAGATCGTCCATGTAACTCCACGACGGCTCTTTACATCGATGCCACTGAAAGGGCTTCCTGCTCTGCGTTGTTCCAAAGGTTCCAATGTCTCATTCTGACTCCTGTCTCTGAGCCTGGCCCGCATTTCCTTTCGCTGTGCCCAAAATTCAGCATCAAGTGGCTGAAGTCTGATACAATCTGCGATGCCACATTCCTTTGTTCTGGGTAGCATTAACTATCCTTATAAACACGACTAGAAGCTTGAAAATCTTTATTCGGCAAGAAGAGACCTTCACAGGTTGTGTTCAACCCGAAATCGATTCGCGTTTCGTCACAGTACAAAACAGCATATTTGCACACCACCCAAACACCACGTACCAAACAATGCCAACCTGCCCACACCCTGGATGTGGCCGCGACAATATGTCGGTGCCGAATGATTCTGATATCTTGATTTGGAACAACTTGGCAGAAACCGCCACCACCTCCTCACAAAATGCATCCCCCAGTGATGCCCACAACGGCCCTTCTTCTCCAGGAGCCACCAGTTCTGTGGATACCAGCCACACGATGGATTTGAGGTGGAACAGCAGAGGAGAGCGGCTTTGTACTGAATGCAGCAGGCTATTACCGATGTTCTTCGTTTGTCCACCCCTTTATTCTCTATCCTCGTTGCCCTAGATAAATACTAATACTGTGTATGATAGCCATGGTAATACTTCGAAAACGAATTCACTCTGCTGGAAGTGCGTAATCAGCCGATGAGTATTACGGGTTGCGTGCGGAGGGGACAACGGGATTGGAGGGTTATGTCAATGAGTTTTACGGTTGCATACAGAGGGGACGACGGGATGGGAGGGCCATGTCAAGCATTAAATCATTGCAACAAATTGTTAACTTTGCAAACGAATGCATATTTTTCATATCTAAAATGTAATCAAAGCTAAGTGACATAAGAAATAAATGAACGCAATCTAAAGTAAACCCAAAACGCTAGAAACCAAACTCGGCTCCATCCATTTCCTCTCTTCCTCTTAATCACTCACCTCTTGTGTCGGTAAATTTTCGGAGCAGATAAAGTTTTTGGCCTGGGTGCCAGGATAGCATATAACAAATTCCTTTACGCTGTCAAACATAACCTCCAATTCCAAGGGAAAGCCTTCGCGGACACACGCATTTGACAGCATCCATTGCCAATCTGTGCCATTGCGGTTAGGCAGATCTGGATTTGAACTAAAATCATACACCCTAAAGTCCCGGACTCCCCGCGGCCGAGAGCTTACCTGCCACTTGAAATTATATCCTACATGCTCCCAATCAATAAGTCCTGTTACCTTTGGCATCTCTTTGGGGTCGGATGGTGTTGTTACGAAGAAATTGCCTGGAGAGAGATCAGGATGCTGTAAGACAAGCGGCTCTCCCGCGCCGGGAACGTCCAGTACGCCGTAAAGCCTCTTGAGATATGCCAAATAATCGTCCCGTGCGACTCTTGGTTCAACCCTGGGGATCCAGTGGGGCAGGCATTCTCGCTCCCGAAGAGAGAACATCCCATCTATCCCAGTTCCCTCAACGGTCTCAACGTAATCCGACGTTAATTCGGCAAGTGCTCTGCAATGCTCCGCAACCTGATCTGCGACGTGAAGCTTTTGTTCAGTTGTAAAACCCAGCCACGCATCCTTATATACTGTCCCAGGGACTGCTCTTGTTATTATAACTGTTTTGTTCCATACTCGGTCAACCCAGTCGTATAGTATCTCCTCTGTTGGCACCGAAGGAACGTGCTTGTTGACAAATCGGATTGTGCTAGCCTCTGTCGTAAGACCTTCGGACCAAAATTTGACTCTGCAAAACACTCCTGGGCTAAGATTCCATATCCCGTGGTGCGGGCAGGCAAAACCGCCGAATGCTCCTGCCTCGTGATTTCCTTCCGAAACTAGATCTAATTTCGGAGGGGTCCTTTTGAGCAAGCCATATGTTGCACCATTATCACTCCAACTGCATACCACGTCGGGGGGCATATCCTTTTCATCCTTGAATTTCTTGCAAAACATTAAGGAGCCGATGCTCCAGCATTCGTCGTCTATCAGACCAACAGTTTCGTCGAGTGGGGCATGTATGGCAGAGCATTTGGCCGGGCGAGGGTGGATTAGAGGATCAAATGAGAGCGGTTCGGGTTGAACGTATATTCTATATTTAGTCAGCAAAACAGTCCACGCAATATTACACCGGAATTCAAAGCTGCACTTACGCCCGCTGCATGATGATAAATCTCGATCTAGATCGGAAAGGGTATTTGGATTAAACGAAGAGTTTGTAATCGTTATTAGCGGCGATGTGAAACCTGGGTGTTTATATTCACTTTATCGGAGCCAAAGCATCTCTCTTTATAGTCGGGGCGCGGTGGAATGTGCCGTGAACAGAATGTCACCCATTAATAAAGGGAGCTGAATAGACCCTTGATGAAGGCTCTGATTGGCGTTTTTTTGGTGCTATTCCAGACTAACAGCGGGGAATAGTAACAACAACCATAAAGCGCGGGAGTCGAGCAAATCTTTGTTGCAGGAGGCTAATCGAAAACTCGAGCAATTAACGGTCATTTGTATCTAGCAGCCCGCAGTTCATTTACTGTATGAACTAAGTAAGTCACGAAGACTTGGATCTAAAGCCCTTTATCAAATCGTGTGCCACAACTGCCCCGATAAACTTTACAGCTACTGTACATGTACTAACAGAAGTCAATTTTCTTATTCAACTTTCACAATGCGATTGTCCTACATTCCACTATTGTGTAAACCAATAGCGTGTGCGTATAGACTTGATAATGAAACTAAAGGCCGACCCAATTAACTGATCATGAAACTAAACAGATATAGGCCTAAACATGCAATGCAAAACATATGAAAGAACGAGAGATGCTGCTCGAGGTGGCCCCGCCAAGGCACCCCTACTCGGGTGGCTCCCTTCTCACTCTTAGATCCCACGGCTAGGTGTTCATGAAAGCTGTTGCAACTTGCAACCACGAAAACAACTATCGAATCCTTATAGCATTCCACACTATGATTATGAACAATATAAACTCGAAAACTTGTCACAAGTATCATCTCCTCTGTTCTTCCCCCTGAACATTTAATTCGGACTCTTCTTCGGGGTACGAAGCCCGGATGTGTTTGATGGGTACTTTCGAGATACCCAACGAGCGCTTACCAATCGTTGGGTAGAGGGGCTCGAGCATGGCCGCTCTAGTTGCATGGTACTTACCACGTACGAGATGCCCAAGCGAATAAAATTATTGCGGAGGCATCGATAGAAATAGCACGAGAGAGTAAATAGGATAACTCTGACGGAATACACTTGCAAAATTAGGAACTGTGTCTACTGTACTTCGTAGGCTTCTCCATTGAAGTTAGCTGAATTCCCATCTTCCGTTGACGTGTTAATTACGAATGGCAACTCCGACCTAGGCGGATACTGTATTGTTGAGCTGCAGATATAGTACTAGGCAGAGTGTAACAACGTAAACAGGAATTTATCCACCTTTCGATAGCTGTGGGTAGCCCTGTCTCTGCACAACCAGCAAGGTGCAGAGGGTACACTTGGAAATAAAGTGTTAATTGCTGGCATTTCAGTATTCAAACATGCAGCTGCAGATCGTTAGCCTCATCCAAGAGGTAAGGGGCCAAGGATATGGCTTTGCAACCACGGCAATTGTGGCAGTTGCTATAGATGAGGTATTTTTGGGTGTTGATCTTGTTGACTCAACTCGCTCTTTATATTGGAGCACTTTCAAGTCTGGAATTTCGAAGCGTCCAACGTTGTGTCACCCACAGACTCATATGTCGGTTACTTCTTTTGTCCCTTCATGGAGCGGCGGACAGGGAGAGGCGTTGTCTCAGGCACACAGCGTATACTCCCCATGTACCTGCTCGCTGAAAAAAACCAACACACACATCATACCCCTAGTGATTGCATGTGTGTGGTTCTGGATATCATAACATCCTCGATGCCACGCCTTCTCGATAGCCGATGTGCGAATCCTCCAAGAGGTATGGCCAGCATTTACATCCCTCAGCTTCGCTCGGCATTGACCTACCTTCACCTAAGCCATCGCCAACCGGTTACTGACCGGTATGTACCTATTTTCGATTTCGGAGGCCGACCCCCACCTGGACCAACAACAGCAGATGCTCGTTCGTACTGAGTACGAGTACCTAGGCGCTGCACATACTTAGTACGAAGTACTAACCATATAATAGGCTGAATGCCGTACATGCGTGCATGTCGGACTGCGTGGGGGGAGCAGGGCTGCAGGGAAGGGGGTGACGCTGCCAACCCCACCGCGGATTCGTTGAGCCAGAGAGCAACAATTAATGGCCGGTTTCCGCTCTTGCATGAGTTGTCGGCATGTCATCTATAACTTGCTCAGTCCTGTACTATACTTTGGCGAAGGGATCAGGCACGGCTTGTGTATTCGCAACAACGTACTGTACTTACAGGGCAGGGCCGGGCACGATGTCATGATCCATGTGTTTTGCCAGTGGCCAAAAGACCAAGGCCACCCAGTCGTCCCCAGTGGCCGTCGTCCAGGCGGGAAAATTACCCCAAACGGACCTATATCTGGACTGTATGCGTATGTTGGACAGGATGTCTCCGTGCCCCAAAAGTGGTTTGAAGGGTTGGTTGAAGGGTCGAAGGGCCACGTTATGTCACACTCGGTGGACATAAATTAATAAGTGCCGTAAACTGCCCCCCACGCAGAATCTGCTTCAGAATCAGAAAATGAGCATGGATGTGAAGAGAGTGCATGTACGGACTGACGAAGTACATCCGGAGCAGGACTCGGTACGAGTACGGAAACGTGGCAGACGACATGCAAAACCTCCCAGCCTGCAGTCCTCCAAGCGAGTTCCCTTCCATGTCGTCAAGTAATAATAAACATCCTGCGCTTTTGCATTTGCATCTGCGTCTGTGCTGCCATGTCATGAGTCTGCCAATCGGGGCAGCGCCGGTAGCGGGCACGAAGGATGCATACCTTACCTTAGGTACTAAGCTTCGCAGAAGGAGAAGAAGCCGTCTCATATGCCTACCCATCGTACCCAGTGCCCACACTGCTCAACTTCTGCGTAGACGCTGCCTACGTAATTTCTAAGCGGTGGTTGGGTTGTAGCTTCTTATTAGTTGAACACTTAAAGTTCATGTAGGCTTTTTTTGCGTGGTTGAATAACAATTTAACTTCCTCACTTTGAAACTTACTCGTAATAAGGCAGGCTTACAAATTTTTGGAATTTATAGCACAATTATAAGTCCCTTCTATTTTCTTAGCCTGCCTGTTTAGTCTGGATTTAGACTCCGTACTTGAAAGTCTCAAAACGGGAGATGATGCGAAGTGTTCGGCAGTTGTTGTGGGCGAAGAGACATATTTGCTCGGAGCGTATCATCGGGTCGCAGCTAGGAAGCTTCAACACCATCCTTCCGCTGTAAAGCCCTTCACCTAGTCTTGGCTGCATTTGCACTTGCACTTGCACTTGCAAGGCAAATAATGTCTGCCTGTCTGTCGTATACGCAACTCATACGTTTTCCTTGAAGCCGAGGTCAGAGATTTCCGGACAAGCTCCTCAATGGGAACGATACTACTTCATGTAGGCAAGCTTGAAGCACAAGTAACCCTTATCAGGTACTCAACATCAAGCATCGTAAGATTTGATCTGAACAGGATGGTCCCTGTGCCTCAAACTAAAATGTTAATCTCCCGCTCCCACGCGTTCTTCATCCATCGAAGTCCATGCGCCAGCTGGCCTGCAAAGCCACATCAGGGTTGCGCCACACGGCACCCTGATCTATGTCGAGGGGTGTCGGCTTTCGAGTTGTAAGCTTACGGCTTATAGTTATTTAATAACTTGTGTACCTAGGTAAGTTAAGCCCCTTGAATACTGTATGTGGCTGGAGACAGGGTCTAAAGTTACAGATAAAAAGCGGATGGACGAACGAACTACCATTGACCGCTCATGCCAAGGGTTAAAGTCGAAGCATGTAATAAGAAATCGTACGAAGTATACCAGCGGTAATACCGAACGACCTAGCGTATAACGGCCAACAATATCTCATCCGGAGGGAGTGATCAAGCTGGATCCAGAGGAGGGATTGTGGGATTGCAAGCGACCAATCGTAATTGATAACGCCGTTTACCACTTTCTAGCTCTGTGACGTCGCAATGTTCAGGGATATCATCCGTATACGACAGTAAAACACAGCGCCCATAGCATGTATACAGGGTTTCGGATGCAAGGCTAGGAAGGTAGAAGCCGTTAGGAATCCCTTGCCCTATTTTTCATATTTCCCACGAGAGCAAATAACTGGCCCGGTATTGAAAACCAACTGCCGTTGAGCGCTCTATAAGCCGACATAAAACTTTTAGATGCCTGCAAGTCGAGGTAGTCTATATCCGTCCTATTCAAAAACAGGAAACGGAGTTAGATTCCTACATACTACAGTAGGTACTTTGTACATTTCCCATGTTTAAGCTTAACCTCCACCCTACATCATGCCCCTCATCCCCGTAAGCCACCTCACCACGCCATTGTAACAAAACAAACCGCCCACTTGTTTCTTATCACACAAGCTTCCAATGGCACGCCAATTGTGCTTCGGAGTACGAGCGCCCGTGCACTTCCGTCCTGTCCGGTCATTCTTCGGACTAGTTCCGCTTGAAGGGTGGCATGATAAGGTATTACAGAGGAATGGGGCATGAGGTACCAGTAGTGACAACATGCGTGAAACACCGGGAGAGGATCCCGATGACTTGGTTGTGTAGCGGGAGCGGGGACTTGTGTGCAATGTGGCCAACTACTCGTACTTAAACCAGCAGTACGAAGTACCAAACGGCGTTTTTATCGTGACACTTGTGGGTACTGTACTGGAGGTACAAAGGTAGACGGTCGAACATCCTAGCTGGTAGGTATCACAAACACTATATCAGTACCCTTGCACGATCGTGTTGCATCGCAGAGGAGTTCGCATCGTAAGAGCATATCACTGCAAGTGCCGTCTCACCCGCTATCATGGTGGGATATCGCCCCTCAATGTGTAACGGAACGTGGCGGTGTAATGTATACCGAGGATAGTAAGTTTATAGTGGTAAAGCCATGTTGTGTAATGTGACATCTCATTCATCTTTATACGGCTTATTCAATGTCTGGATGATGTGCCAATCAATGAACGATAACAAATCTCATATGGTTCCTTTGAATTTATCATTGGCGTGCCATATGGATGTATATACACGGACACGGATATGTATATGGATGTCGGTATTTTGCATACGCCTCCAATCCCGTGTAAACCGCCCCCATCCTCCTGTCTCATTTCTCCTCATACTCCAATCAACTCCGTATGCCCCCAAAATATATATACCCAGCCAGACTAAACAACCAGGCGTATATACAGACATACATACCCCATCCTGCCAGCCGTAAACACCCCCATCCTATCCATATTACCCTTGGATATACTCCGGCGTTGAGCAATAAATGCAAGAAACCCTCCGCGAGCCTCAACAAAAATAAAGCGCTAAGGAAGCTTAGGGTTTTGGCTGGTGCAACTCTACAAATCAAAGCGCGTACAGTAAATAATGTGGCGACGAGGACGGATATGATTGCGGGCACCATGTACATCCACCTATATTAAACCCTGAAGGAAGAATCTTGCTGGTTAAAGAAGTCATCCTGGGGAGGCCATGTAGACATGTCGCATCGAGCTTGAAGTCGAAGACCCTGATCCGGCTGGAACGAAGGGCAGGTACGTACATGTAACACAAGGATAATTCGAAACGGCCCGCTCCGGCGCATCATAAAATGCGCAATGGTATCATTGGTACATGAAGACAATAGAGGCCGAAAGATCTGGCCAAAATGGCAAGGAAGATACCCAAGTTGGTTGAGAGCGAAAAAGCACCGGAACAGCCCCAGAAGAAGCAGTGGAACAAATTATCGGAAGCGGTGCCATGCAATGCACGAAGCGGGGATTGTAGCGCCAAGCGTGCTAGATCCTTCGTCGAGTATCGGCGAGGGTACTGGAGGTCGTAAAAGGGAATTGCACGTGATAAGCCGTGAATCGAGCCTTCAAGTTCTGAGTGTAGAGGGAGTTTGAGAGGTTCATGTAGCTAGGAAATCCATCCCCATGCTGTGAGCAATGCTCTGCCAATCCCAACTCCGCTCGTCTTTAGCATCCATAAGTCTCCATACTTCTTCGAGGACCTCGAGCGCCGTATCTGAATTCTTGTACTCTGTGTACGCCTTCACAACCCCTATCGCCTTGCGTACAGGGTCCCTTTGCTCTTTCTCGAAAGCAGCGCAGCCAATCACAAATGCCGGAGCCAGGACCAGTGTTTGACTGGGGTCTCGAGGATTGAAGGCGGCAAGGAGCGTTAAACCATCATCGACGGCCTGTGTGATACGAGGGTCTGGTCTCCAATGTGTGGTTTTTGGAGGATAGATGGTCCGCCATAGATATACCCACATCATCTGTTTGTATAGGAGACCAGCTAGGTCACGGGAATCTCCTTCCGGCCATGCCGGCGTCCAATCTCTTATACCAGCATCAATCTCAGCAGCACGGTATAGAGAGGTATAGTCGACCACAGGGTCAATGCCCTGTTCCATATTTTCTCGGATTTGGTTGCGGATGTTGGTTATTTTCGACATGTATAGAAAAAGGCCATCGTTGACACCCAAGAGACGAACGGCGGCTGGTTGTAGAACCGTACTAGGCAAATTCCAGTCATCCGGTGCTAAGGCGCGAGCACCGACTTGAGGAAGAGCAATCAGTTCATCTGCACAAATGTGATACTGGAAGAATTCGTGAATAAATTTTAGAAAGTCGACATCTTCCGGTGGACTCTCGTGAATGAGTCTCCGGTAGTGCTGGAGGTGGAACCGATGCTGCCCATTAGGTTTCGAGTCGGAAAGAGTTTGCAGGACAAGACATAGGATCTGGCCGTACGTTGCGGCAGTCACCACATGCGAGTCGGCCGACGACTCTTGCCGCACCAGCTCCTTCACTGCTTCGTCGTGATGGAATTGTGATCGCTCTTCAAGCATTTCCACGTCTATGCCAGGGTGCTGCTGTAGAAATTGTAAGCCGTATGGTGACCGATAGTCAATATGTTTTCCAGATAGTGCAAGAATCGAATGCATAAGGCCAGTGTGTTGTAACGCTATCGGTAGAAGCATGTTTTTGAAGGCATTCTGCTCCCCTTCAACGGTGAATATTAGGCTGAGCCGAGTAATATAGTGCTGGAAAAACATTCTGTCGCCTTCCGTCTCGACCCCATTGATCATTGGCGGCAAGTGGATTTTTGGCAGAGAATACGCTCCGGCCCTGCGTAATCGGGCTGTCGACGCCATCAGCTCATCCGTTATTGTCTGGCATGCCAATATCACCATACCTTCTTCAGCTTTTTCCTTGCCACTCTTCCATATTGTCTTCGCTGGATAACCCTCACACTTGACCGAGTTCTTCTCGCAGTTCATACCTACGGTAGGATTAGCGTACGTGAAAGTAAGGCATCATCTGTACTCACATCCAGGTTTTGCCTCGTCACATTTCTTCTTTCGTTTCCTGCAGGTAATACAACCCGTTTTTGACCTCCCCTTGGCGATTTTAGAAGCCGATTCGGGATTTAGTTTGGGATGTTTCCGTGGCCGGCCGCGAGGTCTCTTTGTCTGCGCTGGCGTTGACCCAGCTGTAGGCGGCTCGGGCCCTATTGTCTCATTCGTATCCGTGATGTCTGCCATATCTACATCCTCGACTGGCTCAAGTTTCGGGACCACAACCGCATCCTCGTCTTCATTCCAATTGATATCGCCTTCCTCTTCTTCCTCCTCCACAAATCCGCCTGGCGAGCTCCATGGATCGGTGCATGATGATGTTGCAGAGGTGATCATAGTCAGCGTAGACGACGTCGACACATCCGAACCATCTATACTCGCTCTCGGGTTCACGACCGAGATCTCGAACGTCTCGTACACCTTCGTCCCACCGGAACCACGGCGTTTCTCGATGCGCAAAGGCCGTTGGACGGGTCGGCGCATTCTGGTAGGTGCACTTGATGTGGTGATAGGGACTGGTAACGGGGTTGTTCGTTGAACCTCCTCGATAATGTCGGAACCAGGCGTTGTGGTTGGCGACCACGAAGTTTCGGGCTCACCTACTGAGCCTCGCGGGTCCATTGCGAGCGGTCCTTCGCATTAATAACCGTCCATGTGCCGCAACCCAACCACGGCTTCCAACCACAACCAAACGGGAGGCAGAAAGACGAAAGGGAGTGGATAGGAGTTGAGAGGCAGAGGAGGCCAGGAAAGAAGGGCTTCACGATGATAATACTGTGTGTCCATTCAACGGTAGCGACGGTCGACTTCCTCCCTTGACTTTGGTGGTGGTGACAGGGTGAATAGCGTCCGAGTGCTGCGTTTTGGACTGTGCACGCAAACCATGCAGACACGGAATCATAGCCCCTTGGGGGATAATGCAATAAGTAGACTGCGAGGCCGCCGACCAGGAAGGCACCATTGATTGCTCCGAGATACTGCAGCGAGGGCAGAAGTGCCCTTTCAGGGGAGGGGAGGCTGCAATATAGGTCCAGATATGCAAAGTGCTCCTTCGAGCACCGCTAACAACCTTTTGTCCCTGGGCCGTGGCTGGAGCACTTGATTCGGGAGATCCCTACTTCGTCGTGCTCGAGTAGCGGTGCTTGGTGAATCAATGGCAATGCGGAGACCCTGGCGGCGGAGCTTGGGGACTTGGTCGACCAGGATGCTTGCTTCATTTCACATCCATAAACTTCGAAACATATAGCTTTGGGCTGGGTTCTGGTGTTATGGTTCGGGATCGTGCCATCGTGGTTCAAGGTGGTCATGGTGCCCGTCGCGGGGGCGGTCCGCTCTTCTCCACTCCTCAATTTTGAGGGAGACTAACTAATAATCTAATAGATCACCGGTGACGACTTGTCGTCTCATTCCTCGAGTAGCGTCTTTTACGGAGTGAACGAGAGGAAACTCCCAGTACCTGTTCGCACACTAGTATTCTGTAGGGAAGAGAAGTAGATACGAGTACAGATACCCGCTCATGATCGCCCTACTGCTGACATTGTTCGACATTTTGTGGCTTTGCTGAGTGAGAGTCCCAGACACGCCGGGTTTCCATGGATCGTGATTTGGGCTACTGAAATGCGGCGTCCGCTACAGAACCTTGATGAGGTTAGGTGCCTTTACGAAGTCAACACGAGAGAAAGCACCGGCGGGTCGTCTACTCCGTACAGCGCCGTGGCTAGAAGTCCTGGTGGCCCAAGTTCTGTCTTGGGCGTTGGTACGCACAGTCTTTGGGAGACCAAACAATCCCATTCCCCATACGAAGGAATTGAGAAGTGATCGGGTTGATTGTTCCTCGCCCAGCTTTTGCAGCTTTTCACCAACTTCGAAGTACGTAGTAGCACTACGTAATTCGGGCATTCTCCGTCAGTCGGCGGGCGGTAGAAGCCGGAAAGGGAGCACAGAGACGAGGACAGTAGCAAAGCTGCTAAGGGGTCCATGCCCCATAGCTTTCAGAGGTCGGGAATGCTGGCGATCATCCGAATTACGGGATCCAAGCCTAGAGGTCGCGGGTGCACTGATAATTTTAGACTGAGTCTCCAGCGATGCGGTTTCCAATAATTTTACCAGTACTATCCCAGGCGACATGGAGCTAAACGCATTTCCAACGGTGCTGGTGGCACAGTCGCACAGTGGTTGGGGAGTCGGGGAGCTGGGAGCTGGCATCTGGCAGCTGGCAGGTTGGGCCACCGCAACCTTGTCTTGCGGTGGCATTGGAAACGCCGCGTTTGGTGCCCCAGGGTTTGATTAATAAAACAAAATGAAACTTATTCAAGTACAAAGAAGCCAAGATTCTCGCGGGATTGTACTTCGTACTTCGTACTTCGTAACTGGTATTGTTGAGAGCAGTTCAAACATTATTTGCGGGGAAAAGGGGCTCCGGTCGCTGAGCTTCTCCAGATTCTGGCAATCCTGGACGCCACATTCCCCCCGAGCAGGTCCTCGCTGGGCGAGTCGAGGTCTCACCGTCTCAGTGCTACATAGGCACTACTTCGTACTCCGTCCGCTACAAGTAGCATGCTATCTTTCTTTCCCTCGCCCTGGCCAGGACACTTCATGCGTTTGGCAACTCCATGTGAGACTGGCAGAGTAATAATGCAGGGTAATACTACTCTAGGACTAAGCAGTAAGTCGTGAGCTCTGAGTATGCCGCGCAAGACCCTCGCAAGCCGACAAGCCCAGCGCGGGGGAACTTGGAAGCAAGTCGCCAAGAGGGGCCCAAGGGGCGTGCATTGGATTATGGCTGCTGTATTTATTATTTGTTGGATGGTTGTTGGCTTGTTTGATCTGAACCCCTGCTTATCCAGTTGCGCACTGTGCAAACAATATCCAAGGATGTCTTGGGCCACGTACCGTACGCGCGAAATTTCCCGTTGACGTTTTATTTCCAGGCGTCCCAACTGAAGGACGAAGTACTCTGTACTCCGTGCTTGTATCTTTGTATCTTGTATCTTGTATCGCAAGCCTACCCCCAAGAAGCAATGTCTGCGGGTCTGCGAGAGCCCCCGAGAGCGGGGAGAGGGGATCTAGAGTTCTACTCCGTGAACCCATATCGAGTACTTCGCAGCTCCCTCAATATGAACGGGTGAATTGGGACTCCCATGATGTCGAGTAACTGGCCGACGATTCTGCAACCTCGGCGAGTGGAATATAAATGGGCATATATGGTCAGCAAGTCATAATGTGACGCTTCGCTCCTGGCTAGAGCAATCCAGTTCTCCGGGATCAACAATGGCTCCTCGTTGGTGCTGACGGAGTACGTTCGCGTGGGAGGGCACCCTGGCCGTAGGAGCGTCGAGCTGTGAAGTACCTGCCGCCTGTACTGTACGAGTACCATGGGTTGCTACTTAGCGGTTGTGTGCATGACGGTCGTCCTCGTTATAACAGTGCTCTCAGTGGCAATACTCCGTCCTTACTAGCACAAGATAGGAGGGGAGGTGCGCCAAAATGCAGCGATGCTACGATAGATCTCACTGCTCCGGTCACCAGCGCTCTGCCACCAGCCAATACTCCGTCAATCGAGCCTCCAGAAGAAGCTTCAGCTGGTTGGAAATTGCAATACCAAGACCATCGATCGGCAGCTTGTCTCGCCCGTGTGTTCCACCCAGACTTGGCGCAGGGAAACACTCTTACTTGCTGGATAGGACAAACTTGCCGCTGTCACTGCGCCCCACCCTCTCATCGTGGGCCGTGGCGTGGTACTGAGTGACTCTGGAGTCTAGCGAGAGGAGGAAGGTCAATAATAATATATAACTAGTCGAAGTCCATGTGCGAGTCAATCTATTTGGTAGATAACCTAGGCCACCTCCAGCCTAGAACTCTCCAAGGCACCGTCGGAATTAGTCAGGACTCAGGATATATTCGTCCATTACTGTATATGCCCGTGGTAGTGTGGCACACCCCACGACAAACCGATCCGACGCAAGCTTTAGCCCACACGAGTACAGCCGAGCCATAGTGTTTCCCGTATTACGTATTCTCCAATAGGGCAAGTCAAATGCACGCCTGTTCGGCAGACCTGACCGAGAGACATGTGTTACTGGGGACTGGGTGCTGGGTACTGGCTGTTGGAATCAGATCCTTTGGCCCCCGCCGAGATAGGAATATCGTAGGCGTAGGAAAGCGTTCGGCTTGTGAAGGAGCCACTCGTATTTCTCAGGAAGTACATAATCACACACAAGACCCTCTGCTGAAGTTGTAAAGAGCGGCTGCCTTGTACGGTTAAGCCTACGTGTCAGCCACGGGCCATCCGACGTCCGGGCCGTTGCTGATGAATTGGAAAGCAGTACTTCGTACTTCGTGCAAGGGTCATGTCGAGTATGGAAAGTTGGAAACACATGTGGTGGCAATAAATACAATTTGGAATTCTTCGTACATGCACTTCAAAAGGTGCCAGCCGCGCGTTAGTTCGGGGAATCCGGCTCCTTGCCACGATATCTCCAAGTTGCGTTGTTCTAGTGAAGATTTGCATCCAGAGTGGCCAGACCAACAGCCGCTGCCCACTCAGCTCCTAGATTCGATCCTCTTCCCCAAGCCGCCAGCAAAAGGCGCTTTTTAGCTCGAACTGGCCCCCTCTTCTGTGTTGCACAACAAGGACAGCCGATTCGGTACGTATGGAGCAGGGTACGAGTACTATGCCTTCAAAAGCCTGATACGCCACTGCAGCCTCATGCACACCTGCCGCTTAATTCAAGCCAGACCTTAACTCGATCAGTTAATAAGCTGATGGCGTTCTATGTATGTCTCGCCCATTAGATCCTAGCCTTCCCCTCTATTCATGGAGAGGATTCGTGACTACTACCTATCAACCGCCACTTTTCCCAGAAGATGAAGACGAGGCCGCCAGCAGGAGCCAGATCGCCGGGTCGATCCTTGATACCGACTGAGGCAGCCGGTGCGTACTTTGACGACAATCCTGTTCCTCATGAAACCAGCTGAAATATTCCCCGGAGCCTGGGGCGTGGTTCCCCTCGTAACTAATAATCTCTTGACGCCCTTTCTTAGAAATTTTGCCTTGGTAATATGGTGAGGGGAAAAGACGAATAGGAATAACTAATACTTGATGAAATATGATTGACGAATTCGGCTTATGTTTAGGTATTGGGCGCTGCTTGGTTGACGAACCTGTCTTGATTTTAGTCATGTCTCAGGCTCGGGCTTACTGTAGTGCGAGGCGAGGCCCGTGTTGAAATTGCAGTAGAATACGGTTGGATCATGCTCATAGGTTCATATTCCCATGTCTATAAATCACATTCGCCGAAGCATTCCATACGCCACGCCATTAAATGCTCCTCCACGAATATCGTATTATGGTACGTCTTTCCCAAGGCTGCAACCAACCCAAAGCCACGCGCCGTCAGACCTCAACAGGCTCGGGTTATTGCTGACCACCGTTGCTTTCTCTCGTCATTTGACGTGTTTATGCTCCAGCCGGTATATTACACCCCGGGCAGACGTTTCATATGACCCGAATATCGACCCGGACGGGCGGTCGGTATAGAGTCGGATCTCTGTATGACCACACCATATCGAAATCATACCGTCTCCATCACAGGTCCGCATATAAATTTGATCATGTGACTCGTTCCTTTTCAGATTGACTTCGAAGAGCATCTATCTCTCTCTGCAGGGCGCTGAGATCAGCCAATATATCATGGCCACCGGGTAGACCTTCAACCCCCTTTGCCTGCGGCGGGGATGACACTTCGGGATCATGCTGATTACTGTCGATACTCTGCCGTGATTGCTCGCCGCTCAGCCTTCGAGATTCTCCCGGCGACGGTGCATCCAGGCTACTACGGCCATGGCGTGATCGTGGAGGGGGTGGCGGCGCAACGGATGCTCGTTTGTTATTTGTCGTCATGTCCAGACTAAGGACAGATACCGGTCTGCCAGAAGACGACTGTCGAGATGTCCCGCGTGCTGGAGGAGGAGCAGGTAATGAGACGGTAGATGGTGATGATAATGGAGAGTGATGTGAGGAGTTCTGAGTTACTGCTGGCCGCCGAGATGGAGGTGGTGGTGGAGCTTTGGCACTATTAGAGCGCGGCCTACCAGTTTCCGACACTGCATCTATCTCGTTGTCTCGTTCCTCGACCTTTGGAGAAAGTCTGACCGAGTTACTCCGGGCCAGATTGGAGTCTGGTATCCGATGGCTATGCCGTCGGCTAATGGGAGGAGCTGGTGGTATCTTCCGTTTTATGGGTGGAAATGGCGATGTAGATTCTGGTATTTTCCCAGCGGCTTCCCTATCGAAAATTGATTCGCGGTCCGACTCATGGCTAGCTCGGTTCGGCGCTAGAGGAAGAGGTTTATTGAGGTCGGACTGCGAGGGGTTGGAGTGCAGAGAGCTGTTATTTGTGTCCTTCCTTGTCGTAGAGGTCGGAGGAAGAGGAGAATTCAGAGTATTTGCTGGAGCGTCATCTCGCAGTTCGACCGTAATCAACTTCCCGTGTCTCGAGCTTGGTGGATGGGGTTTCTTCCTGCCCGAAGTCACAGACTGGGAGTCTGAAACCAGACCCCTGCGATAATCATCCGGTTCAGATATCTCATGCGATGTTCGAGGTGACTCGGGTTGGGGTTCCTGTATTGCTTCAAATATCGACTGCCTCGAGATTGACGATGTATCCGTGCTGCTGTATCCATCACCCAAGGAATGATGAGCTGCAGGTGCCAGGGCGGGAGGAGATGGCGCGGAAGTCCCTAGTCCCGCATTCCCAGTCATCAAGAGCCTCTTGAATGCCTCCACATCGAGAGATGCTCTTCCCGGGCTCGCGACGCTTGGTACGGGTACGGCCGACCCTTCTCGCTCGGGACGTTCCATCGACTCCAGCGTCTTTTGAAAGGGATTTGGTGGAGCTTTTGTGGGCCAAGTGATAGCTTCATCGTCCGAGACATCTGGGGATATGGTGTCGAAAGGGTCCGCTTCATCTCCTGGTATAGAAATCGGCGGTCTGTGGGCTATTGGAAAAGTATCCTCACCTATCGTTGAGGCAGAGTCTCGTAATGAAGGCGACGATGGAGGCGGGGATTGGACTCGCACTTTCTTAGTGGCTTTCTTCGGTGGCCCGATTACCTCAGGAATGGAGTTGGGGGTACCCAATGAAGGATCCGTTTGTAGGTGTTGATAGGCGGCGTGCGCCGAGTCGGAAGTCGAGGTAGAGGTAGAGGTAGAGGTAAAGATGGTGGAGGTCGGGATGGAGGTGCTCACCGGGCCTGGGCCTGGGAAACTCGAGGTTGATATCGACGGGCCTTTCCTCCTAAAAGGATTCGAGGAGACAGGCTCTGCAGACATGTTGCAGATCTAGTGGGGGACATACAGCGTCACGACCCAACGGTGCAGTTTCAGGGGGATATCGGACGCATTTGCAATGCTGGTATAGCCATCGCGGTGTTAAATGACGCTCGTCGTCGTCGCCTGCCGAAGATGCGGTGACGGTGATGTGGGTTGAATCCGTTATCAGATCGCAGCCTATTGGTCTGTGCGAGAGGCCATACGTTATCTGATATTATGTAAGCTCCTTCCAAGGCCCCACGGCGTCCTGGTGTACCGAGTACCTCCGAGGTACTTATATAAAAGTTAGCCTTGCTATGTTTTACTTGCATATACTTCGTACATGGACATACAGAATTATTGGATTTTTCGGTCCTGCCCAGGATATTCCAACCACCTTGCTCCATTCCCCAGCTGGAGACGATATGTTGTGTAATGGCCTTTGTTCTGAAACCGTCAAGTCTAGGCTCCTGCCCCAACATAGCGCGAAAGTTTATATGTGAGTAGGTGACTAATTTGTGGCGCTCTGGAATCAAGCCTACTCACTACTGATGGTATTCTGAAGGTTTAGCACCGGCCTAAAGAAGCCGATATCCTATCAAGCTTTACGCCCCTTGAAACTAGAGCACATGCTAAACGTACCAAAAGGCATTTGTTCAATAACCCCAAAGTTACCTATTTCTGTAGTATAGCTGAATCTAGACATCGCCCTCAGACAATTGACAAAAGCTTGCCGGCTTAGGTGCTACGGGCATATCAGGGCGACTTACTCATGCCATTTGAATAGTTTGAACTTCTGGAGACAAACTTGTAACCCTTCTTGTCGTAACGGGATGCTCTTAATATTCAGATTATCAACGCATCTCAAAGCATTTGTATTGTAGCATTATCCTCTATGCCCCCGTGTTTAACGAGACTCTACGTGGCACTCCAAATTTGGAAATCTTAGAGGATAATGTCCCATAGAAACAGGGGGATTCCCGTATTATTCAAAACAAATCGACAACCTCACAGTAGCCAGTGTCTTATCAAGGGATTGCGATCCATGCAACATTTCTATTTAAAAAGCACCGCATATATCTAAAACACATCTCGAGGGGTATAATCCGTGCCTTCAATGTCTCAAACGCCGCAAAATTACAGTAAAAAAATAAAGCTAAGCGGCAAAGTAGCGAGCTGCCCAGAGACTGCCCTTGCTGGTAGGTTCTGACATCAGCACTTGGTGCTTCTTGACATGCAAGCCCCGAATAAAATCACTCCGTGCCGTATCAGCTAACCGGCGTGCATAACCCTTCCTTCTTGCTGTCGTCAACACCCAAAGCCTGTCGAAAACAAGGTGTTTAGAGGGGCCCTCGTTGCCGGCTTGTTGTGCTACCGATCCTCTTGCCCTAGGTTCATGGTCCATTGTGTATCTTTCCACCAATAGTACTCCAACAACTTTCGAATCAATATAATATGTGTATAGTTTGAATCTTGGAACTTGGTTTTCATCCTCCGGATCGAGGGGATTCTGGATCTGGAACCAAAGGTCATCGGAGTTGTATTGGAGACCTGGGAGGTCCTCGTAGGTACGCTTGATGATGACCTCCGCAATAGCTCGCTGTTCGGGATGGGAATAGGTAGTGATAACGCGGATCCGATGGTGGGCTCCCTCGATGATATCCTTCCATACGAAGTTTCCCTCTCTCACCTCCTTCTTTTGCAGTTCGGGCATAGCACGCAGTTTGCAGTATTCCCGGTGTGCGAGGGTGTCCTCTGTAATAGAAGGATTGTACGGCATCTCACATTTGTCGCAATGGATGGTGTTAGAAAGCCCAAGGTCAATCTGTGTTTGCGTGTATGTCATGCCGTATGGCTTCCTTCTCGAGCGCGGGGGAATATCAATTGCGGCACTGGGTAGAGCGGGATCGACATCAGGAGGGTAAGGGGCCCAGGTTTTGTCGGAAAGAAGCTCCCTCGGGGGTTTGGTAAGAGGTGGCGGAGTGCTCGATCGCCAATGTTCATAGGGGCCTTTGGTTTTATAGGGCCAAGCATCCCCATTATCATCAGCACTCCTGACATCATGGGCGCCTGTAGTATTAGTTGTGGTGGAACCAGATCCTCCACAATCGATGATCGGAAGAGGTTGGTTGGGAATCACACCATTGTTGCTTGGGTGGTTTTGTCCGTGGTTGGCAGATTGCGATTGTGTAGATCCAACGGGACGTGATCCAACCTGTTGAAGTTTTTTTTCACTGGCGCCCGTTAGGCCAATGTCATCCAATTCGCCTTCGAAGTATAACATCTTCCGGGACGACATGTCCAGTTCTAGTGGGAGGCTGTGCCTTGTCGTAAGACGGCGGCGCAGTCTCTTTTGTGCCTGCTTTGGATGAGAAATATGCGATACCTCTATAGCAGGCGGCGAGGAAGGAGGGGTCAGGGCTTCATGAGGTTCGAGGCCGTCTGATGATAGTGAGGTACACAGCACCGGACGCGGACTTGGGGACCTAGGTCGGGGTGTGAAATAGCTTTTAATACTTGATCGTGGGATCTTTGTTGCGGGAGACAGATTTTCGGGCGCTGGAACAAGATTTTCGGCCGTGGATATATCTTCAACGCGTCTCTTCTTACTCGAAGGAGCCTCTGTATTGGCGTTGTCGCGCTTCGAGTACGTCCGCAGACCAGTGGTTCTGGTGTTGTTAGTTGAATTGAAGTTGAATCGCCCACATGAGAGGTGAACTTACCTGCGGTTCCCTAAGGTCATCGCCATGATGAATGAACGACGAGCCGGCGACTGAAGTCGCTCGAAACTGCGGGGATGTGATGTTGTTTATAAAGCCTTTCAGTTGGTGGTGGAGTTTATGATAACCATAACCGAAGAGGCTACTAAGAAAACGACTGGGTGACGCGATTGGTGACGCGAATGCCAAAATACAACTCAACGCGCCATCACGTGGCATGTTTCTTGCTAGTTGCAGCCACCATTAGCTGATTTTGTTTAAAGTCATAATTATAGGCTTCCTAAGGCTCATGCTAGATGTTAATCCTTAGATTATTAGAATTGGAATTGGAATTAATTTTGCTGGTGGGAAACTTGAACCAAGATTTTGAGCTTTGTCCGATACTATTATGATTTTGTCTTGTCAGTATCCGAGTTCATGTAAACGCAAAGGCAAGATTGTACCACATATTGCACCACATGCTAGGAGCCGCTGGATCTCTTTGATCTAAGATGAGCTACCCTTCACAAGAGTAAAGTTAAATACGAAGCAGTCGGGCTTCGCATGGCAGTAGCTCTAGAACACCCGAATATGTCAGAAGTAGGCTGGTCGGAACTAAGGATGTGCGGATTATATCCGTACAAGTAAATCAATGGATAACAAGGAGATAGGCAACAGTCCTTGCGGTGAGAAGGATTAGGAAAAGTACAAGGCAATAACTTTCATTAGGGTCATAGAACATAATTGGCGTCACAGGATCCCTTTGAACAACCACGTTATTCATAAATCGAATGCGTATATTTTAGAACTCCCCTAGAAGCCCATGCTGAGATGAATCCGTCCTTGTATACTACATTCGTCATATTCTAACAGGCAACACATGGGTGCTATTATACAGATGATAGGACAGCAATGCCGCTATAACAGGAGATCTATAAAAGCCATAAAATGCCTAGAATCTATTTCCTCCGCTTTATGGTTTTAATAGCCATTTCTATTAATCCATCTTTAGCTTCGCTAGCTGGTAACGCGTCGATCGATGAGATGGCCCGATTAGCATATTCTTCCGCCAATGCCCGAGTTTGCTCCAATCCGTCGCTTTGAAGTACCAGTTCCCGAGCCTTGTTAAGTTAGCGATAATCCGGATGTCAGAAGAATGTCACTCACCCTTGCAACATCGCCCTCCTGGGCGAACTTCCTGCCTACTAACGCTCCTAGCTCTTTATTGTTTTTCCACGCAAACAATAACGGTGCAGTTGCCAGCCCCAACTCTAGATCTGCACCAGCAGGCTTCCCCAACTCCTTTTCACTGATTGTATAGTCCAACATGTCATCCACCAACTGAAATGCCAGGCCCAGGTTCTTTCCATATAAATATGCAGCATCCACAGTAACTGTATCTGAGCCACCCAGGAGCGCTGCTGCCCGGCAAGACTTTGATATCAGGCTTGCAGACTTGAGATATGTCTTTTGCAAGTAATATGTGATTGTATTCTCAGTCCAGATTGGATTTTTCTCGTCTTGGGCGGTATTCTTCAATTGCATGAATTCCCCTTCAACTAGATTCGCGATAACAGTGGCCAGAAGCTCGGTCACCTCTGGGTCGCGAAGGCGAGCCAGGGCTACTGAAGCACGGCTCAGAAGGAAGTCTCCAGCCAAGACTGCCATTTTATTTCCAAATTCGAGGTTCGCCGATGGAGACCCGCGGCGCGAGACAGAATGATCAATAACATCGTCATGGAGGAGGGAGGCGGTGTGTATTAATTCCGTAATCTCTGCGAGTCGTCGTTGGGAAGGGAGGATATCGCTTTCGCTAGCTGGATACGAGGATTGAAAATGGGTGATGGGATTCGTGGTAGAGGAGGAGGGATTAACATCCGAAAGGATAGCTATCGGTGAAATAGCGTTGTCGATGTCTGGTGATAGTTGCTGGCCATTATATCTGGGAGATTTCTCGGCCAGAGCAGTAGCCCGGGACATCAGCAGCACGATAAGGGGGCGCACATGCTTTCCTTCGGCTTGGGTATAGTATTTTGCGACAGTGTCGAGAGACGGATGTCCTGATCCCAAAAGCTGCCGTATGTTACCAGTCAAAAATTTGATCTCTTTGGCGACCATCCGTAACGGGTCGACACTGATTCCGCCTTGGCTGGCCGTTCGCGTTGTGGCATTAGACAAAACACTTGAGGCTACTGAGACAGCTTGCGCCCATGATGACTGTCTCCTTCGCGCAGGATGATGGTATGTAAATGTTGGGGGGTGTTGGAAGGCCCGTTGGGCAGCTAATTGACATCTAGAGCACCCGGGATATGCTAGAAATGTCGAGGCCGAGGAGCTATGTAAGAGCGACGAAGCTCTGCCTGGATGGATTTTCATCCCAAGTTCCTTATTTCAAGAGACAAAACTGCAATTGACTTCAATTGGACTGAGCGACAAGAAATCCAAGCTGTATGAATACGAACAACCGAAAGAAGAAATATTGAAGCGCACGGAGTGAACTCTCAGCTAGATTTTTCGGCGAGAATCGGCTCAACCTCTAAGCTTACTGCACGGAATGGAACAACCTAGGCCCCGACCACCCCTACCTACAGGCACGCTGACGCAGCCAGGTCCCGGAACTCAAGGTTGTTGCAACCTAAAATATGTTAATTTGGGATCCTCGTTTTATTCTCATATCCTGAGATGGTCCCAACAAATACAATATGGTGCTACTAACTATGACCAACTCCCTAGTGGAGGCCCTGCAGAATATTCAGAATGCTCAGAATGCACACCCTGACGTGGAAGTCGAGCCGTTCAACGACGGAGCAGGAGTAGCGGAAGGAACCAGCCTCAAGACAGCGGACGAGAAGCACATCAATCATTCAAACATTGTCGCGCAGTCGCCAGTCGCAGAGACACAAGAGCAATTGCAGAGTAACAAATGTCCTCAAGAAGACAGAATAAAAGGTGGCGCAACTACTACAGGACAAGCAGAGGCATCTCTTGAGAATCCAAAAGTTGGCAATCCAATATCCCATGGCCAGGTTATAGATCTATCGAAACAACTGAAGGCATATAATTTATCCCCAAGCAGCCTAGATGTACTGCTGCGAGGGGCGAGGGTCTATGTGCCTCCCCCTCCGTCAAAACCCGAGCCTGTGAGTGGCCCTGCCAACAGACTCCTTTGCCCACAACACACTAACCACCATCTACTTAGACATCTGAATACAAAGCTCTCATGACCCGCCTTCGCCGTGAAGAGGAACTACGAGCATACGAAAGAATGACCAACCCGATTTCACCTATGGAGACCTTTGCCCAACGATTCCCTGCCGCCTCCGCCGCTCGCGCCTTCTCCTCAAGCTACCACCATATCAGTACCTCAGATCTGGATGATGATGACGTTACATATGCGGATGTAGACCGACAGATGGCTTTGATATTGAACGTGCTAGTTAGTATTGTAGCTTGTGCTGGAGCCATATGGGTTGTGGCCCGTTGGTGGAGTACACCAACTCGATTGGCCTTGAGTATGGGAGGCAGTCTACTGGTCGGTGTTGCTGAGGTTGTGGTTTATTCTGGCTACATCAGGAGAGTGGCAGAGGCAAAGGCTAATGCAAAGGGCGTCAAAGACGTCAAGGAGGTTTTGAATACTTGGGTCATCGGAGCTGAAGATGATGAAAAGGGAACGGATGTTCCAGTAGTGATAAAAGGCGATACCGATGCCGCCAGGCCACGGAGGAGGAAGAATAATAATGTGTTATAACGAATGGCCCCCTAATATACTTTAAAATTTATGCTTATTTTGCCCCGCCAATCCTATTTGAAGACGTCAGTTCTGTTTCAGCAGCTTCTTCTAGTACAATTTCCCGGCGCCAGCTGTCACTAGCAGTCGAAAACACTTGCCCTATTCTATACTACAAGCGTAGCTGCAAAATCTTTTAATATTCACCTTGAATTTAACAGCAGATGTTCCAGCATGGTAGAGGATCTTTTGTGTGGGTGTAAATGTGATCATGCCTATATTTATATCTCTATGATGAGTAGTACTCCGATGGTGCAAATTATATCTTTCTAGGGGTATATCTCAACTTATCAACTTGGGCCTTTTAGAATCCTCCCCTAAACCTTCATACTTGATAGTAGTTTTGAGCCTCTTAATCTCGCCCTTCTCCTCAGTACCCTAGTCAACCACGTCCAGTTTCTACCTCAAGTCCCGTAGCTATTGGCGGAAATATATTGCTTGATCTTGCAATGAACTCCAAATAAGCGCCAAAAGGGGCCCAAGAAGCGTATGCCCACCTTTCTAGCCTGATGCCATCTGTTACGGCAACACAAGCTTCCATTCGCGAAAGGGGTCCGCATGTATGAAGATGTCGTCGAGATACTACTAAAGCAATATAGCGCAAAGCATCCCTAGATAGACTCAATATCTAGAGGGTTGAGATGACGGTGGTTGCCTTCAGCTCATCCGCATGTTAAAGCGGTCTTCGCCCCTATTTCCACCCGCTCTAGGTAGGGCGGTGCCAAATTGCCTGGCTATAACTCCCAAACACCCTCTATATAATACCAAATAAGCATTTTTGGTTTTTGAGGGGTACAAGGGCGGCCACTTGGTTGGGTGGTTCAGGACGAATTGTACTTACGAGGCCGACAGGGATTTAGGGTACGTAGGCACAGGCCCCAAAAAAGGGGGATGTTGAAAACGACCAAAAAAAACGAAACAAACACGAATCGGATCTATTCGACAAGAGAAGTAGGCCCTATAACGACGGGGCCGAACTCTTTTGCTATTTTAATGGATTAAATTTATATTTTACGATTCTCTTTTCGCGTTGTTCTTTTGTTTTGGTTCTTTTATAAAGTGAGCGGTCGCGGGCTAAGCGAGAGAGAGAGTCCCCTCCTTAATCTAGCAATATCTCCCGGACTCGAGGAGTCGTGGGGTTATGGAGTCATCAAAACGTTCGAAATGCCAGAGTAAAAAAATAAGAAATACGTAGCGGAAGCACCGGTCGCCTAGATTGGTTGATTGATTGATTGATTATTCCTTTTAACGTCATGTGTAAGTCGAAGACTACCTTGCAGTAGGGCGGACTCTTCCTCAGAAGAGAATAGGTCGGGTGATAGTTCTATATACATACTCGGCAGCAGTCAAAAAAGAACAAAACCGGAGCACAAAGCCCTATTAGGGGCTTTACTAGCCAATTTTAATAGACTAGTAGCCCATCTGAAGTTCCCCCAAAAAATTCCGCCATGTATTCTCGGGGACAGCCGGGGTTATAACCTAAAATCAATCAAGCTTCCTGGAGACTGCACGCAAGCTAGTGAGTGCCTTACTGTCACTTACATTTTCAAATCACAACCTTCGTCGGACTATATCTACCTTGCTCATATCTTTAGAGTGGCCGCCATATGATATCCCCCGACTACATATGGAGCTGATGATGGATGGAACACCAACGGAAAAGGGGGCCCAAGTTGACCGTTACATACTAGGTGATAGGAACGCCCAGGGTAAACAGGTTTTATAAAAGTAAAAATTTAACTATGATGCTTCTTTGGTTTTACGGGTTGGCTCCTCTTAAAGTATCTTGCAGTGCAGAGGTTCCTCTCGACAACCCGCATACATTTTCGTAGACATAAGAAGCTTTCCTTGTCCACTTTACCAAGAGAGCTACTTATAGGTACTCTACTTTGTACTAATACTATACTACCTTACCTTATAGTAACCTCGTAGTAATTGAAGCCACAAAGCCAAGACTCGCCTATCGCGGCCTTGACCGTCCCCCATCGTCCCAGCTTTCTCCCCTCTATTCTGGACCCCACGGGTCCCTCCGTTCCCCGACCAATAAACATCGGTCCGTCTGCACCAGAAGCATATCAACTGGATCCTTCACGGGGAGCGGCTGAAATGCGCTGACATTCCAGACACCCTGCTGCATGAACAGATCCTACTTCCTCGACCTCGAAAAATCGAATCCTTCAACAAGTAGCAAAGAGAGCCCCTCCTTTATCGCGGTCCCCATCCATCTTTCGCTCCCACCGATATTCCAGTCCGCTGGCTCGCGCTGAGAAGTCCATTCGAAGGCCGTGAAACCAACTAGAAACAGCCATGAGTTCAAATCCACAAGACGGTAGGCCGCAGGTGCAGGCATGTCGGTACAAGACGGGGAAGACACTGGGCGCCGGGTCGTACTCGGTGGTGAAGGAATGTGTCCATATCGACACGGGGCGGTATTATGCCGCCAAGGTGATCAACAAGAGGTTGATGGCCGGGCGAGAACATATGGTACATTGAGTCCCATCGTACCCGTACCATACGGAGATTCATACTGAACCGCGATCTGGATTTATAGGTGCGCAATGAAATCGCCGTTCTCAAGCGCGTATCTGTGGGCCACCAGAACATCCTCACTCTAGTCGACTACTTCGAAACCCTCAACAACCTCTATCTCGTAACGGATCTCGCCCTCGGCGGCGAGCTATTCGACCGCATCTGTCGTAAAGGCTCCTACTATGAATCCGACGCCGCAGACCTGATCAGAGCCACGCTCTCGGCGGTGGCATACCTCCATGACCATGGCATCGTACACCGGGACCTAAAGCCCGAGAATCTCCTCTTTCGCACCCCAGAAGACAACGCCGACCTTCTAATAGCTGACTTCGGTCTCAGCCGCATCATGGACGAGGAGCAATTCCACGTCCTAACCACCACATGCGGCACACCGGGCTACATGGCCCCCGAAATATTCAAGAAAACCGGCCACGGGAAACCAGTGGATATCTGGGCCATCGGCGTGATAACCTACTTCCTGCTATGCGGCTACACGCCTTTCGATCGGGATTCCAACCTCGAGGAAATGCAAGCCATCCTAGTAGCAGACTACTCCTTCACGCCTATCGAGTACTGGCGCGGCGTCTCCCTCCAGGCGCGCGATTTCATAAAACGCTGTCTAACCATCGACCCCACGAAACGGATGACAGCCTACGAAGCGCTATCACACCCCTTCGTCGTCGGCATCCCGGCCGATTCCCAGGATGGGAAAGCTGGGAAAGGCTCTGATTTGCTGCCGATAGTGAAGAAGAACTTCAACGCCCGCAGAACCCTCCATGCTGCCATCGACACCGTGCGCGCTATCAATAAGCTGCGCGAGGGCCAGCACAGCGGGAGTATGATGGATGGCGCGAAGTCGGCGGATCCAACGCAAGGAGCGGAACATCTGCCAGCCGAGCAGTATACGTCCAAAAACGATTCGGGCGTGAGCGATATGGACGTGGATGTCGAAGGGATGGGGCAGCTTGGACAGGGAGCGTATGATGGCGGAAGAGGCGTCTTCGAGAGGGGCTCTGGACAGGGCCAGACAGATGCGCAGATCGAGGCACAGACGAGAAAGGTTGCGGAGACTACCAAGGGACTTTGGAGTGCCGGACAGGCGAAGATTCCAGGCCGGTAGTGAATGAATATTTAACTTGGGAAGTTGAATGTTTTCGTTATAAGATGGAAAAAGGAATTTCAAGATCAGGAAACACCAATACTACAAGAGGAATGAATGAATAGCTACAAAGGGGGCTACAAGATATGGAACCAGGCGAGCTCAAGCAAAGGGGGTTAAAAGGGTTTTTTTATTTATATTTATATCTGCTGGATTAGATATACGTTTTTTCTAGCAGCGCGTTACGTACGTAGGTCATCCATCATCTAGGTAAAAGGTAGGTAGGTACGTATGCGTACCGATTCTATATATCTGTTTTGCTTACCACGTCAATTAAAAAAGGAAAAGGGGGAGTTGATTAAAAGAACGCAACTCGAAAACACAACGAGATGATAAATAAACTAAGAGGAACTTATGGTGTTTGAATTGTGTGTGTTTTCGTTTTTGAGCTGGGTCTTGTGCATAGGTAAGTGTAAGGTACCTACGACTTTGTTCGTGTAACCCCCCCGCTTAAAGCGAAAGGGGAAAAAGGGGGGGGGGGCGGTTGAGGGTAGACGTAGCGAGCCAGTTGAAGCCACACATATATTGCACACATATCACGATTTTCTTAACAATAAAACTTTTCTTTTCTTTTGAACTGCGTGGTTTTCTTATTTTCTCTCCTCGCCTTATTATATATTCGGTGCATTACTCCTCCACCATCCCTTTCCGCTCTCCACACCAAGGATCAGGATTCCTTCACCGCAAACGCGTCCATCCATCCATCATGTCTCCATTTATAACGACAGACAAGACAGAACAGACAAGACGAGTTCATATTTCATTCCTTTCCATCCTGCACACATGTGAATTAAAGCCCCGCGGCCATGCTCTCCCCACCGTGTGCAAACCATGCAATGCCCCAAACCCCCCAATCCGAAAATAAAGGTGCCCCTCCTAGGGTTCCCCCCTTGGATTCCAGTTATCAATAGTCTATATTTAGCGAAAGTCCCGAAAAGTCAAATATTCGTACATGCTACATGCCCGTCTTTGGTGGCCGCCCGTCTGTATCTATGCACGTCTAGCGATCGTGGTTGTGGTATTTATGTAAAACTCCAACAAAGTGGATAAAAAAGGCTTGTTCTCTGGCCCTGGGGCCCTGAGAACAAGGGGAGAAGTGAAGGTTGTTGAAGAAGTGAAATGCCACTTAGGCATTCGTTTCGGTCGTGAACGGATCGAAATGCGGCCGTGGCGCAATTATTCATTATAAAGTTGTAATTCAGGGGGTGCAAAAGATCCCCAATCCCAGCCCGGTGGACGTCTCGAAAGGTGAGTGGTGAAAGGTGATATATATACAGGGCGGTTCAAGATGTGTGTTCGAGAGTCCAGAGGTGGGTGACGGTACAAATGTGAAGTCCGAATCAAGAAGCTCATATCCGCTCATATGCGCAACGCCGTGCCATGAATATGCCGTAAATCATCAAGGTCTGCAAAATCTCAACAGGGGATCGTGCTGAGGAAAATGCGGGAGATAGGAGTCGTGAGTGTTCAGTTGGGTCACCGAACGATGACTTCGTTAAGTTCACTGTCTGACACTTGGGATGCGAGGGTCTCGCCCTCCCAAGACTGGCCATCATCGATGGGACTGCGTGAGCCTGAGGAGAATGAGGACGACGATCCGGCGGTCCACTCATCGCTGCTGCCAGTGTGGAAATCGGTGTCCAGAACAGTTAGACCATATTCGTAATCGCCTACGCTCGGGGCATCCCCAACTTCCACGTAATCATAATCCCAGCGGAAGGTCTTGTCCATTTGAATTCGCGGCAGGAAACTCGATTTGGCCATATAAAAGGTGATTGCCGCAATGAAAGCGCCCCCAACCAAATCCACCGCATAATGGTGAGATAGGTACATGGTTGCCCACCACATCCACATGGTGTATCCAATGAGTAATGGTCGCAGCTTGGGGAAGCAATGGCTCATGAAGAGCGCTTCCAGAACTGTCATTCCAGAGTGCAGGGAGGGAAACGCTCCGAACACCAATGGTGATGCTTTGAAATTTGACGTGTAAAGGTCAATTCCGAATAACTTGTCAATACGCGACAGGCCAGCTGCTGATCCTTCGATGGAGTAATTTGCAGCTGCAAGACCGTACAGGTTCTCATACCATGGAGCCGAGCATGGGAAGAGCAACTGAATCATGACACCAGTGATGCTTAGGTATCCAAATGATCGCGCATAGACCGGGAGGGTTCCTGGGGGCCCAAAGAGGAACATTAAAATCGCCCACACGACCGGGCCGCCATAATGCAAAATCCCATATGGCAACCATGCAAGGATGTCCAATGTTACGTATTGATGAGCGGCGAGGATATTGCTCAAATTGGCCCCGTAAAATATGTTTTCGAGTGCAGGTAGGACCTTCACCCAGATATGCGGACGGTACTCGGCAGGAATAAATCTATTTAAAAAGTCAGTACGTAGTCCTTTGGCGCAAAATATAATTCTAGAGTGGCGGATCATGCTCCTACAGAATTCTATGCTTCGATTCTCTCGCAGCAATTAAGGGGGGGAATGGCCTACCGAGCATTGAAGAAAAAGACCAACCAGGTGAGGACTGGAAGGACGGGGAGGAAGAATTGTCTGGTGATGGGCATGAGAAGTGCCAGCATGAGCAACGAAGCCGCGCCCGTCTTCATCATCGGCCCTGGCGCCTGGCTGATGGAGAGCGAGAAGATGGCCAGAATAATCAATAGCAGGTATTGCCCGTCATAGTACGACCATCTGTGCGACCTCAAAGCCAGAATTGTCCCTCTTGGGTTAAACGATGTTTCCAGGGAACTAATCGACGACGCGGGCGATTGCGAGGATCGAAACTTGGAGCGCAGCCGGCGGCGGTACCTTCGAGGTATGGGATTCGGTATCGAGGGGAAGGAGAAGGGCAGCTTCGCCTTGGTGAAAGTCTGGGAGCCCATGGTCGCCGGATAGTAGGTGTGAGGTTCTGACATGGCCGCAGAGGGGCGTATTGCGGACAACGCGGCTTCGAGGGGCGCTTCCACCGTACCCGGTGGGACGGGCGAGGCTTTGAGGCTTTGGAGGAAGAGCAGGAGGCGGCTGGGAGGTTACGCTATGGTTTGTACATAAAGCCGTGGGGGAGGGGTACTGGAAATGGCGGTGATAGTACTTCGAAGCAGCGGTGGCGACGAGCGAGTAGGTGGTTTCGAGGGGCGCTGGAAGGAGAGGGCGCACGGTGCGGAGGACGAGATCGAGAGGGTCGGGGGGAGGGGGAGGTGGAGGAGAGGGCGTGAGAGGGCGGGCGAGTATGGCGAGGTTACTCGGTGGTGTAGATAGTTGTCGATGGTGTTGTGAAAGCGGATGTGGAAGTGGAAGTGAGAGTGGCAGTGGAAGTACTATGAAGCCTGTACGTACTACTACCACTCTGCTGCTCTGTACTAGGAACCCAAGCGGAAGCGGATGCTCGGGCTTTAGCAGGAGTCCAGGAGCCCCGTTCGGGTGCAAAGCCACTGCTGGGGGGCTGCTGGGATCTCTGCTGCCAGTTTCGCTACGGAGTATAGGCGGGCCCTGCTCCCTGGGCGTTTGCAGCTTAGCAAGCAGGCCCAGCGGGCGGCAGCCGCCCATGGCCAATGAGCAGCGATGACGGAGTCGGTGACGGTGGCGCGCGTCCAGGACGGCCCCCCGAAGCGGCTAGCAGGCCTTGGCGCGATGGGACGTATTTCAACGGGATCGCGGACGGCGGGATTTTATACGTGCGACGGGGCGCGGACAGGGGAGGAGCAGCACTTAGTACGTAGGAGTTCTCTCGTTTTGGGTATTTAAAAATAAAAGGGAATGCTAAAGGGCGGCGGTTCATCCACTCAGGAGCCAGGAGCCAGTAACTTGAAGCTTATTATTATACTCCCTACCTCTTTAAGTCTGCAGATGCTCAAGCACGTAGGTACTTCCGCCGTCCGCCGCTGTTCACTGCTATTGTCCGCTCCGCTGCCAAGCTCCGAGCCCTGCGGCAGTGATTCGCACTTTGCGCCTGTGTAATTATGCGTACTCGTACCGTGCGAGTACGAGTACGTGTACGCGTACGAAGAAGCCCTCCTTGGGGATGATCTGGATCTCAAGGTACATGTAAAAAGTTATACACAACAGTAGAAATCCAAACACCAACACCAAAGAGCTACCTGGGACAAGCACACGATCAGACAGCTCCTCTGCATCCTCCGCGTCATCCGATTTCCCCGCAGCCACCAGCCTGTCTGACGGTCTGACAAATGCCTGCCCTCGCACATTCGCACAATCGCACCACCAACTGCTGTCCACGTCCCCGGGTTGAAATCATCGCAAACTCCGGGCGATCCGAAGCCCACCGTCACTGTGGCTGCCACGGCCCCCCAGTGCGCCCACGATCTAGAAGTCGGGAGTCATCCACGATCACATTCGTCCGGAGCACGGAGTCAGGCTCACTAAGCAGTAGCAGTAGCAGGAGCAGTAGCAGGAGCAGTAGGGCCATAGACAGCACCTGATAGCAGCGACATAAGAAAGCGCAGCGCAGCGGAGCGACAGTCCAGCCGACTCTGCGTTTGTCGCGGCGTCCGAGTCGCACAATCTCCGAGCCGGGTTGTATAATAAGATTGTTTAGCTTGGCAGATATCCCATGAGGGAACGAACGGCAACCGTTGCAAAGGGGAAAAAAAACATGAAATTTAATGTGGAGCAACAGGAAACGGAAAATTCTCGATGCTAAAGCGGGTCGCTTGAAATAAAAGGGGAGAGCCTTGGTCCGAGGTAGAGAGATATAACTTTGTCACCTGTCTGCTTCGGAGAAAGTGTAAGGTACTTGCAGAACTGTGCTGATAAGCAGGTGCCGCTCCCTGCATACCTAGGTAGGACAACTACGTGCTTTGCGTTGGAGGTGAGCTGTCAGAAGTATGTACCGGCATATCTACCTAGGTAAGAAAGGGGGGTACTGTAAGAGTTGCATCCAGTGTACATAATCATCCGCTCTCCTCGCTACCCGTGGAGCTGCAATCTCTGATAAGAACCTAAGATTGGAGCCTTGGAGGGGATCCTCGATTCCTTGGGTCATCAGGTGTCACACGTCACGCTGCCAGGTGGGCGGTGTGGCTGGGGGGGAGGATTTATTAAGGTGATGACAAGGTAGCACAACGCGTAATAATACTCGAGTCAAAGAGGATTCCAGCTGGTGAGGGCGCTAAACCGGGAACTCGGCGTCGGGAATGTGGCAGTACATAGTACACTCAGCACAGTAAGAAATCCCACGAACTACTGTACGTACAGGTATCTATATAAAGTACCTACCGGTACATGTACATGTCCATTACGAAGGTTTGTTTAGAGAGAGGGAGCCTACCTTAAGGGCTTAACCTAACTAAGTTCTAGGCAGATGCTCCCTGGAACTAGGCTCTACGACGACTCTACGAGTCCGGAGTATTCATTCGTGATAGGTGATAGGGAGACTGACGGGGACGTGCAGTCCAGCAGTCCAAGCGATGTTTCCACCTCCCAAGTGCCAAGCAAGATCTCATTAATCATTAATGAGGATCTTCCTACATCCAATTACACCCACTCCGTAGGACTGTATGCCCTCGACGACTCCTTAGCATTGGGTTTTGATCTCTGGCTCTTGACACAGCGGGAGTAAAAGAGTTCTGGTGTTGCGTGGCCCGAAATGCGACGTCCTGTGCTCGAGGAAGGACAACGCATTTCTCGCACACGACAGGTGAGGTTTTTGCTGGGTTTGGAATTCCAGAAGCGCTCAATGCACAATAATGGGAGACCAATGCACAAGCAACACCATGAAAGGTCCAAGTTATGCAAAAAAAACCATCCGTCTTGGCGAAACATGTGTGTCTGATGTTCACCAGGTTGTTGTCGAGATTCATCATTCATCAGATTCACAGCTAGGCAGGTGAGTGCGAGTTTGCCAGGACTGGCCAATGGTCGACCACACAGTGCGAATACGTTGCTGGCTGGCCGCCACGTAACGGCGTGTAAATTGGGAAATTTGCATGGCTCCTTCACGTGTGGCACAGACAGTGGACGAACAATCAAATACGAATAGATCGAGGTACAATACGAATTATTGAGGGGCTGCAGACTCTTTGCTTCTTATGGATTATTAATAATGATAACTGGGTTTCAGTGTATGAAAGGCAAGGGTTAATGTTAAGTCGCGCCGCGGCATCTTGATCATCATCTGCATGCGCTTTGACAACAAGGCTGCGTAAGCCTGTAACCGTCGATTGTAAGGCATTCTGGTCGGGTAAATAACCTCTTCATTTTTCGTTTGCTCGCTGTATGGAGTATGGAAAACCTCGTTTGTTCTGTGCAGATACTAGTATACCATGTTCTCTGTTAACAATACCTAAAAGGATACCCTTTAAAATATAGAAACAATAATCCTTAGCACTTAACTCTCTATCTTTTATTTCTTCCTAATAATAAAAAGATCCTCCTCATCTATAGTATAATCATGGCGACTCTAATTGATACATCGAGTTCTACGTCAAAAAGGGGGCAAACAGAAAACAGAAAAGGAGACCTGTTGCACATCGCACTTAAAAGGGGCAAGATAGGGGGGCAAGATTTTCTGGAAATCGCAATTTTCATGGCACATCGCCCCGTTCCTTGTTTAGTTGAAAACGAAGATCATTTTGTTGCATGTCGCACTGTAGATAATTTCCTTTTTTGAGAGATCGAAATGGGTTTTGTGGCTTTTTTTTTTGTCGCACATCGCACTTTGTAATGGGACAAGGTTTCGTTTTTTTGTTGCATGTCGCGTGCGACGGGCGGGATTTCCTCGCTTCGTGTGATGGGCTGCTGCAGTGAGGAAAAGGTCTAGTGGGTGAAAACTCCTATATCTTGGCTACCTTGATTTTTTAATGAGGTGTGAGATGAAGGTGATTCAGATACTATCTATTCCACTTTGTTTTTACTATACAGTACATGTCTTAAATTAGGACAGAAATCTGCCCATTCCGTCCACAAAGTTAAATATAAGATCAGAGGAAATATATACACAATAACTCCCCTTTCAGCAACCCGAGTCATTTCACCACTCTATCCCTCTCACTTTATATCCCTTTCCTATTTCACAAATATCACCTTTCTCCAACCATGCCATGACAGTATTCCCTCCAACTTGCAGACTCCCCTTCAATGTCCCAAAAGAAATAAATACTGCCTAGAATTGAAGATATAGGAGCCTATCACTAACAAATTTTATATTGAGAAGGGTGAAACTTTGCGAATTACTCCTGTTACTATTAAGGTGAGACACACAAATTAAAAGGTATTACCTAGATGTAACTACAGGATACTACTCTTCAATTCTCGCTTTTTCTGGAGGATATTTTGCTTATATGAAAGATAACCCAACCCAACGGTACAATTTGTTCGCCACTCTCCGCTGCCCAAAGCCTCTTATCTAATTTGAGATGAAGACCCATAAAATAAATATAATTTACTATAAAGGAGCTCCTAATTAAACAGCATTCTTAACTTTACATTCTCAGAATGCCCTACTAACTGACATTCAAACGAGTCCGCGGCATTTGAATACTACGTGTACATTTTGAAGATGTTGGGATATGTCATGTATGGGTTCCTCGTAAACGAGAGATGGAAATTTCTCACTAGGACAGCAACGGGGGACACGATGGTCTTAGGGATTACTTGTATAATATTCGTAGGGGTAGTTTGGATAGTAAGAAATGCTGGTGCATGAGGTGAGATAAAAACGAGGAATCCATAACCCTGTCTACTTATATATATATAGCATGGTGCGTTGAGAACGAGCTAGATTTGCTCTATATTACACTTAAGAGGGATATGCGATACCCGATAGCCGCTGTTGTTGTCCCAGGTCAAATTCTTAGGCTAGGAAGACAAACTCAGAGACCTTTGGTTGCGGTGCTAGAAGTATAGCACGTTTGTGGGGAATTGATCTTGATGCGTACGGCAATATGTAGAATGGAGAAGTTTGATGTACATCGTACTGGAGAATAAACCCCCCCAAGGCGCGTAGTAGGTTTAATTGGTAGGTAATTGAAAGAGAGAAATGATTGTAGCGAGGTTTATCCTAACTGGGCACTGGGTGTACTTAGCTAAAACCCCAAACATAAGGCAAGCTAGTTGGGAAAATATATTATCTATTAAAAGGAACATGTTATAAACTGGTTCCGCCTCCGTATCAATTAATACCACAACCCATCCACCGAAAGGAAAATTCTAACTAGCTTCATGCAGGGACAAATTCAACGCGAAATCACTGTCTATCCACTCAATTCCTATTGCCCCTCCCTTAGAACTTTTATATACACCCAAAAACTCCCAGCGAATCTGAACTTTTAGTTCCCTGGCTCGGCAACTTTGGTATTGTGCGGCACAGGGATAATCACAATACTTTGTGGCACTGAAGCTGGTCCAGCGGGTACTGTCACCGTTTCTTTGACAGTTACGGTGGAGGCTGGGAGTGTTTCGGTGATGCGCAACGTGACGGTTACCGTAGCTTGTTGGGTTGCTGCGCCAGAGGGGAGGATCGTGGAGGTCTTTTCTGACCCTGGGGCTGGTTGTTGTGTGGCTTCTGGCTGTTGTGCTGGTGCTGGCTGTTGTGTTGGTGCTGGCTGTTGTAATGGTGCAGGGCTGCCAGTTGGAACAGTCACGGCTGAGGGTGGCTCGGCCGCAGCTGGTGATGGAGCTGGTGATGGGGCAGCTTCGGGCGACTGTGATGCGGGCTTGGGGGCATTAGATGTCGCGAGGGGAGTGACGGATAGAGGTACGGCTTGAGAAGCAGTAGCGCTTGGTTTCCTCGTGCTGAGAACAACAGTCGTTTGACCCTCGACCGGAGATTCTGGAACTGGAACTGCGGAGGTAGCTGCGACTGCTGACGGTGTAGGAGATGTATTCCCAACCTGAGCCGTTGTACTCGGAGTAGCGTCCCCAGCCAAGATACTCTTGGCTTTATCACTGTTATCGCAACCCACGTAAACGCCCCGCGTGCTGGTCATCGGCAAGGCGAAGCATTGTTCGCCTTCCCCACAGACGGTTATTACGAAGCTACCAGCAGAGTTGCACTTCCCTACACTTCCGTCTATGCAAGCGATTTGTCCGGGTGTGCAAGGGGAAGAGAAATTCAAGCCGGAAAATAAGTTGTTGTAGCCTTCTGCTTCGGCGAGGTTTTTGCTGCGGTCTGTAGGAGAGAGGCTCGACGTTGGGACCGGGATGGTGGTTGGGATCATGGTGGGGACATCGGAGATGCTGGCTGGTGGATTGGATGTCACCTGCTGTGAACGTGAAGATGGTGCGGCTGATGAATCCGGGGATGGTGGCTTCGCTGTTGCCGCTGTTGATACAGGGGGCGTGAAGAATACCGTAATGGATGTGGTCGACTTTCCTGACGGAGAAGTCTGCGAGGATTGCTCTTCGGTAGCGGTTGGCACAGTGACTGCTGCGCTGGATGTGTCCGTTGATGTAGGGATCTCGTCCGTATTGCTGGTAGAGGTTGACACTGTGACTGCTGCGCTAGGTGTGCCCGTTAATGTAGGGATCTCGTCCGTATTACTAAGTGTGAATCTGGGTATAGAGCTTGACGATGTTGATGAAAAGGAGGAACTGCCGACCTGCGGCGAAGGCTCCGCAACTGAAGCGACAGTGGAAGATAACCCTAGACTAGATGATGGTGAAGTGCTTGGAGAATTGGATGCCACTAGGGGACCTGAATCCGATGTCGTCGTTCCCCTGGCGGTAGTGAGTGGTGAAGTGGTACTGTCGAGTCCAGGAATAGCTTGGGAAGCTACTGGGCTTTCTGTAGCTGCACTCGAGGTAGTACTCAAGGTAGCACTCTCTGTGGTGGTAGCTGGGCCTTGAGAGTCCGCTGTTGTAGTGGAGTTCAAAAATGCTGGGGGGATAACAGTTATGGGTGACGGCGACTTTGTCGAAGTTTGAGATTGCGAGCTAGACGTCGTGCTATCCGAGTCCGATGTTGGCTCTGGTATGCTGGTGGACGGCGTAGCGGAAGTCGAGTGGGTATTTACTGGCGTTATCGCAGTGATGCCCCCAGCGTCTTTCTGAACCTGAATAGTGGAATTGGAGAATGGCACATCTCTTGGGAGGCTGCCTTTTCGTTAGCATGTATCATATATTGGAGTTGGGCTGGGGGGTTCTTACTATCTGCCAGAGCCATCACGCCGTAGCGGGCCAGCCGCAGTGAGGGCTGCAAGGAAAAGGGCAGTGGAGATGAATTGGATGGGCTTCATTTTTGTGGAGCCTTCTGCTGAATTGAATTGATGTGTTGATGATTGGTAAAAAAAAAGGGGGTGATTTGCGTCAATATTTGTCTAAGGTGGTAAAGTAAAATAAATGAATGGGGTCGAAGATTCGAGCCAAGAAACCGAGTGGACCAAAAGCCAGGATAGTCTGCTCAGTTTGTGGAGGAAACAATGAGGGAATAAAGTTGTTATCAATAGAAGGAAAAGACAGAGAACTGGATATGTAGGACAGATGAGAGAAAGACGCCGAAACACAATAATGAGAGAAGGTCAAGACTTGAATGAATAACGGAGCCTCTCCGACGGTGGAGGGAATGAAGGTATCTTGTACCATCTGTCTGTTTTGCACTGCAGATGAGTGGCTGCAAGAAGGCCGCCATCCCACGGCCGAACAATAGGCTGTGGCTTGCCACCGACTACCTTTGCCTGGGCCATTCTTTATCCTCAGTGTCGCATCGCGGCGGCTGACGCGACGAAACACCAGCGAAAGACATGGTGAAAGTAAAGAGTCAAGGGGAGTTGGGCAATACGGCACTGTCCAGACCAGTCAATGGTTCTTTGGTAGTCGCGAGGCGAAACAACGACATTGCCGGTGGAGAGACGATGTTTGAGTGTATCGCGACAAGGGGCGCAATAGAGGCATTGATTGGCTACCGAGACGTTGCGGGAGAGCCGGGCTGGCAATCGGGTTGATTGGATGAGACGAAACAAAGGGCTGATGGAGTGCTTATTTAATCTTAAAGAACGCCCCAGACGCGCGGATGCAGATACAAAGAGGCCCGCAAGCGCGACCTTGACGCCCAACATGTCCAATACCCTTTCCGTTTCTCCTTGGGCTGCTTCTGCGGCTACAGCATACGCATTTCCAGCTGCCTGGACCAAAGTCTGGGCCATCCTCCGGCATTGACATAGGTGCCTTAACGCCTATGTAATTTCCTCCGGTGATCCAGTACCGTTTCAATTGTTTTAGTTCTCTCTTTTTCTACCCGTGATAGTTTCGTCATCGCGAGCCTCAAAATCGGAAACATGCCGCCGACACGTGATATATTATACATGTCATACATACGTCAAAAGCGAACTTCTGCCTGAGGACTCGGGATCTGACACAAGGCGCAGTCAGCACTAGGTACCTTAAGCAGTCATTCTTGATGACTAGCAAGGTCGCGGTGTAGTTTGTGCAATACATTTTCAATCTTCAATCTACATGCCATCATTCTCATCGTGGCTATTGCTAACATCGAGCTGCGTCAGAATCCTATCAAGAAGCTAGATAATCAGCAATGCCACCATCTGATATCTCCAATAGCGGACCTTCTACCTCTCACCAAGCACCTAGTCCGCGTCGTCTCGATCGACTGGTTATCACTCCTGCTACCAACAATGTCAAAGCAAACAATAACGTTAGCTTCCTTAGCCTGCCTCTTGAGATTCGACTTCAGATTTATGACCTCCTTCTCGTGAGCCGATACGACCCGGCACAGAACCCTTCATGGGCGGTTGGAAACACTCATCAAAAGCGCATCATCCTCGACATGGATCAATCTCCGGAATATAGAACGATGGAACCAGGCATACTACGAACGTGCAAGCAAATCTACCACGAAGCGAATCCGATACTCTACTCGGACAACGTATTCAAGATCGGTGGGGCAGAATATATGTTTCGATTTATCGTGCGGGTCGGTCCTGTGAACATCCAGTTCGTGAAGTCCATATATATCTGGGTGCATTGGCTGTCTGATCTCCATCCGTGGCTGCAACTTTTCCCCATTTTGGCCAAGGAAGCTACCGGGCTGCGAAATGTTGAGTTTGAATGGGGTGCGAATCGTGAGTTTCCCTGGCACCTGAAGCGAGGGGTTAAGGAGACGGGCTTGGGTGATAAATTACACTTTCTGCGTACGCTCGGAATAATTCAGGGGCGAGAAAACTTAGCCACTAATGGGTACTATGCAATGGATTGGCCAGCATATTTGGAGCGGAGTATGGCTCTAGGGGTGCGAGCGGTATGTGGCGACTGCCGTGATGAGGGATGTCTGAGTGATGAGGAATCGAAGGACCGGGAGTTCATACTTGCATTGAATGAGACAGAGATGGAGAATCTCAGGACGAGGTTTCCTTTCAATAGGTAGGGAATAGAATATTTGACTCCGTAAAACATGCAACATCCTCAGCTGCTTCATGCCAGTGTGCAGGCTGCTGGCACCTGGCACATCCTCATACTTTGTCCACATGCTATTTACGAGCTAGCAATGTATGGGAACTTACATGATCGGGGGGGTTTCTGATATAGTGAGTCGGATCTTCACTGGTTATTATCCTTCCACAGGTTGAATGCTGTTGTCAACCAAAAGGCGCGCAGAATTGTGTGATTGACAGAGCAGCAACTGTTAAAACTCACTACAACATATTAGAAGTTGAGGGACTTCTTATTTACAGTCTATTGTCTACTGTTTACGTACCTAAGTTTATGGTAGATCACGTGCTGAACTTCTAAAGTTTTGTTGCACGTCGCAGATACCTTGAGGCATTCCCACGTCCACCGAGCATGTTGGGCATGCCCACCACGCCCAAATTCCTACTAGCTCGCTTCTTCCTCTACGTTCTATTTGGTCATGACTCGCAAGTGCCACTTGATAATCAAAGTAAGGCTATTTATAATTTATTCTTAGAGGCCACAGCCTTGGTGGTGGGAATTCCACTTACGGAGGAGACGATCCAACCATAGGCCAGCTAAAGGTCCGAGTCAGTACACCTACACCAGGTGTGTCCAGCGTAGTAAAGATAGGAGATGAAACATAAGCATAGATACCCAAGTACGATGTGTTACCTTGCAAAAGGTACTATGTAAGGCTATGTCGTAGTCGTACTCCATTACTGCCCTCGTACTCACAGCCAAGTTTCAATTACATCTTGAACCATCCGTCTTTCGAATGGCTTTTTCTAGAGCCCAAGCCGCCGGCAACTTCCATTACTTTCGAAGGCCTAGACCTATAACCTACCTAGCTATGTACCTAGGTACCTTCTACTTCCGCACATCCGCAGGTTTTCGAGTGCTCAAACCGGGTTTCGCATATCTTTATAGGTTTTGTTGCACATCGCATGTTGAAAACAAAACCGGGTTTTCGTACCAGTTCCAAGGCTGTTGTTAGTGGATAGATTACTATGTCGGCAAAGCCGGTTTATTCTGCTCTGCGCTACTCCATATGGAGAGTGTGGCGCAAACTTACTTATGTAATCCTGGGAGAGCGAGTGAACCAGAATCCATTTTTACCTATTCCCTTATACACTCTGTAACTCTTATAACATTATGAGATGCGAAGCCTGATGAGATGAAGTATTCTTGCACGTGTTTCCCCGCATTCGTGTATCGTGTACCTTTTTTGTTGCACATCGCAAATTCAAAGGGCGATTTACCAAGATTTCTCATTCGCTCGTGAATCCCCTGGCTGCAGGACCAGGTAGGAGCTTACGTACTCGGTACTACGTAGATCACTGATGGCTTACTAGGGACTGGTTGGTGATTTGCCTTGTGTGGGATTTATTAGAGAGAGGGGTATTTACTGATAACGGGGATGGAGGGGCACGATAAGGGAGTAGATCGTGTGCAGCGTCTCACACGCTGCACACGGAGGGAATACCTAGATACAGGTTGATTTGGTTGAGCTCAAGTCACTCGCATCCCATCCAGCTTGCTTGTAATTAATGCAATGTAAAATTAAGTCTGACTATTATAGTCTGATCTATTTCGCCGATGCCGTGTATTTGTCCATCCACGCCTTTTTAACGAGGACCTCCGCGCTCGAAATTTCTATCATATCATGTATTAACCAACAGGCACATGTCAAACTCTGTCTACCCTTAACAAACCAAACCCGTTCAAGGTTTTTCTGGTGCGATCTTCACACCACCGGGCATCTCACTTGGAATCTTCCCCTCTACCACCCCTAGCGGTCCCAGATCCGCGATATTAGTATCCCCGCCATTCAACAGCGCAATGGTGTTAACGACATCCGCCGGCTCCAGAAGGTGGTATTTCGCAAGGGTCATCTTCGAACTCGCTCCCACCGTAACAGTAAATACGTTCTCGGCTGGGAGGTGACACCCACTGAGGGCGCGGAACATGTCCTCGTCGGTGAAATCGTCTCCCAAGCAGAGTGTGAATTCTGGTAGTTCACCAACAATTTTACCATAGGAGGCGACGAGACGTTTTGCTATTTCGCCTTTGTTGATGAAGGTAGGGCGGACTTCTAGATTGGCTTTGCCGGTCATGACTTCGACGTCCCATTTTTTGGCGACTGTGTTATCAAGTTCCTTTTGGCATTCGCGCGCCTGGTGGGGCCCTAATTCGGCGTCTGCCGCCCGGTAGTGCCATGTCAGAGCGCAGCGTTTTCGTTCGATGAATGAGCCTACTGGGTGTTAGCTATGTTGTCAACAGAGTATGAAGGGCGTGCAGGTACTGACCTGGGGTTATTTCGGTATAATGCTGGAACACGTCCATAACCTCTTTCTGCCAACTCATATCAAACTTCTCTGCCAGGTTCTCCCATTCTTGCTGCTCTGGGTGCCGCATGAAACTGCCATGCTCAGCACTAAATCCCAGCTCGGAGATATGGCCGAGGTATCGGTCGAGGAATTCTTGGTCTCGGCCGCTGATAATCCAGACAGAATTTCGGTGATCAGACGCAAGTGCCTTCAGAGTACGGATGACTCTTTCGGAAGGGACGGCAGCAGACGGCTCCTTCACGATTGGAGTAAGAGTTCCATCATAATCAAACATAAAGAGTCGTTTCTTGGCTGCTCTGTAGTGTTTGATGAGCGCTGCTTTATCCAACAACGGCGTAGCGGCGACGGCAGCCCGAGCACCCAGAACGACAAGTAGCCGCTTAAGGAACCCGTTTTCCCACGCCTGGACATTTCTCGTCGTTACGTGGTGATAAAGGCTCTGGTGCATTGCAGCCTTCATATCATCACTCATTGTCAATGCACGTTCAATTTGGGCAGCAACATCTGTTACATCCCAGGGATTTATATGTATGGCATCCTTCAAGCTGCCTGCCGTTCCTGAAAACTCGGACAAGATGAGTGGGCCATGACCATCGCGTTGACATACCACATATTCGAGACTGGTGGTATTCATGCCATCACGAACACTCGTAATAAGGCCAATATCTGCCACCCGGAGAAGCGCTAAATATTCTTCCTGTGAAAGATATTGGGGATAGTGCTGGACAGGGGAAAATCCCAGGGAGCCATAGACACCGTTGATTTTAGCCACGAGCTCGGCAATCTGGTTGGCGACGTTGGTCTTATTAGAGTCCTCCTTTTTCTCCTCAATACTAGTAGGGCTGGTGACCTGAATCAGGACCACCTTTTCTCTCCACTCCGGATAACGGTCCAGGAATCTCTCAAAAGCCATCAACTTTTGAGCAACACCTCGAACGCTATCAAGACGGTCCCGGCCAACTATAATCTTTTTGCCCTCATATAACTTCCTCAAAGCAACAACCTGGTCGTCGATGACGGGATCGTCAAAGGCTAGTTTCTCGATAGCCGGGGCATCTATTCCGATTGGAAAGACGCCTACGCTCACCTTGGTTCCATATGCATCTACACCTGCGGTATCCGAGGGGAAATCGAGGATCCTAGTGCAACAAGAAACGAAGTGACGGAGATAGCTGTAAGATTGAAATCCGACCAAATTTGCGCCCAGGATGCCCTCTAACACATCCTTTCTCCGGGGCAAACATAGTAGAAACTCGCTGCTTGGAAATGGAATATGTAGGAAGAACGAGATGTACATATGCGGAACCCGTTGCCGGAGCATACTTGGAAGGAGTAGTAGGTGGTAATCGTGGATCATAACGATGTCGCCTGGCTTGTAAATTTCCATGATCTTGTCTGCAAATTTCTGGTTCATTCGGTAGTAATCTGCCCATGAGGCTCGCTCAGCTTGGCCATTGGTAGGCTCGTGCTGCTTATAATGGAAGAGTGTATAGAGCTCAGTCTCGGCAAACCGTCTCCATCGCGATTGGTCCTTCAAGAGTATGCTGCCGTCAGTCACACTCTCAGGCGGGTCATCCGAGAGCCAGACGGGAACGGTTTTGCTTTTCGATTGATGAGATAGCTGCCACTCCAACCTCTCCTGGTCCTCTTTGCTTACCCACAATCCCTCAGAGTGCTGCGATTCTGTAGGTTTTGCAAACGCGTCGACCGGGATTGGAGCGGAGTCTTTGTTAAGAGGAGGTACTTTAGATGCGGTAGTCGTTGTAGGTGGGGTGTCTGGTGGTGTCAGGTTGTCGGCGGGGAATATCTCTCCCGTCCATCCGACTAGAGTATGATTCCATGGCGTCTTGTCTGACGAGAGATAATTGAACGAGTCGAATAACGCGGATGTGCCACGACGGGGGATCAGAGTCTAGCAATTGGATTTTGGATTAGCTGTGATATAATGCAAGAACCAGACCAGATGTACAAAAACTTACCCAGTCTTGACCCTTTCTGAACTGTGGGGAGTCTGGAAGAGCGAAGGTTGCTGAGATGAGACCTCCGCTAAGTTCTAATGACGGATTCGCTGCCCTCGGGTCCGTCTCTAAGGAAGAATCTGGTGTTTGCAAACCTCTTGTCATCCGCTGCAAGATATCGCTATTCGATTTCGCGCCGGAAGCGGCATCGCGTGGGGTTTCCGCGACCGATCGCCGTGGATTGTGGATGTCGGGGGTAAAATAGCATTCGACTGCATCGCCGCCGAGAGAAGACTCGCCGGCCTCCATCCAAGGAGTGACGGCTTCCGTATCAGATTGGCGATGGCCTGGGTGGAGGGACTCCTCGCGGTCTTGTACCGCAGGTCGTGTTTGCTGCGACCCAGCGAAATGGACACCTTCTCTGGAGGATTGTTGAGGCATTGTGAGGGCAGGTGTAAGTAATATGTAAGGACTGCAGCTGTTAGGAATCAATGAATCGAATTGATCACGGCGCGAAAGACATAAGTTGGGTGTATCTGCGAGGTGTACTGAGATACTTGGTAGATTTAGTATGAGCAGGTTGTAGTGGGGGCACGGCCGAGCGCGGGGTGGTCTAGACCACTGGATGCAGCGCTGTTGGACTGAAGCAGAGAGTATAGCACTGTAGTTGTCGCGTGGAAAAGATAACGGGTGTAGAATTGGTGATGGGGAGTTTCTTGGGATTTGTGGAAGAATTTGTAGAAGAGGACCCTTATAGATCGGGGGAGGCTGTTGAGGTTGGATACGACAAGTCTGATCCCGTCCATTACTCGAGTAGAGCCAAGACCTGGCAAAAAAGCCAACCCGTGCCTGACGTAATCTCCAGATGCGGTTTGTTTCTTGTTTAGCTTCTGCCCGCACGGTTCGCATGGTTCACCGCCCTGAAATACTCCAGATACAATCCAGGATAAAGTACAAAGTACAAAGTACAACGAACAAAGTACCGATAGACTACACCTCTACTAAAGTATACACATACAGAGGTACACTGTAGGAGGACAACTGGAACAGAGGGTCCAGCCAACAAGCACATAGCGACATCCTCTCCAAGTCTCTCATTTCTTATCAATAACAATCCCCAAACCCATCCATCAGAATTCAATTAAGTACATCCCCGCGCTTAAGCCCCCGCGCTGTCGTCATCGCCACCACCGCCATGGCATGACGTGGTGTGAAGCTATTGCGGATGCTTTGCCAATTTAATATCGGCACTTCCCAAAGTACATGGCTTGGGGATGATGATGATTGGTACCACAAGCTGCTATGTAAGGGTTGTTGTTAAATTGGGCGTTGAAGCCACTCCTGTCGCCCAAGCCCCCCACTGCAATGCGTGCTCTGCCAGCGCAGCTCTAGATGAAGTTATGCTGCAGATTTTGAGCCCCCTTCGTTCCTCGCAATAATGTTCACAGTCGTATTTGAATTTCTGTTCCGAGTTCCAATTCCTATAGCTTTCACACTCCATAATTATGAAGTTATAATGTTAAAAGTGCGATTGATCAACTAGTTCTTGACCGTTTCTGAACAATGTCGTCTGCTTGCCTTGCCTTGAGACCTAATGCCTCGGCCATTCGTATAGTGGTGGTATCATACAGCCCTTACTCATAAATTTGTTTCTCATTTCATAGCAATATCATGCTCCTCCCGAATTCATTCTCATTCTATACTCCCATTGAAGATCTCAGACCGCAGATTTTTAGACCATGTGGGTGGCGTCCGTGGCACCAACAGGCCGGCGGCCGATGCTTGAGGTGGGATGATGTCCATGGCGATGATTACCATTTGGGATTATACCACCAGTTGCAGTTCCATTATGATGAGGGCTAGCAAATCCGTGGCCATTCCCTATTTCACCGGCCAAGCCAGAAGCATCGAAAGGAGCGCCTCCAAAGCCACCCTCATCGACTCCCCATCCAGCTTTTCGTGTGAAGACAGCGTTGGCAAGTGTACCTTGGCCAATGCCGTAGGTGAATGGCTCGGTGCGGTTCAGCGGGATGTGGTTGAAGCGGAAGTCCCAAACCGATGCATACACCATTCGATAAGAGCTGAACGCGAACACGGTGCCAATGATAGCGCCAGCAAGACAATCGTACCAGTTGTGATACTCATCGATGGTGAGGGAGCTAGCGATTAGGGTGGCACCAAGAATGGGAGCGTATGTTGCGATCAATTTCCACATTGCCGGGTGGTGATTAGAGAAGGTCTTCAGCTTGGCGTTGAGGTAAAGATAGAGGAAGACGAAGCCCGCGAATGCGGCAGTGGAGTGTCCCGAAGGGAATGATTCCAGAGAATCATCAATCTCGTCCCCGTCACCTGTGCATATACTTCGGTCATACATGATCTGCTGGTAGCCGGTTCCAACCTCCGCTAAGTCAATGTTGGGCTTGCAAACAGCCAAGAAATGAGGGCGAAGACCCCCAATGAGCCACTTCAAGAAAACTTGGAAGACGGCGGCTGAGATTAGAGAGTAAAGGAGACCGATGATAGCATTGTTGGCATCCCAGAACGACCGGACTCGGACCTGCATGCAGAGAATGATGAAAATCGGGACGAGAGAAGCGAGAAGGGCAGCTGCGTAGATGGGGATGATGTTCTTGCGCATGGGATAGGCAAAGTCAGGATAGACAACTTCCCCGTCTTGGAAGGTGACGGCGAAGGATCGAGTCGGGGCAGGGTGAGCCATATAGACCTAATAACCCGCTATGTTAGAAACTGTGGCAACATTGATGGATTTGATATCGCTGGCCAAGGTTAAGGGGAATAGACATACGCCGAGGCCGATTGCTCCCATAACTGCCATCGAGACGACATCCAGCCAAGTGCCCCTAATCCAATGTCCAAAAGTTGGTCGCCGACTATAATCGAGGTTAAGTGGAGCTCTGGTTGAATGATCATGATGACTGGTCTTCTGATGGGAGGCGGCAGTCGCATGTCTATCAGGGGCTACAGCGCCATCTCGCGGACGACGAGAGAAAATGCCCATGATAGTGTTAAATTTGCGGCGATCCGTCAATTGGAGTTAATAGTATATGTAGTAGAGTCTAATGGGAGATGGAGATGCGAAGAATTCATAGAAAGATGCGCGGAAGTTGAGTAAAAAGACAGTGCCATACAGAGTACCTTAATATACATACCTTTGGCTGTCGCCTCCCTCCACTCATTTGGCAAACGCACATTGTCATCGACAGTATTGCATAGCAAAAAACCACTCGACCCTTGGATAGTGATTCACAGTTGATGTAAATCCTACATCTTGACGTCAATGACGCCGATCTCCTGTCCAAGCTTTCCAAGCTTCCCAGGGTCTTGGCACTCGTGCATGGCATCCTCTCCTGACAGTTATTTGGAGACCATTATGATCGTGTTTCATAAGTAATTATCCAGTTACTTATTAATAAATTAAATATTATCTAAGTGTTAACATTTTTGTCCCCTGCCTGCTAGGTTATGTGTAGAGGAGCATATGTCACGTGGGTCAATCCTCTCCCCTATCTCAACTTATATGGGTTAACTTTTTCTTTCTATATGTATAGCTCCCGGTTGATTTAGGTGGGATACTATTGTAATCTTGTTGATGGATCTTAAAATCTATCCAAAATTTAAGAGACTAGACGTCTAGATTTAATGCCTCAATCACACGACTAAATGCATGGGTAGCCATAGGCTTGAGATTCCATACTTTCTCAAGGCTATAGTCACCAGCAAGATTCCAGAGAAGAATGTGTTAGAAGGGTATATAGAGGCAAGATCCCTGTTTTTAAACGTAACGTTAACATTACTAACGCCAACCAAAAATATCAGTATACTGAACGTTCGTGATAATAGTGAGAGTAATGTCGATCTCACCCGCAACCCGAATAGCACTTCATCCAGTATATAATTAGTCAAAAACGCTCCATCTTCCGTCCATAGCCTTCAACCGCGAAGCCTTTACCTTTTCCGTGTTAAAATTTCGCCCTATTTTATCAAGAAACAATATCCCAACCTACCTCCCCATTCCGCCCATTTCCCAAATTAATCCTCTGATGCCCATATGCTGTTAATATTTCCAGTCCCACCTTATTCTAAGAACCCCCATAAATTATTTAAGCTTTCACTTAGAGTCGGATGTGCCCAAACTGCATCCCTCAATGCTTCCCATCCCACGTTCCCAATCATTGCCATTTGCACCACACTCATAACCTCTCCGCCCTCCATCCCAAGACAAGTAAATCCTAATATCTTGCCGGTATCCATATTAACAACAGCTTTCATAACACCCCGCGTCTCATCTGTCTCCAGTGCACGAGCTACATAACTCATTGGCATCTTGGCAGCTTTGATTTTATGGCCAGGAAATGCGGCGAGAGCTTCGTGGAGGTGGAGGCCAATGTGTCCTAATTGGGGATCTGTGTACACAACGTACGGGAGAAGACGGTTGCGGGTGCTTTGTTTTGCTACGGGGCCGGATGCTGAGGAAGGTAGGAGGTTGTGTTTTAGGATTCGGAAGTCATCGTAGGAGACGTGTGTGAATGCTGGTGGACCTTTGACATCTCCCATGACGAAGACATTTGGGTTCGACGTTTCGAGAAACTCGCTTGCTACTATGTAACCACGAGGATTCGTGGCGATTCCCGCTTTAGATAGATTGAGAGATTCCGTGTTGGGCGTCCGTCCTACGGCGTAGAGGAGATGTGAACCTGGTATAGCATCGGCCAAACCCATATCTCCCCTTCCGATCCTGAGCATGAAACCCGGCCCTGAATCGCTAGGCCTAATATCAAGGGCCTCAGTCTGCAAATGTACAACTAGACCATCCTCTTCCAAAATATCCTTCAAGGCCACAGCTATATCTGGGTCCTCTCGAGGAAGTAGCTGCTTCCCCCTCTGCAAAATTGTAACTTTTGCACCTAGTCGTCTCATCAACTGGGCAAACTCGACACCCACATACCCTCCTCCAACAACAATAAGATGCTCTGGAACAACATCTAGTTCCTGTATACTGGTGGAGTCTAACACAATTTTCGGATCGATACTCTGCACACCTTTGAGAGCAGGAAGGGCGGGTCGATCCCCCACATTAATGAATATCTTCTCTGCCTTGACAGTCATCTCACTCCCATCATCACTCATTTTGATTTTCACCGTATTCGAATCCACGAACGACCCCTCGCCCATCAAGACATCCACCCCAGCAGCTTTCAATCTCCTCTCGCTGCCAGAACGAAATTGATCCACGATATCTCGCTTTCTCTGTCTCACTTTTAACATATCCACATATATCTCATTTTTCTTCCCCTTCACCTCCACCTTGCCATCTTTGCTGCTCTGAGTATGGATCCCATAATCCTGGCCTCTCTGAGTAATGTAAGCCGCTCTCCCACTTGCAATAAGAGTCTTGGTCGGCGTGCACCCTTCATTCACGCAGCATCCCCCAATATGGGATCGTTCTATCAGAGCTGTTTTGTGCCCTGCAGAAGCGAATGCGAGGGCAAGAGGAGTTGCGGCTTGGCCGGAGCCGATGATCAACGCAGAGTAGGTAGCGGGGGATGACATGGTTCTCTTGACTGAAAACAGGGCACGATGATGCTGGAAACAGTTCGAGGAATTATACCAAATTGGATAGAGATGAGGAATGGGGTGAGGCTGGAAAATGTATAGGATAACGCGATTTGAAGCGTGAGAGGCGGGGCGAGGGAACATGTGGTGCGGGGAGCGATTGCTTTTCACGAAACCTTCATGAGGAATGAATCATTCATATAGGTACCGCCTGTAAGCAGTAATGAAAAGCATCAATTGAGGAAAATGCAGACTCCCCGCCTTTATACGAGGTAAGCATTTAGGGTCGTCTAGTTACGTAGTTCTTTATCATGTTTGCTGCGGTGTCGTGAGTAAGCGCGTGAGGGGACCCCCTTTATTAGGCGGTGTAGAACGGCAAATTCCTCGAAAAGGGGTAACCCTCGTCGCCTAGCCACCGCGCCAAACCAGATCGACAGCTTGAAATAGGCTCGAAAATTAAAGGGCTTTCTTGAGCACTATCTATGTATAGCTATTTTCAAACGAGACAGCACCACGGGATAAGGTAATAGTGCTCAAAAATACGCAACTCGTAAACGGATATATTTCCAGCCTGAGGTACGCATATTCCACCCGGAAGACTAATAGGGCTATATGGTGGCAAGCAGGCAAATTATCCCTAGGCGACAAATAACCCTTATTGTTCTTGGACTGTGTTCCGATCTTATTGTTTATTCCACGATACAATGTTTGCTAAGTCTCAGCCATAATAAGCCTGCACTATGTATGTACATATCACGGCCCAATCCACTATCATCTCACCAGGATGATTCTGTAGTAGCTCAATGACCCTCATGAACACTTGCTTTCGCCATATTCAAGTGCCACCTATTGATAAGCACATGTACCGAGGGTCCTCAAGACATGATTAACCAATATTTCCATCCTGATGCCGCTTTTCAGATCCGCGGTTGACGTCGCTGACGTGCGTGAAATAGTCCTGGCTGACGACTACGAAGTTTTCCAATACCATGAGGAATATGCGTGTTGGCGCGGCAGGTCGCAGCCTCACAGGAGACGTCGGACCAAGACATGCGCAAGTCGTCCATCCACCATATCTTGGGCTGCCCGGCCACAGTGAGCTGAATGTGAATCTCGGTCAGCTCGCGGAATGGCTCATCTAGAGAGGCTCGCTCGAGGGTACAGTTGACGAGCGCAGGACAGGCGGAAATGGAAAGATGCTGTTCTGCAACCTTGGTCTCACCCTGGCTGCTGTAGCCTGTGATGTTGAAGCGGCAGTCTGGACCTCTGGAGTCGCATCCCAGTGAAGCACCATAGAAGTCGAAGCTGAAGCAGCCAGTGGAGCCATGATCAGCAACAGCAATATCTCCGGAGAAACCACCAGCCTTGGAGCTTGGACCAGTATCAGGAGTGCTCAGGTTGACATTAAAGTTTGGTATGAACTCTGTTAGCTGCTTTCCACTTGAAGGAAGGTATGGGTCGGTTGGCGGTGGCACAACTGTGAATCCATTAGACCAGTCGAATTGATGGTATGGGCTCGTGGCAGGCTGTGGCTGGACAGTGTCAGGATTCTCGTCGCCGACTCCCAAGCCTGGGATCTCATCAAACTATGATGTGTTAGCCTCATATGATGTAAATACGAGATTAGAAACCTACAGTAATGGTGAAATCACCACTCCCGCGTTGTCCGCATGCGGTTGATGTGGCAGAAGCGCTAGATGAAACAGTCGTAGAGGTCTGGATGGATAATATGGTAGTGATCGTGCTCAAATTCTGGTTAGTAGGTTGCTCGATGGAGGTTGGTAAAATTACCGAGGGCTCAAGACTAGTGGTTTTAGAATTTGTAAATAAAGGAAGGCTCATTGTCGACGTGGTTTGAGCTGATAAACTGGTTCCAAATGCATATGTAGGTGCAGTACGGGTAGGGTCTAGTGCAGCGGAGGTGCGATTCCACCCTCCAGATTTAGTGCCAGTGTAACTCGCAGTAGGTTGTTCAAAGGTCGAAGGCAACGACTCTGAGCTGGGTGTACTTCTAGTCCGAGTCTGCTCTGGTGATAACGGTAGGGGCACAACAGTCATGGTGATGATAACATCTGGAACAGGATCCTGGTGGTTTGGAGCAGGGTCGATGGGATCTTGGGAATTATTGGCGGTGGCATCGTTGGAAAATCCAGCCTGAGCTGCAAGGCTAGTTGACTGAGCGATTTGATATAGGGTAACGACAGTATTGGGGACAGCGACGGCGGTTGCTGTAGGGATACCAGGGTTGGCCTGGAGAATGGAACTCGCAACTTGATGCAACTTGATAGTCTTTGTGCTTGTAGGGGCGTATACCGTGACAGTAGAAGTGCTTTCGGAGGTGGCATGAACGGGGATGGTGGAGGTGGCTGTACCTGTCTTGTGGGTGGCAACGGTCATTGCTGGTGACTGGAGAGTGACATAGATGGTCTTGGCTCTACAAGAATCGTCGAGGCTAGAATAATCAGTATGCAGTTGGAAGGGAATGGGTAGCACATATCACTTACGGTGGTACATCAGCCGCGGTCGCCAGTACGGTCACAAGTCCCAGCGCGCCCGCAAGAACGCCGAGATTCCAGAGACGCATCTTAATGACACTAGTCTGGTGCTCAGACTGTTTTGTTATCACGATAAATCTGAAGATCGAGGTGTGGGTTGTTGAGAAGTGCTCGAGGGATACAGCGCTGAATGAGAGTGGAGGGCTGGGTCGAACTTCAACTCAAACTCAGGTAGCAACAAGTGATGAGAAAGGATAGCGGGGATTCAATGACCAAATGAGTGTAGTGGAAGTTGACGAAGAAGACGGGAAGGAAAGTTGAGGGTGGAAGAGAGGAGGAGATGAGAAACACTGGTGCGTGTGTTATGCAGAACGGTGTGAGTTGCATCAAGTAAAGGCAACGCGTTGTTTGTTTGTTTTCACTTCACGCGGTGTAGCATAACTATGATATCAAGCAGATAAATAGTACCACATAAGATCGATAGAGAAGGTGCTATATGCAACGATATTGTATTACTTAGAATTTACTTACTCTACAGATCGAAGCTTATTTCTCTAAAAACATATATCCAGGACCAGGCGTATGGTATTTAACCCCGAATAAGCGCCGGAAGGATTCAGCGAGTCTAGAACCTCAATATTAGAGCATAAACAGGCGTAGATATAGAGACATAGGCAATTTTGCTGCGGGTATCCTCAGTTCTGGTTAAGGTAGCAGGGTGTCCGCAAAAACCGCCCCGCCCACTCAAACAGGAAGAACAGCAGCCTTGACGCATGTGACCGAAAGATCGCCCATGGCATGAGGAGGTTGTTGATGCGTTGCGGGCAAAAGGGAGGGAAGTTTCCTAGAGATATTGCGAAGCCCAATAAGAAACAGAGGAAAAGATCGAGGAGAGCGAGGAGACGCCCGTCAACCGAAGAATTGCTTTCTAAAGACCTGGCATTACATGAAGATAAGTCCGATTAACGAGTAATGAGAGCTGCATCTTCCTTCCGGAACCGCCGTCGTTTGATACGACTATCCTTGAGGTGTGCATAAATTAAATGTAGAAGAACAGTAACGTCTATCCCTTAGTGCCGAAAACTCATGTATGCCGAAACGACTTCATGGTTTTAGGGTCTCAAATCTTTACCTCGCATATATATAAAGTTATAGTCAGTTTGCTATTGTTCTTCAGCTATTTCTCTACAAGTATTCAGATTTCAGTAGGAAAATACCACGGTTGTAGTGATTCTGTCGATCGTCCCGTCGACGGCGTTGAAATTCGCTTTAGCTGTTCCCCTATGCTCTATCATGACGATTGGTCTAACTCCAAATTTCGGGACCGCAGCACGAAGCTCCTATCAAGAATAAATAGGGTTCTTGAGGTTTGAAGGCTCAGAGAACAAGGAACCTATATGCTGAATTATCCGGGCAAGGTGGGAGGTATACAAAACGCAACGCATCGTAATGAGCGAAGAAAGGCGCTTATATAATATTTTATTTAGATACCTGTGGCTGAACACCTCTGCCCGGTTGTACTCTACCTCAAAGGTGCCGTTGCTAATCGTCAGAGCTAATTTATTATCGCAAAGCAGAGCCAAGCAGATTAAGCGAACGGCGCAGCCCCTTTATATATAGGTATCCCGGTAGGCAGTTGACTCCCTAGCTTTGCAACCTTCCTACTCCCTCCTGCTACCCAAGGATTTTTCTGCTTAACTATCCAGCGCACGTCATCATTTGCAATGGCCCGAATAAAACAAACTGCCCGCCAGACAACAGGTGGCAAATCGTCGTAAGACCTATATTCTTACAAACTAGCTACCCTTTAAACTGACGTCCATTTACCTAGCTGTCACAGGCCAGCATGCTATGACTTGGGGTACGGAAAACGACATATTCCAATATCAAGAAATAGACATTCTAAGCGCCCAAAATCTCACAACCAGGATACAGCTTCCACAAAAATAATAGCCAAGTTCAAACGCGCTAAAGATTTCCCACACTTCGTCAAATTGCCCTGCGAAATCCAAAATAGGGTATGGGAGATGTTAGCTGAGGAACCACGCGTCGTTGCTATTAACACCAAAACCAACAGCGGGCTCCGTTCATCCATCCCCCCAATTCTGCATGTGTGCTCTGAATCCCGAGCCGTGGGTCTAAAGCACTATACTCTTGCCTTTGGATCACATCGATTCACTCACCGGTGGACCGACGCTCTTGAGCATAAAATAAACGTACTACCGCCGAGAGTCTATTTTAACTTTGAGCGCGACACATTGTATTTGCGGGAGAACTGGAATGAGAACGTCGAGGGAGCATGGTGTTGTCTTTCGCAGTTCACTAATTTGGTAAATGAAGGCGACTTAAAAAGGGTGAGGAGGGTGGGGCTTGATGTTAATGCTAGGGTATGCTCGTTGAAAACGAGTGGTGAGAGATGCTACTTTGCTAACTTTGCATTTTGGGATGCGCTTGAGATTCTGTATCTTGGTTATGAAGATGTGAGGCTAGGAAGTGATTGTCCGATTAGTTTCAGCGAGTTGGAGAGTAAGGATTATAAAGATTTTATACAGTGGTATAAGATGAATCCTTGTTGGAAACATATACAGTGGTTGCCGCAGGATGTTGAAGCTGTTGAGTACTTGAGAAGTGAAGTGCCGGTGATGTATCATGGGATGTGGAAGAAGCCAGATTGCTTTCTTAAGAAGCTTCAACTAGTAAGTATTCAACATTTATAGATTTCAAGAATAAAAGGGTGAATTTCTGTTCTTATCGTCTCTCTCTGTATCGAGGTTGTTGGGAGTTAATAGCCAGGCGGTTTGTCACCGCCTACCTTTAGCCTTGCTGGCGGTGACCTCGCCGGTGGTGACTACCTATATCTGACCTTCGCTAAAGAGCTAAAACAAAACGCGTAATAAAAAAAAGAGATTTAATTCGACTCCTAGAGAGAGGCTTTAAAAAATATAAATAAATTGCTTCGGGCCTCGAAATGACAAAAGAGTTCGGCCCCGTCGTTGTAGGGCCTACATCTCTTGTCGAATAGATCTGGATTCGTATTTATTTCGTATTTGTTTCGTTTTCTTTTGTCGCTTTCTTTTGTCGTTTTTTTACGTCCCCCTTTTTTGGGGCCTGTGCCTACGTACCCTAAATCCCTGTCGGCCTCGAAAGTACAATTCGTCCTGAACCACTCAACCAAGTGGCCGCCCTTGTACCCCTCAAAAACCAAAAATGCTTATTTGGTATTATATAGAGGGTGTTTGCGAGTTATAGGCAGGCAATTTGTTGCTACCGCCTGTCGTCTACGAGGCGGTGACTGCGTTCTGGCCGGACCTTCGCTACGAGCAACAGAGCCAAAACAAAACGCCTACAAAGGATTCAATTCAAATCCTAGTTGCCTAAAGCAAGGCACCTATACTCCCCGTACTAAATCTATGCAACCCCAAGGCAATTTGTATGCCATTAGTACGGTGCAGACCATATTTCTAATCATGTCCAATTTATATCCTCCTCCTCGTTTTATCTGGGGCCTCGCAAGTGGCCCGTTGGCTAGCCACCATGTACTCTTTCTTACCTGCCTATAGGTACTACGATATGTTATCTTCAGCCAATTCGAATCCTCCAATGACAAGTGACGCGCTACTAGGTGTTCCTGGCATACACGGGGAGTGTAGGTACCCCGGGTTTGAGTGACAAGTTCCTTTTCCGTCACTCATAGTTAAGATATAATGTGTTCACGGGGTGATGGAGTTATCGTCACCGAGGACATCGAAAACAGCACAACGCACGTTTCCAGTCGGGAAGAAAGGGGCTTCAGGTCCCCTTTCCCGCTAACAGGAAATCCTCCCAATGCTTGGAACTTGTGTTACTTAATATGGGACGGCAACAGAGACGAGATGGGGAGGAGAGATCAAACGCGTGTGCCCCTATATCCCGAGAAAGTCTCTAAGGAGGAACTCTATGGATGCCTGCAGGAAATATAACGAAATGGGTGTATCCTCGTCAAATACACGGTACCGCCACGGCCCAAACGCAAATTGATCAAAGCTATAGGACAGTTCAACGGTACAGCGCAGAAGACCCACCACTACACAAATATCACGACCGAGATCCAGGGCTTGGGCATACTGTGGACGACCGTTTCCACGGCATACCTGCTTGAAAGTTGAACCCGCTGTGTAACCCGCTCTTCCCTTGGTCCTCTGCAGGATTTATGTCGGACGGGATAGTGCAAGCTATTCGGCCACTCGGCCAGTCCTAGGCTCGGCCTTTTGAAATCTTGCTATTAACTTTTAGCTCCATCCTCGACACGCCTAGAGTGGCTATTGCTCGAATTGGATATAAACCCAGCTATGTGGAGGGAAGATATCGGACAACCCAGCCGTCCCCACCCACAGCCTAGGGAAGAATATCAGAGTTTAACATCTCTATTCAGTTCGAAATTCACCTCCAGCGGCCTAAACTTTGAATTGATATTGGGAAAAGCTGTACTCCACAATTGACTCCTATCTATCCCTTGAGTACTCTACGGTCTGTTTTTGAGATCCAGTAATTCGTCGAAGGAAATGCAATTCTACATCCACTCCAGCTCTACTAAGATAATATGTGATAACAAGCTCAAATAAATTCGTCATTCCAATTATCCAAATCGAAGCATCGATCATGATTCGAAAAAAGTTGAGCGGGAACACTGGCTGGACTTGATATGAAGCTATTGGCACATGCTTTATATTGTTAATCAGAATAATATAACTTAAATACAAGCACATTTAATTACACCCTTAACTTAAAATCTTTGAAGGCATTCGTTGGAAATAATAATAAATGTGGTCGTTATCAGGTTATCAGGGATCAGAAAATATGTAGGGACCTAAGGTACCTAGGGATGGAATGGAATGCTCATCAACAATATTCCCCACCAGCCAACCACAACCACAACAACATATCCTCATTGTATCTTCCCAACGATGCCCCCCAGGACCATCAACAGGGAGGCCCTTCTCCGACCTGTGAAATCAATTGTCAGCGCCTCTTTCCTCTATCCCTGCAAAGGTATATGGTATTTCTTGACGCACCGCGAATACTACCCTCTTTTTGGACGGCGTCTGATACCCCTCACGATCACCTCCATCGTTGTGCTCACTCTACTCTTCATCTTCACCTACCTGCCGCAAGCCGCCTTCCTCCTTATCTTCCATGGGCCTACCGCGTGGGTTAACGCGGTGTTTCTGGTGCTGGGCGAGGGCCACGTCGTGACCGCGCTGCTGTTCGAGGCGTTGCTGGTGGATGAGACGCTCGTTGATGTCTTTGATGTACAGGCCAACTTTTCCTTTCCCTTCACTCCACTCGTCTGCTTTTGCCATGGAATAGAGCTACTGCACTGCAATATGCTGACGGAATACTCCCGACCAGGCTACCTTAATTCGCGAAGGCCTCATATCTCTCGTCGCTCCATCCCGAATCCTCGACCACGATGCACCTACCGCGGTCAAGATGCTCGGCAAGCCTATAACGACTGCCGTCTACTCGCCATTTTCCTTCCGCCAAATCGCCGAATTCATACTCTTCCTCCCGCTTAATCTGATACCCTGGGTAGGCGTACCTGCATTCCTGGTACTGACGGGTGCGAGAGGGGGGCCATTACATCATTGGAGATACTTTAAGCTCAGGGAATTGACCAAGAAGGAGAGGAATAGGGAGATTCGGTCGAGGAAATGGAAGTATACATGGTATGCAAGATATCTGTCGATAAGATTAGGGATGGTTAGGACAGAGGTTTGCTGACAAAATGATAGGTTCGGCACTGTAGCTTTACTGTTACAACTGATTCCAGTACTCTCGATGTTCTTTCTGCTTACTTCGGCTTGTGGATCTGCATTATGGGCAGCGAAGCTTGAAGAACAGAAAACCTTGGTTGAAGAAGCCGAGGCGGCTGTAGTGAACGAGGGCGCACCGCCTGTATACACAGATGATCCTGTCTAGATGGGCATCTCTCATGGCATAGCTCCTTTCGTATTCCTCATCGCAAGGTCTTTAGTCTCGTGTTAATGCCTAACATAAATAATTATATAGAGCGTAGATCCGAATTAGGTGACGTTTCTGTTTCAACATCCCAATGATATCCTGGGTGGGCTCGTCAGCGCTTTTTGCTCGTTGGTGCCCGCTCCAGCCTGTCCTATCTTTGGTAGACAATCGGGGATATTCACGACGGCGCAACTGTATTTTTGAAGGGCAAGTGCTCTAGATGAATTGAAGCATTGGATATTCAAGCTCTGGTGTTTAGCTTCCCGTTACTAAACCACTAATGAATACCCGCGTTTGGCAAGGAAGACTTTGCCATTTCTCCTGTATATTCAAGCTAATATTAACCGGGAACTATCATTAGATTTATATAGAGCACCACGAGTAATTGTTAGTACGTCGCTACATGGCGAGGCTGTTTGCTCAGGTTAAAGTAACCTGAGGGTGGATTTACATATTTATAATTGAGTTTATGAGACTCTGCTGAACAGCGGTAATAAACGTAGAGTAAGTATGGAAAGAAAAGAAAACAATCTAAAAAAAGCTCATCGGTATACATCTTTAAATTATATTTGCCTGCCGCGCTAACTCAAACATCCTATATCCAGTAACGCTATCACTCCCGCTATTACAAAATTCCAACAATACAATACACCATAAGTCTAGTCTAGTCTAGTCTATCAAACGAAATCAAATCCAGGCCCACATCTTCCCCCAAAATGTTGTCGGGGTATTAATACTCCAGGTCGTTTCGTCGTGTAACAAACACCCAGTATCAAGATCAGCCTCCAAAGCCTTCACAAACTTCGTCCGCATTAAAATCTTATGCCCCAAATACAATACAACAAACAATATTAAGCTGACGTATGCAATGAAGAATTGTGTCGTATCCCACGGGATAAAAGCCGTGAATCCTTGGGTGAAGATAATGAGGATGTTGAAGAAAAGTCCGTACCATGCGTACCATGGCTGCCACATTGCCTTGTATGGAAGGGCATCCCGGGACATGTTTCGTGCCTTTAGGGCGCGCATGAACGCGATGTGGCATCCGTTTATGCAAGCCCAAGTGATGAATCCTGCAACGGAGGAGATGTTGAGGAGCCAGTCGAAAACAGTGGCACCGTTGTTGGAGAGATTGAGAAAGGCGAGGAGCCCAAAGGCTGCGGTAAATAGTACGGCTGCGATTGGGACACCTTGCTTGCTGGTGCGTTTGAAGAACCTGGGTGCCATGCCTTCGTGTGCTAAGCCGACGAGGATACGGCTCCCCGAATAGACGTTTGAGTTTGCAGCGGAGAGGACGACAGTGAGGAGAATGGCGTTGATTAGACCGGGCAGGACGTCTACGCCCGCAAGGACGGCAGCGATGACGAAGGGTGAGGCGGAGGCATCTGAAGCACCTGACAGGAGGTCGGGATTGTCGTATGGGATGAGGAGGCCAATGAAGAAGACGGTAAAGATGAAGAAGAATAGGATTCGGTAGAAGGTCTTCTTGATAGCGGCCGGGACGTTCTTGCGGGGATTCTCCGTCTCGCCTGCTGCTATGCCGACTAACTCTGTCCCTTGGTAGGAGAATCCAGCTTGGATAAGCACCGCCCAGAATCCCACGAATTTAGCGAGAGCCTCATTAGACTCTATTAGATAGGGAGCAAAGGCTCCTGGTGTTCCCCAGGTATGGAAGCCTAGGTAGCCGTGTTGACCCGCTCCAGCATCAATGCAGATGGCGAATATAAGGAAGCCGATGACTGTTATAACCTTGATGCTTGAGAACCAAAACTCCAGCTCCCCGTAGAAGCTGACGGGGAGGAGATTGAAGAAGGTAATAAAAGGCCAGAATACGCCGATGAAGATTCCGATATTGAGGTCCTGGTTCCAGTATTGGATGATCAACCCGGTAGCTGTGAGTTCCAGTGAGAACGTGATGGCCCAGGAGAACCAATAGACCCAGCCCATGGCGAATCCCAGGCTAGGGTCTACAAATCGCGTAGCGTACGATGTAAATGCTCCGGAAATGGGGATATAAGTGGCCATTTCGCCAAGAGACTGCATCACTGAGTAAACGATGGTCCCAACGAAGGCATAAGCAATAAGAGCCCCAGCAGGCCCAGAATGAGCAAGTGCTTGCCCTGATCCGATGAAGAGACCTGTACCAAGTGTCCCGCCTTGAAAAAAAATTAGCTATGCATTTGGATGGAAATGGAAAGGCAACATGCCAATGGCAATCATCTGTAGATGCCGACTCTTGAGTTTCCTCTTGAGGTCCGGCAGCTGTGAAAGCGCCCTCTTCTCGACATCACCATCGGAGAAGTGGCCATTCACATCACATACTGGCGAGACCTGCTCTCCGGTGACTGGTTTCTCGGCCATCGAAGGGACGTTAGTAATATCATCTGGGTGCCCCATCTTCTAGAATTGTCGCGACGAAACAACGCGAACGAACAGCTTTGGGCCAGGAGCGAATGCTTATAGCTACAGTTTATAAAGGTCTACATGCTCCGTATGGAAATATTTCTTGTTAAATCTTTCTCTCTGTGTGGGCCTAGCCCGGGTTTCGGCCTTGCCGTCGCCACAGTGTTAGGTAGGTAGACAAGGAGATGTAGTGGAGGCAAATCACGTGCACCGGGGCAAGAGACAAAAACGGGAAAATTGAGGCGATTAACAAACAACACCGAGAGAAAAGTGGAGTGAAAAGGTTTTAAACCCCTCGGCAGTGGACATGGAACCCCTACAATTCTCACAGTAGTTCCTCCGATTATCAGCACACGGAGGTAACCGTCCGATGGCTCACCCTTGTGAAGCGTTGATGGCCTCATTCCGATAGGAAAGGGAATCAACTTGATTCGCTGCTCCAGGGTTTCAATGACATGGAGAAGTTTGTTGGGGTATCCGGGTTGTAAATAAGGTAGATAAGGTACAGTACATAGGTACTGGGCAGATATTTTATTAGCATGGAGATATTAGCGTGAGCCTTAGTAATCGTTGTTCGAGTAGGCGGCCTCGGCATGTCGCTCATAACATTCCCGCCGAACAAGGAAATTGATATAAATGATATGAATGGAAAAGGGGCTGGCAGTACTTTTGGGACATGGATGATCCCCACGATTCGTATACCCACAATTCATAGTATAGAGGGGGGAGGGAGTGTTGTGCTATTTACCCATATGTCCTCCTTGAATTGAGCTTGGTTCTGTCTGGACTCCGAGTCTCGTTGCATTGGCTTCAAATCCATCTTCACTTGAATGCCATGATATCGCAGACGGCAGCACAATGGCATGCTTGGTACCCATCATAACCCTTCCTGTTATCTTCCTTCATCAATAATTCATAAATATCCCATTCTTGGCTGGTATCACAACTCCATAACTCCCTGGCCTCGTCTTGTAAGTAAATCAATCTTCCACTTCGCCCACCAGTCTCACTCCAGCGCCAGTCCCGCGCTCCTGGGCCTCCCTCCGAACAGCCTTCCTCCTCTCAACCTCCGCGACAAGCCCCTTGAAGTAAACCTCGGCCTGCACCGTAGCACTATACGCAACAGGTGTCCAACTCCATATATTTCGCCGGTCAGCATCCGCACCGGCCGCAAGCAGCGTCCTAAGCACGAGCAAATGCCCATTGCTGCTCGCAAAATGTAGTGCCGTATTCCCATCCACATCCGCATTCTTTAGCAGCTCGTCAGGATTCCCGTCGGGTGCAAATGTAAGTAGGATCTGTAGACACGTATCGTGGCCCCCGCGCGATGCTTCCATCACTGCATCGCGTCCGTGGATGTCCCGCTTTGGTATGGATTGGGGACATGTTGTGCAGAGCAGGTGGACGATTTCTGTGTGTCCTGCTGCGGCGGCGAGCATCAGGGGAGTCTGGTGGTCTTCGTTTAGGGAGATGCCATCTTGTTCATGGCCGAGATTGAGGAGGACTCGGACAATGGGGAGGTAGCCGAGGGAGGCGGAAGAGGCCAGGTGAAGAGAGGTGTTGGAGAGGCCGGTAGGGGAGACATCTGGATTGTGGAGGAGGTTTGGGTGGGATTTGAGGATGCGGCGGACGAGGAGGGGGTCGCTGGCGTGGATGGCTCGGCGGAGGCGGAGGGACGGGTCGATCCTATCCGTTTAGTTTCTTATCAGTTCAAAGTCTCTTGGATGTCCGTTCAGGCTCAGGTACAATATAATTCAAACAGGTGAGGGGAGGCATTAATGGGTGAAAGGGGCTGTTGGAAGAGGCTCTCACATCGTGTTACCATAGCTTGGGCATTCAGTACCTGCGAGGACGCAGAACTAGACACACAGTAACGCATAAATCAAGAGCCCGAAAATGTCAAGCTGCCAGGCTTGTGTTTGATGTTTATCAGCAAAACATCAGTCGTTTCCCTTCTCGAAGAGGTGAGGTCGGAATTAGAAATATGTCAGCCTGGACATGGGGGCTCCGAGGGAGTGCTGGAGCAAGGTGAATACAGCGCAGCACAGTAAGCTCCAGCAGCCTTCAGGCACGCCGTGTCTCAGCATCTTAACCCCGCGTTCCAAATCCCACTGGAGAATTATCGGCAGTACTCGTACCTTACTTAGCACCCAGTAGCTGGCCCACGGCGTAATTTAAGATTTAAGGCTTATTGGACCTCGGAGCTGCAGCTTAGCGAGTGTCTGAGCGTGGATGAACATGTTCGACGTCCTGTATCAAGTCTAGGAGTCGCTAATTGCTAACTGCAATCCCAACTGGTGAAGTACTTTGTACATTTCTTAATAGCACAAGTAAGTGCCTAAGAGGGTCCTCGAACTACATCTTTATAGAAAAGGGGTTTGGGGAAAAAAAAGATACGAACGATGTTCTCTATAGCATTAAGATTTTGTTTGAAAAAGCGGGTTATACACAAATGACATTCGCACATATAACACGACCCTGATATAAATGACTCCCAACCCGATCAACATGCTTCCTTGCTCAGATTGGGCAAAAAACAATCCCCCCCCCCCCCAATCACATGTCTGAAATGATTAAACTCCACCGGTGCTGTCCTTCTAATGGTATGCCCTGAATCCCTTAGACGATGAATTCGCGACGAACCCGTCGCTTGCCGCCGCCGCCGCCTCCCTTTCCTGCCTTGCGATTAGCACCATTAGCACCATTAGCACCATTGGCACCGGTTGCCTTGGCTCCGGTGGCTCCAGTGGCAGCGGCTCCGTTGGCATCATTTGCTCCAGTGGCAGCGGCTCCGTTGGCATCATTTGCTCCAGTAGCAGCGGCTCCGTTGGCACCATTGGCAGCTTTGTTATTGGCCCCTTTGGCGTTGGCACCATTGTTGGCAGCAGCTTTGGCACCGTTGTTGTTGTTACCACCACCGCCGCCGCCGCCAACAACAAACTTGGTGCAGTCATCAGGAGTACCACGTTGAGCAACGGGCATGAGAACAGGCTGATGATTGGAAGACGAAGCCATGGTACAGACACGGTAGTTTCCTGCTGGAAGGCCACCAGTAACACTGGCTGTGAGAAGCCCATTGCCGTTCCCGGCATCATTGATACCCTTGAAGAAGGCAAACTGGGTAGCATCAAGAGCTTTCTGAGGATTCAAGGATTTCCCCAAATCCTGAACGGTGACGTGGGTGTGGCCAACAACCTTTCCGCCCTGTAAAGCTTGAGGTGCTGCGTAGTATGTGGAGTCTGCGTTCGTGAAAGAACCAGCGACAAGGTTTGCCATTTGCACCACAATATCGAAATCTTGATTTGCGGCGATCGCCTTGCCATTAGTTTCTGGGTTGATGATGACTGAGGAAACCATGTTGGCCTTGGCTGGAATATCTCCCATGGCTGTCTCTAGTTAGAAGCCTTCCAAAGCGGTAGAAGTGGGATTTAACTTACTGATACCGTTACATGACCCGCCGGTAACTTGAAGGCCATTAGTCAATGTCTTGCCGGCGCAGTTGTTGATGAAATTGTTCTTAGATGTCTTTGATGCGGCCTGCCCCGCGTCTCCATTAAGCCCATCCACGAATGAGCCGCTCTGAACGGCGTCCGCGGTCAGAGTAGTTCCGGTTGCATCTTGATTTGCAGCAGCGTCGGCACCGTTGTTATTGTTTCCTCCTTGACCCCCCTTGTTATTATTGTTGTTATTTCTCTGGGCGTGAGCAACCGCGGAGAGCGCCGCCACGTAAATAATCTGTTTGAAGAGCATCTTGAATGGAGAAGGGTAGGAGTGCCTAAAGGGCGAAGGCGGACGAGCTAAGGACGTTGAGCAAAAGTACCAGCTGTGAAATGAGTGTTAATCCGTCGAGGTGTGGTGGTGAAATAGATGCACGGTCAACGTGATCTGCTTGACTGGCAAGACGAAAATAAAAAAGAGGGAATATGAATGAGAGGAGCCCGACGAAGATATCGAGGAGAACAAACTTGCTTTGAAGGGTGAAGTGCAGGAGAAGGACAAGAAGAATGGGCGTGAGGAGGGTATGGTACTTATTGTAAATTCTTGGCATTCGCGCTCTGATGCTACAGGCCCATGGCAAGCAAACTCGGAAGGCCGATGTGAACATGGGCCGTGGGGGAGCCATTGTCGCATTGAGTTCTTGAAACTGGACATGAGGTCGAAGCTGTCGCAGCGCAGACCAAAGGCGCAAGGGAAGTCCGCTAGGCTGGGGGCAAGCGCCGCTTCAGACTCTCCCATCCCGGGATGCCGTGGAGCGATCTCCGACTTTAAATGTCATTCTGATCTCGGGAGGGCGGCAAGCGGCCAAGGACATGCTTCGCACAGGCAGAGAAACCGACATTGGAGTGCGATGTTGCGTCGGGTACGGAGGTCGTGGCGCCTAAGCGGAAACGCCTCCTGTCTGGAGATGGGCTTAGTCAAACGACAGCCCATCGGCGACAGCAGCCAACGGGGGGTGGCAAGGGCAGCAGCACAGCGCGCGAAGCCGTCCGAGATCTGACAGCGACATGGAAGCAGCGGCGGTTGGAGTGGGACTGAAGCCTTGATCTGGAGCGAGATGAGATGGGATGGAGTAGGGAGGTGGTTGCGGAGAAGATTGGAGGATAAGGTATGCTTCTTCAGGCCGCAACTCAATTGGCGTGCAGTTGAAGGCCCATATACATACAATTTCTTCTTTGTGCTTGCGTCAAACGAACATCTACCAACATATCTGCACAAAAATCCACCCCACGGCCCCGAGACGGTGTTACGGTTATGCGGCGACAGCTACCCCCAAAAAAAACGCCTGCGAGTACTCGGTACGAGTGACTTATTAGCTGGTCGTCCTCGAGTAGTCAGTCGGTGCTCGAAAAGCAGTCAACTGACTGCGTTGGACGCACGTCCAAACCCTTCAAATCCTCCAATACTTCAGCTCCACGGACATAACCCACTTACTCCGGAGTTGGGATGGCATTCTTGCCGGCCATCAAAGCTGCCGGAAGTGGATAGGTACTAGGTACTTCGTACACCATCTGTTTTCTCGCCTCCAGCACTGCTGGGCGTGGGGCATTGACTCTACATACAGTCTCTCCCGGCTCGTCCTGTCTCCATGGAACATCAAACAACCCACCCTGCAGTTATGACATACAACTTACCGGCAAACGTGCGCCAAGGGATATGATCGATTATCTGAAGTCCGTGTCATTCTGATCATACCAGCAATCCGCACGCGCGAGGCTCTTTCAATGGGCAGCTCTGCACGAAGCACAAGAAGATGAATGATACGTCGAAACCCGAAACCGATTGTAGAGTATAGGGAAATCCTCCGCCGAAGAAATCACATGAGATGGATAATTAAAGCCTGAACGGAGTCGGCTCGGGTTAAAGAACATGCCCTTCCCCTATCACCCAGCCAAGAACGCTGGGTACTCGCTGACCATGTTGCAGCACTAACTTCAGTTCGAACTACCTACTTCGTAAAAAAAGTTGATTCCAAAGACGCATACCGCGGTAACAATATCCTCATATATTCCGTACGGCGTAGCTCCTTGGAACTTCAGCCCTTAATCGTTTGCCATCCAACCTTTTGGCGAATTCGTTTCACACAATTCCACAGACAGATGGTGCCCACTCCCCCTTAACTCTGAGACATGGGCTCGGACCCGTCTGCAATCCGAAAGCTCCAACAGTATGATTGGACTGTTGAAGGGAGGCATTAAGCATAACTTGGCAAATGCCGGGACTTGGTGCTACACAACGAGGTATACCATTAATAGGTGCTGTCACCCCTCTGGGATCTTGTTGGCGGCCCTGGAAACTGGTTGGGCTTTTCTCAATAATTCCGGGACCATCTTACAATGGTTTGTGGCCAAGGCCGTGTTTTGAGCTTGGCGATTGTTTCATCTTGGTCCTCCTGTCAAGTTCTATGCCTGGTGCTAAGCAGCTAAGGTTCCTTCTAAGGTCTCGTATCGTCATTCCCGAAGTTTCGAGTACGGTAGTACATATCTAGAAGAACTTAGTTTGTTCAACCAATGTCGCAGTCGCAGAAGTGGGTGCTTAATTGCGGGCATATGTGCTCTAGTCCCCTCTCCCATGCTCGCATATTTCTTTAACACCAGAGGTTCCATAGTGCTGATAATTGCCCATCACCTATTCCTTGGAATGGATACAAGGTATAATGAATTCTCGTAGGCACGACCCCACATTGTCCAATGCGGAACCATCGCACTTATCAGACGGAACTAATGACTGCAGATAGGATGAAAGTTCTCCATTTTTATTAGACACCACTCCTGCTATTTAACCACGACTTCGCATGTCAGTAAAAGACTAAGTAGTCCCCGTGCAAAATCATTCAAGAAAGCATGTCTTCCTAGGTGAGATATTTGAGATATCCTACAAGAGAATATTTACTAGAATCATCCTCGTTGTCAAGTTATACAAGGGGCGTCATTGCACATCGTTATAGGGGTCACCCGTTCTCAGCCAGAATCCTGGGATACGTACATCGATAGGAAGCCTAGCACTCAGCGAACAGATTGAGCCAACCAACCAGTTAGCATCTATTTCACAGAGCTCGGAGTCTCGGAGATCCTCCATTCTCTGCTCAGTTCTACCCAGGAAATACAGGGCTATAAGGCGACACTGGCGCTTCACAACTCGTCTCACGTCCCGAACGGTGCGGATGCCCGAATTTATGGGAAGCGAAGAGTATCCTTCCAATAGAGACGGAGGATGCATTACTTGGGGTACAGTTACCTTGAAGCATATTGCTTTCCACTGCTGTTGCCCCATCTGGGAAGGGCCAGTCATGCTTACGGCAATAATCAGCCATAATCTTGTCGAGGATTCTTGGATCGATGCCTGCGCTTTGGTCTTGCAGCTTGTAAGCGTGACGATTCTTATGATTATTCTTTGTACACCGCTATTGATGAGGGCTTCGCGTGTTACTAGACTCGTAACTTGGAGGGAATGTGGCTAAAACTGTAGTGAACACCAGCCAGCTACATAGTAGATGCTTTCGAATTGTCGAAAGTATCAACGGCAACCACCGCAAACTCTTATCGTGTTAGAATAACGTAATCGAAGTACGTACTATTTAATAGTAGGTTTTAAATTTAGGATTGGTTAATTGATACACTACGTATTTCCCGACCCGGCATAAAACCAGAATTATGTGCCTGAATTGTTGTCGAGGAGCTCGGTGGGGGATTTCAGAATCGGATCCCCAATCCCAAACATCACGCTGATGACAGTAGCGAAATGGTTCAGATTTGAACAAGACCTTGATTCCAAGCTGGTACGAGAATCACATGCTTTGAAGATCATAAAGCTCGTTGAGTGTGTTTGTGTTTCCTTGTGATCTTTTCGTAGCTCCCAATCTTCCGTTTCTCGGAGTGAAATGGGCCAATCAGCCTGCGTCTAGCGGGCTTCGTCGCGGACCCTAATACGGACGTAAATTTCTTACTGTACTTTTACATAGTCTCAGCCTTTACATTTCTTACCTCCTCTTCCCTCACCACCAGCTATATTTATACTTACCCCCAGAAGCAAAGGAACGCAATTGTCCCTGTTCCTGTTCCTGTTCCTGTTCCTAACTTTGTCTCATCGTCCCCCCACTGCAGTTGTCGCCGATTCTGTACACCCGGCAGAGCATACTCTCGGCATTGGATCTCTTGCATTCACCGAGCACGCGAGGAAAGAAAAGAGCCTCAACAGCACCTTTAATCCTAAAACCCACGGAAAAAGACACGAGTCCCCAGTCTCCCACCATGTCATCACCAGAAACGCGCTCCGTCAAGCGGCCAAGTAAGCAACTATCCCATCCTGCATACTCATTCCCCCCTCCCAACGTTGCGCGTTGTAGGGCGCTGCGCGAACTGGAACAAGAACGCGAGTTGCAGCGGGCAACGAAGTGTGGATGTGGACCTCGAACCGAGAGAACTGGAAAGCTCTGGGGGGTTGGGTTGGATTGATGCTTGCACAGGCATCGAGATCACATTCATCCACCTTCCCCCCTAACAGCCTGACCATCGCGAGTAGCTCCCCGACAAATCTCTCGCTTCGTCAATCTGAGGAACTGAATCATTTTTTTACTATATATAGCGAGCTAGAACATTCAACATCGTCTGTGCAAAGTAGCTAACCATTGTCACCATGGCAGGAACTCAGTCGCTCCCACCTCCTGCGCTCCCCCAGCTTGTCGCCGAACAGCACGTCCCAATCCCGTCAACTGACAAAGATTCGAAGCGACTCATTGTCGTTCTTTCGAATGCCAGTCTCGAGACCTACAAGTCGTCGCATGCCGGCGGCAGACCCGGCCAACGCGATGAGAAATATTCGCTCCTCAACAGCGACGAGCATATTGGGATTATGCGCAAGATGAACCGCGATATCAGCGATGCTCGTCCCGATATTACACATCAGGTTTGAACTGCTTGCGATGACCCATCGTGACTGCTGTTAATTTCTTCCCAAGTGCCTCCTCACCCTTCTCGACTCTCCTATCAACAAGGCCGGCAAGCTTCAGATTTACATCCACACGGCCAAGGGCGTCCTGATCGAAGTCAGCCCAACGGTCCGAATCCCACGTACCTTTAAGCGATTCGCTGGCCTCATGGTGCAGCTCCTCCACCGCCTCTCGATCCGATCAGTGAACTCGCAAGAGAAGCTGTTGAAGGTCATCGCAAATCCAATCACCGACCATCTTCCACCAAACTGCCGAAAAGTCACTCTGAGTTTCGAGTCTCCCTTGGTACGTGTTCGGGAGTACGTGGAGAACTTGAACGAAAATGAGAGTATCTGCGTATTCGTTGGAGCTATGGCCAAGGGAACCGATAATTTTGCGGACCAGTACGTCGACGAGAAGATCTCCATCAGCAACTTCAGTCTTTCGGCGAGTGTGGCCTGCAGCAAATTCTGCCACGCCGCCGAAGACGTGTGGGACGTTATCTAGTCAGCCTCGCCCGTCGACCCACCGGAACCGATCGCCCTCGAATGATCATTCGAGAGGGGCAGGCGCGTTACTAGTGTAAATGAATTACGGAGGAAGGAATATCGGAAGGTTACTTGGCATCAAAGGTGAAAGCGGGACTATTAACAGAGTACACGATACCAACATCGTAGCCTCTGCTAGTAGTCGCCGGGCTTGGGTGTCTGTGTGGTCTGTCTTTGTTTTTACAACCAAAACATCAGGCGTTCAACATCAGATCCAAGACGCTTTAGTCGTCTTCGTGGACCGCTTCAACTCGGTCCACATCTCCTTTTTCTCTCCACCCTCCACCAGCTTAGTTGCTGGTGATAGATATGGTAAGTATCCCGTGCTGGCGGAACTTTCTGCTGGTTTTTAGGGTGGTGTACTGTACTATTAGGGATTTGGGCGGCGACACTGGTCGTCAACGCCTCTATCTAGCGATGTACGCCCCGCGAGATATCTCGATGATAGTGGTAGCCTCATGTATCCAGAGCTCCCATTGAGGAGAAAATGAAATGCGATAGCCTTCTCACAAATGTGCAAGCCGATATGATTTATCAACTTCCTCTGGGCCAAAGTGCAGCCGATTTCCTGCTCGATGCTCGATAGGGTAAGTTGTCGCGCATAGATCGCGATGGAATCACTCCATAATGCGATTGGGACTGACATTTCGCCCTGATTCCCACCACCCGAGAAAAGTCCCCGGCCATGCTCCGTGGAAAGAGATCCCATTTGATCCCATTTGACAACACTCGAGACTCCGAGCCCAATGGGCGCCTCAAGGCGAACATGCATATGCAGCTCAACGACTTCGGGACATCAACCGGGCTTCCACTCGCGAAACGTGGCATACTGACAGAAAACTCGTACGAACCAGATAGATCCACGGCCACTGGGAGCTATCCGCCCGGATGATGCATTTGTGCCTGGCGGGGTCCAGCTCGCCCAATATCTCGCGGGAAAAGTCGCTGGTCACGGATACGTGTGTCACTGGGCGTGGAGATGGAGAGATCGTTTGGACAAGCGATGGAATGGTTGGCTCTCTGCGCTCGCATTGCACCTGTCGCAAGGGACTGTACACAAGGAGAGCCACACATCTGCCGTGGCTGTTGTCGCCTCGTGTCGACTCCACCTGTCGAAGGTAACGTACTTAAGCTGTCCAAATGACTTTACTCCTAAATCGGTGCTTGATCAATCGTTCTCTCTCGTCCCTCGCCCTCTTTAACTTTCCTTCATTAAGCTCACCGCAATTGCAGAGGTAGAGGACTTTTGATCTTTCTTCATTACGGCACTCTTTACGCCCATGCCCCAAAGAACGCCTGTTATCGAAGTGTCTCATCTGCCCAGCGCCGCATCCTTCTACGCGGCCATCACGCAGCCTCTGGGCCTTCAGTTCCTGTTCACATCTCCTCCCGGGTCCCCCACGTGTCTCTATTTCGGCACTGTCACAGACATCGGCACTAGCAGTCCTAGAAAAGACGTTGTTTTCTCGCTGTCTCAGTCCGTTGCAGCGATCCCGCGTCTTTCACATATAGACCTCAGTGCTGCGTCCTCTAAAGCGGCCCTCGAATTCTACAAGAAGTCCCAACTCTACAATAAAGGCTCCAAACACAATTCTCTTGAGCATAACCGCGAGGACGGCTCGGAAACCATCATCGCGAGAACTGCGGACTTTGACGGAAACATGATACAAACGGCATATTCATCACGTGGTGGCCCCCGTCGAGGACCCTCAGTCATCGAGATGCCGGGCCCGGAGAAAGAATCCAGAAGGGTTCTAGAATGGCAGGAGGATGTCGCAAGGAGTATCTCCGGGGCGGCGGAGGAGCAAAGTCAAGTATCAGGTTCCACGTACCGTGGGCCTCCTGCTGGCCCAGGTACATTTCGCCGCTCAGATACCTTTCCCGCAGCGAAGGTCGTGCACCGCGAGACCGTTACAACTGAGAGCTATAGACGTCATCACGGGGACGCCCCTGAGAGGAGCTCTTCAGGTGGTGGTGGCATCAGCGGAAAGGCGTTGATCGGGACGTTGTTGGGTGCTGCCGCTGGAGCTGCCGTAGCTTATGCTATGGTACGTTCAGAATCACCTGAGAGGGTGTCTACAGTTCCCGCTGGGGGCTCAGGTCGTGCAGTTTCGTACGTGGAGGGATACCGCGCTCCAGCATCCAGCTATACACATCAACGTCGCGATAACGTCGTGGAGCGTATTCCGGCTAGGAGTCTTGTAAGTGAACGAGACACCCAAAATATTCAACCTCGCTATGTAGCGCAATACACCATTGCCGCGCCTCCTCAGGAACATCTTGAGCGAATCGATGAGCGCAGCTATATTAGCCATCAGCCCTCCCGCTCGGGACGGTCAGTTGCCCAGTCTTCGAGGGCCAGGAGCCGAAGTCAAGAACATGAGTCCAGGTATGAACGGCCATTGCAAATCCTCCCTGCTGCTCCGACGCCACGGTCTCGATCGCCTGTTAGCCATGTCAGCCATCGCAGCCGAAAGAGCAAGACCTCCAACTCTGGCTCTAGAAGCCATTATGAAAGCGTCAGGGAAAACCCAGATGCAGCTTCCTACCACAGCGCAAGAAGTACCCGCACGGAATCAACTATCAAGCCCTCCGCTGTGACATATGTGAGCGCCGCACCAAGTAAAGCGGGGTCCTCGCACAGCAAGACCACGATCAAGTTGATGCCGCAAGGAGGGAGTGAGATTAGTGTTCGACCTAGTCAGGTGGAGTTGCCAAGGAGTTTGGTTAGTGGAGCAGACTATGCAGAGAGTGTGGCACCGAGTGATAGTGTGAGCAGTGTAGGGAGTAAGAGGGAGAGGGAGAGGTTGGTTGGGAGGATGAGCAGGAGATAATAGAGATTTTTGTAGATGTATATCGACAGATATGGGTGGTATAACAGGACATATCGGTTTGTTAACGGCTTTTTAATGACCTCTTTCATTGTGTTTGGTATTGCATGGATTGGATGGAGAAGGTTGGGATGGATGGGTATATGCATATTTTTGGACACGTTTAGATAATTACTCAATCAATCACTTGATTTCTTCTTTTCATGCTTTTATTAGACTTTATATTCTCTATATATAGTATATTTCAGCTCGTTTCTATCCATATCAGTGTCTACCTTGCAGATATCTAAGGCTCGCCTTGTACACCGAGATCCTCCCATAGCTTTAACTACTATATCTATCTAGACACCTACATAAGTAGGGAAGGTTAAGCATACCAATAGAAGTTGTAGCGCTTTCCTACCCTAGCTCTCCGCCTTACGCCCATTATCATTCTAGGAGAAGCAAAAGAGCTAACATCTCCCAATTTCATATCAAAACATGATTAGTTTTAAATTACAAATGGTGACGGTGGTATTGGACATGATATGGAACAGTTTTATATATATAACTGAGAAGGAACCAGATTGTCTGGCGGACCTATTTAATAACCGCTCTAATACTTTTAACCTTTCTTCTTAGGGGCTTTCTTCTTGCCCACTCTACTACCTCGCACTCGAGTCGGTGGCCATGTGTAGACCGGCTCCCGATTCCGAGTTGACCGTGTGCTCGAGCGCGTTGCTCTCGAGTTTGTAGGGGGTTGTTCGATATTTTCAAATGGTAGTTGTTCGTGTTGCGCATTCTGTCCCACTTGTTGCTCTCTATTGGGTTCATCGCTGAGACCATCGGGCATTTCAGAATCAATTTTGGAGAGGCGTCGATTTGCTGTCCCTAGCATTTCAATGTCTGTTTCTGCAGCCCCGAGAGGCTCCCGATTAGTAGGGAATCTCTCCGGCGTATTGATATGAGGTTGGCTCGGGGAAATGTTTTCGTCTGTATCAATATTATTGGCATCGAGACTTGGTTGACTTGGAGTTTCAAGTCGAGGTGGTTGAACGAGTTCGCTGAGTATCCGAAGCTGGTTAATTAGCTGCTCAATTGCATGATGTAGAACATCGGCTAGTTGGCCCTGATCCAAGCGTGTTGATTCTGTTACTTCGTGTTGGAGAACGTGTTTGAGGTTTTGAAGCTGGGAGGTGAGGTGGGCGCAATTATTGCCGAGAATGACAGGAGTCGTGGCTGTCTTAACAGCAACCCACCCAAGCGCACCGATTTCGTGAAGGAGTAGGATATTTGTTCTTCTGAGGTATTCTATCTGATGACGGAGTGCCTCTAAGTTTCTAGGATTGCTTCCGAGATGTTGGACATCCCCAAGGTCCTCTGTTTGGCTAGTTCCTTCACGATACACTCCATTTTGATTACCCTCCATAGGAGCAGCGCCATTTTGCAGATGGAAATTCTTGGTGGCTGTGCTCTTATCTCCTGAGGGTTTCCCAAATATCAAGAGATGTCCCTCTATACGTCCACCAAGAGCAACAATCTGATCTCGTAGATCATGTTGCTCGGCTCGGCTAGTTGCAAGCCTCTGCTGAAGCTCACTGATAATTTGTGGCTTTCGTTCTTTGTATTGGTTAAATTCCTCTCTTGTAGCCGCTAGTTGGGATTCAGTGCTCTCAAGTTCGCGAACGATAGCTTCGTGTTGACCCTTGAGTTCGTTGCGCTGTGCAGCGGTTGCTTTATGCTGATCTCTTTCACAGCGTAATGCACGAACAACTGCTTCATGTTGTTCAAGCTGCTCTTCCTGTTCATCCAGTACGTCCTGATACAGGCCCTTGAGCTCTTGGAGTTGTTGAGCAGCTACCTCACCCAGCTCACTTTCGCTCTCCAACTCACGAACGTGTTTCTCTTGTTGCTCAAACTGCCCCCGCTCCTTATCTGACTCTTGGAGAGTAGTCCCTGGAGGATTGTTGCTGAATTTCACTTGAAGCGCTGACCTCAGGCCCACAATCTCGCCATTTTTGTCGCGAAGTTGTACGTCGAGCTGTTGGTTGAGCGTCATGAGCTTCTCGCAGGTCTCTCTAATCATCTCAACTTCTTCAAGCGCATTTTGGTGATCATCTGTTGTTACTAGGAGCCTTTCGCTTACATCCTTAGAAATATCCACTTGCTGTTTGATCAGTCCAATTTGTTTTTTTATATCAACTTCTTGATCTTCAATCTGGTCCATCAACCGAATTCGTTCAGAATTGAGTTCCGATTCCAAGGTCGCAAGCGCTTCATCTCTTTTTCTGATCTCATCTTGAGACCGCCCTTCTCGTTCGGTCCCAAGCTCGGACTGAAGTGTGGCGATTATGGTGTCTTTCTCCATGATCTCATGAGCATGTTCTCGCGCAAATCGATTTGGCCCAGTCATGGACTCCAATTGTAAAGCAGCAATTGCACTATCTCTCTCACCAATCTTATTGGCATGTTTTTCCGCTTGGCGATTTAATTCTGCTTCCATTTCGGTTATAGCGGTCGCAAACTGGTGGATATCTTCTTGTAATTTGTTTCGCTCATCGGTGCATAGTTGAATAGAGTCGCTATATGCCATCATCTCGAGTTTTGTTTGCTCTTGCAGATCAACGGATTGCTTTTGCTCATCCAGGAATTGCCTCTGTAGATCAATGAACTGGTCTAACAATTCACCGCGGCTACTGTGTAGTTGGCCTATCTCCTCTTGATATTTTCGGAGTAAATTTGGCTCTGAATGATCCTGGTCTCCTTGCTGTTGTACTGGCTGAACGCTCTGGATTTGGGCCTGAAAATTTGGACTTTGGGGTATGCGCTCATCTGAATATAATTGAATTAAAAGGAGATTCCGTTCAGAAGTCATTTCTTCCAGCTCTTTCCTTAGCTCATCCAGTTGTTCTCCTTCTCCATTAGGTTCATATGCCTCGAGTTGACTTTGCAGATGCTCGACCTGTTCCCGATATCCCCCAACTCCATGTATCTGATAATATAAATCATCCGCTTCGTGTTGGGACGTTGCAGCTATGGGCCAATCACCCTCGGGGTCAGGTTCGCTACCGCTTTCGAGCCTTGGTATCCGTGCTTCTAATTCTATGATTCGGAAAAAACTAGCATCCCTCTCTTGTGGCAAATCTTTTATTTGCTGTTGATCTTCCCAGGTGGTGATTGTATCACTAGGGTTGACCATCAAAGCAGCAAGTTGCGTTTGATGGATTTCGGTTTCTGCCGTAGACTTGTTCAGATCTTCGCGTACTATTGCCAGACGTGTTCGGAGGGACTCTCTCTCGGATGTTGTTTGCCCAAGTTCCCGACGAATAACTTCTAGCTGTTGTTGAGGACCTTGATTTTGTGATGCCACTCTGTACTCTGTTTGAATCTCTATTGCGTCGCCTTTTGGCGCCTCGTTGGTGGTTTGTGACGCCATAGGGGCAATCGATTCCAATTTCTGTTGGGATTTTCGGGAGGCCTCCTAGGCAGATTAAACATATTATCTCTCTTCGAATTCTTAGGAGGGATATGAACAACAACTTTCGAATAAAGAACATTTTCGTGGGGGCGTCGCGCATACCAGGACATCCACGAGGACAAAGGTAGTCGCCGGATTCGACGGGATAACAATGGGACATAGTTCGAGGAAGCGCTTGCTCTCATTTTGTAATCTCATAGGCCAATAATATTTTGAAGAGAAGTAGGATGTTTACAGTAAGAGTTGACGGGGGATTGGAACCTAGATTTACCATACAGACTTTGCACAGTCTAGGGCCTGAGCTAGAGTCTAATGTCCCTTAATGAGGCGGGCATTCATTGCACTTGAGACAGATCATGCTCTGGTAGTCCTCAACAATTAACAAACTAAGAGCGTGCTGTAAAGTAATGGTCTGTATTGGTATCCTTAGATGTTCCTTTGAGCGAAAGGGGAGATGCGCAACAGTTCCTCGGATGGTAACGGCAACTGGTAGTGACTGGAGTTCCACAAACATCATTATATTTATTGACGCTAGCGAGAGGGTCGTTTTAAAAGATATCTGGATAAAGAGGAAGAGCAATTGTCTGGGTGTTGATGTTGGATCAGGGGTGTTCGAGAGATGCCCCACAAAGACGTCTAGTCCTTGCGAGGCTACAATCCTGCAATGTACAGTACATATTCTTACCAAATGACATTAGCAACTCCAATACTCCAATCACAGTCTGCCACTCCAGTACGAAAACCCAACACAAGCGGCAGGCTCGAATTATCTGGGACAGGTCTTCCTCCTAAACTTTTCCGATCATGGCCTCGCAATCCGATACTTGCTTCTTAGCTCCTAGGTTTAACAGTCCGCAACTTGGCTGGTCGCTCGAGGAGCGCCTCTAAATCTTCAATCGAAGCAGAACGGCTGTACCTCCATCTCGAGAAACAAACTTCGAGCTCCTGAATCACTACGTGCGCTTGTCAACCACGCGAGGTAGTCTGACGGCAAGGTGCTTACATCTGAGGACCTCAGCCTGAGCTTGTTCGCATCAAGATATCTTCCACACGAGCGAACACTAATCTCGAATACGATACGAAGTTCGTATGTCTGCTATCGCTCAGTCTATACGTGTCATTTTGATACTCGGCATACACAGCATACGGAGTAATATCTGTGCTCAAGGGGATATGAGTCTATCGCGCTGCAATAAAGATGTACCGAGGGCTCAGTGACTCGAGGACGGCTCGTGCGACTCTCAGCAGTCGACACCATTTCCAAGAGTTGTGCTCATATTACAAGACTATGCAAGCAGTGGGAGATAAAGAGGTTAGATGGAGATGCTGTGGCTGTTGCCCTTGATGAAGAGTGCCGTCGTACAATGCCCTTCATAAAGTGGGAGATCTAGTTGACTAGTGTTAACGGTCTCGGGAGACATAGCACTAGCTATTCGTCTTTGAGGACCCTTCCACTCCTGGTTTAACTTGCCATAGAAGCACCGCGCGATGCGAGTTCTATATAGCCAAGAATTTTTCACATTTTGGCCTTTCTCTGGAAGCCTTGTACATATCACACGATCTCCAAACCCTACAACTCAAGACATTGATATCAGGATACGACTTGTGCCATGTCTCCTCAGCAGATGATGGAACTTGGCATATCCTCATCTCGCAGAATGCACATTCCCGAGCGCTGTGGGACGTGGTTCTCAGTGCCGGTGAACAGAGTATGGCCTAGCTTCAGTGCCGGAGTACAGTGTACTCTCAAGGAACATAGTACAGCTTAAACAAGTGCTGTCCCGATCATCGCGGTCTATTGCATTCTCGAATTGCTATTCCCAAGGCCGTTGAGGTTGGGCTAACTCTTTTCTGCATTTAAGTCTCTTGAACCCAGAGACGTTTGCCCATTGTCTCCAGCAAGCCTATACACGTGGTGGTGAGTAGATTTTAGCCACTCTAGACAATTAGTCTGACTTTGCTGTGAAGCCATAAGCCGGCAACGATACACGAAGTAATCAGTGGCGCTGGTCTCTTTGTGGGGAACCAAGCAATTATCGATGTCGAGCAACCTCAAATCTCACGACGATTTCGGCCGATCCTTTTGCACAACAGGTTACTTGTACCTCGTTTCAGAGCCACGACATCCAGATCGCAGATCATTTATCGGAAACTCATATACACCATCAGAAATCGAAGGTCCCCCTTCCTTCAAGGGCTCGTGAAGCTCGTATAGTATCTTCTGCTAGCCAGCACTCGCACCTCAATGACGGATGAGCTAACTCCACTCTACGTGCAGAGGTCCTAGCTTGCCATGGAAAACACCCCACGGCCATTAGTATATTCTCAATCTAATAATGCCCCTCCATCTTAGGATACGGGACGACATTGGATTGTCAAGTGTTCGTGTTTCGAGTCCAGCAGTGCTCGCGGCTTGCTGCCTTTTGTCTCTTGATATTAATCCGAGCTGTCCACCCACCATTTGCGACCATGTCTGATTTGAATGGATGAATATCACCAGCCACCATCCACAAGGCTACCGACTTGTTCGGGCTCCACAACACGGCAGTCATAATTAATTTTATGGCCGAGGATAGCTCTGTGTCAAGGCGCTTATTGATGCCAGTTACCAAATCAAGTACTGTTGTACTCTGGTGCGGCCTGAAACACACGTACCCTTTCGGAATCAGGCGGCATGCGGCTGGCTGGAAACCGTTGAGAGTTGAATTCTTTGCTCGAAGTCTGTCTGACATGCTGGCTAGGATTGTTATGCTGCCCGACAAACAAGACTCTAGGTAGGACAATCAATATATTTCCACGTGGCGCAATGCTGATGTTATTTTGCCGAGCGTCCCAAATGCTTCGGTGCAGTTCAGTTCCAGGATAATCTGTGCTACAGCAATTGATGTTGTAAATTGACGTTGGAGTTGTTGTAACTATGGTAATGCACGTCTCCTCTGCTTGCGGAGACAAGTCGTCGCCCACATATAGTGTTCACATTTTGGTCCTTGGTGTTGGGGTGCTACTCGGAAATATTTCTGAAAACCTCCCACGACAATCAGCTTTATTGTGATGGTCTACTTAGAGAAGCCCTGTCGGGACAGTTCCATTCCGACTGACAGCACACATCAGGGTGTACAGATAGTCACAATGCTTTACAAAAGTGCTGAAGCCGTTTCGGGATTGTGGGTTGGCAAATGAGATTCCTGTGTTCCACTACTCTTGAGTATCATTTGCTAGTCTGAAGGGCTCACGTCGGCCAACGAGTAGCTTTGACTGGTCACCTCCCCATCTCAGCCCGCAGCATATTTCGGCTCGCAGAGTTCCGTTTCCCGAGACCTCAGTTTCTATGTCAACATATATCAGTCGGGGTACTTGTCAGTTCGTCCGCTTGATATGTTGCCCTTACATTCGTCATCAATGCTCAAGTGAGCTTCCCCTGGTCTGCAATACTGGATCAGGGGTATAAACTGGAAGACTTTATTTCCCGTTAGAGAGAAACCCGATACGTTGTTTGCATTGCCGGCTGTCTTTCTTGCTAGCCCCATGAGATGATTGCAACAGGCTGCGCGGCCCCTAGCTAGCCAATATGCATTGCTTTCTCACCAGGTCAACACCCAACGGCCCACTCCTTCAGCCTCACGCCAAGCTAGAATTCTATTCTCCCTCCCGCAACCTCCACCCCAGGGGGTGGCATTAAACCCCAAGTCTATCTGCATATAGGAGCAGTACAGGCATGGGATTTGCTGGAAACCGCCGGTTCCTACGCCTACCCCCCTCCTATAACAAACGAAGCGTGGGTCCCGTTTTTGAGGCTACCAAATGTGGGCTAGATGTATCCTGGATGTGGCGTCTCGTGATAGCTGTAGCAAATTCTTCGAGGAATCTTCTTTTCGTTCCGACCAGCAGATGTGGCTACGTGTATAGATACACAGCATGATCACGCTGGGGCTGACATCTTGTTCAGTCATCGACATGAGATCCGCAAATGCTTCACGCTTGTATCTCAACGTGCAATGCCATCCTAGGCTTCGTCATTAAAGACATGGGGGGAAATGTTGCACTACCTTATTAACCGCCCTTGCTTCATTCAAGACGTTGAATCAAGTTCTGATACCGCATTGACTTTATTCAATGACAAATGGCGAGTGACGAGTGTCAGCATTATGTGCGGTAGGACATCGTCGACTGCGCTACCGTTGAGCCGTTCGTAATCTGATCCGGGGTTGGCAGTCACTACATTTATTGCAGACACGAATCCAGCGGATCATTTCGGAAGAAAGTGGCGAGCTCTTATCATCTCTTCCCCGGGCTTCAGAACTGATTTGCACCCGTCATTGGGCAAAATATACATTGTTTCCGGGCTTTTCCTACTGGAGGGGGCTCTCGAGAGTAGTTAGCTCTCCCGAGCCCCATTTGCTGCAACTCCGTCTGAACGTTCCCAATTCCCAGATCTCCATTCATAGTTTATGTCCATGAAAGTATATATACGTTGGGGCTAATCGCCAAGACACCAATCTCGGATCTTACCTCGTCAGATTCGCCTTTGAAACCTTCTCTATTTGTAAATATCTTTGCTGAAGTTAGTACCCAATGGTGACAGCTTCATTCTGCTGTCGCTACCGCCTTTTCTCTACGCTTTCCGCGGCGTGATAACCGTACCAGCGACATTACACTTCTAGCTCAAGTCTCTCTTCCATCCGTTAATACATCCACAAGCACATTATTCCATCATACCCGACAGGGTGTTCCAAGCTCCCCCAAGGACATACTCAAGATGTTCCGTTCCATCCTCCTTCTTGCGCTTCAAGTGGCTGCTACCTCCGCATCTACCGTCGTTTATAACTGGAATATTGAGTGGGCTACAGCTGCACCTGATGGCTTCCACCGTCCAGTTATCTCTGTCAATGGCCAATGGCCTTGTCCGGCAATCGAGGTCAACATAGGCAGTCGAGTAATCCTCAACGTCGTTAACAGACTCCAAAATGAGACGACAGCTGTCCATTTCCATGGGCTCTTCCAGACTGGCTCAAGTCAAATGGATGGACCGGCAAGGGTGGCCCAATGTCCTATCTCTCCAGGATCTTGTGAGCTGAACCTTGATATCGTATAGTATAATAGCTGACCATAACTGCAGCCTTCACATACAATTTTACGGTAGGCATAATCCATACCATTTCTTAACGGGGAATTACAAATCTGATGACACATGTAGATCAACCAACCAGGGACATATTGGTACCATGCCCATATTGGAGCACAGTATATTGGTTAGTTCTATTCCAATTTGTAGCGTTCACTTTAACTAAGTATATAGATGGCTTCCGAGGGCCGATCATAGTTCATGACCCTAAGGCACCCTATTCAGGGCAATTTGATGAAGAGGCAAGTTGTGCTTGTATACATATCTGACATCCATACTGACATAAACTCTAGCGTGTCTTGACCGTGGAGGATTGGTACCACGAGCAGGCGCCGCTCCTGCTCGAATATTATCAGTCACCCCTTAATGAGGATCTTCACGGGGGCGCCGAACCCGTTCCAAATGCAACTCTCATCAATGGTGCTCAAAATATCCAGTTCCCAATTACACCTGGTCGTACATATCTTTTCCGCATAATCAACATCGGCTCTTTTGCTGCCCAGTTCGTTCAATTTGAAGAGCATGACATGACCATTGTTGAGATGGATGGTGTATATACGAAGCCATACAAGGTATCTCAGTTGTTTCTCACTGCCGCCCAACGATACACTGTCCTTGTCAAGGCTAAACCAACCAACTCTCGAAATTTCGCCATAGTTGTTTCAATGCCCTTGGGTATGTTTGCTCCCAGTGTTATTCCATCGAAGCTTAACAACAATGTAAGTCCCACTCCATATTGAACTGCCGGGAGACCTAATGTCCTCCAGGCAACTGCATACCTCGTATATGACAATGCAAAGTCACTTCCAGAGCCATTTATGATGACCTATCAGGATAGTGCTCCAGATGACCTTGTTTTTGCTCCTTATGATCCGCAACCACTATTAGATCCTGTGACAGTCCCGTAAGCTTTCATGTTCTTATATTTTATCTACTTCCAAACTCATACCCTCGAAGTATTACTTTCACTATCTCGTTCGGTCCCAACAACCAGAATCAGAACCGGGCATACTTCAACAACATCAGCTTTACCCCTCAAAAAGTAAGTTGTTAATAGCCCCCCTCTCATACCATATAGTACCAACCCGAGCCTAGGTCCCGACCCTTTATACCGCCCTCTCTGCGCCTCCGGACATAGTCAACGATCCCAAGATCTACGGCCCAAACTCCAACCCATACGTCCTCCCGTACGGCGCTATCGTCCAACTCACCGTCATCAACACCGACAGCGGCCCCCACCCCTTCCACCTCCACTCCCATGATTTCCAAGTCCTAGCCCGCTCACCCCCTGGAGTCGATGGCACCACACTAGTCATACCATCCAGCTTCCCAGGAGGGGCTCCAATGCGGAGAGACACAATCCTCATCTACGGCGGCGGTGCTGCAATCCTCCGCTTCAAGGTCGACAACCCGGGCATCTCACTCTTCCACTGCCACATAGAATGGCACGTTGAAGCCGGACTTACGGCGACTTTCATCGAGGCCCCGACTCAGCTGCAGCAACTGGGTTTGGTCATTCCACGGAATCATAAGGAGACCTGTTATAAGTTAGGGATCCCTATGAGTGGGAATGCGGCAGGAAATACGGATGATTGGACGGATTTGAGGGGTGCTAATACGGAGCCGCCTCTGCAGAATTGGGGGTTAGTTCTATATTTTCTCCTTCCTAACTCCTTTCTTCCTTACGTCCTACCTCCTTATCTCCTACCCGCTTTGTCTACTCTTATATTTTCTACCTTCAACCCTCCTTAACTCCCAAACCCATACCCCGCTAATCATTGTGCAATTATAGTGCACTCGTCATGCGCCCAAGGAAACGCCAACTGGCAAGACGCCACTTCTGAGCCCCATTTGCGCTCCTTCCTTTTCTATTTTATTTCTACGTTTCAGGATGAAGGAAGAAGATCCTTGTTTAGGCATTTCTGCATAGGTGCATGTGCATAGGGAGGGGGGGGTTAGAACCCAGGCGGTCGACATGTTGGGTTGTTGAGATGGCTTAGTTTAATCTCATAATACGTAAGGCGGCCGCTGGAATTCGATGGATGGGTTATGTCTATGATGTTATCTATCACCCCTAAGACTTTACTTTCCTTCAAACCCACTTGTCTATCTAAGCTACTTAGGGAGCAAAACTCGAGTTTTAAGCACAGTTTATTCCAACACGACGTTCTCCAAATCTCTCATCCTAATCAGCAGATTCACTCACCAAGCTCGAACCCGGCCCTATAAATTTAGCTTTCTTCACATTGGAGCCGTCCAGAGAAAGAAAGGATGCTCAGAACTACCCAACTCGGCAGAGACGGGAATATTCAGACGAATCACCTTTCCATCTACTTCCTCATCAGCCAACCCATGCTCAGGGGCAATATGCCCCCTGTTTATGGCAAGCATAGCTAACCACGGTTATGCAAGCTTATGTAGCTTCATGATTGTCATTAAAAGGGGCACAAAGCTTGTTTCATATCAGAGTTGTACTTTGTCACTCCATACTACGGAAATTAAGTGTCTGTCTGTGGTATATATATGCAACCCGAATAGATATAAGACGGATAGACTAGCAACAAACTAAGGTGGCTATCTATACGCTATTAGTATGTGTGTTTTTACACCCTACTTCAATAGAACCCTCTAACCGCTTCCCCCGCTTTGTCGTACTCCCCATTCCCATTGCCATTCCCATCCCTGCTACTAACTTCTTTTAAAAACAAGAGTGTTTTCCACCCCCTTTCCTTAACAAATCTCCAAAATAAGAAGAAATCAAGATATCAGAACCATAGAAATACCGAACTATATAAAGAAGTAAACAATACCTGGTATCCATTCCCCTAATTTCCCCCTCATGCTTGATAGATTGCAGATTTTGGTTTAATTCAAAGACACCAGCTGGATTATAAATCATTATTTCTTGTTTTTTTCCCCTACCCATATCTTTGGAAACACTTGACGCATCATGCATTTACCAGCTTAACCAACTTTCCATTTTCCTTTTTACGGTGTCCCTTTTCAAAGATCCGGAGCGATATCCCTCGATATTTATCCTTAGACCTCAAATTCAGTGTCTTTCCCTCAACCCCTATCCCATCCATTCCTTCTCCACCGATCCAGACCCTTCCCTACCATCCTTTCGACTACTCTAACCCCATTCCTCCAACTCCTCCCTCCCTCCCCCTCCCGCCATCCCCAACCCATCTCTACAACGTGATAGTAAGCCCAAACTCCGTCAAGTCCGGGATCACCACCTCTCCCGGGATCAAAACACCATGATCAATAACATCCTCACAACTATCCGAATACGCATTAAAACACCTAGTCAACGCCCTGTCCTTCCTCCAAGTATCCCTCGTCCCATATTTCGCGTTAATTTTCGTTTCGCATTGGATTTCGACCTGGTAGGCGTTTGCGCAGCAGGCGGTTGTTATGGTTTCGCTGCATGCGTGCGAGAGCGTTGCGAAGATGGGGAGGAGAGAGATGATGATGGGGATTAGTGATGGCATTTTGGAGGAGGAGGGGAGGAAATGTGGTGCGGTGTTGTTGGTTTCGGAGGAGGGATGTTGGGTTTAGAGAGAGGGGCGAGTGGGTAGGTGAGTGAGTAGGTGTGATATTGGATCCCTATACTAATTATTAGCAATGAAGGCATTTATTATATATAAGGAATGTATGTATATATACCTTGCATCAATGATATATACCTTGGTACCTTCCTTTCATAAAACTCTTCCACTGCAAAAATGTTTCTTTAAAGTCCTCAAGTGTGACAAATCTTGCTTTCAGACCTAGAGAAAAGGGGGAATGCTCCGTGTGGGTGATGCTCGCGGAGTATATATATATATATAGGTAGGTATATATTCATGTATAGATGGCGTTCCATTCTGTATTCGCCAAATGCGTTCCCAGGATTAGCCTTAATGCGGGAGATCACCGTTGCCCAGCCGATCGGCTGTGCCCACCCTGGCGATTGTGGGGTAAAATGGCCCTAAATTGATTCTACTATACCACATATGCGGCAATTAGGTAGACAGATTTCCTCAGTTTCGCTCATTCTTGGACATATGAAGAGGGAGGTGCCAGGAACGCCGCTTGGCGTTGTCGATCTGGACCAGTCGTGGGAGCTCTTGGTATTTCTAGAACATAGTGAGGGTCTATACAACTGCAACCATCGTACCCCATACTTTCAAGATACTTTTCTTGATGGGTTTTGCTCCCGGAATCTTCGCGTGAGGCAAATTCCGTGATTAATTAAAGACGGCCTGGATGGACCGATCCATTGATCCGAACACGGAGGATCTCGACAACAACCGTGAGCAGCAACGTTGCACGTTCCAATGAATCAAGAGAGAGGTTTCCCACAAGTCATGAGCACGTTACCATCGATGGAGCATATTTAATATCCACTGATGGAACATTTCGGAATAGACCTGTGACGATCCCAAAAACGGGTTGTGGGTGGTGCTGGTGCAACATCAACTCCAAAAAGCGCATTTCCGTTCTAGATGCATTCTCGATATACTCATCTGTTGAAGGTGCAAGCAATCCCATCCCTATTTCTCTCGGGATGAATTCCTGGAAGAGTTCATAGGCTTTTCTCTGGGCTGGGAACATCATGCGGTAAAGCAGCTGCCGTGGTTTGCGAGCCATGCAAGTCAAGAGTTGCGCGACATTGACAGCGAGCTCAAGGAGTTCTTGCAGCTTCCTGCTATGACACGAGCGAAGAGACTGGTGACGGATGAATGAAAAAAAATTATCACCTAAGTCTCGGTTGAGAACTTGAAGGAATGGCCGCAGAAACGAGCGCTTGGCAATGGCCAGAGTCGAATATCGATACCAGCTTGGTGATCTGAACCTCTGGTTTTGAGTACAAGTGTAGCTCATAAGATGCGCGCTGTTACGTTGTAGCTCAAATCAGATGTTGAAATGCCCTATTAGAGTTTTATTGAAGCCGGTTAGTTGAAGGCAGAACAAAATGGACCAGTTGCAACAAAGTTGTTTTCTTGTTGCCGTGCTGTCTGATGAGTTGTCGGGTTTCTCGCCCACAGACCAATGAACTGGATTGTCCGTTCTCCTTCTCTGACGAGATATCTCGAGCGTTGCCCAAGAATGGGGCATACGGAGAGGTAGACAAGTGACTAGAGTCGATTCCGTGTCCTTTCAAACAGAAGTGATTGCATACAATCATCGTCGTCCACAATGGATATTGTCAGATCATCTCTAGCAATAATCATTCCACTGCTAAAAGGTCTTAATGACGCATTCTTCACGGAGAATCAGGAAGCTTGATGGTATTAACATCCACAAGGTGTTTACCGGCTCGAGCCGCTAGTTCGATGGACCTTGATGGTAAGGGGTTTTGGCTTCCGTGGAGACCGTTGAGTTTGACCCACACTGCATAAATCCCCCGGAATTTCCGGCGCCTCGTAGCTAGTGTAGCCATGCGGCGAAATGGGAGCCGGATATGTTGTGAATATCAAATATGTAAGAAACCCTTTCTTTTGAAGTAATGACCCTAACTCTGCTCCCGGAACGCAGGTGAAGCACCGTGACGTAGTTCGTCCGCTGCAAGGTACCTGCTTGTTGGAACCCCTGGGGTTCCTGATTTCATCGTATCGACCTTGTATATGGATGTGTGTGTGGGTATGTATCAAAGTCGCACGTATGAAGTATCAAGTATCAAGTATCACTCTCCATGCCGGCCAGCCCAAGAGTCATGCCGGCCATGGTGGTGTTGTCCTCGATGTATTCGTACCGTGACCGTCCAGGAACCAGGAACTAAAGAAACAGACAGGAGATGCTGTAGGTCGCCGCCGCCTCTGTCAGCCTGCTGTCCGACTCTTTATGCTCTCACGATGCCGGTTCTGCGTACTGCATGCCGTAGGCGTAAAGGTGGTTGGTGGCTTGCCACTATTTACAGACTGCAGTGCAACCCCACGAGGTCAGTTGACGGAAAAGGGCCGCGACCATAGCGCGCCGAGCTCTTTGTTCTGCCAACCGGCCAGGCTTCCATCGTCCCATCGTCCCAAGACAGCTGTAGGCTCGAGTGGCACTGGGCCGAGCATACCGTACATCAGACTGATCAGCAGGCCGGGTTGGCTGGCGGGCCATTTCGATTGGGAGTACGGGTGTACCTGCATCATACCGAAGATGGGGGCCCTGGGAGTGATGGAAGTCTCGAATACTGCGCATTGGAGAAGGTGGAGCTTGGGAAACTGGGCTCTGCATGGCAGCATTAGCATTAGGGTTGGAATTAACCTGGGCAAGAGCAAAAGCAAAAGCAAAAGCAAAAGCGTGAGTCTGGGTACGGGTGTGTCAGTGAGTATTCGGTGATGCTGAGCGTGCCGAGCTTACTCTCCTCACCACCTATTATAGGAGACATGATATGCGGTATGCGCAGGACTAACGAAAGCGCTGAAGAGCTAACGAACCTAAAGAGGCGAAGAACTAGTAACTGCAGCAGCCAGGCACGGAATCATGCACTTGGTAGTGCTTGATGGCGTCTTGGGTTCTTTGGTATAGAGCGCATCCGTCGATACCGTAGACACTTTGAACTGCCGTCATCTTCGGGCGAAAGCTGGCCCGCGGTCGAGCCGTCGCTAAGCAGGAGTATATGAAGTCCCCGTGGGCTTGTCTGGCTGTAGAATAGGCGCTGTAGATGCTATAGATACTATGGTAGTTACCGTAGCTGGTACTGCCTGGCTGGGTAGGTAGTTAGGAGGTACTCTGGCTGTACTCATATACGGTGTAGGAGGTAAGGTACCAAGGTACTATCAGGTACCGCTCCAATAACCTCTGGCACTCTGCCGGTACTACTACCTACAGTGACCTACCAAGGTACAGTACCTACTTGGGCACTGTAGCTGAGACATCTCGCCACCGCCACCGCCACTGCCCGAACCCCCGACCTGGCAGCGTCAGCGTCAACGTCAACGTCAACACTCAGCGCCAGCGCCAGCTACGGTGCTTATTCAGTGCTGTCCCAAGCCTAGAGCCAGGCGTTGAGAGCCTGGAGCGCCTAGAGCCCCCACTAGAAGCACTGCAGCTGCACCGCATTCAGGGCCGATGGCCTGCCTACGGAGTACCTGACCGCTCTCTACTCGAGTCGCCCCAGGCTACCTTACAGGCTGCTCCAGGCTGTCCCGGGCTGTGAACGGGCTGTTCCAGGATGCGCTACAGGCCCCGCACCCACCATAACACCCACTAATCTGCGACACACCAACACCCTAACGACGCCCTAACTTCACACATCGCCCTACAGCGCCTTTACAGCACCATCACTACCTAGCTATCCCCCTAACCACCCCCTAACCACTCCCTACAACCCCTTAATAACCCACTCCCTACCACCTACATACCACCAACTCTCTATCAGTAATCCGGTCTCCATCGCCCAGCATAAGCCTCCGCCGTCATCCTCGTTCCACCCCTCCAACCTGCGTCCTGCGTCCTGCGTCCCGGTTCCTGTCCTGTCCTGTCTCCAATTCCCGATCCTCGATCTCCATCTCGCTCTCTCGCTCTCTCGCGCTCTTCTCTCTTCTCCTTTCTCTTTATTCTCCCTTGATCCTCCTCAGGCACCGTCCTGCCTGCCCTGCATTAGCAACCTCTTGCCATCCGCCGTCGCCGCCGCTATCATCATCATCATCATTTATCGCCGTCGTCACCACCACCACCACCACAACCACCCTCATCGCCCATCACCGTCGTAGTCGCCACCCGTCTTCACCAACTCCGTCATCAACATAATAGGCCCCCCATACCAAACCTATACCAATACCACTCCCAAACCAGCACCAAATTCAGTTCGCAGATGGTCAGCACAACTTGGGAAGGAGGCACAAGGGACAGCTACAACCACAGCTTCAAGCTACACTCACAGCTACAGTTACAGCTACAGGTACAGCTACAACTCGAGCAACATCTACATCCGAGCTTCGTCGCCCGCCTCGACATTGATATTTCCAGTTCCGCCGTCCGTTATCCGTCGAGACGATCCCCCCTCCCCCGCCTCGTCTTATCCGTCGCACACTGATAGCGGCTATCGGGAATCCAGGAACACCTATATCGATCCTATATCAAGCCTATACCGACACCAAATATCGATATCAACCTCCCATATCTATATAGGTATCCGAATAAACCACCTTCTCCTGCCTCCCTAACGCCAGACCCAGTGCGACTCCATTGCGCCCAGGCGGTATCGCGCACCCCTTCAGCAACGGACGAGCTGAGAGCTGCATTGCATTGCGGCTCAACCTCCCCCTCGTGTACCTGATCCGGCTTACGGCACCCCAGCCCCAACTCCAACTCCAACCGCCGTCTATCGATCTCGTTGTCTCGTCGCCGGTCTTGTCTTGATGGGTTGATCTGGAGAAAGGAACACCGTCTCCCCCCGATTCCTCGTCCCCCATCCCAACCTCTCTTCGATCATACCACGCCGACCGCTTGCAGAACCTCTGCAGTCCCCCCGCCAGCCCCGCGACCGAGTGGAATTACCCAGCCTCCTCCTGGCTTAAACCTGTCCTCGGTCCCGACCCTCATTCTCCTCCTCCTCCTCCTCCTCCTCCACAATGGCGACCTTTAGTCCCGTCAATACCAACCTCGCGCCAAACCATCTCCCTCGCAATGGCGACGAGCCAGCGCCCACAACTCCCCGCCCAAACACGGCGCCGGATATACAGCCCTCCTCGGTCCATCGCGACGACGCAGTCACCCCCACACGAGCCACTTTTGCCGCCCTAGCCGCCCAACGACCCCTTCCAGCATCGCCCTTTCCATCCGCAATCACCATACCCGAGAAGGACGAGACGAGTCAGCAGAATCTACATCGAGGGAACTCGCAGTATTCGGCCAAGTCCAGAGAGTCCGAGGATGTCGAAATGGCTGGCGACTCGGAAGAAGGAGAGGAGGCGTCCGATGACGAGAGCGTCGTGAACGCAGACGGGAGCAAGTCGTCGAAGAAGAAGAAATCGCAGAGATTCTATTGCACCGACTATCCCCCATGCAGCTTGAGCTTCACCCGTAGTGAGCATCTGGCGAGGCACATTCGGTAAGCTAGCTAGATGGTCCCGTCACCGATGCTTTCACGTCCCAGACTAACTTGGCGCAGGAAACACACTGGCGAGCGCCCGTTCCAATGTCACTGCTCACGCCGCTTCTCGCGTCTCGATAACCTCCGCCAGCATGCCCAGACCGTCCACCTGAATGAAGAGATCCCACAAGACTCGCTGGCGGCGACGGGCACAAGGTTCCAGCGACAGGTTCGAACGGATCGAGTCCGGCCCCCGGGGAGTCGGGCGAGAGCATCCACCACCAGCAGCCAAACAAGTCAAGGGAGAGGGCACACGCGGAATTCCTTATCGGCGTCCAGCATTGGGTCGGTTGCCTCCGCATATAGCCAGAGAGAGGAGGTCCGGAGACGACCCCCGCCGTTGGTTATGGCGGGCGAGCCTCGAGCGAGGTTCTCGCAAGAGATATATCGCGCCGAGAGTCCATCAAGCCAGTTCCAATACCGTCCTCACTCACCGGGCGGCTTCAGCACCCCAACCTCAGCCACCTTTTCAACGGGCCAGAATAGCCCCCGCTGGGGCGGGCCGTCTGGTCTTGGATCGCCCATGTCCACCCACTCCCGAACCGCAAGCCTCTACGCGGGGCATCGCACCCCTGGGCGAAGGTTATCGGTGCCATCGGCGGGCAATCCTTTTCAATCCCCCCATAGCAGTTCATTTGCCCCGGGTCTCCTGTCGCCGCTGAACTCGAGCAACATGGGCTCGTTCTCCCCATCAGGCAGCATGGTGGCAAGTCCTACGGTCTCATCGAGCGGGTCCATGTGGTCTCGCCGCGAATCGATATCGGGTGCCGCAGATGAGGCATGGAGACGGCGAACCTGGCATCCTGACACTTCCTCGGGATTCACCAGTCGGTTGCAGGTTATGACCACCCCCAATAGTTATTCGGACGGGCCGCACCCGCAGCCTCCCGTAGTTCCAAGCAACGGTCCGGCGCTCCCGCAACCTATGCGGCTTCCCGGGATCGAAAGCTTCGTTACCCTCCCCCAGTCGGGCCCCCCACGGCCAACTACCCCAGTGCGCCGACAACCAAGTCCGATGATGATAGATACTACCCCAAGTCGTCCCCCTCCTCGGACTGACCCCTATCAAAATGAGAGACCCAGCAGTCAATACTCAGATACGGGCATCAACAGACACCTCAACCGGCTCGATATTACCCAAGGCCCAGCACCCCCCGATACCGCAAGTTCATGGGCATCGGAAGCGAATCGGGCCGTGCAAGCACAAGCCGAACAGGCGCGTGCCCAGCCAGCTGTTCGATTTGAAGAATCGCCTTATTCAGCCCAGGCACAGAGGAGTGGTTCATGGAGCCAACATGTCAGTGCCCCTCCAATCACGCCCAAGTCAAGCAAACGTCACGGATGGTATCATGGGCCGGTGACTGTTCAGAACGGCGCCCCTGTTCAACGGACGTCCCCCGCCAATTCGAGTAGCCCTGAAGGTGGAATACCAGAGACGCCAAGCAGCTCACAAGTGGGAGAGCTCAATCCGAGCATTGTACACTCAAATGGTTGGGTGGAAACCCAAAACGGCAAAAGGGTCGCTGGGCAACAAGATACCCAGCCACCCCAACATGACAACTACCCACCCTATCCTCGTCCGAATGGCATGGATGCGGCTTACACTTATTCCCCGGTTGGAAATCGGGGGCCGGTGCAACAAGAACACCAAGTACCTAAATCAACAGATAGCAACATGCGCCGTCTAGAGGCGCTAGTTGCAGTGGCTACCAGCGAGGAGAATGTCACAGCTCCGATATACTGAGCCCCCTCCCAATCCCCCCTTTTCGGGAGGAAACAAGATGTTTTCTTCTATGTCTATGTGTACGGATCGGATTGTATATACACCATCCTTCACCCACCTTCATATGATACCCGCGTCGTTTTTTTATAGCACGCCACGACTGTTACGAAGAAAGAAAGAACACGAACACTCATGAGACGCAAGTTCGCGAAACTTGCGGTGGGCCCAGCGTCCTGCATTGGATCCGGTGTTGAAATATTATTATTATTTATTACACAACTCTTGTTGGATTCAATTCTGTGTTATATGATTATTATTTGCTGCATGATGATTTTCTTTTTTTTTTGCATAACCTCAGCACTGCACTCGTTATCTTGGCATGAGGTCAGACTTTCCGGAATTTGTTTTCCTGGGGGGACAACATGGGACAGGTATTTTTCTTTTTACCTTGGCGATGAGGAAAGACGGTAGGAGCGGATTTGCTGCTTTGGTATTTATGTACCTTATACCCACGCGATCGTTTTTTGTGACTGGATATATATTGGGATGGCATGGGATGGGAGGGCGGCTACGGATGGGTATCATGGTCATTTTGGGATTTTTAGCATAGGTCTAATGCAACAGCTTTGCTCTCTTCGTTTCTAGTGTTGGGGCGATATGTTTTAGTGTGAAAGGCGAGTGTGAGTTAGTTGGACCTTGCTATGTGCTAATTAATTCCATCGAAGCTATCACTCTAGGCCTGGAGATATCACAATAGCCTCGAGACAAGCTCGTTACGCGGCCATCCATGATCGAGTACGTAGTACGTACCTTAGGTACCTAGCTACTTCGTACGCTCTTCTAGTTTCGCTTAGCTAGTCCGGGCAGAGTGCCTCGTTTGCAGTGTTGCCGCTTGGCAACTGTCATGAGGGTTTAGGCTTCGTATTTTTGATTTACTATCCAGGTATAGTTCTACGCCTGGTAGCTCACTCACATGCCTTCTTCTTCTTCTAATATGATACTGAAAAACGTCGCCGAAGTTGTGCCCTTAAAAACACGGGTCGGGTGACGTTAGAGGCTGTGCGTATGGCGCATTCTTGGGCGACTTTGGTGTAAAACTCTTTTCGCCAGTGTTATAAGGTCTAACGGCTATTACCTAGATATAAATCTGATATCGTATAAATATCTTACTAGAATTGAGGTATTCAAGTCACGCGAATATCTCATTAGAATTGAGGTGTTCAAGCTATATGAATATCTCACTAAAAGTAAGGTATTCAAGCTGTATGAATATCTTACTAGAATTTGTGTAAATATCTAACCGAAATTAAGATATTTACGCTATCTATTGTCTGGGTAAGGTTCGTATATATTTGCTATCGTTACTTAGCTTCTTTCTTTAAAGGTCTTCTACCCTTATAGTGTGGTAATATAGTAACGATAACAGTTTTTGATTTAAACCAAGAGTCCAAATCGATCTCGAACTCCTTAATCTTATCTACTATGATTTCTAGTTCCCTACTGTATCATCAAGGTTTCAAAGCCTCTTGCTAGATTTATCTAGGGCATAGCCCATTGCCTTGAATTCCGTATTGTCTACTAGTTTAGCACTTCTAAGGGAAGTAGTAACGAGCTTTAGACATCAAGGTTTGGCCCTCTCCTAGTCAAGGTCCTTCCCCCCCCCTGGCTCAACCTACAACGATTTCCTAGATATTTGAGATACACTCGCAAGCAGTTTGTATCACATTATTGTGTAATTCTGAGATATCATCCGTGCAGGTAAAACTATTTGGCTTAGGGGTTTGGAAGATTGCAGAATTGGAATTTATTGAGGCGTGTCTCATATACGACCACTTGTGTGACTGCGCAGTATCGGATAACCAAAATGCCCATCTTTCTGAAATGAGGACTTCATGAGATTGTTGCTATGCACGCTAATATACTTACGACCATTCCAACAAGCTGCTTGTCCTCTTCCCGTCATACCGACTCAGAGCTTTTGATATACAGTAGCCTGACCTACCAGTATGGAGGCCGAAGTCCAGCGAAATTTGACGCTATGGAATTATCCCCGCTATCCTCTTTCTTCCTCTGGCCCGTCAACTGCAAAACTGTTAGCAACCATAGGAGACATATAACTCGGGGATCTTACCTCTAATTGAACGTGGCGGTGGATATGCACCAACCAATCAACATAACTCTGTGCTTCGTTGTTCCGGTCTTCAACTAATAGTCGCGCGAATTCATATTCAGCACCATCAAGGCCTTGCCTCGCGAGTTGGATCGTCAAGGCTTTGGAGCCACGCATCGTCTTCAAGTACTCAAGGATATTCCGAACTTGTGCGCTGAGATGTGTTTGCAAAACAGGTAACGACGAGCTGAATGGGTCTAGCGATTTCAGAGTATCCTTGTCCTCGCCAAATAGATCCACAATGAGATTTGGAGACGTTTGGGCATGCATCCAGAGATAGCAGTTTTGTCCGTTGTCGATGAGATAGACACCGCCTTCCTCTACCCGCGAGAACGAATCTCGAATTGAAGGAGGCATGCGAAGGTGACCTGACTCGGGATCCGGAAATCCATCTTCTGGCAGGAGGTTGTGGATTGGAATCATGCGAGGATAGAGATAAAGGGATAACTCAAGAGCTCCCATGCTTTTGATCATCCGCATGTCGTGTACTCGGCGATCCGTGGGCTCTTGTCCTCCCTTGAAAGCCCGAGACTTGATAAGTCCAAGAATATACATGCTGAACTCCTTGAGGTTTTCGGGAAGGACAAGTTGACCGGGTGGATGCGAGCCTGAGAAATTCTTCCGGTAACCGGCTAGAATATCAACGTTCTTTTCCGTGAGCGCACCTCGAATGTCCTTCAGAGAGTTGGATGTCATCTTAGATGCAGCTTCCTTTGCAATCAAGGCATATACGGCATCCTGATCGACGAATTTCATGCAATCCTTGGCATTGTCGCTAACGCTAGCAATGACATTAGAGCATCTGACCCTGCGCTGGCCGCTTGCCGTTGTATATAGCAAAGCACTTTGGAAGTGAGCATCAAGCTTAGCATCAAGTTTACCATCATAGCTGAACATAGCACCCATAGCTTTATCCGCATCGACGACGCCGAACTCAATGTCCGCACCGAAAGTGTGCTGTATAAAGTTACCGTGATAGGAAGATATTTGCAAGCCGTTGGAGCATCGAACTTTCATTAGCGCTTGGTACCCGGTCTCTCGGGTAACTGTGTGCATTATCTCCTGAGATAGCTTTGCTGAGTCGCGCGGAGCGACAAAATTAGGATAATAAAAGGTTTCTCCACCAGTTGACGCTGAAACATGACCTATACCTATGTTAGTCGACAATCCACCCTAGGAATAGGGATCAGCTACCTATCGTGGCAATATCAAGATATCCTCCGCCTGGAGCAGCGAGGAAAAAATCTACGCCTACGCCAGCAGCGACCATTTTGTCTGCCACCTTTCTCCAGCCAGGATGTTCGGTGGTAAAGAGTTTCTTTTCGGCATCTCCATGTTGCTTGCCATCATCGCGAAGGAACAGTCGGCCGGGGCCCCATGTTGGTAGAGCCGATAAAGAACATACAATCTTCCCGCCAGTCTTCTCCAGCGCTGCCAACGCAGCAGTCAAGGTGGGCAGTAGCGCAGGCTCTGGGTTCTTGACCTGTGAAAATAACGCAGGAAGCTGGGTAAGTAATGAAGTAATATTTGACCTTGCTGAAGTTAGATAATTTTCCTAGGGGATAACGCGGAGACTTACTTTGCCTCGTAAGGGTCTACAAAAAGGCCATCGCTGAGGGGCAGGAAAGGATCCTCGATATCAGGCATAATTAACATCTGTGCCTGGTCGAGAGCGGGCTGGAGGAAATGTCAGACACGAAACATTGCGCTGAAGGGAGGGGCTGATGCTGCTTACGTTCATGTTGTAGAAATGAATATCCTTATCAAATGTCACGAAACCAACTTTTGCCCCCTCTGGGATCTTGCGTTCATCTTCTGAGCCATCCTTGCCATACAAAGCGACCATGACCCCTTCGCAGAACGCTTCTAGGAAGCCCTTGTTAAAGGCTTCCTGGCCAACATCAATCAAAAACAGCCATCTTATTCCAACAGGCTCTTTGGACCAGTATTCTTTCGGGACCAAAAATTCCACCGTTCCCCGCATCAACTCCGGCCGTTGCTCTCTGTCAACACGGGCGCCTTGGGGTGTTATTGCACAGAAGTATTCAGGCGGAACATCATTCGCATAATTGCACATGTTGCAAACGAATTTGTTTCCTCCAGACCTGAAAACCATGAACGGATTGATATACGCTCGGCACCGGTGGCATCTTGGCGGTCCAACGTCACCAAAGTCCAAAACGGGAATCTCGAGCTCTCCTGCCTGTAAAGGAGCTAGAGGTTGTAAAAGGAGGCCTAGAGGCAGTCCGGTTGATTGGAGGGCGTCTGATGTTGACGGGATATTGTTCATCGTAAGTCTGGTGAATTTCGGAGAGGAATTGCCTTGATCAAAGGCAACGAAAGCAACAGAAGCTGGAGGAGGAAGATGGTGTTCGAACGTTGGGTACACATTGCTGAGGTAGTATTGCGAAATAGCATCTCTCGATCTCGGTACACTAGGTATTTGATCAGGGTCAACTCTCCCTTGCGCCGAGGTCTGGACGCTTGCACCAAATGCCTGATCCGCGGTGCCATTCCTGGAAGCAAACTCTACCGGAGAAGTTGGGTTTGCAGGATTAAAAGGGGCGTTTGCTGCAGCTGGGAACTGTGACATCTGTGGAGTGACGGGCTGGTTCATGAACTGGCCACCGGGCGCTGATGGCATCGCCGACGGATCCGCATTCAAGTATGCCGAAGCTGGAACAGCTCCCTGGGGCATGCCATTGAAAGCTGCTGAAGACCCCCCGGGAGCTTCAACGGTGTGATATGCATGTCTGTCCTTTTTCTTCTTCCTCCCATGTGAAGCTGCTTCACCCAGTCCCAAACCGCCCATCTGCGATGCTAGCCCTGGATCCTGTGACACGCCGCTCTGATTTGGATTTGTAGCATAGCCCTGGTCGTGCTGTCCTTGGTATGGTGCGGGCTGCCCCATCTGGGGATTGCCATATTGCTGAGGCTGCCCCTGGGGGTTGTGGTTGTAGTTTGCGCCAGTCTGTTGATACGGCGCTGGACCGCCAGGCTGTTGGAATTGGGGTGGGACAGGCTGTCCGCTTGGGTTTGGGTTTGAAGGATCATCATTGGGACCACCTTGGCCGAGGGCGTGGTAGAGCTGGTAGTCCGACATATTTTCACCGCTGGACTGGTTGAGTTCGAATACGTCGTCAAAGGTAGGTATTGGCGGTGTTTAATAGGATCTGGGAGGGGAGAAAGGCGCAGGCGTGACGGGATCAAGAGATCAGGGGCATTGACCAGAATGGGGACGCATCTGCGACGTGGTCTGTGGAATTCGCGGGTAGACAGACCGCGAATTGTATATTGTATATTGTGTACAGTGAACGAAGGTCGTGGATGTTTGATGTTGACACGATTATTATTTCGAGATTCCGGGGCGGCCTCGCCCATTCATTCGCCCAGCTGCTGGCACGCTAACACCCCGCCAGCAACTGCCCCTGGCGCCTCGACTCCCGGGCTCGCTGGGCTTTTCCCTTTCATGTGTGCTCGGCGTCGTTCTTTGACATTGACAACTCCAACGCGACTCAACCAACTCAATATACAATCCACAACCACGACCACCACAACAAGAGCCCCCACCATTACTATCCGATGCGAACTGCATAAACTCCCACCGGACTACGAGGGCAGCCTGGGATATGAGATTGACAGTCTAGAGAAGAGCAGAGCATAGTAGACACGGAGGGGAGATAACAGGAGGACGAGGGCGCGGTCCGCGACGATGTTCACCTTTTGCTCATTGCTGGGCGCGCAGTCCGAGTCATCTGCGTCGCAGTCGCTCCTGGAGCTGGATGGGGGCGTCAAGATCCTGATCGATGCCGGATGGGATGAGACATTCGATGTGGCCAAGCTAAAGGAGCTCGAGAAGTAGGTTGCGATCTTCTTCTATTATTGATATATATTTATTCTATTTATCGGGATTGAGGCACATATCTGGAAGAGGAGGAGAAGCGCCATGAACATGTATTACATTGCAGACATCAATCAACAAGCATCATATCACGTTTACCTGCTGCTCAATCATCCTGCCTTGCTATGCCTTGACCCTTCTGCTTCAATTCAATTCCGTGCCGCAACAGCAAGATATGCTAATATTGAACCCCCAGACAAGTTCCAACTCTATCTATCATTCTTCTCACCCATGCGACAACCGCTCACCTCGCGGCATTCGCACATTGTTGCAAACACTTCCCACTATTTACTCGAATACCCATCTACGCTACAACGCCGGTAATATCTCTTGGCCGCACCCTTTTACAGGACCTTTACAGTTCAACTCCCATTGCGTCAACGATTATTCCCTCCGAATCTCTATCTGAAGCTTCGTACTCATATACGCAATCTGTATCAGCAGATGAAGACCCAAATATTCTCCTCCAGCCACCAACTAATGAAGAAATTGCATCCTACTTCTCGTTGATCCACCCCCTCAAGTATTCGCAACCCCACCAACCGCTTCCTTCGCCATTCTCTCCTCCCCTGAATGGCCTGACCATTACCGCATACAATGCTGGACATACGTTAGGAGGGACAATATGGCATATTCAGCACGGCCTAGAATCCATTGTCTATGCGGTGGATTGGAATCAAGCCCGCGAGAATGTCCTGGCGGGCGCGGCATGGCTTGGAGGAGCGGGCGCGGGCGGTGCGGAGGTCATTGAGCAGCTGCGAAGGCCGACAGCATTGATATGCAGTAGTCATGGTGGCGAGAAAGCGGCTCTGGCTGGAGGGAGAACAAAGCGAGACGAGCTCTTACTCGATATGATCAAGTCCTCGGTTAGTAAAGGGGGAATTGTGCTCATCCCAACGGACTCCAGCGCTCGTGTACTAGAACTGGCATACTTGCTGGAGCATGCATGGCGGACGGAGAGTAAGACTGAGGATAGCCCTCTTTTGTCAGCGAAGCCATATCTTGCGAGCAGGAATATACAGGCAACAATGCGTTATGCGAGAAGTATGCTCGAATGGATGGATGATGGCATCGTTCGAGAGTTTGAGGCTGTTGCTGGCGGGCAACAGAAGAAGCAGGATGGGGACCAAGATCCTCAGCAGAATTCAGGTGCTGGGCCGTTTGACTTCAAACATCTACGATTACTTGAACGCCGGGGCCAAATTGATCGAATCCTAAATGAGACTGACAACCTTGGGAGGTCCTTTGGAAAGGTTATTCTGGCTAGTGATGCATCTTTAGAATGGGGGTTCTCCAAAGAAGTCTTGCGGAAGATTGTCGACGACAGCCGAAATCTTGTAGTCCTCACGGAGCGGATGGGCAAACCAGAAGGGGCCGTGGGCAATCATGGCATCGCAAGAACTTTATGGTCATGGTGGGAAGAGCGCAAAGATGGAGTTGCCTCTGAACCCACACCCAGTGGTGATAATTTAGAGCAAGTATATGCTGGAGGACGAGAACTCGTTATCAGGGATGCCAAGCGGGTCGCACTGGAAGGAAATGATCTTAATATATACCAGCAGTGGCTGGCGACACGCCGCCAATTACAAACTACATCCCAAGCTGGAGGTGCTACAGCTCTCGAATCGTCTGCTGACGTGGTTGATGATGCTTCGTCCGAATCGTCATCAGAATCGGAGGATTCGGAGACTGAACAGCAGGGCAAGGCACTCAATATTTCCGCGACAATGGGACAGGCAAACAGGAAGAAAATTGGCTTAAGTGATGAAGATCTAGGTATTAACATTCTCATCCGCCGTAAGGGAGTGCACGACTACGATGTCCGTGGGAAGAAGGGTCGTGAGAAGATGTTCCCATTAGCTATTAGGCGGAGGAGGAACGATGATTTTGGGGAGCTGATCAGGCCCGAAGATTTTCTCAGGACTGAAGAGCGAGATGAAGTTGCTGGCCAGGATATGCGCCAGCCAAGTAAATATGACACCAAAGATACCCTGGGCAAGAAGCGGAAATGGGATGATGTCGCAGTTTCCAGCGATCGTCGAATGTCAAGCGGCGTTAGCAAAAGACAACAAGTCGGCACCGGTCCCCAGGAAGGGTCTGAGCTTGGCGATCGTGCCCTGGCTGTCGACGATAACGATACTTTGGAACCGGATGTGGATGAGGTTACCGGGCCGTCAAGAGTCGTCTTCTCAGAGGAGACTGTTAAGGTGAATGTCCGCCTAGCATTCATAGATTTCGCAGGTTTACACGACAAACGGAGTTTGCAGATGCTAATTCCGCTGATCCAACCACGAAAGTTGATATTTATCAGCGGCATGAAGGGGGAGACGATGGCCCTTGCGAACGATTGCCGGAAACTACTTGCAGCTAAGATTGGGGGTTTCGATGAAACTGCGGTTGATGTGTATACACCTGAGGTTGGAGCTAGGGTTGATGCCAGTGTCGACACAAATGCTTGGGCTGTGAAGCTAACCGATGCCCTTGTCAAGAGGCTGCGCTGGCAAAACGTGAGGGGCCTAGGTATCGTTACTCTGACGGGCCGGCTGGAGGCTACAACACTTGAACCTCCTGAAATGGACACAGAGGGGAGCAAAAAGAGGCAAAAGCTGCTCATGGAGAACCCTGACACCACGGAGACTAAACTTGTCGGTGCTGCTGTATCTCCGGTAGAAGTTCCAACATTAGACGTCCTCCCGTCAAGTATGGCGTCAGCTACTAGATCTGTGGCTCAGCCATTGCATGTGGGAGATCTACGTTTGGCAGATCTAAGGAAGATCATGCAGTCGTCAGGGCACAAAGCCGAGTTCAAGGGCGAGGGAACATTGCTGATCGATGGGTCTGTAACGGTACGGAAGACAGGAACAGGGCGTATCGAGATCGAAGGAAATGGAATATCGGCCACGCCCCACCATGAGAACACATTCTATGCGGTAAAAGCCAAGATCTATGAAGGCTTAGCTGTAGTAGCTGGTGGATAATCTGAGAGGTTCGTTTCGCCGCTGTCGTTTGGAAACCGCATACCTTTTAAACTGCATTGTATCATTAGTGTATCGATGAGTAATTTCAAGCATGCTTAGCGTTAATAACCATTTGTGCCTCGTTGTGCCTTCCCCCTCAACCCACTTCTCCGCCCCTTCCCCGGCGACAAGCGAATCCAGATGTATTACGGATGAGCATTAAGTATTACAAGCTCAACTAGGCTTCCGATTCATCATTCCGAATTGATCTAGGGGCCTCAGCTACGCGTCTCTCTGACTTCTTGAAACCCATGCTAATACGGCGTACCCAGTTAATTTGGGCGCATCCAATAGATTGACGAGTTGGCCGCCTCTTGAAGTTTATTGTTCCTAAGATCTATGGAAAGGGAAAGCATCGGCAGGGTCCAATTGATCGGCACAGCACCCCTCCGTGAGCGGGAGGGAACCTACACATAATGGCGGCCGTTGACTCGTTGATATGCTCAGATCAGCTAAGGACTAAGACAAACCTGTCAAATCTCATGACTTGCGTAAGGCATATATGAACATAAAATTGCCGCAACAGTGCTTATTTAGCTGAAACATATGGTTTCTGCACCAGGGGATGCTTTGGATGGCTGCAGATCCAATGTCTGGCATCTTGTCTTTCCGCCCGTCTGGCCATCGGTGGCGAGACTCCTGCAGGGCTGATATGAGTGGCAGTTTGATAGATAAGCCATGGTTGGGTATAAATTAATGTTGAGAGCGAGAGGGGCTGAGTGGAAGGCGTATCGTGTAACACGAGGCGGTCGTTGACTTATAGTTATGGAGGTCTTAATTTCTTTTAGCAGTACGTACACCTTGTGGCTTGTGGTCAGGCTATGCTGTAGCACGTAATTTTTAACGATAGGGGTGACAGGATTTCTACATAGGAGATCGAATGATATGGACGGTGCTGGATTAAGGTGGGTGTGTGATGAATAGTTAGATGGGGGTTGGGATGGAACATGGTGAGTTTGGCTAGGAACCGGTAAGTTTAATCCCCTCACAGCACTGCTCTCTAATAAATGAATATGGCTTTTGCTTCTTGGAGAAAACGAATTATTATTTATTAGGTCAAAAAATGAGGATCACTTGCTTTTGTTTAGTGCGCCCAACATATTCTAGTATCTTACCGGCAAGACTCCCACCCATTTAACTTTTGTCTAGACCGCCGAAACCTTGGCGCCTTATAACCCAATCCCAAGATGGCCTCCCTGCTTTTGAAACTCTAATGACCCTGGAGAAATGAAAATCATCCTTCTTTGAAAGCCCCATGGATATTCATTGGCTTGAACACCTGCTTAAAAATTTCCAGATCTGACACCGTCGAGTTCTTGGAAGCCGAGCTTCTGGAGGAGGATGGTTTTAATCCAGACTTGGAGGAGGATGCTACCTCCCCAAGATCTTCAGGGTTCTCGAATGCGAAGACCACGTCCTCGAAGTGATTTTGAAACTCGGGGTCCTTTAAGAATGCATCTCTCCACATCAAGGCCACTTCCTCAGGTGGGTTTCTAAAGCCAGGCCCTAAGCCAAAGCTGCCGATGCAGAGATTGGGATATCCGTAGTAAACAGCAATCCGTAACGCCGTCAGAATATTATCCCGCATAAGTTCCCTTTCTTGTTTGAATGAGTACTTCTTTCCGGAGCTGTCCAGTTTCGGACGTTTAACAGGACAAACCGAGATTATAGGCAGAGCTAATGTTGTTATTCGGTATCCGGGCAAAGGGTATTGGGGCATTTAACCACACCTTTGTATTCTTGCCATGGTTCGTATTGAGAAGGGCCGTTCCGAAACACCACTATATAGAAGTTAGCTGAAATGTAATCCTAGTTTGCCACACGATGGTAGCCACCAACCAACTCTCTCTGAGAATATTCCTGCTTTTGATGGAATGGGATAGTTTGAGGCGGCGGAGTTTCCAAGAGCAGGTGTAGTAAGCGTGGCAAATAGATTACTCCGCCTACAGAGACACTCCTCAAGAGACATAACACCTATCCTGCGTTAGCTATATTAAAACCTGAAGCTCGCTCGCGAAGGTTCCTACCAGCTTCCCAGTCGCCACCTGGTCTTTTGTCATTTGCGGGCATTATCACAGGAATTTGAACTGGTTCTGAAGGTGCCCATTCTAGGGCAAGATCAACAGGATCTCGCTCATAGAAAGCTATATAGATGAATTAGTCTACGATAGATAAAAAGCCTTATTTGGATTTCTCACTCACCAAAATGGACTTGCCGGCCTGGATGTATGGAAGGTGGAGCTATTAACGACTCTGAGTGGCATAGGAACGAGGTGGGAGGCCATTGAGAACTAAAATTATGCCGAATGTAGGGAATGTATGTCTTCTTGGCCTCGGCTGCTATTTCTGAAGGCTTTGGTCTTGAAGGCGGCATCTTGTCCCGTGGTATATATGATTGAAGCACAGTAGGGATGTTGACTTGTTTAAGCCAAATCGAAATCTACTAGAACCGGAAGGTTCACTTCAAATGACATCTATAGATTAGCTTAATGAGCAACATGAACAGGGGTCTGAGTTATATAGGACAAGATAAAGAAAAGAAGGCCAGAAAAATGATCAGCCAGAACCGATCAACAATATCCCTTGACCCCTAGCTAGACAGAAGCGGATGTACAAATACTAGATCTGAGACAAGCATTTATGCTCCGAACCTAGTGGGCTGTTGGATCACAGGCGTATCAAGATAGTTGGCGGCGGGATATGCCTCATTGCTGGGTCCATTTTCCCTCTCGGACGAGATCTGACAACGTCCCAACTTTCTGATCCGGTAGCAAATAAATAATCGTCGTAGCACCACATTGAAATGAAGGCTGGGTTACGAGGTAGCATCCCGGGCCCCAAGAAGTCACTTGCAAGGGACAGGGAGGAAGGGGTTGTACTGAGATTGCCGAGATAACTCGGCCTTTTGCACTCGCTCAGCAGGAAAAGGACCCCGAGCACGGTAGCCACTGATAGTGGCTGAGAGAGTGGTGGGCGGCGGTGGGAGCCAGAGTGCGAAGTGTCCAAGGGAGTGTTACCTGAGCGGCCTGGGGCAGTCGGCGGCCGCGGGCAGCATCTAGGCGTTCCACAGCGGAGGGAGAGAATTCCTTATTCCATTGAGATGAATGTCGGCATTCCACATCCAGCGCGATCGTACGCAAATCCATATTCACCGATAGGTTAGGTTAACCAGCAGGAGGATACAAGAAAGAATGCAACTTCCCAGCAGCCAATTGCGTCCAATATACTTTGTAATTTGTTGTCTATAGGGACATGCAATGCAATGTAATGCATTCTGTGACACTATGGCGTTGTTGAAAGCTTGCAAACACAACCATAAAATATAACGCAAAAAGAGAGAGGTTTATTTGAGATTATGGAGATTTAGATTATGGAGGAACCTTAGTAACGAAGCCAAAAGCTCGCTGATAGTGGCGGCTCGCGTAACGGCGCCACTTGTGCCTGTGGCTGGTGCCGTGCGAGTACGAGCATTCGTACAGCTCGTATGTACCGAGGCAGTGGTTGTCGCGTCTAATCGCAAAACTTTGTTTACAGTGCATAATAAACTCCCTCGACCAACTCACTCCTACGGCATCCACCACTCCCTCCTGCACTCCACCAACATCGATATTGGCATTGGCATATATTAGCAGACGAGGAGCGTGTTGGTGCCATTGCCATTGCCATTGACACTCTTTCGTAGATTTGCCTAGAGCGGATAGCAATGGCGACAATTCGGCCGCAGTTGTCTCGATGCGTGAGGCAGGCTGTTTGCCGGGCCAGCAACCGCCCCTTCTCCTCGTCCCGGCAACAGCTTCAGTTGCCGGTACCAATTGCACATATACTTGATAAGGGACCGGCAGATGCCGAGGACGTTGTCATCAATGGATTTGTTAGGTCGATTAGGAACCAGAAGCAGCGGTCTTTTGCTTCAATTGGAGATGGATCCAGCCTCGAGCCCTTGCAGGCTCTCCTAACACCAGAGCAAGCTCAGAGGTCCGACACTCATTTTACCCCGGCCAGAAGCAAGTTACTGATTTCATTTTGACAGCCTGACAGCTGGAACGGCCGTTCGCCTCTCCGGTGCGTGGAAGCCATCGCCCAACCCCAAGGCACAAAGCCATGAACTTCATGTAACGGGAGTCGATGTTATTGGAGCGGCCGATCCCACTGTATGTAAGATTCGTTTGCGGGGAGGTGCTAGACAGACATACTGAAAAAGCGATCACTAGACATTTCCACTGCAAAAGAAATACCAGACCCCCGAGTACCTGCGAACCATTCCGCACCTGCGAACACGGCTTCCGTTCAACTCCACGCTGCTTCGATTTCGGTCAGCCTGCATAGCAGAGATTACACTTGCGCTTAGCAGAGATGGATATACGCAGACGCACACCCCAATTATTACATCCTCAGACTGCGAAGGGGCAGGCGAAGTCTTCAATGTTGGGAGTACGCATAAGGCGCCAGTGGGTGAAAATGACGATGGGTCATTTTTCAGATCTCCGAAATATTTGACAGTCTCTAGTCAGCTGCATCTTGAGGCTCTGGCACAATCGGTTGGTAATGTATGGACACTTTCCCCAACGTTTAGAGCCGAAAAGAGTGACACGGCACGTCATCTAAGTGAGTTCTATATGCTAGAAATCGAGATGAGTTTCGTTGAGGATATGAACGTCGTCATGGATGCTGCTGAAAAGCTGATCCAATGCATGACCAGGCCACTTCTTTCTTCCCGAGTTGGGCGAGAAATACTGGCCAGCAAAGACCCCAATAACCCTCACCCGGACGAAAAGCGGCCTGAAAATTTACGAAGACGGTGGGAGGGTATACTGAGTGGTCCATGGCCTCGTATTACCTATACGGAAGCAATACGCCTTCTGCAATCGAGCAAACGGAAATTCGACCATAAGCCGGAATGGGGCTCGGGGTTGCAGGCCGAGCATGAACGGTATATCGCCGACAAAGTTGGTGTAGAGGGTTCACCTGTTTTCGTCACTCACTATCCGAGATCCATCAAGCCGTTCTACATGCTACCAGCAGCGAACAACAACGATACCGCTGAAACTGTCGAATGCTTTGATCTGCTGCTACCTGAGGTATGTGAGGTTGTCGGGGGTTCCATGCGTGAGTACCGTGTGGAGCAGCTTCTTGTGTCGATGCAGTCCAACGGACTGATCCCCCCTGGCCCGCTGTCCTCGATATCGGATGAGCAGCTAGGCGAACTGAAGTGGTATGTTGACCTACGACGTTGGGGTAGTGTGCCGCATGGGGGGTTTGGCTTGGGTTTTGATCGCCTATTGGGATATCTGGCAGGCGTCCAGAATATCAGGGAAATAGTTCCATTTCCAAGATGGGTGGGCCGCTGCGAGTGCTAGATACCTTGCGATAATAGCCTGGGACTGATCAGTTGCGATGGCCATATTAGGAGCCGCCTCCCTATCCACCGAGAGACTGATTACCTCCAGCTGGTGGTAGACTTGTCACCAGCATCATGTGGTCGAGTACGCACCGTGAAATAGCCCTCTACTAATGCGGATTGATTCCTACATACTACCATGTCATCATGTGGAACGCCAACCGCCAGCGGAATGCAACCAGCTTTCCCCGTAGCCAACACTCGATGGCAAACCAACCTGTACATGTACCTGCGTTGGTGCCTCGTTGGCTATTGAGACTTGACAATTGTGTTATGCTCACATCCCGCTCTTCTTGGCCCAGCAACACGACGGTACCTGTACCTGAATTTGAGCCTGAGCCTGGGTCTAGGCCTAAGCCCGAAACAAGCTGGCTGTACTCGTACCTTCAGCAAGGCCCGACTTCGGGCCTTGTGCGTCAATCAATACCTCAGTCACTGAGAGCTTGGATAACTACACCTCCAGCCAACAATTGCCACTTGTCGAAACCAACGTCGTAACCTACCTAGGTAGTATGTACATAATATATGTGTATAGATACGATACCACAAATTACATGAAATTTGCTTCCAAGAACTGTGTATATTTGCTGTAGAACTGGCACTATCAAAACGGCCCCAACATCCGAACTTTGGACCCCAGGGGAGGGATTGAAGTGCCTGCGCCCCCCAATATAAGCATAACATTCTCCAAGGCTCATGCAGCAGGATACTTGTACTCTCCTCCTGCGCATGTAGATTCGTCGTACAAAGCGGTGCAAATCAGTGAGTGCCGTGCATTCTTCGGCGATCAGCAGTGGAGGGGTTACATCGGCAGTGCACCGGTTGGTGCGAGATCTGCCATACTCCCTTGCCTCCGTACCTGACTTTGAGTGCCACCGGTTTTGTTGGAATTTGGAGCACTTGAGAGTACGAGTTACGGAGCCAGCAAACAAGTGACTCTCTCTGATCTGAGACCCGCGGAAGGAATTCCTTCCGCGCCCATTTTTGAGTAAGAATATCGTTTATCAAGGGACCCCCTTTTTACCAACTTCTCTTAACCGCGTACGACGCCATGCAATGCACGACACACCTGCATCTCGTTCGCCAAAAAAGATTTTTCAATTGCTTTACGGAGTGTTGGACAGTACGAATGCGATCTGGCAGAGATTACTCCGTCTGTACACGAAGAAGTTATAGCCACTCACTACTCGGTATATTCCAACAGAACGGCCGGCAGAGAGCAGCCAGACAGGCAAACGGACAGATAGTAAATAAGGCTCGCGGCAGACCAGCGGCGCCACCAGCCCAGCATAAGTCGAGCCGGCTTACCCGCTGCAAGCCATCCGCATGCTTAACGAAATGCTCCGCGGCAGGGCAACTATTAATCTATTTTGTGCCGGGGCGCTTTTGTACAGCCCCAGCCAACACGGGTGGGCGGGCCATCTGCGCGCGTGTATTTACGGCGTATCACGAGTGAATGAAGGGAAAGGCAAAGAAAGGAAAGGAAAAGGGTGGTTTCACAATGTGCGTACAGCATCTTGGGGCCAGATATCATCCTACGGCTGTGGGATCAGCTATGGCGTAGGGATGAAATACGGAGTACAATGTAAGAACCTTAGATACGTCAATCACTGGGCCTCCGGGACGGGCTATCCATCCCATTCCAGCCCACACCAACCAACCAACTCAGGAACACAAGCACAAGCACATACATGCACAAGCACAAGCACAAGTAACAAAGCATCAAGCCGGCAGCACCTACTCGGTAGTACGAATCTGCAGACGAGTCACCCAATCTGCAACCCGAACCCTCTTCTTCAGTGCTTACCAAGGAGGTGCGCAGGAAGCTATCTTCGGGCTGTGCTGTGCTAAGCTGTGCTGAGCTGATGTTATGTTAAGGTATATTATGTTATGTTATGTTGTCCGGAGTGCCATCTCCTCTGAGTAAGTTGTCCGCAATTAGACCAACATGATATGAGGCCTTTCTTCGGCATACCTGGGTTCGCAGCAAGCAATGATTTGATGCACGGGTGTTGTTGCTGAGGACTCTGCATACCAATTACTACGTACTCCCTATATAGGTAGGTCAGTCAGTCAGCCATGGATGATGTCTGCTATTGTTGGTACATATACACCGTAATATGGCGAGCTCAGACAGGCAGGAGGCTGACTGGCTACCACCACCCCGTAGGCTCATCGAACGGGGAGGCGAGGCTTACGTTGGAATCTACCGGTACCTTGTCTGTCTCTCTCTCTCTCTTTCTCTTGCTTTCGCCACCAACATTTTACGAGTGGAGGGGTGGTAGTAGAGCAGCGTCCGGGATTTGGATGTAGCCCTAGCTGCGCTTCGTACAGTCGAATAGGAAAGACTACCGTACGGAGAGGTGGATATCATTGGCGTCCTGTTCTGTGTCTGACTGAGGTTGTGTGAGTGTGTTTCTGATGATGCGATGATTGATGCATGGAAGGGGCTGTTCAACTATGAAACACCATGCGATGGGAGGAAATCCTACACGACAATAAGCATATCAGATTCGCTTGTGGGGCAGTAGGATCGGATCCCGGATTGCTTGTTCGCTGTGCCGTATATCGTCAAGTATGTACGTACCTTGGATGATGGAGCTGTTGGTGTATACTCAATCTACCTGAGGATATCGCTAAACGCTCAGCACACCTCGCATCGTCACCTTAGCACATAGGAGTGAAGAAACAAAGTGTGTAGGAGCGACTCGACGTCAAATTAGATTGCAATTGCTGCTATTATTGCTACTAATGATCTGATTCGGACGGCACTGCACTGGGTGCGCACTCATCTAAGAATATAGCCAGTTTTGTCATCCTTCCTCAGCAGAAAGCACGGTTAACTACCTCTTTTTGACACAGCCAACAACCAAAAGAAAAATGCCAAATCCCGTAAAACGCCAAACGCAATGCCCCAAAAACCGCCAGCCCCCTTTATACTGGTATACCATCCACCCCGAGCCGTTCCAAAATGGAAATGCAATTACGTGTACAGGAAAAACAGAAACTCCACAAATGATAAAAAGACGGTAAAAGGATATGATCACATAAAGTTCCCGTCAATAGCTAAGAAGCATGGTAAACACCTGACTCCTTTTTTAATGCTCCCCTATCGTACGCCAAACATCCACGAAATAATTTGGGCTAAGGCTTGTATATCAATTTGCCCACATTTGCTAGGTTCCAGCCCCAAAGTGCTTTAGCCGTTGCAAGGCAGGTGAAGGCGCCCTTAGATGCAGAATTTGCGGTCTAGGACCCGAATCGCTCTCTTATCTTCGCCAATGATATTCAACTTGTCATGTGGAATATCTTTTGGTCTTTGAGAGTCGCCAGCTTCCCTAGGGCTCTTGCTACCAGCGCGGCTGCTGTTGCTCTTGTTGTCCGACATAACACTCACTGAGTCTGTAGCGTGGACTAAGCTCGAGATGCTTGGGATAGTCTGTGCTTGTGATATGACCCGTGTCTTCGGTGTAGTGTCTCTTGGAGACGGCGGCCGGCCATGGATAGACGACGGTGTATTAGATTGAGAGGTTGACTGGGGCTGCGGCGGAGTTGAAGCCCGTGGAGCACCATTGACTTGCACCGGCGGTAGTTGAACTTGCTCTCCGGTGATACGAGGGTCTATCATGCGAGCAGCTTGTAAGGCTCCTTGAGCAATTTGTGCTTGTTGTTCGGCAACCAACCTTGCCTGGGCGACGCGAGGGCTGGGGTTGGGTGCGTAGACTGGCAATGTGTTCTGTGCTGTTGTTGTAGGTGTGCCCATCCCTCGGTGCTGTGGAGGGGGCGGTAGGGAGGATTCTGGCATAGGCGGTGGTGGTCGGTCATATGCCGTTTGCTGAGGGCGAGGATTCGCACGATTTGGTGGGAATCCATTTGCTGGGTGGGAGTTATGTTGGGGGTATGGTGATGTATGAGCGGATCCAGTGGGGGGAGGTGGAAGTGTGGAATTGTACATCGAGCCGCCCGCGTAGTGGTTGAAAGGGGGTGTCAAGGCGGGAGATGGAGGCCACGGATAGCCTTGTGAACCTTGATAGGGGGGGTATTGTTGGGGTCGTGGTCCTGGAGAATGGGCTTGCATCTGTTGCGGGTGGGGTGGCTGCATGTATGGGCTATGCATCGGTGCTCGAGTGACGGGCGGTCCTTGGGCTTCATGAACCGTTGACTCTGGGTACATGCCCTTGACTGGGACAATGTGACGGAGTGCTGGATCGGTCGTTGGGGTGGGGAGCTCTGGTGAATTGGGGTGCGGTCGAGAGTAGTAGCTGATGAGGTGTAGATGCTGCCCTGTTGAGGTGGTGATGCTGAATGATTGCTTCATCAATCCGTCCGGCTTATATCTGTATCCATCCGGCCCATCACCATCCATCTCCTGATCTTCGTCACTACCTCTGCCACTATCTGGAGTCTTTCCTGGTTGTCGTCGAGGTGTCGTAGCGTAAGAACCTCCACCTCTCTTGCCTTCCATCTCTCGATATGTGAGAAAGCTTCCGGATACTCTGCTCGCACTCCACGACTTCCCATCGGTCCATCTCCTCATCCCTGCTTCTCGCTCATCCCAGACAAAAACAGATCCTGACTTGATGGACTGTCTCTCCTTTTCTGACAATCTTCGCTGAACCCGAGGCAGTAGACCTAGCCGGCAAGCTTCAAAGAGCTTGATCGCATCTGCCGGCGTCCGAACGTGGCCGTGGTAGGTGTCGTTCATGATGACGCTGTATTCTTACGGTGATGTTAAATAGCAGATTCCCTTTCTTTCCTCGAAGGCCCAGTTCAACTGTGCGCGATAGGGTAGGCGATGGCAGTTGCTATCCCTATGTTCGGCGAGATGTTCAAGGAGTCGCGAAGGCGGGACCAAGTCAACCTGGCATCGGCAGGTGCAATCGAGACGCTGAGACGCCTGGCGGTTGATGTAATTAGGGTTGCTTCAAAAGGATATTAGCTACAGAGTCGGGCATGAGTTGGGGATATTAGGAAGGGTTGCAGGTGGGAACTGAAAGATGGTGCTCGCGAATAAATAATATGAGACCGGGTGAAGCACAGTGTGACAGAAGGGGAGCTCGGACTAAGCTCTCTTCACACGCGCGGCTTCTGGGGCTCCCAAACTCTCCATTTGACCCCACCAAGACCGCCGATCCAGAATACAATATCCATATATATTGCAACGTCGGTATGACTATGGCCGAAGCGGCAGAATACTTGGAGGTGGAGGGTTTGGAGACACAAAGTTGCTGGTGATGCCCTGCGACAGTGACGCAAGGGCGGCTTCTCCTTCGCTGCCTCAGCCTCGAGCATCATTTCCGCGGCCTTTGCATTTTCGCCTTTGCCCATGGATTTGGCTATGTGTTGCGCAGATCGTGCAGATTGCGGAACTCAATTGAATAAATGACAAAAAGGAAATGCACGTACGTACTTGTTCGGGGCGCTTCTTGTGAGCTATTCTGGCGGTGTTTGTTACTAGTGCTCCGCGAGGTCGAGATATCACCGTGGTCGGTTGGGCGGACAGGCGAGATCGGTATGGTGCAAGTCGAATATCTGTCACTGGACCAGAGAAAGGAACAGCTTGACGGGCGAGGCTGGCGGTGACTGGCTAAATAGCTTCCGTGTTCAAATCCTCATCTGCAATACTAATACGTCGAGTCGAGTCGAGTCGAGGTATGTCTTGTGAAAGACGGACAGACGAAGATATCGAGAGCCGTTTATAGCTGGTCGTGGTGCAGAAGAAGTGGGCAGGAAGTCCAGAGATCCGAGACAGAGGGATACCGGGTAGAAGTAGTACAACCAGCACTACTACTACTCGTAAGAAGCCCGTCCAGTGGTGGTTCGTGTACTCGGCACTCGGACAGAGAATCTTCAACAAGGTGCAAGCCGGCGTCCTTGGATCCTGGACCCGTTGTTGGAAAAAGTCATTAGATTAGGTTTGGCGGGGCAGGGGTAGCGAGGCAGGAGGGCCGGTGTGTCTCTAGAAGGCCCCAAGATGCCTGGGAATTACTAATTTATACTTCGTAGGGGGCCAAGCCGCGACGATTTGCTGGAGAGTGCCGCTCGGGGTGCTGAGGGACGCCGCCGTGGGGTGCTGAAGAGCGTGTGGGATTGGGATTGGGATTGGATTGGGATTGGGATTGCTTGTTGGTACTGCACATGTACGAGCACATGTACCTCAGCAAGTACTAGAGCGCGAAGTAGAATCCTAAACTGCCTAGGTAGGTCAAGGTAGGTCAAGGTAGGTTGGTGAGTTGGTGACTTGAGGAGTTGGTGACTTGCTGACAAGGCTGCCTTGCCTGTAATAAATAATAATTAAGGTACCTAAGGGATGGCAACATCATACCTACGAAGTACTAATAGCATGGCAAGAGGACAGCCCTTCGTCTTGCGCCAGCCACGGCATACTTCGTGCCCGTTCTGAGGCCGCCACTGCCCCCGTCGACCTGCTGTTGGCGTTTACCGTTGGCTCCAGAGTCCACTGCGAGTATTATTATGCCATGCTGCTGCGACAGGACATACGCAGTACTCGACCTCAACTAGACGCCCCCCGCTGATACAGCCCCCACCAACGCGTCCCCCACCACTTCTGGTTTTGTTTGATCCTGCGCAAAGTACGAGGCTTATTATTATGATTATCGAGTGGTGGTTTCTATCCTATTTAGGCATTTGTTAGGCGCCGGTGATTGGTATCTCGACTGCAAGAGGCTAAGTGGTCGTGTGGTCGCAAAGCGGATATGGCATGGTGTGGCGTGGTATATACTTTGTACTACTCCGTATTGGCATTGCTATTGGCATTATTGGCATTATTGGCACCATTGGCATCATTGGCATCGCATTGGCATTATTACAGAGGACACCGTTCATAAATAAGGCACTCGTACTTTACGTATTATCTCTTCCTCCCTCCCATCATCCGCTCCGCTTCGAAAGCCGCGCCCAGCCCATCCCACAAGCGCACCGCCCCGTGATGGATGACCAGTCGTCAGTGCGGCAGGAGGCTTGATGAGGATCAGGATCAAGGATTATGATTCAGATCCGGCTTCAGGAGGGTGTTTCGGTCCCGGAATATGAGCTCACTCGAAGTTAGAAGCATCGAGGGCCTTAGCAGTGAGAACACACATCCCATAAGGCACCCAGAATCACGAAAGAGCAAGTACTTGGCGAGCAACTTATTGACGTGTTGGACGGAACTTGGCTTCACCGGCGAGACTACGAGACTGCGACACCGCCAGCAGGGCACCGCGCCTCCACTGCCCTCCGCCATCAGTCAGAGAAAACTGGCCGCGGCCAAAAATATATCCAACAGCGGCTCTCTCGGAGGCTCCTACGTAAGTGCTTCATACGGACTAGGAACTACGTACGAGATATTTATGCTACGTACGAAGCAGTAATATAATAATAATAATAATAGTACCGTGCTCCACTGGCGCCCTCACGAACAGCTTGGCTCAGCTAATCATGACACAGCACGCCAACCGCAACACCTTGCGCAGTCAGCATTCTAATTCCGTAGTTCCAACACCATGGTTCACTCTCGGGGCGAGCTAATAACTCGCTCTTTGTCCGCCGGCGGCTGTGCTATCGCTACTCGGGCTTGCTAAACTGCCTGGATAAAAGTAGCTGCAGTCTGACGAAGTAGTTTGGATTCTAGGTTTTTTATTGAAATCAATTCCGCCTGCCCACTGGCAAATGCCGCTCGCCCGCCCCGCCATCCCGGTCAATCAAGCTATCACTTGCTTGTGTTGGGTAGTCGGAGCCGAGAAATAAAGAACGGTCATATCGACAGTATAAGATCGCCGCTTGAGCATGATATGTCCAGTACTCGTAGGGAGTGGGATCGTCGAGCCCGGCAAGTGTTGTCGTGTCCTTTTCTCAGACTGGAACCCGGCCTGAGTCGTCGACCAGAGACCGCCAACCAAATAGGCCGGCAAACCCCCACTAGCGGCATGTCGAATGAGGTTTTGGAGTGTTTGTAACATCCTGCGTACTCAAGGTTTCAAAACATACGGGCGGAAAATGCCGTATACTTTCGTAATGGCGTACGAAGTACACAAGACTCAATAAGCAACTCGGTATTTTGTACATAGGTACTTCGTATCGCTAGGCCTCTTGGGATGGCGCTGTGGCATGTGAGATGCTGCAAGAAAGGAAGGTCCCGTTTAAGGGCAACGTTTCAACTCTCAACATTAATGTGAGATGGCTAATGAGAACACTATACCGGAAATAGGCTTGGGAAACAAGCACCAACATCGTTGCGGGGCTTACCTCAGACTCGCAACTGACGACCAGTTACGTGATTAGGGATCAATTCCCGGCAGACTACGTACAGATGGAGCACTTTATACGTACGAAGTGGTACTGTACGGCGTACTTCAAACATTACGAAGTATTTGAATTGATCCCAAATCCTTGAGTCCTCAAGCCAAGCTTCTCGCTACACCCAAAGGTTAAAGAAAGTTTTTGTGCGACAGGGTGCAGTCCTCTGCTCTTCCCATCATCCTATGCCGTAAGCTCGTGGTGCACTGTGCCTCCTGGACTCCTGACTCCTGAGGGAGTGATCATACTCCGTAGATCGGACCAGCCCAAGCCTAAGCCCAAGCTACGGTATCACACATAGCAGACACAAACACAAGCACAAACACAAAACACAAACACAAACACATTACTCTTCTTCTCCGATAAGCCAGCCGCCCGCAAAAAGGAAGGAAAAGAAGAAAAAACGGCGGCGCTGCTTGGCACGGGCTAAGCGAAGCCACAATGCAGCGTGGCGGGATGGACAAGTTTAAGCATGTTTTTTAAGTCCGGCGCTGGTGACCCGGCCCTGGCGTTTCGCTTTAATCTAAAACTTCTCTATTTTGCAATTAAGTTACATATTACATATTGCGTACCGGTCATGTCCATGTCCCTTGCGGGTGGGCTCTAAAACAACATCCCAACTACGCTCAATCATGCCAACATCCGGAGCATACCCGCAAATGGAGCACATGAACATATAATATACCTGTGCGTAGTGGCCCCACGGAGAAAGATATCTGCTGCTCAGCTGCATTTATGATCGAGGCAAAGGTTGCGCCGTGCGCCACAGTGGCTGGGGCTGGTATTGCTCCTCTGCTGCGCGTGTCTAAAACCTGTGCAGTTGCACGCCTCCCGAGCCTGAGCCCTTGAGTCTGGACATATGCGCCCTTTCGGTGCACCGACGGGGTTTACCCTCTCAAATTACCTCTTTGCAAATACTACTACGTAGAGACGTAGATCGTAGGAAAGAGGGAGATGCCGTTACTTCGCAGTTGTAACCTTGGACGGAGTACGTACTGCGTATGGTAATCCCGTGGTAATACCGTACGAGGCCATCCCCATCCCCATCCCCAAGCCCAAGCCCAGTACATCGTATAAGCTTGAGTCGTCCAAAGAAAGCGCTCTAACTTCAGAACACGACGACCTATCCCACATTAAACTCGTATAATGATAAAATTAACTACTACTACTAATACATACTATCCACTCCGTGCGCTATCGACCCAACGCCATGTGAAGTGGCTGCGGCCCAGGCCCAGGCCCTCTCCCCGTAAGGCTATCCGGACTTCATAAGCTCGCGGTGCCGCTGCGACTTACGAATGGCACTCGTCCCAACGATCCGAGATGGCCGAGCCCACTACTGATGCTGATGCTGATGCTGATGCCATGGCTAAGACCAATCCTGGTTTATAAGTTAGAGGAATCCGA